ATATCAATTAACATTGTTCGTCCATTTGAAGTCGCCGCTATGAAAGAAAACTAAATTAATAAAAAACAAAAATTTCGATTTGTATGATTAAATTCATTTCATATAAATATTTATATGAAGAAAAACAAAATTTAAACATTTTTGCTTTTCCAAGTGTAAATTTCGAATAATGTCACAGATAGAAATCCAGGTACATATCGTACTCAACAGCTTGGATTTAAAATATGTATAGTAGCTTTTGTATAATCTTACCCAACGTAAAAATTCAATTTGTATTTGTTCTGGTTGTTCATTAAGTCCTTTTAATAATTCAATAGGAGATTCTTGTCCTTTGATTTCACTTATAATTTTAATAACATATTCATATTCAGATAATAATTGAAGTATTTCTAAGATTATTTGTTGACCAGATTGATCTTGAATTGAATTGATCATAAGAGAAACTAAGAAAAAATATTTTGAAATTTTTTTCGAAAAAATTTGTTTCATACTTAAAAGCATTAGATGTTCGCGTGTTAACATAGGTGAGTAAGTTGCATCAGGTCGAAATAATTGATCAATATCATTTAATTGTTCTTTTTCAATTGCATTTAATGTTCGATTACATTTTTGTTCAATAACACTAACTCGTAATTTTAATTTATCAATTACCGGTAAAATAGATTTACGAGCTGGAGTTTTATCTAATTTTGTATTATTATTTGCAGTTGATGACATGGTATGCATTGAAGATTCAGCAAAATTATTATTGAATCCTTGTTGTTGTTGTGCTGCAGATATTGGATCTTTATTCATAAATGATAAAAGCATTCGTCCTAATGGACTGAAATAAAATAATATAGAAAAAATTATATTAATATTATGGTTTTGACTTACGTTGTTTTGACGAATCTTGGTAAATCAAGTATTTCTTCGGGTATGAGGGATGTTGTACTATCGAGAAGAAATTTTGTAAATTCATCACTGAAATTATTACAATTCCAATCGAGTAATTCATAGCGAAGACCACTTAAAAATAATAATTTTTTTCAAAATATTTTATTTGAAAAAACAATTACCGAAAACTAGTAGAACTTTTCTCCGTAATCCATGCTTGAATTTCCGATAGACTTTTCTTTGTATGACCAAGATCACGTCTAAAATTAATAAATATTTCAATATTGAGTTATGTGTAAAAAAAACAACTTACACTTTTGGTTTAGGTGCTAATCCTTGTCGATGAATTTCTTCGGGTGATGTATATGAAACTCCACTTGAACCAAATAAATATTCTCTACCATAGACTCCAACACCTGTATGCCAAACACCATCAATTTGTTTACCTGAATAAAAAGATTTAATTCATTGAAACTTAGAATTTTTGTAAAAGAATGTACCTAATAATGCTGAACCATATGCAGCGGCAAGACCATGTGAGATATCATAAATATATAATTTAACAGATGTAAAATCCGTCATGTCTAGGAATAATCTAGAACATAGTATTAAATATAAAGACAAAACAGTTTATTAAATCTGCTCTAAGAATTTGTTTTTTTTTCTGTTATTCTCTATCTCTTGTTTATCCACATAACGTACAGACAAATTAAGACATAGACACGAGTAAACAATATGTATATATGTATAGAACGTTTGAAATGTACAGTAGTTATGAAAACAAAAAAAAAATAATAATAATACATCACAAAAAAATATAGTTCAAAAGAAGAAGAAGAAGAAAAAAAACAAAAGAAGAACATATGATCATGACAATTGATCATCATTATCACTATTGTCACTTGATGACAGTGTTATAACTTCAATTTCAGCTGTTCGTGATTTAGTTGGTGATGATCGTTTATTTCGTTTTCTTCGATGACGATCATCATTTGATTTTGATGATGATGATGACGACAATACTGATCCTGATGATAATACAGATGAACTTGAACTATTAGTTCGTTTTCGATTAGAAAGTTTTTCACTTGTATCTGAGGATAAATCACATGTTATTTGTGCTATATCTTCCCAATAATTACCATCATCAACTGGTGATATAATAGGAGATAGTGTTGACGGCGATGTATGATCAATTATTTTATTATTTTGTCGTTCGTCAATACCATTACTATGATGAAGTACAGGAGATGTTAATATTGAAGGATTATTTGTATCAAAATCATCATCATCATCATCATCATCATCATTATTAATTTCTTCATCTTCATCTTCACTTTCACTACCAGATGAAAGTACAATACAATCACTTCCATCAGATTGACGGCGAGATCCTAGAAAAAACAAAAAACATTCTATAATCTATTTACAATAAAGAACATTGTAGACTATCATATCAAGATTTGTTGTTCTCCTTCTCGTAGCGCAGAGTCTATCAGCGATAAACTGTCTACTTGTATGTCCACAGGGTCAAAAAAACATCGAAAATCGATTTTTCAGTAAATGTGAAGAGGATGTATTCCTACGAGAAAGAGCTAAGCGAGTCCTCGGACGAGCGTTCCTTGTTTTGTACTAAAAATAAAACATATGGCGAACATCATTAGCGATGATGATTTGTTCGACAAATTTTCTATAGTTTTCATCAAAAGATCGATATGACCTTCGTTACGGTTATTATGACTTTAACGAAATAATATTATTCGTCTCGATATTTTATTTACTCTAAAAATTGAAACTACTTACTAAGAGAAGTATCATGTATTGATTCATTTCCATTTTGTCGTTCTGAATGTATTATATCTGTTACATCAATTTTTTCCTGTTTAACAGTATCAAATATATATTGACAACCAACAGAAGATGAATCGATTTCTACTGTTGAACAATTTGCTGGTACATTTGAAAGAATTGATTGTAAACGTTGATCAATACGTAAGGATTCAAATGATGCTGATTTTTTACACAATGGACATGTCCATTGAAGACGTCGTTCATTCATTTGTAAGAAAGCTTTTAAATCAAAACATGTTAAATGTGAACAATAAGCAGATTTAGCAGGTACGCCAATTAAAGATTGAGTTATTGGACAAATTAATGAAACACGTTGTCTTGTTGTCATTAAACCTAAATCTTCAATTTCAATATCACTATCATTATCATTATCTGTTTTATTTATAAATGGTTCTCGTTTAAGAACTAAATCAAATATTGTATTTATTGGTACATAATGAACTAAATGAATTGCTAATGTATATGATTTTGGTAGATTCTTAAATGACATTGTTGTCGGTGATTGTACCCATAGAAAACTTAATGTATTATTTGTATTTTTTTTAAGTATAACTTTATCTGTTATATCAGTTGGAAATAATATTGAATGTGCTTGAGAACCAACTTGTCTTGATAGATTATTATTAATAACTTGTTGATTCTAGAAAAAAGAAAAAATTTTGTTTCAAAAACAAAAACTTAAATATTTATATTACATTGCACTGAACAAATAAATAAGGTGGTAAAATATCATTATGTCTTTCGGAGACAATTGTCGGAGCCATACGAAGAAAAATTTTAGCTGAATTGTCTCGTATTAAACCAAGATCTGTTTCATTTAATATAAATTGCATCGGAGAAAATGTATGCCAATCAACAGGCATATTTACACATCCAATAGTACGAATTTTGTCGAAAAATGGTAAATTAGTGAATTGAATAAGATTTGGTTGAGGTAATACTTCAATGGGTGGAGTTTTAGGTAAAACAATTGGATGAGCACGGGATGATGATGATGATGATGATGATACATGATTTGATCGAGATGATGAATGTGTTCGAGTATTATTTATTTGTTGAATTTTATTTGCTATTTGCGGATTATAACTTGATGCAATAAGTGTTTTACAACGTTGAAGTAAATCACGTTTGTGTCCTTGACGCGATAAATTTGCATGATCAAGTAAAGCCTAAAGAAAAATATCTATTTTCTTATTAAATCAATAAAATTTTAGAAAAAACAGACTTGTAATTCAGTTACACGGTAGTTTTTAATTGCTTCGAGAGCACTTGTTTTTGATTGGAAATTCGATGTTGAACTCATAGTTAATATTTTTCAAACATTAAGTATAAAAAAATAGATAATATTTTTCTCGAACAAGTTGGTTTTTTCTCAAAATCGGTAAGAGTTATTCATATGTAAGAACCCATTCTACAACATACGTTGAAAAAAAATAAGCTATAAATAGAAAATGAATTTATTCGTTAGAATCTATTATATAATACATATTGATTGTAGCGATAATATATTTGAAAATTATTATATTTTTCTAATAGAAAAAATATTCGAAAGATAAATATTCAAGTTTATTTTTTCGATAATATTTTAATATATTTATTCATAAAATTAATTTTATCTATACATCGTCTACTAGAGCTATCTATCGTACTGAATTTTGTTTTTCCGTTCGATTGATTATGATATATGGACTATTTAAGATAGTATCAAAGACAATTGATAGATGCCATTTTGATTATCTTTTTTTTTAAAGCTTTGACAGTAATTTCATTTAATTGAATACATAGATTTGTTGATTATATACAGCAGATATTACAAAGAAAACCTTAAATAACAGGTATATGTGTACCAAGAAGAATTATTGAACAGATAATTCTATTCTTGAGAATGTGTTATTATGCTTGAAGATTAAAAACAAAATTTCAATTGAATATATATCTATGGATTCTATTTTAATCTTCGATTGCCAAGTATTTATATATATGGTATTAATCTAACAGAGTAGTAGTACATCCTTTTTCTCTAGAGTCTATTTATGATATATTGCTATTTTCATATAAATATTTCCCGTCTGATAAGATCCCTTATGCACATATTGATAATTTATCGATAATATAATTAAACTTTTATTAAATTGTAATATTATCTTTATAGAAATAAAAAATATTGCTTTTTTCTCTTATATATGTTGCATAAAACATTATGTAAATTTATTTTAATTCGATAAATATTTGTGTCTTATTGATTATTTGAAAGAAATTCTTATATATTTTGTACAAATAAAAAAAAGTCAATATTTAAATAAGTTTTCTATAGCTTCTCTCTCTTCGATTATAAATGAAAAAATCATCGTGGTACTCTTATGTAATTCATCTCATCTGTATAAATATAATATCGATGTTCATGAGATTTATAGCAGATGATAACCCTGAAGAACACAACAAGAAACATAAAAATAGTAAGATGAAACAAATTCAACTATTAGTAGACACTCATTAATCGTTAAGAAAATAAGTTATCAATTGAAATAAATCAGATAGAATATATTTATTTATAGAAAAATAAAAGTAAACCTAATCCTTTATGTAACATATTCTAATGAGATCATCTCGCCTTTTTTTCAGATATTCTTTTACTCGTTATTTATCAACGATGTCTCATCACTATATCTGGAAAAGGTCATTTCTTGTTAATGGATATATATATATATATATTATATTGACACTACGAGAGATTTTTTATGATCTTAACACATTATTATCGTTAAACAAACGAAGAAATAATACTAGTCAGAAAACAAAAAGAAAGAAATCTATTCAACAATTTACTACATTTGAATCTTATTGGCAAATAAATATCATAAAATTCTAAACGTGATGTTGTCTTTAGCATATACTCATTTTCTTTTACATATAGTAGATTAGTTTTGTTAGTTCAGATCAATAATTATTTCATTTATTTTAATGAGTTGAAATATGCCTTTTTTTCCTCTCCGTTCTATTGTTACAGGAACTTCTGGGTTTTCTCTCTATGATATGACGTCTGTCACATACAGTGACGGGATATTGACACTAATCATACATAAGAAGGATGCTTGCAATGTAGGTCATAGCAATAGTAATAGCAATAATATATAGTAGCATAAAAAAATAATAATCAATAGGATGAAGAACGAGAGAATTGCCCGCCACGATCGTTGTTCTGAAAAACATCAACAAACAATCAAACTGGCACTCTTCCCTTCGTCTGTCTATACTTGCCAGCTCTTTCCATGTGCTTATTATAGCGTATATAGACGTATGGGTGCACGCATGCATCTTTTATTTCGAAGCAATATGAATAAAGAAGAAAATTATGATGATGATGATGAGAATTTTCATATACTAGTTCTTCTTTTTTTTTCTTTGTTTTTTTTTTATATCATTTTTTTATTCTTTGTATTCATGTCAAAGTGCGAATAGACCATAGGCCACTCGACCTTCATTTTTTTCTAATCGTACATGCTTGATAATATAACTTCTGATGTCTACTTATGTGTCTTTGCAGTTTTGCGAAAATGCCAGCGGCTAATTGGTCTAAACGCCATGTTTGATGATTATCGGTTAGTAGAACTACAACAGCAGTTCGTTGATGTTGTCGACAAAGTAAATGACAGAGTAAGAGATGATTTTCCTCTCCCTCTCTCTCTTCCTCTCTGTTTCGTCTTCTTATTCTTCTTCATCATACACTTTCCTTATATTTCGGTATTGATGAAAGTGTGCGTGTGCGTGTGCACCAGACGTAGAAAAGGGTAGTGATGAAGATAATTTACTTGTCAAAAAATGACTCTAACGACTGATGTAGTTTATTTCTATTCTCATTTCTTTTCTTTTAGCTTCATTTACTCTCACATCTTTTTTTTCGATTTCAAACATATACTTCAGTAAATTACGTATTTATGTGTGTGCGTGCGTGCGTGCGTGCCTCTAAGATGAAGAAATATGAAAAGAGAAGAAAAAAAAAGATAGAAAAATAGATAGATAGATAGATCAATGTAGACGACAAAGAATAGTAAAAGATGATGATGAAGAAAAAAAGAAGAAAACACTCGTACCTCTTCTCTAGTACGACGACGAAATGAGCGCAAATGAGAGGAAGAGTGTGCGACGACGTACAACACCTTTAAATTCTCTCTTCGGTCGCACAGCTAGAGAGAGCAAACATGTAGAGCTGGTAGAACGACCTTTTCTTCTATTCTCTTCTCTACCTCTTTCCCTCCCTCTCCTTTTTTTTGTCTGATGATGAAGAATTTTATGCGCGCATGACCGTCGTTTGAACGGGCGTGTATCACTTTTTCTTTTCCCTTTCTCATATACATATGAAAAAAAATACAGACTAAAGAAACTGTATATTTTGTTCAATAATATAAGTAAATATTTTTTTCATGTCATCTTATTTTAGACTAAGCTATATAGAAAATTGATTATGCAAATGGCAACATCTTCTGCCGCTTATCTTTTACCAGGATCATCATCTGCTATAGGATCGAAATCAACACATCTTAAACAATCGTTACCACCATCACCACTATCAGCACAAACAGGGCCGACAACATTTCATTCTGTTCACAATGTTGCTCATCAACAACTTCAACAACATTCGCTTCATCGACCTTCTATTCCATCACATTCTCAACAACATTTTTCGAGAACAACATCCAACAATGATACATTTCATTCATTAACAGTCACTAATACTAATAATGGTGCTTCATTGTTGACAACAACAACAAATAATAATAATAATAATAATAATAATAATAATAATAACCCATCATCACTTTTGACAACTAATATCAGTGACGATAATGGTGGTGGTAGTGGTTCTGGCGGACATAGTCTTTCACAAAGTATGGAATCAATTAATAATATTGGTTTTACAGATGATGAGGTAAGGAATATATAATATGTAATATATTTACTATAGACATATGATTAGATTCATTTCTTTTACATGAGTAACAATAAAGAGATTACCACCTGGCTTGGTTCATTCTCTAATTGTTTTGTCTTATTTGTTTATCTTATTGTCTATATTTCTATTCTTATTCTCCTCCTTTTCTATCTCATCATCTTTCTTTTGTATATATATACATATAAATACATTTACACATGACAAGATTTTAATCACTGCTTGTTCTGATCGTTTCAGCAACATAATAGTAGCATTTTTATTATACAAAAAAAAATAGAGGCCTGTTAAGCTTATTGGTGATTATCGTTTATCTCAATTGTTTCGGATAAAGTGACATTGTTCGAGCATTTTTTTATCGTTCGGAGAAAACTAACTTTGTTAGTCTCTATTCCGAAGTCATTGATGTTTTAATCAATCAGTCATTGTCGTTTGTTCGTAATATTGAATAATCAATTCGTGAATAAAGACAATAATAATCAATCTAGGTACTAGAATTTCTTTTCGTTTCTTTTCTAATCAGAGGCAAAAAAAAAACATTAATGATATTGACAAGGGAATAAAAGCAAGACTTAGTTGACATGCAAACATATGTATAAAATTTGCAAATGAGCTAATTTAAAGGTTTTAGACAAAGAAGAGATTTCTTTTTTTTTCTTCATCGTCTTATTCTAGTAATAGTCTCCTGTTTTCATTTTACATTTCATTTGCTTCTTATTACTTTTATCGACCTCATACACTTTTCTTATACATTATCAAAAGAACGATGCAGATGTTACCAATGTTAGCTTATGGACCTGCGAGCAAGTAAGACAAGAATGAACGCAGGACATTAATCTTTTTTTTATTCTATAACTTGCTTATTGAAGAAGAAACCTTTGTCTATGTAAATATATACATAAATATATATATATATTTGCTTCTTATAATCAGAAGTAGAAATTGTCAAATAGATCGAAATGTGTATATGTTGATGTAAAAGCTCACGCACGAGTGACGATCCACATTGATTGTCAATGCTTTCTGATTATTACATTATTGAGTATGGTGGTGAGCATATGTAGTTAATGGGCTGAAAGACGGAAGATCCAAACGACCATAGACTAATAGTTAGAGCGCGCAGCTGTTTTTCTTTTTCTTTTCATAACGATTGAGTAAATGAATGAAAGGATACGAGTAAGACGTGATGAGTGATAAAGATACATTTCTTATAAAAGAAAATCGATTTTCCACTTGTCCCTTAGGCAATTCACACGTACATTCATGTCAGTTTTTTTACTCATCATTATTATTATTACACAAGGGAACTATTCATAAGACATGTATTAAATCTAAAACGAATAGTTATAACAGTATTATTGAGAAGAAAAGAAAGTCGATGGCTTCTTCTCTCATCCGGAAGATAATAATTTGCTTGAGAATCACAATAATGATCACATTTTTTTTTGATTTATTCTCTTACTGATAATGAAAGGAAAAATACAAAGAAGAAGAAATATATATATTATTCTTATTGAAAATATACAAACAATTATTTTATCGTCGCACCGTTGTTACTTGAAGATACTTGTCGACCTATCGAGTGGATGAAAAATAGGGAGAGAAGAAAGAAAATGACAAAGAATAGTCATCAGGATAGTGTTACTTTTATGAATCAAATTGACACTAGCTCAGAACTATATTACCTAAAGGCAATATTTTAACTTTGAAATAATAATATAAAAGAAAGTTTATATATATGATTGAAAAAAAAAAAGAAAAAGAACAATATAAGTCATATGGAATTACAATTATAAAACATAAGAAAGACACTTTGCCTCTTTTTTTCTTCTTTCTTTTATACAATAAGACAATGAAATAACAAGAAGAAATATGACTACTATTAGAAATTCATACTTCTAGCTTTACTTTTTTAATCGAATGTTTCTTTAGTCAACGGGAGTATATAGTACCGATGAATTCATATTGAGTAAAAATAACAAATATTGTATTGGTGATGGAACCAATTATTATCAATGAACATACGAATAATAGTTTGAATAGAATTGATTCTAGGTAAGAAAATATACGATTAACATTATGTTTGATTATTACATATTTGACTTTTTGTTCAAATATTGTCTATATATCCAATAGATCTATATCATATCGACCTTGTTTGTACGTAGTCAATTCTATCGTTACGCCCCGTATACTCCGATAATTACAGATATATTTAGCATCCAACGTAGACGTATAGACATAAGAAGTTTTTCATACTAATAAAAAGATAATATTCTACTGCTTGTTATTTTCTCTGGTAATTCTCATTTGTTATTTTTGATAGATTGTCAAAGACGAATTGTTAAAAAAAATCTATACGGTAATTATTATAAGATAAGAAGAATTACATAGAAGTTTTTTATTTTATATAGCTCAATATTTCTATAATCTATTGATAGATTTCTTAAATAGTATTACGGTAAAAACGAGATAGAGCGCTTACTCGAAAATTACGCCATTAATTAAGAATATTATCAGTTATTCGATTGTAGTCAATAAATCTATTCATAAAAAAAAAAGAAAGAACTCGTTTCAACACCTGTTCACATATGGAATATGATATTGAACTTTTGCTTATCTCTAATCGACTTTTTTTGTTTCTATGTATTCGAATTAATTTAAATTGATATTCTTTGAAAATAAATGAATAGTATCTTATTCATCGTTCATTGAGTTAATTACAAAGAGAAAAAAAAATATTCAAATATCAATCGAAGACATTGATTTAATGTAATTTGTGTATAGATCTATTGATATGAATATAGTAGTGAGTCATAACGATTATCACTGAACAGATGCAAATAACATAGATAGAGATCAATTGTTTGATTTCGTTTCGTTTCAATGATAAAATTCATTAGTATGTATATCGAGTGTTCTAGACCATCGAATATCTATTCGATTGTTATTTAGTCACATTTTTATTTCTATCTGAATGAAAAGTGTTTCCGATTACAGACGACGACCATTTGGTTACATTCACTCGAGGGTACATTAAACTTTTCCTATATGTGACAAGTGATCGGACTATTTCTTCGTTCCGATCAATCTTTTACCTTCTTTTTTACTAACTAATTTCCGGTTTCTTTTTTCTTCTTAATTTTATGCATTTAAAAAAAAATTCATTTTCTTCTTTTGTATATAATGCTCAACGGAAGAAGTAGTAGAGTGCCGAGGGAATAGTAGAAGAACTTTCTCTAGTTATTTTTCTTGTTCTTGTTCTTCTTCTTCTTCTTTTTTTCATAATCATTGAAAACGAAGCAAGAATGTGCAATTGCATTTTTTTTACTCCTCTCGCGTTACCTATTTAAATTGATATGATGATGCGACTACAGTGGCGGCGGCAAACGACCGAACAACACTAGCTACCTTTTGACTATCGTTCTCTCTTTTTTCAATCGTTATTGAACATACATACATACATATATATATATTGATTGCTGAGGTAAATAGATATAAAGAAAAAAGAAAAAAGAAGTGAGAATAGTGATTGTGTACCGTTGATGTATGTATATAGTTATCAATTCGTTCTATTATGTACTGTCTATTGTAGTCATTGCTACAAAATGAAGAGTTCTACTGATGAACTAAATGAAGTAAGTAAGCAAACAAACAGAATTTAAAAACACATTTGAGTTTTATATTAAATTCAACACATATGATTAGCACGTAACCCTTTTTTTGTAGCACTTCTATAATCGATGAAGCTTATGCACTATTATCACAATATATATATATGTTTAAACACGATGAGCACTTATCAATATAAACAATAAAAAAAAGAAAGAAATAGAAATCATTTTAATTTTAAACCAATTGGATTGAAATCTAAAAAGACTCCTATTGCTTCTATTTCGTAATATCATCACTTGTATTCACTGCTTTGTATGTGTGATTTGTTGTTGCACTTCAACTATAAAAACTAAAGATATCTGGTAATCATCAAATTATCCCTAGACAAAGACAAGTACTCCCTGGATAGTGATTAAGATCAATATACATGTATATATATATACACAGATTGTTTCGTTCGTATAAATATACAAATAACAGGGAAAAATATAGTTTTTTTAGTATTGATCAATCGATCGACCCAATATGTCGAAATACGAATATATATATCTGCATATGACATCGAAAGAGAGAGAGAGAGAGAAAAAAAGCTTTTAGTCGAATTGAGAATTGTACGACTATGTTATCACGCAATCTTATTTCGGACATAATTAGTCACGCTATCGATGATATATATGTGATCGAAAGAGAAGAAAAATTTACTCAACCGAATATATAACATCATTATTAATTGTTCCAATAAAATACAAAAGTTTTTCTTTTATTATTTTATGAAGAGATATTTTATAATGAAATGAAATAAAACTAGACCTTTTGGTAATCTATCACGAACATATTTTGTTCTCTTGAGTTAGAAACATTTAGAAAAAAAAACTTGATTTGATCTTCTCGTATTACATGATGTATGGCACTACATCTATCGCATGCTAAGTAACCTTTGATTACACTATTATTTTTCTTTTCGTTTTTATGATTTGAGAAGTGGAATTTTGAAAATGTCTCAATACGGTAGCAAACAGAAAACGAAGAAAAAAAAAGCGAAAAGAGCGAAAAAGTAAAATGATTTTATATATTCATTCTCTATCGACTCGTCTTCCTGTATTTTTCGTTCTTCTGTCTATTTAATAGTGCCAAACATACATAGACACGTTGCCTCTCTATTCTTTTTCAAGTATTGATCCATGAAATTCAATTAGTTCGAACAAAGACCTCTTCGTTGCCGTTATTGTCATCGTCGTCTGTTTTTCTTCTTTTTACCGTAAAAGCCTTTTGAAGTGTGTTGGTATGTGCACGACAATGTCATCGTCGTCATCATTGTCGTGTAAGCTAGAGGTGAGTCTAACCAGAAGCAGTAAATCCTATTTTTGTTACCCTAGTTATATTTTGCTATATGGAAAAAGAAAATCTATTCCTTTCTCCTTTTATTTTTTTGGGGGGTATATATGTCTCTTATTAACTAATTGAATAGAATAAGCACATATATATATATGTATATATGTCGACACACCTGATGCGCATATGCAACTTAGATCAACACACGCAACATCTCTTATTCTCGTCATCACCAATTGTATAAACAACATTTTTTTTTCGTCTCTTATTTTCTTTCTCTCTCTCTCTCTTAATTGTCGTTACTTGTCGTCTTCCTTCGCATCATTGCTCTTCATTTCTCAATTAGGAAGAACTGTTCACTTCAAGTGTGTCACTCACTTGCTTTTTTTTTCAATCACTCTTTGTTTCTTTCTCACTATTGATCAAAATATAACCAGATTTTCATCACTCATTCATCACTTCGACTATCATATTAGACATAGAGATGACACATGAAACAACAGTCGACAATGGAAGTGCGACTATTAATACGAATACTAGTATCAACAAAAAAGGATTTCGGTCAAATACCGATCAGACACATCTGGTATATAGACGACCGGTATGTGTTTGTATATTTATATTAGAGAAACACTCGATAATAAAAGATAATTCTTTTAATTTTTTTCGTTTTTTAATAATTAATCTTAATGAAATTATGTATATTTTTTATAGGTTCGAACTTTGTTCGTATCTGGCTTACCAATGGATGCTAAACCGCGAGAGCTCTATCTTCTATTTAGAGGATTCAAGGTAAATTATTGATTTAATTAGATTTTTTATAGTGTTTTGATATGAAGTGTTATATTCATGTCACACTTACATAGAAGATATTTCATCTTTCGTCTGTTTTATTTTATTTATTTTTTTCTTATAACATATCGTTTGCATGAATATGATTGACAGACAGTCAGAGAGAAGTGTTAGTCATTAGAGACTTGTCTATCGGCTGATCAAATATACAATTGAATTGGACAAGTATGACCGATATGGTTATCATAGTTCTTTTTTTTTGTTATTTAGGGTTATGAAGGAAGTCTACTAAAAGTAACAAATAAAAATGGTAAAAATTTATCACCTGTTGGTTTTGTTACATTTGCCAATCGTGTTGATGCAGAAACAGCTAAACAAGAACTTACAGTAATGAATAAAATCTTTTCTTATAAAAATAACTTATTGATAATTTAGGGAGTTCGATTTGATCCTGATCTTCCAGCAACTCTTCGTCTTGAATTTGCTAAATCGAATACTAAAGTTCAAAAACCTAAACATCCAACTCAAAATTCATTATCAGCTCAAACACAACAATATATACAAATTCCACGTATATCCTATTACAATAGAATGTCATTTGTGATGAATTTATATTGTTTTCTTTTAGAAGAACTAGGCGCCGCTTTCTTTCCTACTGAAGCTTGGGGTCAACCATTAACATTCGATTTAGGACCAGCTGGTCTACATCATCCTGCACTGTTACATACTACTCTTCATGGACCACCAATGGTACGTTTAATTGATTAATAAAATTTTCATATATGTCTATTAAAATCACGCAAATTTCCTTCGTATATATTATTTAAGTTAATAAGCTGATTTTGAGTATGTAAGTATCGATGGTTCGAAAAACAAAATAAAAAAAGTATTTTAAAACTAAAAATCAGTATCAAACAGACAACAAATCTCTCCACCTTATTAGCCAATCGATCACTGACCACTGGCACAATTAGTGTCAATTTGTTTTCATTTTTCTTACTTTCATATTCGACACAGCTCCAAATAAACAACATATTCACATACACGCGCGCGTATACACTATTTAAACAAAACAACAATAAACAACTGAAATAAATAATATGACACATAGGAGCGTATAAAGAAGTTTATTTAGTATATCTCACTCACTACTTTTACTTTTTTAATATTTTTTATGCGTGTGAATGATCAACATGGAAAGACAAAATATATATGTATATTTGTCTCTTATTTTTTCCATCTTTTCTTTATCAATCGTTGGTCGATGCGCGTGCGCATATTTATATCTTATTTTCCTATTTATTCTAATGCACAAATTTGCTTGTTACACTATATCTTTGCACATATATTGATTCATTGATATTTATTTTTGATTCTTTTGCAAATATAGGGTATGGGTCATCCAATGCAAGCAACAGCAGGTATGACACAATTACAACAATCAAATCAATCTATAAATCTTGCAACAGCTAATGGACAATTGAATGGTGGTTGTTCAACATTATTTTTAACTGGATTTCCTGAACATGATTTTAAAAATATGTCATTTGCTTTGTAAGAAAACATAAGTTTTAATTAAGTAAAATTTAGTTTTTCTTTTTGTTTTTGTCAAATTGTTGAGGCCGGGCAAAGCTCTTTGACAATCAGCGTGTGATTCACAGGATGACTCGTCTTCACCCTCATCTACTACATCAATAAATGAAAAACAACAAGTCCTTTCTGCTCTTAGTAATCAACAACAACAACAACCAGTGACTTTTGCTGATCTCGTTGAGAAACAACAATTACTGCTCAAACGTTCAATGGATGAAAATCTATCAACATCAGACAATGATATAAAACGTTTACGACGTCAATGATCAGTTTTTCATATTTTTCTCTCTCTTTCGTTTTTCTTTCGTCTTTTACCTATTCAACCAATGTTTCTGCTTATCCAACAGTGATAATACATTCAGTCTCATGTTGAATCACGAACGCTTCCCAATTGATTCTTGTTCATGGTTTCTTCTTTTTCTAACCTTCATTTTCATTTTCTTTTTCCAGAATAATCTCTTGATGTGTGTGCATGTGTGTATGAGTGTTTTTGTTCAATTTTTTCTTTTTGATTTTGTATATTGTATGTAAGGCGCCATTCGTATGGGCATTTATTCATAAACATGTAATTTTACTTTTTTTGCTCCGTCCATTTGCGCGCTGCATTTTGTTGATTTTCTTTGTATTTGTCGAGCCTAAGAGATTTTTGTTTGTTTGATTTGAATAAGTTTTTTTTTCTTTTTGCGCAAAAAAAATAAAAATAATAATAATAATAAAAACTATTTAGTAACTCTGAAGATTATTACGAAAAGAAATTGAAGTTGAAAATTGTTAGTTGATTTAATGGAATATAAAAATAACTTAGATAATGATTTTATTGTTTGATGTTATTGTTAATAAATTGGCTTCTGTTTGTGCACGTGAAAGTTTTGTTAATAATAATATAGAATCAGGCAGTTTGTTATTTATAATTGATATAAGTATATTGAAATCTTATGATTTTCATATAGTTCATGACTTTTTTGTGTTACGACGAAAATGTTTTTTAAGCATTATCTTACGAATAGCCCATGGTAATAGTTCGTACACTTTCGATTGATGAGTTAGTTCTTTCCATCGATCAAGAGTTTGTTGATCAAGTGAAGATCGACGTCGGAGACTAGTTCTTGTTTTATTTATATCCGGTTGATATTCGGAATAACTATGAGCACGATTGACATTATTATTTGTCCAAGGAAAAAGTGTATCATATGTTATTCGATGATTTCGATTAATCGTAGCTAATTGTTTTTCAATATGACGAACACGTAGATCTTCAGCATGTATAAAACGATCTTTTGTATTTGTACCTAAATACATATCCCAAAGTCGATGACGATTTTGTTTATTTGCTAATTCTTCTATAAAAGAATAACATACAAAATGTTGGATCATAAAACAATTCTACCTAAGATTTTCTTTGTATTATAATCATCATGCAAGTTTTGAGTAAGAAGTTTTGTACGACGTTGTTCGAAATCTTCTCTTTCTTAGGAACGACTTGATACTTGCATTACTAAGGTTAATATAATACCAATTGAATACCAAAAAAGAACAATGATAATATAGATCATAGCACCATTAGTATCATAATCATTATGAGATACTTCAACACCAATCGTAATATTATCTTTCATTGTGTTATTCAACCTCATATTTCAAACCATCTATGCTACTGGTATAATAATTGTTTTTAGATTTTAAACATGTAAACACACCTGTATGCATTAAGAAACAGTTATTATTCGTAGATATTGTTCTTTGCGTATATGAAGAAATATACGTTGGAGAATAATATGAAGAACGAATATAATTAATGTATATGTTTCTATTGAATAGAAGTTAATTTATACATATGTAAATGATTGAATCTATTAATATTCAGAATAACATAAAACAAGCGTAGATCGAATGACCTTAATTAACTGTAATATAAAAAATATTATAAAATTTGTCTATATCGCATCTGATAAATTTAATTCAATCTTGTGAATTAAAAGCTTATATTACAAATTATTGATTCTAAGGACTTAAAAAAAATTATGGTGATTGTTTACATGCTTGTATTTGGTACTTTGTTACCTTTGTTGACAGAACAAAACATAATTTGAATTTATATGATAATTTATTAGAAAATTCAGAAGCGTTTTAAAATGTCTTCATTTGAAATTAGTAAAAACATATTTCTATTTCTTAGTATGTAGAAATTTGAAACTAAATTTTGGTTGAAAGGGTGACACCTTCAGTTTTAGATATGAAATCTCTTATGTGTATCATCCTTAAATCAACAATGATATGACTTATTTCTTATAAACATCAACTAGTTGTGTCGATTCTCTATCACAAATGACTTTATACAAATACTATTGCTTTTTAAATCTATTATTATTCAGTTATATTCAATATCTTTCGGCATATCCATGTTATGTATGTTCACCAATACATTTTAATTATTCAATTACAATCGATAATTTTCCTTCACCCACTGAACATGATTGTAACATAATAACAGCTGAGACAGGATGTTTTGTACGTGTTTTTTGGAATAATAATGAAACAACCGAAATCACTTATGGTACAAATCTTGGTTTTCCACATGATAGTGTTCGTGTAGAAATAGGACGTGGAGTAAATACATTATCAAATCTACACACTACTGAAGTACAAATTGCTTTTATTTGTGGTTCTTCAGATTCAACACCTTGTAATACTGTTGAAAATTTAAAACGTAGTTTTATATCTACGACATTGCCTACTGAAAACAAAATCAGGGAATATGATGAACTTCTTATTCCAACGCAAACATTCAATAGTAATTTATGTTATGAATTTAGTAATATGACAGATCTTTGTCCTCAAAAAGATTTAGACGATTGTCGAAAATGTTTCATAGTTATCGAATATTCACAAAAAACAGATATTTGCGCTACATGTCCATCTGGTGAATTTGAATGGAATAATTTTCGATACAGTACTATGTTTTTACTCCAGAATCGAACTCGATCAGATTCAATATTTTTAAGATGTCAATCGGGTATTAATTGTAATTCAATAAATAATATAGAAAAAATTCAACAAAATTTAATGGCAGAATTTGATTTTGATAAGTTTTTTTATTCGTCAACATCAACTATCATTTATTCGACAACGTCGCCTATCATTCATTCGACAACATCAACTAACATTGATTCGGCAACATCAACTATCAAATTATCCTTCATACTATTATTATCATCATTATACATTGGATTATTTCATTTATTTTAATACAACGACAAACTTTTTCTATTAATATTCGAATGATGATCTATTGATAAATAAAAACATGAACTAATTTATTAAATACAGAAAGTGTGAAATACGAGAAGAACTTTCATTAATAATTAATCACGGAACGATTATTTTATTGACGAGAATATGACTTCTATTTCAACTCTTAAATACTATTAGTATATTATTGAAAAATGAGTATTAGCTGTTTATAATTTGAAACTATGTAGATGATAACCACATTTATACATTTAATCAGCGCCAGAATAGATATGACAAAGTAATTCAATTTAGTATTTACATTCTACATATACTCAATAAGATTAGATAGATCAAGAATATTAATAATTGAAAACTATCTTTGTAAAATATCACGAGATCATGAATATTTTATTCAACACGTTGTAATCATCTATTTTAGTAATCGTTTATTTGATATTGCTCAGAAATATTCATACAATGTCTATTCAGAGTTAAACTTTTATATCGGTTTATTAAAAACGACAAGCAAAATATTATGTAAGACTTTAATCTCTTTTAAATAGGAATATATAGCTAATGTACATTAGAATATAACAATAATTTGATTATTTTTTAATTTCCGCTCTTGTTTAATATGATTTAGATCATTTAATAATGACAACTGTTACAAAAGAAATATTTTTAGTTATTTGATTAAGTGCATTGATCCGAATGTGATTCTTCGTATTTCGATCATTTTCAAAGATAAAAGTAATTTATTACATTTGAATTCATGTATGAAGTTAACCTAATTCAATTACTCAATCACAGCTGATACAATTTTTTTTTCTTCTAATGTATAAATGATTATATTGTAAATTCGATTAACATATGCAGCTATACAAACGTTGTTTAGTTCTCTAATAGAACAAACTATGTATTTCATAATACAAATATGTCTTTCTTATCTAAAAGCATCATGACAAGGACGACACTTGCAGTAAAATACAACTGACGCACTTTTAAGTAACAAAATTGATTACATATAAATGTATATTGTCGACAGAAATTCTTTTCAATGTTTATAAGTGGCGCAAGACAAATTTCCTACGGAAACAATTGCGTATATTAATTTACTCATATGTCATTCATGTCTATATCCGTACTAAAATGCTACTTGATTATAATGTATCATATATGTATCAAACTTAACAAATACGAGACTATTCCAGGAAGTAATCGTTTCCTTTTATAATTACCAGTACTGATAATTTAACACATAGCACTATATTATCTTGAATGAATTAATAGAACACAATCGACTTCATGGACCTTTTTTTTATTAATAGTTCACGTTTCACTTATTCGAATATAATACATAGATATGCTAAAAATAATGTAGTTAATTGTAAGAGATACACAATTTCTCTTGAGTATTCTCAATAAACAACTACGCATACTAAGTTATTACCTATCAGACCATAGGTCTATAATATCAAGAGCAAAATGAAATCTTAGCTATACTCTTTATTCGCCTACAATTTATTTTTAGCAGTATTAATTATATATCTACTTGATAGGAATGATGAACTAAAATTATGATATAATTAACGTAATAAATGATCTCGATAGACAACGGTAATCTTTTTTCCTGGGTATTTTCAAATGAAAGTAATAAATATAATTACTATTATGACGTTGAAAAATTACAGACCATCTGTCAAAGATCTACTAGAAAATGAATGTTAATCTGATTTGTTACTTTTTCTTTCCAATCAAATTCATTCTATTCTCCTCTATGATGAATATTTTTACGATCTGTATCGGCTTTAATTGGTTCGTTTGTTTTTATGTTGATGTTTATTTGTCTTTCCTTTTTTAGAACTCTTCATTCAACCGACACATATTATTGTATTGGCTGCCATTTTTTAAGTACATTTTTTTGTAAAAAAAAGACAAAACAAAACTTATGGCAACAACAAAAAATTCAAGTGAAAACTTTAGTATGGATGAGTTTGATGCACTTTTAGCTCAACTTGGTCCTGAAGATCTTGATAAAGTGAATGATATAATCGATCCAGAGGTAAAACATTAAAAATTCCTATTTTCTTGTTTTTTTTGAGAATTTTTAATTAATTTAGAATTCATATTTACCAGCAAGTGACCGTTGTAAACAACAAACAGCTAAAACTGAAACTGGTCCATATGATCGCACTAAACTTCTTGAATTTCTTACTGAACAAGGCAAAAATGAAAAAGATTGGGATCATATTAAATCATATGTTCCAGGTGAAAAAAAAGGTAAAGTTTGGCAAGCACCACCTGTTGTTAAACCAACACAAGCAGAAGAAGATGAGTTCATGGTTTCAACTGAATGGGATGATGTATTAACAAATGCAAGTGAATCAGAAATAGTTGAACTTGCTGGTTTGTTATTGATGAGATTTAATTTATAAAATTTAATAATTTGTTTTTAGCTATACTTGGTTTTACGGGTTTAATTAATCAAGTACAATATCATGCAGCATTGAATGAAAAAGGTTTACCATCACATTCAGGCGGATGGAATGGTAGGATATAAATGAAATGCAAAATTATATTATTTTGTTTTGTTTTTATTAGCTGCTGCTAGAAGTGAACCATTAAAAATTCTTCCACCTGAACCAGATAATACAACAGATGTTGAAGATTGTATTAAAAAAGCAAAAGCAAATGACAGTGGTTTTACTCGTATTAATATAAATAATATTAAAGAAGTTAAACCTGATGTACTTAAAGAATTACTTAATTCATTAAAAGACAATACATATGTACAAACTCTTGAAATGGCTAATGTTGGAATGACAGATAGTGTTGGTCGAGTATGTGTTTATTAATTAAATAATAAAGAATAAAAAAAAACATTTTCTTTTATTTATTAGGTACTCGCAGAACTTCTTGAAGCAAATTCAACATTAAAAACTGTTAATGCTGAATCTAACCGTTTAACGGGCTTAGTTGTTAGTGAAATTGTACGTGGTACATTAAAAAATCAAACATTACTTGAATTACGTTTATCAAATCAAGTAAGTAAACATTCGATACAGAATTTCTTTATAATGACCCGGATATTCAGTTATCAATCATTCCCATATGAACTATATCACGAATGTGAATCTATTTAATACATTATTTTATCTTATATCGATTGAATAATTGATTATGCAGAACTCCGAAAATTATCATATGTCATTTTTACTAAAAAAACAAACGATTAATAATCTAGTTTTCTTGAGATTCATACATATCAAATTTCAACTTTATTTTGTGTATTATCATTGTAAAATAATCTACCCTAATGAAAATTGACTAAAATATGGTCAAAAAAGGTGCGCTCGAAATTTGGACTTTACGACTTAATGGTATTTCAATGTTTAACTCCATGTTTTTTTTTTCTTGAAGAACACCGGTCGACTCAGAGTATCTATATGAGTAATCAGAAACAGACGGTTAAAGTTCTGAGCTGAGATCTTCGGTGAAAACTAGACATCCATAAACTCCAAATTTCGAGCTCACTTTTATTGACCCTAAAATATTTATTTGTCGACTGTTTTAGTTTTACTATAATAAAATCTTTTTTTTGAATAACTTAACATTCACGGAAGATAAGCCGATAGGATTTTTATATGTAAGAAGGTATCGATGTTACAATACAAGTGATCATATGGATTATACTCTATTTTATGCTAATGAGTGCGATGTATTTTTATACAAGGTCAGGAAGTCAAGTGTATTGAATACTTAAGAATGTATTCATTTTTGAAAGCACTTGATTATTCAAAAGATCTGACAGATAATTTCTTTTTAGCGTTCTCAAATACTTGGCAATCGAGTTGAAATGGAAGTAGCTGATGCTATACAAAAAAATGATGCACTTCTTCGTTTAAATTTACAATTTGATACACTTGGACCACGTGTACGTGCTACGGAAAAACTTAAACAAAATTTAGATGCTCGTAAGAAATTTCTATTAATAATTTATTCAAATAAAGCTTTTTTTGCCCTTCAATTTTAGTACGCAAAAAACGTTTAGCTAATAACAATCAATAAAACATTATACATATTATCTTTATTAGCCTTTACATTACTGGCAATCTCATTATCCTGTTTTGTTTTTTTTTTACATTTGAAATGGTGCTGATTTTGATTGGTATTTCCTTTTTACATAATATTACAATGAGCAAAAATGAAACACAAAAAAAAAGATAATCATCTAGTCAACACCATCAATACAATAAAATCCATTATACCTTTTTTTCCAGATTTGATTGGTTTTTTTCCTTTATGAATTAAAAAAAACCTTTTTTTTGTAACATACAAAATATTTGTGTGTATATTAGTCATTTATTTGTAATCCTTCCTGTTTTGGTCTGATCTTTTTTTTCTTTCTCGTAGAATTTATTTAGACAACCTAAATAAAATTAAATACGTAGTTTGATCTTTTTTTTTCGTTTTCAGATATGATCTGTCTTCATGGATTAATTTCTTCACTAACAATTTTAGATTTATTGAACTTTTTTTTCATGAGTATAAGTATACATATATATATTATTCATATAATTTTTCCAGCTGTATTAATAATAATTACTTCTTGTTATTCTAGTTTTAGTTATAACATTTCTTTCAGGAAGATTGATAATAACTGTTTCATGAGAACAAGAAAATTGGTTTTGTTTATGTTGTTTCTCCTTTTATTTTCATGCCCAAGGTTAAGTTATTTACGCATAAAAATATTCTCTTAAGATCGTTTTTTGTCAGCTGGATGTTTATACAAATAAATTGTTTTTTAATCAAGATAGATATGACAGAAATATGAGTCAATTTCAACTTATCGGATTATAATTTAAGTATCAAATGATCATCATCGAGATTACTGGAAGAGTTTATAGAATAAGCTAGTCATTGTATCTGTATATTGTTGTTTTATTTTTGTAGATGAAGCTTGTAATTTTATTATTTCTTTTATTAATTGTACAAGTTGATCTTCGTCAACAAAATGATAATGACAATAGATCTCAAGTAGACAATCTTATTAATAATTATAATCATCATCATAAAAGTCATTTAAATAAAGAAGATCTTACTGATGATAATCAAAAATCTCCTTCAACATTTCAACGTGAAAAAAAATATTCATCACGTAAAAAAGTTCTTGATGAAATTGATACTGGTGATGAACCTGAAAAACCTTTACGACGTACACATTCATCAAAATCAAATAATCAAACTGAATTATCAGATATAATAAATCATGCAACACAAAAAATGAAAACAACAACAGAAAATTATGCTGAAGAAGCATCATTATGTATTAATGAATTTGATGTTAAAACCGAAACATTAGTTAAAGTAAAAGAATTAAAAAATGGTGCACATATGATACGATTTGTACGTATTGAAGAACCATCATCCTCTCATGGTCTTGATATAAAAGATATTTGTATGCTAAATTGTTGTGTAGAAAAAACTTGTGATTTAGCTATGCTAAGTGAACAACGTACAAATGTAAATAACTTCATTTTATATATATTTTTTGATAATTTTTGTTGATTCTAGGATGGTTTTAAATGTTATTTATTTGCTTGTAATGGTAGTTGTACATATGCACCACATGGAGATTATACAAGTATGATATTAAAAAAAGATTCATCTTCTGATGATGAAACAACAATATCAAATAAACAATCGAAGACAAATGAAAAAATATCAGATGCATCATCATCAACAATTTGTAAGTTATAATTTTTCATTCTTTTTCTTCTTCTTGTTTTTTCTTCTGTAATTAATTCAAACTTTCATAAACTCGATTGATATAGCTACTACTTGTCGAAGTTCTGAATTTTCGTGTCGAGATGGAAGTTGTATTCCATATTATGATGTTTGTAATTCATATGAAGATTGTCCATCGGGTATTGATGAAGCGATGTGTTCACCGGGTATATAATTAATATTGTGTTTGTGATTGTTGTTGTTGTTGTTGTTGTTAAATGTTTTTTGAATTTGATTTCCTGGAATTTTGTATTATCAATCTTATTAGAGTTTACTGCTCATCAACGTACACAACAAGAAAATCGAAAGAAACCTTCAACAGTAGATATTGATAGTGAAACAAATACAGATCTTGATGAAGTTCTTGATGAAATCGGAGATGAAGAATCAGTAACAACAAAATCAACGCCGATAAAAACTATTGCGAAGAGTACTAGTACTCAATCATCAATATCAAAAAGCAAATCGAAAAATCGAGAAGGCATGAATTTTAATTTTGTTTTTCATATAAATGATTGAAATGTATTCTTTCAGATGAAAAACAAAATAAAAATTCAACGACATCTTTTCTGTATAATATTGATCTTGATACACAAGATCGTGTATCAAAATTACAAAAACTCAAAGAGTATTTAGAGGAAACAAAAGGTCCTGAAGCATGGTATCATTTATTTCAAACATTAGTTCAACATCAACAACAAGATCATTCAAATATCGAACCAGAACAAATTGGTTCATCATCATCAAATGATGAAGATAATTTTCAAGATCATTTATTAGCATTAGAACAACAATGGATAGCTGATCGACAAAAAACAACAACAACGACGACAACGACAACTATGAAACCAAAATTTATTAGTCGAAAAACCATAACAACCACAACAACAACAACAAAAGCAAGTCGACGAATGAAAACTAATAATGAAAATGATCCAAGATTACAAAGACCATCACCTATTATTGATGATGAAGTAACAGATGATGAAGAGGATGAAGGTGGTGATGATGGTGATCGATACTATTGGCAACCCACATATGATGATCGTCGTGGAAATCGTTATAATAATTATCCACAAAAAACTAAGAGTACATCTACAACAAGAAAACCAAGAATAAAATATCCATCAAATAATCGAGATAGTACTATGACAACATTATTACGAGGTAGTTCGATGTTGTAACTGTTTGCTTCTCTATTGCTTTATAGTTTTGATTATATTTATTTCTTTAAACTATGCTACAAAAATAATAAATACCATATATATATCTTCTTATTGTCTTTTTAGCCAACGGTATTGAGCCAGATAATTATTCTCATACAAGATCATTTATACGTGAATCAAGTGTTATTTTATTACTTCTTCTTGGTCTTGTATTTACAATTATATTACTTGTTCTAGTCGGTTTTTATTGCCGAGATTCATGGAAACATGGTCGTATAATAAAAAGTCGTTCAACAGATGCTGATTATTTAATTAATGGGCTTTATTTATAATTTGAAGAAAAACAAAACAAAAACGCACAAGATCATATTATAGTTATTGCTTCTATTTTTTATTGCTGTTGTTGTTGTTACTATTATTATTATTAAAGAAGATTAAAATACTCAAAAATTCCGTTTGTTTCCGTCTTTTAAATGTGCATCTCTTGATATTAATTATTGACAAAAGTTCTGAGCCTATATCAAATATATTTATGTATGTGTACATTTCATTTCTGTTTCTCAATTCTACTATTTTATTGACAAAAAACATTTTTTGTTACACACGAATCTATTATTTATCATACTGTCATTTATTTTTTCTCTCTCTTCTGTTGTCTCATATTGTTAAAAAAAATAACTTAATGTATAAGAAAACAAAACAATCTATAACAATATAAATAAAAATCCTTTTTCCTTATGTTATTTTACTATGTTTTACATTTAAATAATGAGTTAACAGAATAGCTGTATTCATTGATGAATTTTATAGTATTGCGTGTTAGAAAAATTAATTCAGTATACATATTTGGATTAAAGAACATTATGACTGATCATGAGATGATTCTCTAATTTATTAGAATGTCTCATGATTATTATATTGTTCTCAAAATTGATTTATTGATTACCATCCCACATCTATTTATATATCTAGAAAAAAAACATTTTGTTTGAATTAGTCGTTTTATAATTACGAAAGTGATTATAGACGAATTCTTTCAAACATAATCTTCGTATCTATTACAATAGTTCAAGTTTTGTATAACAATTTCTAACAGTATAGATATGTATCAATACCTATTTAATCGATTTTTTTATAAATTTATAGATGATTCCTCGACGTTTTACTCGTTTGTTGTTCTTAGCCTTTTTTCTTATTATGGTCGTTATTCTATACTCAATGCTACAATCAATCAATACAAATCGTGGTGAACAACAGGTTAGAAACAAATGATAGGTGAATGTATTATTTTAATGCTTCGTTTAATTCCTTTTAGAAACCTGATGAAACAAAACTTGACAAACGTCTAGATGATCTTGAAAAAACAATTAAAGGTCTTGATAAATCAATGGATGATGAAGATAAAAAACGTAAACAACGACCAATACCACCGCCACCAATACCGCCAGCACAACCAGATCATATAGAATCTGAAGTAAAAATTCCGATAGAAAAACCACCTGCCAAACCTACTGAAAAGAAAGAACATGTTGGTGCAAGTAGTCGATGCGAGTGGCGAGAATCTTCGCCATCTAAAACTACATTTGAAGTAAAATATTTCAAATTATTTAATATTTTCAAAATTTTCTCTTATTTCACATAAAGATACGTCAATTATATGAAAGTCTGCCTTTTAATGATGAAGATGGTGGTGTATGGAAACAAGGATTTGATATTGAATATAAACCAACACAATGGTCATCAAATGATAAATTAAAAGTAATTCTTATGCCACATTCTCATTGTGATCCAGGTATAGAATAATTATAATAATGATAAAGAAAAAAATCAACATCGAAAATTTTGTTTAGGTTGGCTTCATACATTTGAAGGATATTTCAATCAAGCAACAAAACAAATCATCGATACAGTGATAACAATTCTTGATACAAACAAAAAATATAAATTTATCTGGGCTGAAATGTCTTTTTTAAGTTTATGGTGGGATCAAGCATCATTAGATCAACGTCGATTATTAAAAAAAGTTGTTCATAATAAACAATTAGAAATTGTTACTGGTGGTTGGGTAAATAGATAAAAATTGACAAAAAAAATATATACATAATGAAAACTATTCTATTGAAGGTGATGAATGACGAAGCTAACACACATTATTATGCCATGCTTGACCAACTTATTGAAGGACATCAATTTATTGAAAATACTCTAGGTTTGTAATCAGAATAATAAAATTTGAGCATATTAATTTCACCTGCATCGACTCAACATCCTTTCATAAGAAATACATTCCTAACTATTTTCTTTACAGGTAACATTACAGTTCAAAGTGGTTGGGCTAATGATCCATTTGGTTATTCCCCAACAATGGCTTATTTACTCCACGGTACTGGTATGCAGTATATGGCCATTCAAAGGTAAATACGATTAAAATAATATATATATGTAATAATAATTTCTATTTAGAGTTCATTATCATATAAAAAAAGCATTAGCTAAAGAAAAACAATTAGAATTTGTTTGGCAACAAACTTGGGGTAAATTTAAAAAAAACAGTTCTATTCGTTTACAATAATATTCTATTTATAATTATAGATCGAGATGCCTCAACCAGAATTTTTACACATGTTCTTCCGTTTTATTCCTATGATGTTCCACATACATGTGGTCCTGATCCAAAAGTTTGCTGTCAATTCGATTTTAAACGAGCAGCTCGTTCGACTGTCAATTGTCCATGGGGAATCGATCCTGTACAAATAACTGAGGAGAATGTTCGAGAAAGGTAAATTATAATAATTTTCATTCATTTATTAATCTTTTCTTTTCTAGAGCTGAAACATTACTTGATCAATATCGGAAAAAATCTCAATTATATAAAACAAATGTTGTATTTGTTCAATTAGGTGATGATTTTCGTTATACAACTATGGATGAAGCAAAAAATCAATTTGAAAATTATGATCGATTATTTACATATATGAATAAACAATCCGAATGGAATGTTGATGTAAGATATATTGTTATTTAGTTTTTAATGCAATAGATATTTCATATATAATAAAGATAATTAGGCTCAATTTGGTACATTAAGTGATTATTTTGAAAAACTTTTACAACAAACACCTCAAACACAATTTCCAAGTTATATGGGAGATTTTTTTACATATGCTGATCGAACTGATCATTATTGGAGTGGTTATTTTACTTCAAGAGCATTTTTTAAGCGAATGGATCGAATTGTTGAATCTTATCTTAGGTAAAAAAAAAAGATCTTTATATATGCAGATTCAATGAACACTTTAGATCAAAAGATAAATAGATTTCGTTAGATAATTTCCGATAGAATTGAATTTTCTTTTATGAGATAATAATTGAATTAGTATGTAGGAGAAAAAAAATTGGAAAATCATAGTGTCAAATAACCTTCATTTTTGTCTCCCTTGATATATATAGATATTGATTGACAAAGAATTAGAATCATTCATTCTTCTTGATTATAGATAGCATGAGTTCTATGAATCAAATTATCGATAGATTCAAATCAGACATGTCTATAGAGACGTGACAGTAACAAGTTAGCTTGTTTTTTTTTATGGAATAGAGATTGATGATCACAAAATCAAATGAAATCATGAATTTATATAATTAATCATATTTTCTTTTATTCGAATCTACCTTGAAAATAATCAAAAGATTTTATCTATTATAATAAATCTATTGCAATATAGCAGACATAATAAACAACTGTAATTCAAGAAGAGTTTGAGATATGCTTTTTGTTTTATTCGATCAGCTAAATAGCTGTCAGTCTATAAATAATAATCAAACGAACTGAAATCGGATATCTAGTTGAAAACTTTCAGGATATATTCTTATAAATATTAACCTTTTGATTTTAGAGCGAGTGAAATACTTTTTTCTTTGGCAAATGTTAAAATGCTTGAAGAAAATAGTAATAAGCAATTTCCGAAAGATGATCTATTTAAAGAATTAGTTAAAGCACGAAGAAATCTCGGTGTATTTCAACATCATGATGGTGTTACTGGTACAGCTAAAGATCATGTTGTTAATGATTATGGACTAAAGTATAAAATACAAAAACAAATTTCTCTTTTTTAACAAAATATTGTTTTTCTATAAAAGACTTCAAACAGCTATAACATCATCACAGAATGTAATGGAACAATCAGCTGCTTATCTTATTTATCAAAATAATTATACATCTAAAATTGATCTATTGTTATCAAATATAGAATTTAAAACATTTGAATCACTACCAACAAGAAAAGTTCTTTCATTAAATAATCAACAACAACCATCTAAGTAAATTTTCAAGTAATATTTAATATTAATTCTTAGTTTTTATTTTTATATAGAAGTATTTATGTTTATAATCCAACTGATCAACGACGTACTCAAATTGTTAAAATTGTTATCGATACATATCAAGTGTATGTAACTAGTAATAAACAAATAATAAAATCCTGTCAAATTGATCCCAAATGGACAGGAAGAAAATCAAATATGATAGAAAAAAGTCTCTTTGAAGTAAAATTAATAAATCTTTATTTATTTATTCACTCACGATATTCTTTTTTTTAGCTTCTTATTCTTGTTGATATAGAATCCTATTCTTTAAAAGAATATACAATTCATACAAGTAAAACTCAAGAATCATGTCCGTTAACAACTATTGAATATCTAAATGAAAAAGAAAAATCTATGGATACATCTGGGTAAATAAATTTTTTTATTTTATTTGAAAAAATACATTTTATTCTATAGACCGTTTAAATTTGAATTAAATACTCAAGAAACTATTCAATTAAATAATCAATTTCTTTCAATAAAATTTTCGAAAAATGGCACATTGAATAATATCGAATATTTAAAAACGAATAAAAAATTATCCTTTCAAACAAATGTTATTCATTATGGTACAACAAAACAAGCCGATCATAATAGTGGAGCATATTTATTTTTACCTGATGGAGAAGCAAAAAATATTCCCCCTGGTCCTCATGATCTTATACGTATTCAACGTGGTCCATTAATAAGTCGAGTTGATATTCTACATGAAATCTATGGATTACAATATAAATTAACAAATATAAATGGTTAAATTTAATTGCAAACAAACAAAAATATAATTTCGAATCTTTTTTTTTGTTTAGGTTCGGATGATCATGTTGTTAAACTTAATGCGATAACTCATTTAAATATGAATAATGATATTGAATTAGCATTGAGATTTACAACTGGAATTGAGAATGGAAATGAATTTTTCACAGATCTTAATGGATTTCAGGTAATACGAGAAAAAGTTTTTAACAGAGTGACAATGAGAAAAGTATGTATGTTATTTTGAAACAGCTGCTGATCGAGAATTTGTAATATAAATAATAGAACTAAGGTCAGATAAACATCTATAATTTATAACATTCTATATGATCCTATTAAAAGATATGCTGAGATATTTTTAGGATTTACTCGTATACATTTGATTTCAATCAAAGTATTTGTTATCAATATTTATACATGATTAAAAACGAGGAATGATAGACTGTAGTGTTTTATCTAAATCTACTATTCTCTACTGAATCTGTTAATAAACCAAGGAAAAAAAAGGAACTGATTAATTTCCTGTAAGGAACTAACAATAGTATTAGCTTGAACTAATTAGTTTAACATGTACTACTATTAATAACGGCGGTATATATTTTTGAATCCCGTTGAGATGCTGTTAACAACTTTTTTTCAAAAATATCTATCCTATTATTTGCTTTGAATAGCTAACGTCACTATGAGTTTTTACCTTGACAGTATTCTTTGTTTTCTATAAAATTCCCAAAGGTAATGATTTCTAACAAATTGTTATTTCAGTATATAAAACATTTATACAATTTATCAATATTTGAATTAAATAAATCTAAGAATTTTTTCGCTTTCTTTATATAATATAGACAATTCGACGAAAAACTTACAGTAAATTACCATTACAAGGTAATGTTTATCCAATGCCAGCTATGGCTTATATTGAAGATGCTCAGATGAGATTTACAATTGTATCTGGTCAACCATCTGGTGTAGCTTCTTTAAAATCTGGTAAGAATTATCATTTTTTTCGTCTTGTAATTATAAAATGTTTTATTTTCTTTGTAAGGTGTTGTCGATGTTTTTCTCGATCGACGTTTACTACAAGATGATAATCGTGGTTTAGGACAAGGTGTAACAGATAATCGAGAAATTATCAGTAGTTTTAAACTAATATTTGAACCACGTCATACTGTTGACCGAACATCATTAACAGGTTATCCAACACTTTTAGCCCATCATCATTCAACTGAACTTCTATATCCTATGCATATCTTGCAAGTAATGTCCAAATTAAATACTCAACGAAATGAACTTAATTTATTTCCGAAATCAAATTTATTTCCAAGTGATTATCATTTAGTTAATTTACGTACATTAAATGAAAATCGTGATGATTCAAAATATGGTTCATCAAAAAATATGGCATTAATTTTACGAAGATTTGCTTATGATTGTGATGGAAATTATGATAATTTATTTCATTTTGATAAAGTAAATATTTGATTGATGGCAAAGAAAAAAAAAGTTTATTTATTTCCTTTGTTTTATTTTAGCCGACATTTGAAGATTTTTTTCAAGCAAATCAAATACAATCTGTTGAACAGACATCATTATCATTGCGACATGTACAAAATCAATTAACTGTGACATCAAAAATTGATGTGCCAATAGCTGAGATTATGACTTTTAAATTAAAAATGAAATAATTTTGTTTTGTTATTAATGTTTTTGTTTTTTTTTTTTTTGTTTTTTTCCTATGTAAAAGAGTTTAGAATGCCTGAAATCTTAATACTCAAAATGGAATAGGTATTTTTTTTTCTCTATTTCTATGTGATACACATTTTTTATCTTCTGTATTAATGCATGTCGAGTTGAATAACGATAAATTTTCGTTGCTTATCGTTCACATTCTAAATACTGTTGATTTATTTCCTGGAATACAATAAATAAATGAAATATAGTGTGACCATTCTATCTAGTCAATAAGATGATGCTAAGAAGAAGAAGAAAAAAAGAAGAAGAACAAGAAAGAAAAAAAGAAGTTATTGACATATCATGAAATGAATCTAGACAAAAATTATTTCTGTCATTCGAAGTAGAATTATTAGAATTTCTTTTTTCTTTTCCTATTAGTTCGGAGTTGTGTATGTTCGCATTTGTATTACTTCTATTTAATAATAACTATACCGGAAAACCATACCAGGTAATAAATGACGAATATAAAAGCATTAGTAATGTCTGCACTGCATAGAATGTCGAGAGTCTGCTCAACAGACCACAATATCCGTTTGGTTATATATATTTATATATAATATATGAGATATTTAAAGTAAACCAATGCGCTGTATTTTTTTGGGAAGTTGTATATATAGATAAATAAGTAGATATATAATTATATGTATTTCCATCATTCTATAGTTATTCATCTGGCCATAAAATAATCGATCTCAGCAAAAAAAACAGACAGTAATGGTAACATTGATGACTTAGTGTCAGCAGTATCTGTGAAATGCTTGTTTCTTCGCTTCTCTTCTTCTTCTTCTTTTTTTTTTCTTTTTTTTTGCTTATTGTTTGTTCGGATTTATAGTAGAAACAAAATCGTTTTTGCTCTCCTTCAAGAAGAGTAATAATAAAATGTCTATTGAGGATGACAGAGTGAAGAGAGAAATTTTTTGTAAGTGTATGCTGCATAAAAAGAAAATATGTTGAACAGAAGTGTTTAGCAAAGAAGACGGCTCTTTTAGTAATTTGTTTATTGCATATAACGGTAAGTCATCAGTAAAACTAGCGAGAAGAAAAAAAACGAGAAAAAAAAGAAGAAAAAAAAACTGAAGTCTTAAGATAGAAAATATATATATACACGCAATAAAAAAAACATGACAAACGACATCAATGATAGAAGGGAAACTTAAAGGTATAATGCCGACATGAAAACTAAACGCTACTATCTTAATAGAACAAAATAATAATAACAACATTACTAACTAAGAATAAGCGTAAGTGGCACTACTTCTTATTTTCTTTCTCTTGAAATATCAAGATGCTTGTAATCTATTAGAATGCCATCTGCTAGAAAAAATCACTTTGACCAAACCAGAGAAGAGAGTAGTGTAATATGAATCGATGATCGAGTACTATTATTTCCTTCATTTCTAATTCCTCATATTTATTGATGATAACGAGAACGACGACAATGCTGACGAGAATAGGAACGATGATGACGATGACGACAACGAGGACGACGACTACAAATGAGAATTTCCCTATGGAAGAACTCTCACTCTTCATTATTCGTTAGCGTAAGCAAGAGTAAGAAAAAGAGAGAGAGAGAGGGAGAGAGAGAAAGGAAGACCAAGAAAAATACAGCTTGCTAATTTTAATATAACACGAAATTCTTCATTCCAATATCGCCGCGTGACTGAACAATCACATTGACATATCGACCTCATCGTTCAAATTATCATTTTTTCTCTATCAAAGAATCTTCATTCTTTTGACATTACTAACTCTAAGTACCAAATTGAATAGGCAATATTCATTGAGTTGTCTTGCCTGGATGACACTGCTACCACCGAATAAGGACAATATATAGAAACATAGATAGATAGATAGATAGATATAGACAGATAGAGAAGAAGAAGAAATGAGAAGGAGAAGGAGCGGAACGCAACGCATTAGCCTCAATTTGTTGTTATGTTGATGATGACGCAGCGCGTAGAGAAAAAAAAGAAAAGAACAACGGAAATAACAAATATAAGATAGTAGTTTAGTCCAAATTCACAGTAGTAAGAATGATGATGATGATGATGATGGTTTTTACCAATTCTTTGTCGTTCATACAATAAAAACAACGACTACAAGGTCGATCATCAGACATAGAGTAGGTATACATATATAATATATCCAATATCTTTCGTATACGATTACAAATCCATTGTTTATTGATCTTATTAATTTGTATTTTGCCTATCCTTCCTTTACCTTTTTTATAGTTTTTTTTATAGATAGATAGATATATACTCTTGATTCATCTATTATTATCATTATGAATTAAAATAATACAATAGATATATTCTATCTTCTTCTATGTATTAGTCATGTTACCAAATGGTAGTACAAGATGAAATTGGTATGTATAACCTTTAAATGATCTTATTAATGATATTTATCTGTTAAAATTTAATAGCTATCTAGTATTTATCTATCGATATTTATTCATCAATTACGAACAATACTTGTTGTCGTAGCAAAAGAAACATGTACAATGGCAAAATTTGTTTGTTATCATTGTGATTCACGTGTTGATGATTATTGTGGTGATCCATTTAAAGTTAATCGTGCTAATCGAACAGTTGAATGTTCGGATTATTGCGTAAAATTTTTTCATTTCGATAACATATCAACAAATCAAACATTTATACGACGTGGTTGTTTAACTGATTATTTTCTATATCGTTTATCAAAAATCGATGTTTGTTATCGACATACAACTGGATCAAATTTTACAATTGGACGGTTTTGTATGTGTGCCAAAGAAATGTGTAATCGAGCTTCATTTGATAAAACTACTTCATCTTATTTTATTATTCTTATTATTTTTCAACTGATAATATTAATTGGACTTAAAAGGATATTCTCCTAGTATTAACATACCTTTTTTTTCTCTCTTTCTTTCTTTCTTTCTGTATTTGTGTCTATTGTTCTTATGCATGCATGTATTTTCTTCTTCTTCTATTTCTAATATGAATGTAAACATATATACATTGTCTCATGGCGAGACAAGTGTGGACAATAAGATTTTACATGTGCGCATTAGTTCACCTTTACTTGTTTCGTAAATCTCGATCTATTTAATTAAGAGTTAAACTGTCACATAATGGAATATTACGGAGTAAAATGACAGTCTACTGTTTTTTTGTATTCGATTTGACTCTTGTTGTTTTTCTGTTTTCTTTTTTTTCTATTCGCAGCATGAAATCAGAATGGTAGTTATCGTAATTACTAGTATTTCATAGTATTCATTTTTTTTTCTTTCTTAACATTGTTGTTTCACGAAAACGTTAACAGCATCATCATCGATAACTGAAGACTGCATACATAATGTGCTTCATTTCTTTACCTTCCGAAAAAAAAAGAAGAGAAAGAAAAGAAGAAGAAAAAAAAAACACCGACGAAAACTGCGCATAAATCGGTGTACATCCGGCCTCGCCCAAGATACACGAAAAGAACAAAAAGAAAGTGACATAGAGAAAGGGGGAGAGAGAGAGAAAGAAAATACAAAAAAAAAAAAGAAAAAGGTGAATATAGAAACGGAAGGATGATGAATTTAAGTTTCGTTGAGTGAGGGACATTAACAACAGAAGGATGAGATGATTAGTTAGGTTTTTTTTCTCTATCGTTACATCATTTTATTTTCCTTGAAATTCTTTGTTCGTCAAGGTTGATAAGAAATTTATTCTTACTACTGTATCTATTTTCAAATACACACACACTTAATATAAGTGACGAACTATGAAATATAAAACATCATCATAAAAATACGAAACGAAAGAAAAAAATACGGTAGGTTATTATTATGATTTCTTATCATTTGTTTTCGTTTCAAATACTCCTATCAATTTAATTAAATAAGATATCGATAGCTTTTTTTCTCGTATAAATTTCCTAATCCAACAAAAAAAACGGCAGTATGCTAAAAACATGCTACAAACAAAAGATCCAACAAATTTTCGAGTATATGTCGAACAACCAACAAAAGATGATGGTATTATTGCTCAACGAGTATTTAATACCTATAAACAAATGCATACGCATCAATGTGTCGATTTTGTTCGAAAACAATATGATCGTTGGTTAAAATTTGATCATACACGTTTACCAATGTATGAAGTTTTGGAAAAATTAAATGCAGTTGTTGATGAAAGTGATCCGGATGTTGATGTACCAAATATCTATCACGCATTTCAAACAGCTGAAGGTCTACGTAAAGAATATCCGGATCAAGATTGGCTTCATTTAACTGGTCTTATACATGATTGTGGAAAATTTTTAGCTCTCTATGATGAACCACAATGGTGTGTTGTTGGCGATACATTTCCTGTTGGTTGTCAATTTAGCGATAAAATTGTTTATCGTACATCAACATATGAAAATAATCCTGATTTAAATGATGATATATATTCAACTAAATATGGCATGTACTCGCCAAATTGTGGTCTTGAAAAATGTATGATGTCATGGGGACATGATGAATATCTTTATCGGGTTTTGAAGAATCATTCAACATGTACATTACCTGATGAAGCTTTATATATCATACGATATCATTCATTTTATCCTTGGTAGGAGTTTTACTTTTTTTGATTTGTGTAAGGTTCTTTATTTCTAATATTTTTATTAATCTTTTAGGCATACAGGCAATGATTATATGTATTTATGTAATGAAAAAGATCTTGATATGTTAGAATGGGTTCGTCGTTTTCAAAAATTTGATTTATATACAAAAGATGATCATGATTTACCAAATATTGATGAACTTAAACCATATTATTTATCATTAATTGATAAATATATTCCAGGCATTCTTGCTTGGTAAAACGTATTTAATTTTTACTATGATTTTCAATAATTTATTTTGATTAATTCTTCAAAGAAATAAATAATCAAGAAAAAGAAGAAAAAAATACTTCTGAAGAGAAAACAGTTTCGTTTAACTTCTTTTTATTCGTACCTAGATTTTTTTTTCTCTATTTACTCACATATATATATATATGTATACATATTACGCGCATTTGAGTGCCTTTACACTTCATTTTCGACATATTTTGCATGATGAAGCCATGAAATATCGTCTTTTTTTTTGTTGTTTTCTTTTCAGAAGATAGAATGCATCATCGGTATGGAAGTAATCTTAGTAATTCATCAATATCATCATCTACTCATGGAATGTTTTTGGGTACAGCAAGAGAAAAACGTGAAAAATTATTAAGAAAAGCATATTTAAATCAACAACGAAATGGCATATTAGCAGGTTGGCAACCGCATACACCTTCTTCACAGTCAATTATTGACACATACCCATCAGAATTTGCGTACTATCGTCACCATCAAAATTCTCGTACACATAGTGTTGATAGTATTTCATCGTCAACAAGTGCAACAACAGCACCTATTCCAACAAGTGAACATCATATACCACGTACATCAAGTCAAGCAAGTCTTAATCTTCATCGTGCAAGTCCTTGTCCATCGGAAATGTCATTTTCTTATTCAAATCCAAAGTATTTTGTTCGAACAGCACTTTTTTCTCCTCAATCAACATTAACAAATAGAGGACCATTACATTACGAAAATGTTCTTGTAAGTTATTTGAAAACTTTTCTTTTATTCAATCTGTTATATAAAATTTTCAATCTATAGCAATCATCATTATTAGAAGGTAAACAACGACTAGGTTCAAATAATGATGAAATAACATTTCGATCACCAACACCTGGACCAGATTTTTCTACCATTCATAGTGATTCAATCACCCTTGATGAATTAATCAATCGAATAACTCCAACATCAACAAGTACACCTGAGGTAATAAATTTATTTGAAAGAAAAGAAAGAAATCTATATCTATTATCAAAATAATTGCTTTTTTTTCTTCTTTATTTAGATAACATTTCTTTATCCAGCACTTCTCTCTTGTCGAACACATATTACTCCAACATTATTATTTAATAGAATAGCTCGAACTATTTTTAGTAATTTAACATCTATTTCACAGGTATATATTGATTATTTTATGGGTATAATATATAAATAATATATTTTATTAATAGGAACAACGAACTAATTTACTTCTTAATTATCTTTCGATGTTGATTCATTGGACAAAAACATTTTCATATGATTTTCGTACACCATCATTAATCAATCAACTTGAATGTGTAACAAATCAAATTGTTAAACTTGATCCAATGTTTGGACCTAATGTTAAATTACTTTTATCGGATATTATGGCAAAAGTAAATAATAGAAAAAAACAAAATTTAATTATAATATTTTCTTCTATTTATCTAGCTCAATGTTCTTGATCGATATGAACAATATTTACAATTAGTTGATAGCGAAATATCAAATCGATTATCAACATCTGCATTAACAGTTAGTTTTTCATTTTGTTTTTCTTTTGAAAGAAGTTCACTTTCTTATTATATAAATAGACTGATATTTATGAACAATGTCCATGTCCAAAAGAATTTGCACATCAATTGACACATATTGAATTAGTATGTTTATAGATCTGAAATAGATAACTTTGTTTTGGTTTTAAACAAAGTTTTCAATTCAATTTTTTTTCTAGGATAGACTTAAAGCAATTGGAGCAGAAGAATTTATACATATGCGTTCATCAGATTCCGCATCATCACCAACAGATTCTGATTCAAAAAAATCTTCTACACAATCTTGGACATATTGTCTTGAAGCATATATTAATTGGAGTAATCGTTTATCTTCTTTTGTAACAACAGAAATAATTAAACATTTAAAACGACATATTCGTGTTAAACTTCTGAATTACTTCATTGATGCTGCACTTGAATGTTTTAATACAGGAAATTTTAATTCTATGATGGGAATCATAGGTAATAATTTTAAATACATATATATATTAATAAAACTTTTAGTAATATTATTATAATTTGAAAAAAATATGTTGATAATCTCTATATCTCATGAGAGACAAGTTTCGTTTACATGCCTGTCATTCTCTAGAGAACGAACGGCAAAAAGAATTAAATCCTTATTAACATTTATGTTTTATTTCAAACTCAAGGAAAAATGTGTCTCTAAAGATATGGCTTGTTTCGATTATTTATCCTTTTGTCCTTTAAAAAAAATACAATTGATGATGTTTAATTACTTAGTCTTTTTAATACTTCCTATCACAATCAAAATTCCTTAATTAAAATAAATCTATTGTGTTTCATTTAATCTAGGTGGCCTTAATATGTTACCTGTTAAACGTTTAAAAAAAACGGTAAATTATTTTTAATTATTCTATTAAAACATAATTTAAATTTTAGTGGAGTAAAGCAAATCGTGCTAAATTAGATACATTAGAAAAATATATGAATCCAAGTAAAAACTTTTGTATATATCGATCAATTATAAAAGCTGCAATGCAAAGAGCAGAAAAACATCAATGGCAATCTGGAATGGTAAGAAAAATTTGTTTTTCTTACTCGATGATAAATATCATACTAATTTTTTATTTTTCCAAGGTTATCATACCATTTTTAAGCATCTTTTTACGTGATGTTTATTTTATTAAAGTTCGTTCATCTGATTTAATTACGACTGATAATGGTCAAGAAGAACTTAATCTTAAAGTAAAATTTTCTTCATTTATTAATATAAAATAAAGTTTAATTGTTTTCGTTAGAAATTTTATATTCTAGCTCGATTTATTTCCGAAGAATTTATGAGATGTAAATCAAGCAAAGTAAGATATTTGTTTTAAAAAAAATATTTCTTAAATAAGAATTTCTAGTGTTCATTTGCTCGTTATGAAAGCATTATTAATTATGTTGTGACTAGTCCTGTATTTAGTGAAGATTGTATGATTTTGTTTTTTTATTATGATTAGATTTTCTAAATGAAATCATTTTTAGCTTTAATGGCTGCTAGTTTTGAATGTGAACCACCTGAAACAGATAATGATCGTGATCAACTTCGATCATTAAAGTAAAGATTTTTTGATTATAAAATTCAAACTATTATTAAATTTGTTTTTTTTAGAACAAAATTAGGCTTTTAATTTTTGTATTCATGAAAAAATTTGTTGATAGTAAAAATAATTGACATATTTTGTTTTTAATTTCAATGACAATGTAACGAGTGATTGACTATGATGAAATATACATATATGTATATTGTTTTTATTTTATTTTGTCTTGTTTATATGAAAGATTTTATTTGAAGAAAAAAAAAAGAATTTAAAAATTTATTGATGATGTAATACGAAACTGGACTAAGGATGGATTTCTATGTGAAGTTAATTGATTTTATGTAGGAATGATTAACTTGATTGACCTATGTAATGACTAAATCATGGTATTAAATAAGATTAGTATAACTTTAATTTATGAATATTTTATTCCTGTCTTACATAATAACAAACTAATTCTGATATAGAGGCTAATCAGTTTTATCTTGTGAATATTAAATGTTATTCTATAAAGTAAATAAGAAATGTATCGAATTACATTTTTATCATATATATTATATAATTTCAATTGTTTTCTTTTTAATACATTTTATCACATTGTCTAAATGCACTCGAAAAGTACTTTGAATTATTTTTGAGATAAAGTATACTCTTTTAGTTAAAATAACTTGTTTACTTTTAGTAATGATACATTATCTTATATGTTTTTTAAAGTAATAGATGCTATTATACACTTGTCTGTTTAAATATCATTTTATATTTACTAAGAATCGTAGGACTATTGTGAGAAATATAAAAGTCGAATGAATTGATTTACATTCATCAAGTGCAATAGCACATTGATTGATTTTATTTAATCAATGAAAAACAATCTTGAATGATTAAATTTTCTTAGACTCGAAACTAACGAGGGAATATATTCAAGTATTGAACTTTGATCAGATTGACATTTTACCTATATATATAGAACTCGGTGAGACATGAAAGCTTAAAAGAGCTCAAGTTCATGACCTATTCTTATGAAGTTACGATCATTTGACTGAATTCTCGATCTTAGACAAGACATTTACAAAAAAAAGAAATAACAACAGGTCTTTTCACCACTACTTGGCTTTTCAAAAAAACTTTATCATTTTTCTTTAACTCACATCCATTGTCTGAAGTCAAAAATTCAGTAAAACTGTCATGTCGTCACAAAAACAAGTCATAGTCGTCAACTCTTTCAATTTTTCACTAATCTCACCTGGCCTTGCATATATACAAGATAAGATTCTAATTACCATCCGACACTTGAATATATTCATATGATAGACTCACAAATGATTCATTCATATCATTATTCATATATTCAAATTCATTTGTTTAACAATTAGTTAAAAGAAATTTGTTATTTCATAAGTGGATATATTTTACAACAGAGAAATAATAATAATTAGCATTGATTGTAATTTTTCTCATTGGCAAATGGAAAATATTTTTCTAAAATTAGAAATCATTATCTTGAATGCGAAAAATAATCAACAACGATTTATATCGCACAATTTATTAAAGAGCATACGAGGGTTTGTAAAAACGTGTTTGAATATATATTTAAGAAGTGTGATGGTGAGCCATTCATGCTGATTAATAAACTTTCAGAACTGTAAAATTGATAATCTCACGTAAAAAACAGCGTTTCTGGCATGTTATTAATCAGCATGAATGGTTCATCATTACAATTCTTGAATGTATGTTAAAACGCGTTTTTCTCAAATTGTTGTATGTCTGGATAAATGTAAAAGCACTAAACAAAATTAGAAAATTCATTCCTTGATTATTCATATCTAGGGTAACACTCTCAATTAAGAAATAATATTCCACAACAAATTCAAAAGATTAAAAGCTGTTTTCTTCCATATAAATTCTTAATGATTATTTTTACATCTTTTTGTTTGATCTATTTATTAAGTGTAAAATATCAATTATTTAAGGTGAAGTCGAGGACATAGGATTTTTTCGATAAAGATTAAACGAAAATTTTGAGTAATCGTTCGAAAAAGTAAGATTATGTAACGCAGAGATATAAGTTAATATTGAACATATACGCTTCTATAATTCAATTGTTCACTGAAAGCCTCAATGGAAGAAATGATGCTAGTAGTTAATTAATATCGGAAAAGACATAAAAATAAATATTGCCAACTACATTTCATAATGGAAAAGTCTATTAAAGATGAACGTTGTTTGAATAATAATAATGTATTTTATTCCGACGTAGATCATTAATTAAATCAAATATTTTTATGGTTTAGTATTGAAAATATTGCGTATTAATGCAAAGAGATATATTGAATTAACTTGAAATGAAATTCCGCCTTATTAATCACATATTTATTAAATATGTACGCATTTATGATACAATTCAAGCAAAACTTATTCCTAACAAATATTTACGAACTATCAAAGCTCTTGCTCATCATTATATTGAAAAATAAATAATTCGAAAATGATTGTATTATTAAAAAAGATGACGTTTTTAAACTTATCATTTATATAAATATCGTTGATTTCTTCTATCATCTATTTATTTTTCTTATTGGTATTCTACTCTCTATTGCGTTACTAATTCTTTCTATTTCCATATTTACCATCAACATGAATTGATTTCATACTAAATAAAACATCGATTGTGTTAAACCAGCTTCAATTTCTTCTACGATACCGTATTAATAAAAAATTGTACATTTTACTGAATCAACTAATATAGTTTCATATTTCCAATTGTACTTATCTAACTTTTTCAAATATAAATAGAAAAAAAATCGATAATAATACCATCTAATTTGGAAATGTCTGTCTTATTTCTCTTGAGAGACAACTGTTCTCGAAGATGTCATTGATTATATTAAGTTGCAATCTAAATATAATCATCTCATATTTCATATTTATTTATCACTAATTTAGTTATCTTCAATTAATAAATATCACATTCTATATAAAACATAGAAATTCTTGTTTATTTTATGATGAAATTCATTTATATACATTAACAATGCGTTCAAAAGACGAATGATTTTTATCGTTTATATAATTCAATAAAATTCTAGTTCGAAATATTGATTTCGAACAACAATCAAAATAATTCATATTGATATATACATCGATCGAATATAATCCATGTAAAAATTTTATCAACGTATAAAAGTTATATTACAAAGAAAATCATTTGGATAAATAGAGCTTTATGTATTACAGATAGGAGTATCCGCTTTAGTTGTTGTTAGCCTCTACATTTATGATTTGTTGGAAATAAGACGTGATTTAAGAACATTTTTCGATTATCACTCTATTGAAGAGAGACAACATGCAATTTCTATTGATAGTATTTTCGATTATCTATAAAAAAAATATTGAAGTTTATTACTTTGTTTTTTAAATCTCTTATTCTTTCGTATTTTTACAATACCATTAATCTCTTTTTTATAACTATTACTTTATTGTATAGAGACCAATTTAAAGGTTTTTATTTCTTAAATAAATTTTTCTCATTTCTATAGAAAAGTTCATTTATTCTTTCAAATAGAATGATCTAAATTTAACCATGGAATGTCTATCCGGAGCACGCATGAATCTTAAGTTAATGAAACATGAATGAAAAAAACAGAATTATTAGTAGTTATAAATAGGATGTGAATAGTCTTGAAACGATCTATCCTTAACAACAACAAAAAAAAGATTTATTCTTATCTATAAATTTGCTTTTAAACATGCAAATTCATATATTAAATGTAAAATATTCAATTTTTTGTAATATACAAGTAATAATAAACGAAAATTTAAATACAATAAGATATCAATAAATAATTAATAAACTATTTCTTTCTCTGTCTCTTTATTATTTGATAGGTTTTTTGTTGATTAAAGTTAATTATATAACTATATCCTATTTTCAACAAAGGTTATAATTAAACTTATCTAATTACTAATCTCGATGGCATTGAGACTAAGATTTTGAATCAAATTTCTACAGACAATTAGTACATAGAAAACATGTAAAGAATCAAATTTTTTCCTATATCAATATTTATAATGTGCCTATTATACTTTTAATTAATATGTCTGTACTATCTTGGAAATATATATATATAATTTGATATCATTATTAGATACTATAAAATAAAAGGTTGGAAATCTACAAATTATTATTATTATCACGAAGAATTTTGTTGTTTTATTAAGATATAAAATATTGTTCTGCTCTTTTTTGATCTGATCAAACATCAAAATAACAGACAACCGCCGAAAATTCCCAGAGGTACATCTGGTAAAAAAAACGAGATAACAGATGCAATTTATTTGCCATTAAAGCTGAAGATTTGGCTGTTTGTTATATTTTTGTAGAGTACTCAAGAGTAGATTGAATCTGATTCTTATTATATAACTATTAATCAACAAACAAATAAAAGGCCGATATATCTTTAAGTACTTGGATTTTTTCTTCTTATACATATTCTGTTCATCTTTTCGTTTTGTATTTGCCTGCCGGATATAGAGACACTTAAAACGTCATCATCATTATCATTATAGACTTCCTTTAGATTTTTTCCTTGTTCTTCTTCTTCTTTTTTATATTGATGCATGTTTTGCAAGAATAAAACAAATAGTTAGAGTAAATGGATATAAAATATGTCCTAGTAAGAATAATAATAATTGCTGTTTTGATGTTCCTATGCTTGTTTGTTCTCATATATATTAATCTCAATAGTATTGTAAAGTATATATGTCACACAGTAAGAGAAACATATTATACCGAAAAATATTTCCAATGATAGAAAAAAGGATGTAGAAAGAAACTGTTTTTTTTTCAAGAGAATAGAAACAAAAAAATGGGATAGAAAAGAGATGAAAGATGTTTGGTGCAGGGAATGACAAGAGGCGATGACGCCGATTTTGCAAATAGTCTGTCGTCGCGCCGCCCGCTTTATTTTCCTTTCTTTTTCTCTCTTGCTCTCTCTTTTTCTCTTCTCTTCTCTCTCTCTTTGTTGCAATTCGAAGACACAGAAAATATCGCCTAAAGCAGTAGGAAACTAGTGATGTGTTGTGTATGTATGTATGTGATTTCCTTGAATAATTCTCAATACAGATTATGATGAAAAATAAATAAAAATCCATGTTTTCTTCTCTTTACTTTCAGTTTCAGATTACTATTGATACTTATACTAGTCAAAAAAACTAAGAGACAAAAGCAAAAAATAACTTAAAAGAATGAGTATGTCATCACCACAAATTATTCTCGATGAAGCTCGTTCATTAACACCCGATCCAGGTTATCCGGGTAATCGAACACCTCGTCGAAGTCATGTATCGATATCATCAAGCAAACGTCCATCAATGAATGTAGGTATACCAAATTCAAATAAAATTAAACAAGGCATGTTTCGTCGAGCTGTTCCTCAAATGCCACGTGCTCTGGCTTGCATTTGTTTTGTACTCAATCTCGTTTTACCTGGCACAGGTATGAATTTTTTTTATAGTAAAAAGGAAGAAAAAAAAATTTGATGACATGCTAATCAGTATGTCAATTTACATTAGATATATTTGAATGCTTCTAAGCTAGAAAAAAAACAAACTAACTTATCTTCTATGTCTAGGTCTATTCTAACATAATGAAGGAGAAAATTTTAAAGAAGCTAATTATTCATGCTGATGATGCCATCACTATTACTCAGCATGTCCTACAATTATAATCTTAAAATTTTCAGTTGCATTCCTTTCGTATAGCGTTCCCATTTTTTTCTTCTTGTCTCATGTTGATTACTAATACGCACGCATGCATACATAGCAATACAATTTTCATCGAAAATTACTTTTGTACCGATCTGGTCGACATATATTTTGATTGTTTGTTTGCTTATTCATTGCTATTGTTGTTGCTGTCCTTATTATTATGATCCATTCTTATTCATAATGCGAAATTCATCTTTTTTTCATGGTCTCAATAATAATAACAACGAAGTCATAGTAGAAAATATTAGTGTTTCGCTTAATTGATTGCAGAAAGAGATAAAAAAAGGAAAAGAAAAGGAGATAGGATAATAACTTAATATCACGTAGTCGTGGTTCGATATACGTATAGATGAGTGATATGTGTTAAGCAGCAAACGATGACATCTTGCTGTGTACATTATAGATTCTCGATGACAAATGTATTCATCCTTGTGATGGTGACAATACACATATATACTGTTCATTATTATAAACCCATTGAGAAATTTGTATTAAACATATTCTTTTTCTTTACAAAATCATATATCATTTCTTTGACAATTAACTATCTTTTTTTTAAGTCTTATCTTGATTCAATGATAAGATGTCACAAATGAGAATATCATTGTAAAACTATAGAAAAATGAGAATGAAAAGCAACTGTATGTATTCCCAGTAGAACATATGTTGGTATGATCAAATTGCATCATAGCACGAACAAGAAAACGTTAATGAAAACGAGCAAATGACTAGATTAGTTAGCAAGAATGATAAATATATCTTGTCAAAAAAATTGATTATGAATAAATAGATTTACTCATCAATTTACATTTATTTTAGGTACTCTAATTAGTGCATTTGCTGTATTCTGTTGTGGAAAACATGATTATGAAAAAGCTATTGTAGCATTTTTTTATAATCTTCTTGCAGCTATTTTCCAAAGTGCAACAATATTTATACTTGTTGGTTGGATTTGGTCAATAAGATGGGGCATTCTTTTTGTTCAATTATCAGGTATGAATAAAAAACAAATGTCAATAAATAGAAATACATAGTCATTATTTCTTAATAAATCTAAGAAGAAAATCAAGTTTCTTGCGATCGATCGCGCTCATTTTTTGTTATTTATGATGACGGAAGAAAAAAAATCGAAAAATAGGAAGAACTATTCTTATTTAAATAGAAAAGTGACATATATATGTAAACGAGAATAACAAATGTAAGCTCATAAACAACTAAGACTAGACGAATGCGTGAATTACACAACTATTCAAGTGAAAATCTAGATCTATAATTGGATCAAAAAAAGAACCTGATCATTGTTATATTTTTCTGTTTTTTTCCTCTCCGTGTAAGAACATAGCTAGAAACATTTATAGTATATCTATATATATACATATACGTACATATATAAATATATATATTATTGACGATGAAACGAGTGACACTCAATTAGAAACGCTTTCTGAAACCATCTTTTTTCTTGTGTGCCTTTTCCTGTGATTCGCTATTTAGTTACGATGTATTGACGACGATGATAGTTTCGATGTGTAGATGTATTTTGTTGTTAACCGAATCTCGTTTTTCTGTAACAAGCTATCTATTATAGATAATTAGAAAACGAGTTATCAGCAAGAAGACCTATTGATAATAGAAGAAATATAAAGCAAAAAAAATGATTAAATAATAGCCTATATAAAGAGTTGTCTTAGCCTCGATCTCTATCTCATGCACTCATAAGAAGCTATCAATTGAGAATAATAATCGATCATTATCATCATCATCATGGTTAAATAGAAATAAAGAGAATCGGATATGCAAGTAAATTGTCCTGAAAGTTTTGATTAAATCGATAATGTTCATTGTCTTCGTCATATTAATAATTGATTAAGAAAAAAAAAACTAAGAATGCCGATAAAAACAAACATTTGTCCTTATTAAAAAATATTATTTGATCATATATGATAAGTATTAATCGCATTCTATGAATGTATATCAATCTAAATAAATAATTTTTTTTCCACTCATTGATTGCAAAGATAAAACTGTCAGTATGTCAAAATGCATATATGTCTTCAAAAATAAATTATTTCCGCTAGAAGTTTGAAAAAACTTATAAAACCTTAATTTTATATGAATACATGAGTAACCAAGAAAAGTTTAGCTCTAGTATCGAATTTCATGACATTATATTTTTTCGTTTTTAATATATATCCGTCAAGTGTCAGAAATTATATTAGTGAAAGAAAAATATTAAGTTAAGTAATTGATTGAATTTACAAACAATGTTAATAATATCAATTATTTCTTCTTCTTCTTTTTTTTCTCTTGTTGAGTAGAAATGTACTAGTCGTATGATTCTATGAAAGAACATTTTCTCATGACCTTCATTCAATAATATAAAAAATATCGACATTTTCTTTACTCTATTAGAGATAAATCAATAAAAAATTAACAGAAAAGTATATGTAAAAAAATTTTCTGTTTACTCTATTATATTTTTTTTTAGGCAATAAACATACGATGTCACAACCGGCGCCATTCTATGTCCGTCGTCAATCGAGTGTTGATACGCATATGCAACCATTTCTAACACAAATGGTAGCACCACGTGTACCACCATTACTTGAAGATAAACACGAATCGGATAATGTTTGATGATTATCTATCGAACATCTTTACACGTTGTTAACGAATTAAAATTCGTTTCAATTGTGTAGTAGTCATATGTGAGCTTGTGTTATCAATTATACGCCCTCACACATCTCCAATACTGTGATAACCTGAACAAGTATATATATATATCAGCATTACTATCGAATGCTTGATGAAACATAACAATTCTTTCTTTTTTGGCTTATCTTCTATATTTCTTTTCCTTCATTTTTTTTTGATTGCGCTAAATATGACAATGAAATTAGTTTGTATTTTTTATTGAACGAAAAACAAGAATTACAGGTGTAGAATTATTATTATTTAATAATGATGAAATATTTTCATCATACGATAGAAGTTCTTTACCATTTAAACAACAAAATACTGGTTCGAAATTATTTTGAAGAAATAATTGAATAAATTTTGAAATATTACAAGTACGTAATTGCCATGATAATTCAATTTTTGGAGGAATATTAAATTCAAATGTTTGTTTACATATCCATTCGTCATTATTATTATTATTTTGTTGAGTATTTTCTACTGATATAAGTTGTAATCTATCTTGATTATTTGAATTATCTATTGATGGTTCGCCTATATAAATATAACAATCTGGCATTAAATAAATAGCAAAAAGTCCTGTATGAGGTCGAAGTGTTTGTTGAATATTATTTATAAATTTCTGACGTTCATCATCAGTAATTAAATGATGAAATGTGCCGGCTGGTAGAAGAATACAATCAATTATTTTTGTCTCAAGACAATTAGCAAAATTTGTTAGATCTCCATGTAATAATTCAATTTGATTATTAGTTAATTGATTATTTAATTTATCTTTTGCACGATCTAACATAGCTTGAGAATGATCAATACCAATTAATTTTATATTTTTATTTTTAAAATAATTTTCAAAATAAATTAAATCTTTTCCTGTACCACAACCTAAATCAATAATAATTGTTTGTTGATTATCAATAAATGTTCGTTGAATTATCTCAGCATAGATCTCACAAACAGTATCAACCCAATAGGCATCTTGTGTTACATGATTAGCAACAAATGTATCATAATAACGTGAAAATTCATCAACATCATAAGCATATGACATATTTATTTTTTTTCTAAAATCAAAATATGGTATAAATTTCATGAGAAATGTAAAAAACTCCTTTTTTTTAAACTGATAACAGAATATTTACTGATAGTTAAGTCAGTAGGCGAGATATGATATTATCAAAACCAGTGAGAAGAATAACACCTGATTACCGATGAGGTTAATGAAAGCATCGGACCACCACCATTCACATTGCATACACAATCATGTATACAACGATCATCTTTTTAGTGCTAATGATTAGTGGACTTTCTGCTAGTACATCTCAAAATCCATTATTATCTCCTGCTTATGATCTGCTTATGAAAGCATTAATTAAAACATTTACTACACCTATTGCAGTTAATGAAGTCAAAGCAAAATTTTCCGTTGAAATTATGTTAGCTAATGATGTATTTACTCTTGATGATGCTCTTCGTATATTTATTCAACAATTTCTTCTTGCTTTATATGACGGCAATTATCATTATGTACCTGAAGATTGGCAAATAGAATATCCAGCATATGCTAGAATTATAGGAGAAATTAATAATATATTAGATTTATTAGCTGAACGAACATTATCTAAAATAAGTATGAAAGATATTCGCCCATTTGTTGAATGTATGTCATTAAATTTATTGATTTATTATTCAATAATTATCTAATCTTTATTTCTTTTATTAGCTTTAACACCAACAGCATTTATTGATTTACAACGTTTAATAAAAGCAGCGGCAGAGAGAGAAAAACTAAACAATAATAACGAAGAAGAAGAAGAACACAAAGAAGAAGATACACCTAAAATAGAATTATAGAAAAATAAATATTTTTTGATGATTTTTTCTTCTTTTTAAATGTTAAATCATATCCAATAAAAAAAGAATATACATCAGATGACGCTCTTATCTATTTAAATATGACAAAAAAAGCAGTAACTATGTTGTGAAAAACAAATTTCAATTTTCGCTCTTTTCGATAGAGAAAATTGTTTTTTTTTCTATGAAAACTTTTATATTTCTTTACATAACAGAAAATATATACAATGACTACAAATAAAGTCTCACCAATAATTACCAAAGATACACTTAAAACAATTTTTGATAATATATCAGAAAATGAATTATTTGTTTGTTCACTTTGTGCATGTATGTGTACAAATCAAAATAAACATCAATTAGTATCAACAAAATGTGGTCATTTATTTGGAAAAAATTGTATACGAAAAAGATTAAAAGAAACAGGACAATGTCCATTATGTTTGAAACAATTAGAAACACGTCGTGATAAACAATTACGTACAATGTGTTTATCAAGTGTTGTTACAATATTTCCATTTGAAATCTCTCAAATGAGAGATGAACGTAAACAACTACGAATTCGTTTAAATGAAATAAATAAACGGCTTGAACGAGCAAAACTTAAATTGAATAGTAATAAAAAACGTTTACAAATAATTAATAAGAAAATACTTAAAAAATGTAAACATATTAAGAATATTTAAATACAATTTTGTCTATTGTGTAAAATTAGAAAAAGAATAATCATTATTGTTTTCTCATATAGTATACGCAAGAGAATCTATGTATAAAATATTACTGTATCTACAAAAGATTCGTATTATACAGAGAAACTATTCGAATGAAATTTATTGAATTTTTTTCTATAATTTATAAACAGTATGTGAAATAGAAATACGTGAGATAATAGGTTCAAATGAAATTTATAAAAACATTTATCTATCTGCATTAGGCAAGAAAGTTAATTCTAGTTCATTTCTGATATTCACCGGTATTTATATTAGGTGGAAAATAAACAACACAGTTATATAAAAAAGAATTTATCTATTCAATTGTTTAGAAAGGAATTACTTATTCAGCTTTTCGCAACGCAGTTTTTTCTACAAGAAAAAACTATTTAATGATTTAAAACACGAATGCGTACGTGCATGACAATGCTACTCAATGATGGACTTCTACAAGATCGCTTTTATAACTTGACCATGTACTAACTAATCCCACGCTGTGCTTGCCAAGAATACATACGATATCGATTAGAATATCACTAGCGTGCGAATATCCGCGTAGCTACCATGGCAGTACTTAGGACGATATCATTATAGTGATGTACTTCATTCTAACAGTAGATTCTTTAACTAAGAAGATATTCTGCCTCAACTTGATAAATTTGACAACGTTGCTCAGTACAAATATTCAAGAAAAAGATCGGATAAGATAGAGCATGAAAAAGTTATGCACTTCCAGAACATTAGTAGCACTGCAATATCATAAATGTCACGATAGTAATGTAATCAAGAATTCAGTCTGTGTATGTAGTAAGCCCATCGCTCTGTAGTTAGTATTCGTACATTATCACTACCATTAGGAGGATATTTAAAGTCTATTTTGTAATGAAATGCTTCAGGAAACCTTTTGAACTTTAATAGAAACTTTCGTTTGTATGTTATATGTTGAACAAGTTGTATCTCAAGTTTAGATCATTCACCACTTAAACTGATAGAAATTTGTCATGTCTGTATATTTCAATTTTCAACAATAGATCGAAATATAACCATCATATATTGCATTGGTAGATATTGAAAGATCTACATTGTATTTTTCAAAATAAAATCTATGAATAAATTGTCTTTAGTCACAATCATGAAATTTATTTAGTGTGATTAAATAAAAAATAAGGATTCTATATAAGTTATATATATATTTCCATGAGTTAGATTAATAATAACGGGTTTTTAACCACATTCATCTCCACTAACATTCATATTTGGATGATTTCCAGCTGGTATTTCACTATTTGGATTTTTCTTTCGATTCTTTTCACTTAATTTATTAAATAATGCGTCAGCTGTATTAACTAATTCAATAACTTGTTCATGTGCTCCACCAATTTTAATTCCACTATGTGCACAACAAATATTATCAAAAGGCCAATCATTTAACAATGTTTTCATCCAATCACGAAATTCAAACGGTGCTTCAGCTGTTGGATATAATCCAGCACCTTTTATTGATGGTTGAAAAGCCATTGTACCATGTTTAAAACCGGTTAATTTAAGTAGAAAACCTGGATGATCTCCATAAATAATTGTATCATCAACATGTAATGTACGTGATGGTCGATGAAATACAAAAACACTTACAAAATGATTACTTGATTCAGGTAATGGATTAACAAATTCCGCACCTAGATATAATAGAAAATTTCATTTTTTTTACAAAATATTAAATTGAAAATCTATACCAGCCGGTATTCTCATTTCAATTTCAGGTTCCCATTTTTTTCTTATATTACAATCATCAAGTGAACCAGCCCATGGTATCGTTGTAAGTCGTCTTATATGTCTTGGTGTACCATAATATTTTGCATTTGGATATGCTTCATAAAATGCAGGAAATGCTAATGTATGAAATGGATGTACACCAATAACAGCTTCAATTTTTGCTCCATTATCTGTCAAACGATTAATCTCAGCTCGTGTATGATCTGTTAAAATAACTGTATCAATAACAAGAAAATTTCCATTATTTAATCGAATCAATGACATATGAGAACCAAGATCAACTAAACCAGCAAGCATTTTAAAACTAACTCGGATATTCCAAAAATTAGTTGCAACTTCAAATAATTCATCCTTTTCAATATGAGCAGGATCAGATCCTTTTGCTGACATAATCTAGCTGATTTTTATGTAAAGAAATAAAATCTAAAAGAAATTTTTACGCGATTATATATGTATTTTCTCATTTGTCTTGTTTTCATCGTAAAGGTAAAAAGAAAGAAGTATCTATATAATTATTTACCAGGTTCCACATCATATTTTCTTCAGAGTATTCATGCATACACACGATATGAATAATAAAAAATCTTGATTTTGTAAAAGGTTTTTTTTAAAAGTATTTTGAGTAAAAGGATGTCTGTCGTCATATATACTCAATATGAGTATTCATTGTGAATGTTTTCTGTTTTGCTATGACATATGCAGGAAGAAGCTAAAACACATATTGATCTACGTGCTGTCGTTATCGTTGCATATACTCACAACTACACGAATAGAAAACAAGATCTGTAAGGGGCGCTCTTCATCTATTTGATGATAATCAATGAGTTTTAACATAATATTATGTTTGAAACAAAGGACGTCATTTTCAAAATGAAGAATTTTTATTTTTAAGACTAAATCATATTTTGGTATAAGAGAGCATACTTACATTAATTAGATATCACTTGAGATGTATATTTTCGAATATGTTAGATTTTTACATTTCTCTTCTCTAGCATTATGTCTCCTATAACATATTCCTCTCAATTATTCTTATTCTTTTTACGACTAAAATGTAACTTGTGTTATGAAATCTAATCTTCGCTATAATCAATATTTGCTTCTTAATCCTATTGATAGAATACATTAAAAAGAGGTCATTTCACAAAATTGTTCTTCATAATACTGCATGATATTTATTATTGAAAAAAAAACTCCAAAATCAAACACACGTATATCTTTCACACGCTCACTCTAACACTATGAGCTGACTGACAGCAGAGTAAAAACAAAATGAAAAGAAAGGAGATTAATCAAGACAAGAAAAAACGATAATAACAAGTCTTTACACAAACGTACAAAACTAATAAAGCATCCACTGTTAACTTCAATATTCATATGTTTGTGTGTTTGTTTATGATGTTTACATGTTGTGTGTAAAAGACCAAGAAAACAGCACAAGAAAAAAATAAATGAAAAATGTAATAAAAATTAGAAAAAGACAAAAAAACCTGTACGAATGATATGACAGTTAACAAAATGACAGAAATAGAAAACAACGAGCAATCGAATTTTCCACGAACAACTATAGTTCATTTTTTTCGTCTAAATAGATCAATGACTGGTTTATTATTTGTATCCCGAATCATAATACAAGCCTGACTAATGGACGTATAAATGATTAAGATAAACTATTAAAATGAGAATAAAGAAAAAAAATTATATTAATGTTTCTTTAATGTTTGTCCAACATAATAATTCCCATTTTGATAACCGCCTTGTCCAGTACCACTTTGTTGTGTTTTCAAACATACCGTACAACGACTTATCTTATTTCTATGATTACCCGATTTTAATGTTTCTTGACGTGGAACTTCAAATTGATTATTTTGATCAATAACTGTCATCCAATAGCTGAATTTATTTGCATAATACATGCAATTACCATCTGTTCCTGAACATTCAATAAATGGTGTTGCACGAAAATCTTCCAGACATGAACCAGGACTTGATAATGATTGACCACCGCCTTGTGCACCACGACCAAGATGCTAAAAGAAAAAGGCAAGCGAGGTTAGAACATATATAATATAATTTTCAACATACCATAACAAAACTATAACCTTGCCATAGGATATTCCATCCATTTGGACATGGTGGTGGTGTCATTGATAAACTATGGAATGACATAACATTAGCTGGTGCTTCACATACAGCACAACGTGATATATATGGTCGAATTTGTTCACGTTGAACAGGCATCATTGGCATTGGTTCTGTTGTTGATAAATAATATGTTAAATCATTTGTTTGACCATAATAACAAACATTTGTATGATCACAACGTAAATATGGTAATGCAGAAAATTTCTGAAGACATGAACCAGCCGAGCCTAAAATAAACGAATTTTATTATTTGATTTTATATTCGAAAAGAAATATAGTACCAAGATCTTGATGATAACCATGATCATTGCCTTGCATCATAAGTAAACTATAACCATCCCATAATTTAATCATGCCTGATGGACATTCTGGTACTTGTGCGGATTGTGAATGACGTACAACCATAAAGCCAGTTCGTTGAAGACCAGGACCTGCTGGACCAGGAGGACCGCCAGCACCTAACAATTAATAATGAAATAAAAAAAAATTATTATTATCAATGGTTTAAAAAATTCATTACCTGGTGGACCAGCAATACCACTAACACCTGGGAGACCTGGTGTACCCTAGATTATCATGAACATGTATACATTTGGAAATTTTGTTTTTTGTTAAATATACTTACACGTTCTCCTTTTGGTCCAACATAACCTGGTAAGCCTGGTTGACCGGGTTGTCCTGGTGGACCATTTTCTCCTCGTGAACCAGGTGGACCTTTAAATATATAATTATAATATATTTAGAATAATATGACTTCTGAACTTACCTGCTGGTCCTTGAAGTCCGGGTAAACCTATTAATAATCATTGAAAGATATATGAAAAAAGAATAATATTTAAAAGTCGAATTTATTACCTGACAATCCTGGTAGACCTGGTTCTCCTTTGAGACCGGGACGACTAACAACTGCTTGTGGTTGAATACAATCGCCTTTTAGACCAGGTGCACCTATTTATTTAAAGATTACAATATATCTGAGTTTTTAAAGAAATATTTACCAGATAATCCGGGAGCACCAGGTCGACCATCAAGACCACGATCTCCTTTTTGTCCGGGAAGTCCTTAAAGCAAAAAAATAATGTAGATTCATTGAAAATATTATATGTAAATATACCTGGATTGCCTGGGAATCCATTATTTCCTGAAATACAAAATAAAATCGATTAATAAACTTTATTTTCTAGAAAAGTCATTTACCTCTCTCTCCAGGTAAACCTGGTTGTCCTTTAAATATTAAAATTGAATAAAATACATATATCAAAAATAGAAAGTCAAGATTGACAAACCTGGCATTCCAGCAAAGCCACGATCACCTATAAGATATAGATTGAATTTCTTATTTTATTCTATCAGTTATAAACATACCTGGAAGACCTGGTAAACCATTGTTACCTGGTAATCCATCACGACCTTTAGCGCCAGGCATACCTGGTAAACCAGCAGTACCAGGAAGACCTAAACAGTAATAAATATAGGCTTTATATAAAAGATTGAATTAAATTTTATACTAACCATCTTTACCCATTGAACCAGGTGGACCTATTAATTCAATGCAAAATTAATTAAAAAACACACAAAGAAGAAAATATTTATCTACCTTGTAAACCTGGAGCGCCAGGAAGGCCTGAAAGACCTGCATCACCTTTCTAAAATAACACGAGAAAAAAACCATAGTTTTCAGTATAATTTTATTTATTTTTATAAACATACTTGTCCAGGAATAGGTACATCACAATCTCGACCTGGTTTACCAGGTGAACCAACATAACCTGGATTTCTAATAAGAAGAGGAAAATATATATAAATTTTATGTTTATTATTTACTGAAGACTATCCTACCCTTTCTCTCCTGGAAGACCTGGTAAACCTATTTAATATAAATAAAGAAATAAATAAAAAGATCATTCTATTCGATTCTTATTGAATTTCTTACCATCGCGACCACTTGATCCTGGTTCACCTTTCATTCCCGGTGTAGCATAACCTAAATTTCAAATATTTACATATTTATTTTAACAAAACATTTTATTTTCTATTTACCTGGGTCACCTTTTTGACCTGATAAACCTGGTAAGCCTGTAATAAAAAATGAAATCATGGGAAAACTTATTTTTCCTATATATCAAATACACATACCAGCATCTCCAGGAAGACCAGGTGCTCCATTCAATCCCGGTGGTCCTATAAAAACATTTGTTGAAAAGAAATATTACATAAAAAATTCTAAACTTTACCATTAGAACCTGGTAAACCTGGTATTCCAGCGTCTCCTAAATAATATAAGAAAATAATTTAATCATATCATGATTCATCTTAAAAATAAGTACAGACCTTTTTGTCCTGAAGCACCATTTAAGCCTGCAGGTCCTGGGGCACCTGGAAGTCCGGAAGGACCTGGTAAACCTATTAAAAATTCAATTAAAAATACATATATATATTCATATTTAATTTTAAATAGAATTATATACCTGGTACACCTGCAGCACCTTTAGCTCCTGCTACACCTATAAGAGCATAAAAAAATATGTATTAGTGAATTTAATAAAAATAGAATAAACAAACCTGGATATCCATTAAGACCACGATCTCCTTTAGCACCTGGAAAACCTTCACCACCATCTCGACCTGGTAAACCTGTGTCACCTTTGGTTCCCGGAATACCTGAAATAATGTTTTTATTAGAAAGGAAAATTTATTGTAGTGATTATTTTACCATTCATGCCTGGTGGTCCATTTAAGCCTAATAAAAAATATTATATAATTCTGATTACAATCAAGATTAAATGTTAGATTTTTACCTGCTGGGCCTGCTTCTCCTTTAGGTCCTGGTAATCCACTATATCCATTATCACCTGAGAGAAAAAAAATGAAATCATGTATTCTTTATATATTCCTTCCAAAATAAACTACCTTTTTGTCCAGCAATACCAGGTAGTCCAGGTGCGCCTGGTAATCCACTAGGTCCAGGTAAACCCTATAGAAAGAAAATAGATGAAATTTTAAGTTTTTAAAATAGAATTTTCTTTTATTTACTCGTTCACCCGGTGTACCAGGAAGTCCTACAGTAGAGAAAACAAATAATGAAATAATATAAAAATCTATTTCTTCTTACCATTACTACCGGGGAATCCACGTTCACCAGGTGTTCCTGGAATACCAGCTGGTCCTGGAAAGCCTGGTTCACCAATAGCTCCTTTGATACCTATATCAAATAATAAAGTTTATTGTAATCAAATGAAATTAATATTATTCATACCAGTTTGACCAATAGCACGTTCTCCTTTAGCACCTGGAAGACCCGGTAATCCATCTTTACCCGGAAGTCCTGGAAGACCTGGTGCGCCTGGAAGGCCTGGTGGACCACTAAGAATGAGAAAGTTAAAGTAAATAAAACTAATGCAATAATATTTTATTTTACCGTTCGCCTGCTGGTCCACGTGCAGCTGCACTACCCTATTTAATATATCATATAGATATGAATATATAATTTTATTAATATTTTTGTACTTACTGGTTCTCCTTTTTGACCTGGAAGGCCAGGATTGCCTGATAAACCTCGATCTCCTCGTTGACCTGGAATACATGAAGTACATGCTTGTCCTGGTAAGCCAGCGAGACCTTAATTGAACAAAAAAATCATATAATTCATTGTTATGACAAAATAATAGTTATACCTCGATCTCCTTTTGTTCCTGAAGTACCCTGTTAAGAAAAAACAAAGCTAAATTAAAGCTTTCTAAATAACTTTCTCAATATACCGGAAGGCCTGGTAATCCATTTGGTCCTGATGTGCCTGGAAAACCCGGAACACCTTTTTCACCTGGTAAACCAGGTGCTCCGTTCAATCCTGGACCACCATTTAAGCCACGTTCACCTTTCATTCCTGGAAAGCCTGGTAAACCTGGTTGACCATTAGGTCCACTGAAATTTATATGCAAAAATAGTATTAATAATTTCAGATCAAATAAACTTACGGTAATCCACTAGAACCTTTTTCTCCAGCTAGACCTGGGGGACCTGGTGGGCCAATTGGTCCTGGAAGTCCTTTAAATACGAAGAAAGAAGATGGTATTTTACTCACAAAATATTAATGTATTATACCTGGCAAGCCTAAACAACAAAAAAAAGAAAAATAATGATTACTTTAATCAAAATGTTAAGTCAAATAAAAACTTACCATCAATACCGGGTGTACCTGGTTGTCCTAGATTAGAAAAAAGATATTTTAAATAATCAGCTTAGAAATATTTCAGTATTTGTTTTACCTCGATCACCTTTTTCTCCACCAAGACCCGGTTCTCCACGATCACTATAAATGTCAAAAGTAAGAAACAAGTGACAATTTTATTTTTTCCCTACATACCCTTTCATACCAATTGGTCCTGGTAGACCATTGACACCAGGTAAACCAGAGTCTCCTATAAATCGAAAAGAATTTAGATAATATTATTTTCTAATAAATGATGTACCTTTTAATCCTGATATTCCAATCTCGCCAGGTGGACCAGGTAAGCCTAGAATAATAGAAGGTTTAGTTCAATCTCTTTTATTTTTTTGCATAAGATTAAAATCATACCTGGAAATCCACGATCACCAGAAGGACCAACAGGACCAGGGATACCTATGATAATATTCATAAGTTTAGTATTTGGTAGGTAAAAAGAATAATTTTTTTACCTGGAAAGCCTGGACCTGGAAGTCCTGGTTCACCTTTGTCTCCTGCAAAAAAATAAGTTCATTTATTGATATAGGATCCATCTATTTCTTGTGAAAACATACCTGGACGACCTGGTAAACCTGGTGCTCCATCTGAAAAAAACAACGATGGAAAATAGAAAAATGATCTTAGTTATATGTAAGAATGCTTACCAAATCCTTTAGAACCTGGAAGACCTGGTGTTCCATCACGACCGACAATGCCTATATGAAATAAATGGTACTTAGTTTTAGTGATATGTTAAGATTAAAAGCTAAGAACACACCTGGTTCTCCACGATAACCTAAAGAAAATAAATAAGATAGAATAGATAATTGTTTTTAAAATAAAATTCAAGTTTTCACATACCTGTAATGCCTTTTGGTCCTGGAAGGCCAGGCATTCCTGGTAGACCTGCTTCTCCTTTAAGACCAGGTGTTCCCGGTAATCCTGGTAAACCATTTGGACCCTAATAATGTGATTAAAAAACAATGAATGATTCATAACAATTATATCTTACTTGAAGTCCTGGAGTTCCTGAAATACCTGCTAATCCACGATCACCTTTTTCTCCCTGTGGACCTGGCATTGATGAGATTCCTTGTGGTGCAGCTCGGCCTGAATAATAAAGAAAAATTTCAATGAATTTTTTATTATCTAAATATTTATATAAATATACCTGGTTCTCCTTTCGCACCGGGCGAACCGTGTGGACCAGGAATACCTATGTAAAAATAAATGATAGAACAGAAGTATGGAAAAGTTAAAATAAACTTACCAACAGGACCTGGAATACCCTTTTCACCTCGTTCACCTGGCAATGTAGCACCTGGTGGACCAATATCACCCATTGGACCTGGGCTACCTGGTGGGCCTGGTTGTCCTGGATAGCCAGAATCACCCTAAAGAAAAACAAAAGAGAAAATAATCAGTTTTTTTATTAAAATTTAATGTGAAAATGATTTACTTTTGATCCCGCTATTCCCATTGCACCTGGTTGACCATCTCGACCACTGTAACCCGGTGCACCTATGAAGAGAGGAGAATGTACGATATCAATAAATAAATAATGAATCATGTTTTACCTTTTTCTCCACGATCACCTTTCAAACCGGGAAGTCCTATTTAAAAAAAACAAATTATTTGAAAAGATTTATAATAAAAACTAATATTCTAACCTGGTGTTCCTTTTTCTCCAGACATTCCCTGTACTGTTGGAGCACGAGCTGGTTCTCCCTAGAAATCATTTATATTACTACAATTGATAGAATATTTATTACACATACTCTATCTCCTTTTTCGCCTGGAGTACCATCGTTACCATTACGACCCTATTCAATGTAAATGAAACCAATAATTTTTATAATTCATAAAGAAATTTTTTTTTAAATCTTACGGGTAAACCAGCTGGACCAACATTACCAGGATAACCTTGTGGACCGACATCACCTCGATCACCTTTTTCTCCTGATGTACCACGTTGACCAGGTGTGCCTTAATGAATATTATATTGTAGAATATATTATTGTCATAGGATTTGTTTTTTTTTTATTTATTTACCTGATTCTCCTGGAAAGCCTGGTTCACCTTTGCTACCTTTTAAACCATCACGAGCACCACATACACCTTCAAGACCTAATTGTAATATTTTTAAAAGATGAATCTTTCTTTTTAATTTTTTTTTATAAAATATACTAACCTCGATCTCCTTTAGAGCCTTTCATACCAGCAATACCTTGAAAGCCCGGTGCACCAGATGTACCAGGAGGACCAACAGCTGAATAATTCAATAGAAGTTCGTAAAAAAAATAGAATTAACTAAAAGAATACATACGTCCTTGAGGACCAGGTAAACCAGCACCAGCAGTTGAATTACCAGGTAAACCAGGAAGACCACGAAGACCACGGTCACCTATGATAATAGATAGATATTTAATTTTTTTTATCAACTGATTTACCTTTTGTTCCAGGAAGACCAGATTGACCTGGATAACCATCAATACCAGGTGGGCCAGGAATTGAGCGACCAGGTTCACCTGATAAAATAAAAATATTTCAATGTAAAAAACAACTAACTTCACTATTGAACTTACCTTTTGGACCTGGTTCACCTTTGGCTCCACGATAACCTTGAGGGCCTGGGAATCCAGATGCTCCAGGATCACCTAAAATAAAGACATATATTAAAAGACTCTTTATTATAGTGAAGTAAGTTCATACCAGGTCGTCCACCATCTCCTTTATCTCCTTTTATACCATCACGACCAGCTAAAAAATAACAATAAACATCAATATAATTGTATTTAAATAATATAATACTTACGTTGACCAGGACTACCAGGTAATCCATCGAAGCCACGATCACCTTTTGGACCTTGAGATCCAGGGACACCCTATAAATGAGATGTTTAATTCTGAACTATTTATTTTATATAAATATACTTACTGATGGGCCTGGATAGCCAGGTGCTCCGGGTGGACCTAAATAAATTTTAGAATTGCCTTCTTTTCTTTTTTACAAACTTCATTTAATTATTTACCGCGTTCTCCTTTAGGTCCCTATAAAATAAATATGATAAGTATATACATATATATATCAATAGACATTCAAACTTACTGTTGGTCCAGCTTGTCCAGGAGAAGCATCACCGTGTGAATCCTATTAAAAATTATGAATAGAACTTCAATAAAATATTTTTTTAAAATATACATACAGGTAAACACATGCCAGGCATACCAGGAAAACCACGATCACCTAAAAAGCAATATTGTATAGTTTTTTATCTATATAAAAGACAATAAATATTAGGTTAACAAACCTTTTTCTCCTGCTAATCCATTCGAACCAGGTCTTCCAGGACTACCCTATAAATTAAATAAAAGACGTTATATATTATATTTCTAGAATAGTTGATGACATACTGGTTGTCCAGGATAACCAGGGCTACCGCGATCACTGAAAAGATATTATTATTAATTAAAAAGAAATCTTAATTAAAAATAAAAGAATTTACCCTGCTTGTCCAGGAAAACCAGCTTGACCAGGCATTCCAGTAGAACCCTATTGAAAAAATCAAACAAAAATAAGAAAAGAAGTTAGTTACTAAAAGTACTTACACGTGGTCCAACAGGACCTGGTACACCCTTCTCACCGGTTAAACCTGGTGGTCCAGCAGAACCAGGTGCACCTGGATAACCAATCTCTCCAGGTTCTCCTTTATGTCCCATAGCACCCTTAAATTAAAAATCGATTAAATATATGTATTTCTTTTTTTTCTATAACGATATACCTTTTGACCGGGAGCACCAGGAATTGATATTGGAGCATAACTGTAGTTACCTTGTATTTCCGCAATAGATGGTGGATTATATGGAGCAGATGATCCCTTAATGTAGTATAAATCATAAATATATATTTTTGGAAAATAGTCATACATACTGGTTCTCCTTTTTGACCTTTTTCACCACTAAGTCCAACTCCAGCGTTACCTAACAGATTTTATAAAATTATTATTATTTCAATTCAATACTATTTCCGACATACCTGGACGACCTGAGTCACCTCGATCGCCCTTTGTACCCTTGAAAAATAATCAAATAGATAATAATTAATATGATCTGTTTATTATCATATAACTCACTTCACGTCCAGGAAAGCCAACGGTACCTGGAGTTCCTGGTATGCCAGAATTGCCAGAAGGACCCTGAAAAATAATACAAAATGATTTTTAAAGAACTACTATAAAGCCAAATCAATATTTACAGCAGCACCAGGAAGACCAGGAGGTCCCATTTCTCCCTATAAACAAAATAAAAATATATATATTTTAAATAACTATTCAATTTTATTTAAAAAAAGACTTACAATTTCGCCTTTGAATCCAGGTAAAGCTTGTGCAGGTTCACCTATAAGATAATAATAATAAATAAACACTAGAATTTAAGATAATCTTTCAATACCTTTCAGCCCTCTTTGTCCCGGTAGACCTAAATGATAGAAAAAAAAATTATACAATGAAAAAAAGAACATTATTTTTTTTGTTTATCGTTACACACCAGGTTCACCGGGACGACCGGGCTAGAATAAATAATTGAAATTCATTATTTCAAATCTTAATAAATCTAATTATAATTTACCTGTCCATTATATCCTGGTCGACCAGCATCTCCCTAAATAAATAGAAAAAAATTATCAATTTAAATAGCATATTCTTTGCTTATTACTTACTCTTGTTCCATTACAACCATCACGACCAGGTAAACCTGAAAAAAATAAATCGTTCATTCTGTTTATCTTTCTCTTACATATTGATCATTTACCTTCGGGTCCCTAAAATAAAAATAAAAACAAAATTTTATTGTAAATCAAATAAAAACGAATGAATAACTTACTCTTGGACCTGGAAGACCAGGTAAACCGGGATGGCCTAAATAAAAAACATATTTGTATATGTATATACATGAAAGAAATATCAAATTAATATATACCTGGCATTCCTGGTTCACCGGAGCGACCCTATTTATTAAAAAGAATAATAATGAATAGAATAAAGAAGAATTTACATATAAATTAAATACTTACTCTGTCACCTTTTTGACCAGGTAGACCTGGTAAGCCCCGATCACCTTTTTCTCCTTTCATACCCTCAGGTCCTAATAATTAAATAAAAAATACCTATAATATAAATTACAATACAAAAATAAATAAATTACCTTCGGGACCAGGAACACCATCCGTTCCACGAGCACCTGCAGGACCCATTGGACCAGCTGGACCCTAAATTAATTAATTATATTATAGAAGATGATTACTCTCCTTGATTTTATCTAAGGAAATTTTACCTGATCTCCTTTTTGTGCTATACAAAAACATGGTTGATTACAATTAGTGCAATCACCGCTGGTTTTGACATTTCTTGGTTGATATTGGGATGAACCATAGCCTGGTGCAAATCCATAGCCTGGTGGTGGTGTTACTGTATTGGAATCGTTGTACTAGAAGATAGATAAAACAACAATCATATTTGTATATAGATGTATATTCATTGAGTTTATTCTCTTCCCCTTAATTTACCCGTAAACTATTTATTATATCATATGCACATATGTCTCAGAGGAGTAGTATTGTCTTCTTCTTCTTCTTCTTCTTCTTGTCTGTTCATCATAGTACGGCATTTGCTCTCCCGTTGTTCTTTTTCACTCCGTAATAGAGAATGACAAAATAATTAGTATCGATAATGACGAGGCAAGTCACTCAATCATCACCATCACCGTTAAATTGACTCAAACATATATATACAAGCGCCTTTCGTGAACTCATGGAGATAGAAAATATGTCTGAACTGTTTATTCACAGTAGTTGCCTGTTTATTATCGCCACTACTAGGTTCTATATATATATTTGATTGCATCACAAAAAAAATCACGTGAAAATATAAACGTGTAACTAAAAACATATCAATACATACTCTTTGTTGCGCATTGCTTGTTTCAATAAAAATGGTTAGGATAAGTATGAATAAAATGGAAGCATAATTTAACCTAAATAAAAGAAAAATAAATAAAAAAATTAATAGTTATTTATCTGATTATCATATAAAAACTACATTGTATATATATCGATAGATTGCAAATGAAGAAAAAAAATGTATAACGATAGGATGATGTAATCCAGTTGATCTATCTCATCCATATGTACATCAATATACATTCACATATATTCTTTATTGATGTCCTCGAGCTTATCAAATCTCTGATCATTTCCATTGATCAGAGATAGAAATAAGACCGATTGCCTACTCATTATTGTGAATATTGGTAAATAGCTTGTCAAAATTGTCACTTATTACATAAATATATGTATTTCGAGAATAAGAGATAGATATCATTTTTTACGAGACTAAAGATGTAGAAGATCAATGGACAATCATAAAATTTACTCGTTTTTTTTTTTGCTTTTGCTTTTCACTTCACACAATATGAGTGTACAATTCTTATCATCATTTTTCACTTCAATTTAAATTTAGTTTGATATAACACATACGCGCGCGCGCGTTTATACATGTGTCATGTAAATTCAATATAGATGTAAAAAAAAAAATGAAGTGCTCATCGATTGTCAATTAAATAAAGATAAGTGAAAAGAATAACTGAAAATTGAATCAGCTAGATGACTATAACATTGATGTTTTAGTACATAATGTACAATCTCTTGACAATAAGAGAGAGAGTATGAAAAAGTAAACATTTAGTTCAAGGTAAAAAGATCGAAAAAAAAAATTCTCGGTTTTCTTTCTTGTAGTTGCATCATATTGGCATAGTCTCTTGTTTAAATAAAACCTGATGAACGACTATGCATGTATGTATGTTTGTACACATTATCAGATCATGTGTAAAGAAAGACAATGGTGATATTACGCATTACATACATTTAGTTTGTCTATTATCATTCTTAGAACATTGTTCTTTTAGTTGAACTTTATGAGAAAAAGAGAATATGTGTATCTTCAAGGTAGTACAGGGTATTACGATTACCACTACCCTTCCTTCTCTTATACAAAAAAAAAAGAAGAACAGAAATTGATAATAGCTGTTAGGTAAATAAACAAACTGATGTATTATTTATGTATGTATGTATGAGAATATGCAACTAGAATAATATGATGAATGATATTGTCTCTTTCTTCTTATATTGTTTTGAAAAGAAATTGACTAGTGGTCAAAGAAAATATAGATGATCAAACTACTTACTTAATGATACGAATATATAACCATTTTGTATTAAGTCTATGAAGGTTTATTCTTGTAAACATTTGGCATACGGATTAATTAATAAAGAGAAATGTATATAATAGTATTTTCTTAATCTATCTTTTTTTTATATTTTAAATGTCGATCGTTGTTTGATTCGATGACAATGACGACAGGTTGTTTACTATGGATTGTATCAATGATAGAGTCCTTCTGTTTTATTTTGCTATCTTTTAGTACTCATCGACATCAACGTTGGATATAAACGGCCTTAGCACTACTGGTAGTTGCCATCGTAGTGCGATAATTAATAATTCTCGAATATTGTACAGAAAAGAGGAAGAAGAAGAAGAAGAAAAACTAGTAACGTAATGTATGTACAAGACAGTGATAGAATAATAGAGAACGATGAACGCGTAAGGAAATGAAAGAAAGGAGAAAATAGATAAGCCAAAGAATTATTATATGATCTTAATATTCTATTAGCAAAAAGCCAAGGAGGAGAATTGACGAGGACAAATGACTACGATATTACTACGTAGTACTATAACCGCAAAAAGTACAAAAGTACATTTTCGATATCTGATAATAGTAAATGGCACGATGACTTCAAACAGAAAGTTTCTTTTGTACTGTTATTATTCATAATATTAGTTCTTTTTTTTTGTCGTGAAAACTAGGAGAAGAAGGAGAAAAAAAATGAACTGTTCTTTTTTTTTATTACTTCTTCTTCGATTTCATTAATTTACGGTATATAAATATGTGTAAAATATATATATGTATAGATGCTTCATATAAAAAAAAGTATATGTGTAAACGAGTTCTTTGATAAAATATACATACATATAACTCACTATTGGTGTTGGTAGTAATATCATGCGGTGAGAAACATAGAGAGAAGACGAAAGAATAAATGAAAGATATTTCTGCTTTTTGTTTATTAACAGAAAATATGAAGAAAAAAAATTGTTCATAGGTATGTAACAACAACGAGCGACGTCGCATGCCTATCGCTTTTATTCAGTTTATGTAACGACATGTGTGTGTGTGTGTATATAAGAGATGAACAGAAACGAAAAACTCTTACGAATGATCTATAAATGAAGGAGAAGGAAAGGCGAACTGGTAGTGAATAATGGAGAGTCTTTTCATATGCAGCTCTCCTCTTTCTCACACGCATATACATACATATACAAGTATACATATATGCATGTAGAGATCGACGGACGTTATAGATCAATTGGAATGAAAAAAAAAAATTGTTCGCATAACCGTTTGTATAAAAAAAATATTGAGTACTCTTTCTATCTTTTCATTTCTTCTTTCTTTTATTCTTCATTGTTGATTCAAACATTAAATAAGAAAGTTAAATACTTTACCTTATAGTCCGTAAACGGGACGATTTTGAATTTGTTATTGCTCGTTGCATGTTTTTCAATGGCCTGTCTATAGTCACGCGCGATCGTGCGGCGACGGACGGCTACAATAATTGTACTAAGATCGTCGTTGACGTTTGATCTGAAATAGACGAGTGAAGATCGAATGCGAAGAAGCGCAGAAAAAAAGTGCCAATGTCGTAGAAATTGGACTAGTTTTTTTTCTTTGGTACAATAATATCAATCGTCTTACCGCAATCATAGAAAAAGAGAGGAGAGAGAGAGAGAGAGAGAGAGTAAGAGAAGAGAGATGACACTCAAATCTACCAACCAGAAGAATGCGGATTTTGTTCTATTCCCTCTCAGTAAAAGATGAATATCGACTCTGCCTTGTTGCTTCTCTATAGTAGTGAGACTGATAACATACATAATATTACATACATATATATATATATATATATACATAAGACATTTTCTTCTCTTACATATGAACACATACGTCCTGCGTAATTTGCTACCACAACCATTATCGTTGAGTTTTCCTACAATACATTTGCTTTTTCTCTCAAAAAGGCAGAGAAAAAAATATAGAGAGAAGAATATGAGAGGGAACAGAAAAAAAGACTTGTTGTAACAGCTCGAATTAGTTTTTTTCGGACAAACTGAAGTCCATTACAACTGCTATCGTTATCTACTATTGAAGAATTGAACATGTTTTATATAAACTTGTCAAAAACATATTGAGTAAGAGATAAAAATAAAACAGATAGATAAATTTTTTTTTTCTTTTGTTTATTTTTTAATTACAGTTTTTTTTTTAGTTAAGATAGCATTATTTTAAATATACAAACAAAAAAGAAGAAGAAGAGAAAGAAATTGTTCTCATTTGTTTTTTAAATTATGTTGACATGCTTTTTCTTTTGTAGATTTTCGATTGATTGTTGAGTTTCGTGTGTCGTGTTTGTCTACGCACACGCGCCATGGCTTCTTTTTTGAGGCTATTCATCATTAGTCTTTTTTTATTTTTGTCCATTCTTACTCGAAGTGAAACTCGTACAGTAAGTATCATAAACAAAAGAATCGAGTTTTATTTAATAGACTGATTCTTATTTAAATTTTTTTGTATATATATAGGCTAAAAATGATGATAATGTAACAAATGTTAGAGTAAAAAGGCAATATAATCAATATCCTTATGACACACGACAACGATATCCGCAACCTCCTCAACCTCCACCAAGACAATCTCCACCGAATGATCCTGATGAAACATATATTCAAGGTTCGGAATGTAAAGGTTGTGGTCCACGACGAGATTGTCAATGTCCTGGAAAGGGTGCTATGGGTATTACTGGTAAGTTCATTATTTTTTTTTTCTTTAATGTTCAATGCAAATGAGATATCAAATCATTTTTTCTCTTAGGTCCACAGGGTTTTCCAGGTATACCAGGTGATCGTGGTGTAAAAGGTCCAGTAGGACGAGCAGGTAGTCTAGGTCTTTCTGGTGAAAAAGGTGATCGTGGTCAGTATGGTAACAAAGGAGAACGAGTATGTTATAATCAATCATTGTGATTATGTATTGCTTTCTTTTCTTTTCTCTTCTTTCAATTTATAGGGCGATGATGGATTATTGCCTATTGATGGTCAAAATGGTTTTCCTGGACAATCTGGTGCTATAGGTCCACGTGGTATTCCTGGTGTACCAGGCTGTAATGGAAGCAAGGTATAGAAAAAAAAAATGAACGATGTAATAGATCAAATGTCCCTGTATATGTGTTTACTGTATATAACACAATATGGTTTACATTTTCTTCTTCTCATCTCTTCTCCAACATTCTAATGAGATAAGCTTTGACCACAAATAAACCAAGGCCAGTACATATGAACTGTTATCACATGAGAAAAAAAATATACATTCTTCTTTTCCTTCTTTTTTCTTCTTATTCTTCTTCTATAGATAAATGAGAAAAGTCAATCATATATCCTTGATACCGAATGTCTGACGTAAGGATAAATGAAAATCATAATTACTCCTGTCTGTCACTGGTTTTTATCCGAAGATTCCCTATCGGCATGGAATTAACCATATTTCATAGTCAGACGACCCCAACGATCTAATTATCTAAGTTTATCACAGTACACTAGTCCTTGGTTTCTTTTTTCTTCTTGATATGGATAAATAAAAAATGACAGAAAATCATGATTATATAAATAATTACTTCGTTTTTCTTGTCTTCCTATATTATCCTTCTATTATCTATATGACCTTGGTGGTCTGATTCTTGTATTGTACTTTAGTACTATGATTGGCATATAAATATATCTATATAAATAACTAAACAGATATTTATAGAAACTGAGGTCATATATAGCAGCTGTAACAAGTCTTTGACTTCTGAGTCATGTATATATATTTATAGATATATACGTACATATATAAATAGAAACTGTCATCATTAGTACTAGTGTCTACTAGCAAATATCTTTACATAATATTATTCAATGCATATATGTATAAATAGAAAAGAAAAATGTGTAGATAGACAACTAATGTTGCGACAAGCTTATGCATGTTGTAAACAGTTTCAGTGATGAGTGCTTTTTATGGTATGCTAACATATATATATAAAGAGAATTTTCCTTGCTAGCGATACGTTTATCCTACTAAGAAGAACGATAGAAAGCGAGAGTGTATATATGTATACATAGATATGTTTAGATGACGTAATATCGTTGTGTAATAAATAGTCAAGCAATATTCAAGTAGATTCAACGTAAGCGATAGATAGAAATGATAATCAGTATGATTAACAAATCTTCTGGAACAAAGTAATAAAACAAATAATAAAAGAAGAATTGTCTAGTGCAACAAAATGTAATTGATCCATATGATCATTCATATTCACATTTTATATATATATATGAACTAATCGATCATACATTAACGTGATGATCTTTGATTTTTTTTTTCTTTGTTTATAATTAATAATTTTACGGAATATCATAAAATGCTTGTCATTGTACGTGACAGAGACTATAAATGGAAATCATCAATATTTAGTCATAGATCAAGGTCTATCGATATGTGTCTGTCTTATCCTGTCGTCATAACTAAAGATTAATTTAATCAATACCCTGAGGTTTTTTTCGTAACTGAGGCATATTCTTATAGATGTATATATATATATATGTGTGTAATAGAGAAGATTATGGGTGATATGGATAACACTATACAATTGGGTATATTATATCTGTCAGTGTCCAACTTTGAAGTGTCTGTTGGTCAGATAAATTGATTATATATCTTGTAACCTTTAGTATGAATATGAATATACAGAAAGAGCAAAATGTGCACAGTTGCCAATCGTTCTCAAGAGAATAATATAAGAAAAATCTTATTTAAACAATAAACAAAAAAAATTAATAAAGAATATCCATATTGTTATGAAATACTCTTTGATAATAAGAATAAGAATAATTTTTGTAATTAACAAAAAAATAAACATTATGTAAAAGATGATTATTAAATAATTTATTTGTGGAAATGAAATATATGATCATATTATAGGGTGAAGCCGGTGAAGATGGCCGTATGGGATTAGATGGCTTACCGGGTGCAGCTGGTACACCAGGTCGAATTGGTGAACAAGTTAGTTTTGTTCTTCTTTCTAATCTGTATTACTTAGTTGATTATTAATTATTATTCTTATATAAATTAGGGTGAACCAGGTGATGCAACAGGCCTTAACGGTATTGTATCAGGACCACGTGGTGATCCTGGTCCAGCTGGCCGTCCAGGTGTTCCCGTAAGTTGAAATATAGAAGAGATTTCATTAGAATATCATATTATAAACATTTTATTCATAGGGCTGGCCTGGTCCACCCGGTGCACCAGGTTTATCAGGCTCATCAGGAACACCAGGACCAAATGTACGTATCATGTGACTTTTTTTTATATATTTTAAAGTTTTTCTTTTTTATCGTAGGGCTTACCAGGACCAAGAGGAGATCCCGGTTTGCCAGGTCCCGATGGACCAACAAGTTACGGTAACAAAGGTAAAAATAAATGACATTTTGAAATAGAAGAATATTTCAATGTAATTTTTACTTTTCTTTCTAAGGTCAACGAGGTGAACCAGGTATGAGAAGAATATAGTAGAAAGAAGAAATTCTATATGTACATGTATTTTTTTCTTTTTATTAAGGTGACAATGCTCCTACACCAGTCGATACAGTTTCATATGGTCGTTTACGAGGTACACATATATTTTATATTAAAATATATTTAGATATTGTTAAGGATATACAATTATTAGTTAGTTCGAATTAATCTTGAAATTTATATTATTGATCAGAGAATTTAAAGGGAAAGATGTACATAAAATATATATTCTTTTAATAGGTATTACAAATGTCAATGGACCACCAGGACTACGTGGTCCAGATGGTGATCGTGGTTATAGAGGAGACCGTGGTCAACCTGGTTATCTGGTACGGATATTTTTTTTTTGTTTTATTAGTTTCTAAATAAAATTAATGTTTTATTCGAATAGGGTATTGATGGTTTACAAGGATCTAAAGGAGAAAAAGGTGATATTGGCTCACCTGGATCACAAGTAAATGAATAAGAAAGAAAATAATTTATATATTTATCTATATTCTAAAAAGGGTAAACTGGGTAAAGAAGGTCCTGCTGGTCCATATGGTATCAAAGGCGCATCCGGTTGGTATTCTCTTCATTATTTAAATGTATTCTAACTATTTTTTTTATTTTACTATAGGACCACCAGGCCCACCTGGAAGTGATGGTTTCCCTGGTGGTAAGTGAATGAATATCACAATGACTTTGAAAATAATATATTTTTTATTTTTATTGTAGACCCTGGCCAAAATGGATATCCTGGTTCCAAAGGTCAACGTGGTGACCATGGTCCAGCTGGTCCAAATGTATATAATAAAAATTTTAGTTTTTTCTTCAATTTTTACTTTATGCCCGTTGTAGACTTATGGTAGCAGACGATCTCGACCACTTCCTGGACCACCTGGTTATCCTGTATGTATTGCATATTTATTATTACAAATGAGTTTTTTCTTTCTCTCTCTCTAGGGAATGACAGGTGAAGCAGGACCAAATGGTTATCCTGGATCTCCTGGTTTTCCTGGTAAATAATCGAATAATTATGAGCTATAAATACAATATTACTTAATATCTCATAGGTCGAGAAGGTATTAAAGGTGACCGGGGTGATTATGGTTCACCTGGTAGACCTGGCCCTATGGGAGAAACAGCTGATGCAGAAAAAGGAGATCGAGGCTTAGATGGTATGTAATAAATTACTTATTATCTTTATTGAAATTATATTTTATCTATGTTTAGGACTACCTGGTAGATCTGGCCCACCTGGACCTGCTGGTAATATCTTTAAATTTACTGATTTTTTTATACATATGTATATAAATATGTATTTATTTTAGGCATGCCGGGAGACAAAGGTGGAATTGGTGAAAAAGGATTTGTTGGTGAAGAAACATATGGTATATTTATTGTTCTATTTTTTATGTCTTAAAAATTAAATATTTCTATATGTAGGACCACGTGGTAACAATGGTATTCCTGGTCGCACCGGATGTAAATTTTCTATTTTATGAATGTTAAATAAATAAATAAATTTGTTGGATTTCTTTAGATCCCGGATTACCAGGACTATCAGGAGATGTTGGTGAACCAGGTCTACCAGGTAAAGACGATATTATATTCTTATATAAATATAATACTTACATATTTTCTATTAAAAAGGTCTACCTGCTGAACCAGGCTTTATAGGTTATCAAGGTAAGATATATATATATATTTAATCTTGTATCGATATAATATATTTACATATATATTGTATTTTAAGGATATGGTCCACCGGGTCCACAAGGGTGAATATTTGACTATTTTTTTATGATTAAATTCTATTCAATATATGATTATTATAGATATCCAGGTCGATCAGGACCACCTGGCGCACCGGGTTTTCCAGGTATATATCGAAGTTTGATCTTTTACTAGCACAGAGTAAATCTATTTGTATTATTTTAGGTATTCCTGGATTAAAAGGTGATGGTGGTAAGTTATTGTATAGAAACTAGAATGGAATTGATTTCAATCTATTGCTCGTTTAAGGTGAACCTGGTGGTTGTGGATTTTGTCCACCGGCTGTTTCTGGTCTTCAAGGAGATCGTGGTACTCAAGGTTATCGTGGACGACCAGGCGTAAGCAACTTATCTTATGATGTTGATTATTTCATTAATATAATTTTTATTTATTTTTAGTTACATGGCGCACCCGGATTTCGAGGTAAACATTACATTACTTTGTTTGGATATAAAATGACAAATTTATAATTTAATCTAGGTGAAAAAGGTGATGGTGGACCAAGTGGAGCACCTGGTCCTGATGGTTTACCCGGACCTAATGTAAGGAATCGAGTTTTATAAAAAAAAAATCAATAATAATTTTTAATATTATTATAGGGCCTTCCTGGTCGAGATGGGTATCCAGGTTTACGAGGACGTAAAGGTGAACCAGGTGAACTCATTGGTGTTGATGGTATTAAAGGTCGTCGAGGTATGCCTGGTGAATCTGGAGGAAAAGGTTATCTTGGTGATGTTGGTGAACCTGGCGTAAATGGACGTGATGGGTATGAATATTATGAGATAGATCTCATGCGTATATTTTAATACTTATACATTTTAGTTATGATGGTATTCCAGGTGCACCTGGTGCACGAGTATGTTATATAATTGAAATTTATGTTACTAAATAATAGTTTTTTAAATATAGGGTTCCTCAGGTGATGCTGGACGAGACGGTACTCCAGGTGTTTCAGGACCTAAAGGTATGTTTAGTCTTGTCGTTTCTGTTTTGTTTTAGAAAACATTGCAATTTATACATTTTATTTTGCTCATTTCGTAGGTCCACAAGGTCAACCTGGTCCACCTGGTCAAGTATTTTCACGTGGAGAACGTGGTCCACAAGGTGAAAGTGGACCACAAGGTAAAACTGGACGACCTGGTATGCCTGGTCCACCTGGTGAAGATGCACCAATGCTACTGGTTACACCAGGACCACCAGGCATTAGAGGATATCGGGGTGATAGCGGGTAAAATTTTCTATTTAATATTACTATGTTTAATTTTATTATATTTCTTTTTGTTTTATTGTAGTTCTGCTGGTCAACCTGGTAAGTAGTCAAATAAGATGTTTCATACATATTTTTATTAATATTTAAAATATAATTAAGGTATTCCTGGATTACCTGGACGAGATGGTATACCAGGTGCAAATGGTTATCCTGGTCCTAAGGTAATATTGATATTTATTTTAATCTTATTCAGATAAGATTTAAATATTTCTATTTTCATTTTCAGGGTGAAGATGGTCGGCCTGGATTTCCTGGATTACCAGGTTTGTTTATCTAATTATATATTTGTATTAAATCAATGATATAATTATTATTTTTTGTTTAGGTGAAAATGGTGTCAAAGGTAAATTATTAAAACAAGCCGAAGTTCGTATTTTTATCTAGCTAATTATTTCAAATAGGTTATCCGGGTATGGATGGACGACCTGGAATTGATGGACGGTAATACAATTTAATTTGTATACATTCATGCTAGTTTATGTCATATTTTTAGACCTGGTCTTCCTGGCATGAATGGACAAGCTGGTCTTCCTGGGCTAGCTGGAGCTAAAGTAAATTGAATAGATAAATATTTTTTTATATTATCTATATTATAATATTTTAATATAGGGTCAACGAGGTGAAACTGCTATTGCAACAACTTCTGGACCACCTGGCAGTGCAGGTCCAAAAGGTATTACTGGTCCACGTGGTTTACCTGGTCTATCAGGACAACGTAAGTTGCAAATACTATAGAATCTATTGACCTTCATTTGAAATCATCTATCATTTTTAGGCGGTGCACCTGGCCCACGTGGTTTATCAGGCAACCCAGGTAGATAAACTATATATGAGATTGTTTTTTAATTTTAAAATATTTTTTTAATTAAAGGCTTAAATGGTCTTCCTGGACAAGCAGGTTCAAAAGGACCTAAAGGAGATCGAGGTATATTTAAAATATTTAAATAAAACAAAATATATGAAAATTATTTTAGGTGGTTCTGCACCTAGTTTATGGGGTGACGCTGGTTTGCCTGGTGTTCGTGGTCGACCTGGAAGTAAATAGTTTTTACGTTTGATATTTATACATATTAATTTTTATTATCATTTAGCTCCTGGAAGTGCTGGAGCTCCAGGTAATCCTGGCCTTGCTGGTTATCGTGGTTTACCGGGTGATGCAGTATGTTTTTTTTTTGAGATGATTGAGATTGATTATTTTATATATTAATGAATAGGGTCGAGCGGGTCAAAATGGTTTACCTGGCTTTCAAGGCAAACCAGGCGAACGTATGCATATCATTCTGTTTTCTTATCTTTATTCTGTACAATATATATTTTATTGAAACAGGTGGTGACAATGGACTTGACGGTTTCCCAGGTTTGATTGGAATGAAAGGTATGTATTACTTTATATATATTTAGTAATTTTATACTAATGAATATCTTTTTTTTTCTTTAAAAATAGGTCGCCCTGGCGTACCTGGTGAACGTACGTATATACGAATATCTTTCTACAAGTTAATACTGATCATATATTTTGTTTTAGGCGGTATTCCTGGTGGCGCAGGTGTAAATGGACTTCCTGGTTTTCCTGGTCCTAAAGGGCTTACAGGTATATTTGTTTTAAAATTAACTTGATTTATTTGACAAACTTCATTTGATATCTCATGCAGGCGATGTTGGAGAACCCGGTCTTGGCGGTGGACGTAGTCAACCAGGTCAAAAAGGAGAAATGGGTATGTATATACAAATGAAGAACAAAAAATATCAAATAAAATATTATGTTCTAGGTGAAACTGGTGAAGTTGGTCTACCGGGTATTAAAGGTCTACCAGGAGATTCTGGTACATGTATGTATTAAAGATAAGACGAAGAAAACAAAACAAAAAACATTTTTATTTTTTTTTCAGATGGTTCTAAAGGACTTCCAGGAGATGTTGGGTAATACAAAATTTTTATTAAACTATAGATAAAATATAAATTTAAATTTATTTAATCTTTAGATTTCCAGGTCTACCCGGCACTGCTGGTCTACCTGGCCGTGAAGGTATATTACTTGATATTAAATGATCTCATTTTACAGTATATATCTTGTTTAGGACGTGCTGGTTTACCAGGTTTGAAAGGTGAAATAGGCGATTCATTTAAAGGCATTAATGGTAAGTTCATATTTTATTCTAAAAAATAAAAAACGTTTAACACAATAATTCATGACTGCAGGTATACGAGGTGATCGTGGTTTACCTGGCCTTCCAGGCCTACCAGGTGCTCCAGGTCTTCGTGGAATGGTAAGTAAAATTACATCATTTTTCTTCAAAAAGAAACAATTTATATATCTTTTTTAGCCTGGACTTCCTGGAGGTAGTGGTTCACGAGGTCTACCAGGACTTGTTGGACTTTCAGGTAAAATAACAAAATCCAATTCAATGTTCAATTACAATTTATTTTCTTGTAGGCTTGCCTGGTTTAAACGGTGCACCTGGATTACCGGGATTGAAAGGTCCAGTAGGACAGAGTGGTACGTAGTTTGATCTACTTTCAATAATAAATATAACAAATATTTTGTATATAGGACTTCCTGGAGGTGTTGGAGCTGCAGGTGATCGAGTAAGTTAACAATGAGTGAGATTTTATTCAAAAAACAATTTTATAAATTTTTCATAATATAGGGTTTTGCTGGTCGTCCTGGCTTACCCGGTCTCCCAGGTTTGAAAGGCCCGGCTGGAGATCGAGGCCGAGATGGACAAGCTACACGACCAGGTTAATAAAACTTATAGAAATATTTGAAATTTGAAAATATAATAAAACCATATTTTCTTAGGAGCAAAAGGAGAAGCAGGTGATGCTGGTGCACCTGGATTACCAGGACTTGCTGGAATGATTGGTGATGCTGGTATGTATAACTTTTTATAACGCTGTAATCTTACTATTTATACATGTAAATTTTCTATTATAGGTGTTCCAGTAAGTGAATGAAATGAAAAAACAAATAAGTATTAGATGTTACATTATTTTATTTGTAGGGTTTCCCAGGCGCTGTTGGTCTACCAGGAACACCAGGTAAAATAATAAAAACATTCGTTATGAAGTATAATTTATATAATTGGTATTTTCAGGTCGTAATGGTTATCCTGGTTTACAAGGAGAACGAGGTTTAGGTGGTATACCAGGAAAAACAGGACGACGAGGTAAGTTATTATTCAATATATATAACTATTATGTTATCATATCTATTATTTCAGGCTTACCTGGCCTACCAGGATCGAAAGGAAATTCTGGTTTACCCGGCCGTCCTGGTGTTAAAGGTATCCCAGGTGATAGTGGTACGTAAAATTAAATCTATTATAACGTGATCAATTGAATCATTATTATTTTTAGGTGGTCAATCTATGCCAGGTCTTCGTGGTGATGCTGGTCGTAATGGCCTTCCAGGTCAGCCAGGTACTCGGTAAGTTCTTTCGACTAAAATCAATATAATGATTATATTGCATTATTTTAGAGGACCACCTGGAGAAGTTGGTGTACCAGGTCCACCAGGTCCTGATGGTACGTTATCTTAATCATTATTAGAAATATCTTATTTATTATATATCTATTATTCTTAGGCCGTGGATCAGCTGGTGAAAGAGGACCAACAGGAGATCGTGGTTTAGATGGTACACCCGGCCGACCAGGTTCAATTGGATATTCTGGACGAGATGGTAAACCAGGTTTATCTGGTCCTCCTGGTACATATAGAAAATTATTTATTTTTCCAATAAAAAAATATTATTCGATATTTAGGCGGACCAGGTCTTCTTGGAATGAATGGCCTTCCTGGCGCTCCAGGCCTTCCAGGCCCTAAAGGATTACCAGTAAGAATTATTCTATTAAGTTTATGTTTTCATTCATTTTTATTCAGGGTCAACCGGGTCCATCCGGAAATTCAGGAATTCCCGGTAGACGAGGTGAACCAGGTACACCAGGTAAGTTCTTATTGATAATTCAATAGTCAAGAATTTATTCTATTTATTTTTTACTTAAATTCAAGGTTTACCTGGAATGGCAGGCCGTAAGGGAGAACTGGGTGATGCAGGTTAGTCTCAACAATATTATTTATCAATTAACATAATTCAAATTTAATTTAATTTATAGGTTTACCAGGTGCTAATGGACTTCCTGGTTTACCTGGTCCTAAAGGAGAAGCAGTTCGTATAGACGTAAGAATCGATTGAGTTATTTTATATCTATGAAAATATTTGCTCTTAATATAGGCTATAGTAGAACCAGGTCGTAAAGGTGAACGTGGTGATCAGGGACGAGCAGGTAAGAAACGAACTTATAGATGTATATTTTAAATATACAGTTTAATTCTATAGGTGCTAGCGGATTGCCAGGACAAGTAGGTTTTCCTGGAGCAAAAGGTTTTCCAGGTCAAGTTGGTCTTTCTGGACGTCCAGGTAAATAATTTCCCTAAAAAATATCTCGAAAATCAATTAACCATGGTCTTTTTTTTCTTTTGTACTATAGGTAATCCAGGTACATTGGGTGCTCGTGGTTCACTTGGTGATGGTGGATTGCCTGGAGCGTAAGTTATATTTTTTTTCTTCAATATCGCATTTTATTTTGTTTTTTTCCCATCAGACCCGGTTTACATGGTCAACCAGGTCCACCAGGTACGTATTTCTTATTAGAAGAAATACAGAATAGCAAATAGACATTTTTCTTCAATAGGTATTGCTGGTCAACAAGGTCCTCCAGGTGATAACGGAGAAGGATCATTTGTATTCACACGGTATATAATATTAATATAATGACACAATAAATTTATTTATTTATTTGTATATATATATAGACATAGTCAAGATAAAACAAATCCAAATTGTCCACATTCTACAACAAAAATGCAAGATGGTTATTCATTTATGGGTATGCAAGGTGATACATATGCTGCTCATCAAGATCTTGGTATAACTATTTTCAAAAACAAAAAAAAACTAATCATTATTTTGTTTTCTTTTATAATAGGTGGTTCTGGTAGTTGTTTACGTCGTTTTAGTGCAATGCCATTTTTATTTTGTGATATTGGTAATATATGTCATTACGCATCACGTAATGATTATTCATATTGGTTATCAACCAATGAACCAATGTCAGCCAGTATGGCACCATTTGAAACAAAGGATATACCAAATCATTTAAGTCGTTGTGTTGTTTGTGAATCACCTACACCTGTATTTGCCATTCATAGTCAATCACAACGTGTACCTGCATGTCCTGAAGGATATGATCTTTTATGGAGTGGATATAGTTTTATATTTACATCAGCTGATGGTGGTCGTGGTGATCAACAAAGTTTACAATCACCAGGTTCATGTCTTGAAAAATATCATGATCGACCATATTTCCATTGCAAAGATCATTCACATTGCAATTATTATCCAAATATGATGACATTTTATTTAGCTACATTAGATGAATATACTGGTTTTGAAAAACCAAAATTACTTACATTAAAATCAGGTACACAAAGACAACATGTTAGTCGATGTGCTGTTTGTCATGCAAATTTATTTAAACAAACAGCTAGTGGACCATCAGCATTTTTTGCACAAGTGAAAAAAATTTAAATAAGACACAAAATTGAAATATTTTATGTTATATTTTCTTTTGTCAATTTTTATTTCTCAGGTTTTTTTTTATAATTAATGATGACTCTATAACAGTGAGATCAATCATTGTTTGTTTGTTTGTTTGTTTTTTCTACGCTCTTTTATTATTATTAATATATGTGTGTGTGTAATGTTTAGTAGATTATACTTGTTTGATTATTTGTTTTTCTTTTGTCGTCTATCTAGTCATCAAAATAAAAGATTATTGAAACATCAGAGACACATAGAAATGAAATTAGTTTTAATTAACATATGACCAATACATTCTTTTATAACGAATCATGTTTCTTATTTGATCTTGTTAGATTTATCATGAACTAATCTAATATTCTGAAAATTAACTGAATAAAGATTTGCTCTGAAATATAATACGAAACTTTGAAATCTACGAACAAAAGAATTTCATTTCTTCTAAAGCATATAGTCATAACAATCGATTATTAAATTTACGAATGAGAGCAGAAAGTTTTTAATTATCTAATTTCTATAACATACATACATGATTTGATTTGTTTGATGTAAAAAAATAATTTATTCTCGAGTTTTGCTTCTGTCATGTTAGAAAATTTCTTATTAACTTTATTCATCTTATTAACCCATACAAATCCAACTTGAAAAGGCTTTGATCGATTTGTTATGTATGACAATAAATGACATAGAAAAAAAACAGTTCTTTCTTTTTAACTTTAATATATTACATATGCAAAAAAGATGTCCTTCAGTGAAATATATACGTGTATATTTAAGTTAAATTATGCAACCTTGACGACTAATAGAAAATAATGTAAATTATTTTATCATAAAACATATAATACTTTTTTTTTTCTTGAAGTTTTATTTATTTCGAGTTTATGTAAAGAATTTCTCTTCTTTTTTTTTGTTTTATTGAGTAGAAATAATGCTGTTAAGGAAACTATTTGATTTGAGTTCGGAAGATTAGTCTGAGAATTAAATATTAAAATTATGAATAAATTCTATTCTTCCTGTTTCCGTTTACTATTGGTTTTGTATTCTTTAATTTTTTAAAAAAATGATTCCCGTATAGAATTAATTATTTTGTTTATATAATCAATGAAATATATAAAGAGTTTTTGCTTTTCACCTATGATAAAACTACTTGAAACTTTTTTTTTAAATTATATTTATTCTTCAAGGATAAATAATTATTTATCTTTTCATTATTGTCTCCTCATTTATACTTAAGTCCAAAAACGTTTCTTTTCTTTTCTTTTCTTACAAAATAATCCACTTGCTGTTCTATATATTTTCTTTTATTATTTAGTAATGATTGTCTACCTTCAGCGTGTTTAATGATGTTTTTATTATATATGGACATCCGAATGTGTTAGGGGAAGAAAAATAATGAAGCATACCATAATCAGACAAAACAGAAGACGATAAAATGTTATAATAGGGAAAGTAGACAAGTAATATTTCAACGTAAAGTTAGTCATACAATATTTTTATATAAAATTCATCGAAAAAAATATGAGAAAGTTTATTTTATGTCCATTTAAAATAAACATACATATGTTGGTCATACAAACAAATTATTCACATTTTTTTTTTATTGTAGTAATCATACTTACTTTTTTCTCTGGCAAGTATATTTAATTTATTTTTTTTTGAAAGAATCACAGTGAGCGAAAGAAAATAAAGCGAAAGAGCAAAGAACGAGAGACGTTTGTTGTCATTTCATTGCATCTCCACCTATCGAACAACTATTACTATATTGCCAACTATAGTTCAATTTTTTTCACTTTTCTTTTCTTCTTTATTTTATTAATGTATGTATAGTCGATTCTTCAATGCAAAAAACTTATCATAACTATTTACATCAGTGTTCAGTTATATTGTCTTCTTTTTTTTTAAGAAGCTATAAAAATGTTTTACATAATCACCATCTAAGTGGTTATATACATATATTGTATACCATATATATCAATGTTCATTTCATCTCGAATGCCACCATCAGCAGTTCCTTTGTCTTCAACAATTATTAACGATAACAGTAGTGATAGTAGTTATAGAACAACTTCAACATTATTAGTTCCGCCAACATCTTTACCAAAACATTTTAATGTACCATTTGCTATTCAACACGGATATTTTCGTTCAGTACGTTATTTATTAGAACTTCATTATGATCCAAATGAACGTGATAGTCAACTTCGAACATCATTAATATTATGTGCTTATATTGAAAATGATCGATGGCGTCTATCACTTGTACAAAATCTATTAGAAAAAGGAGCTAAAATTGCTTTAGATGATCATACTAGACGAAATGCGTATGTTACTTTTTTGTTGTTGTTGTTAAATATATTAATTTGATTATATTTCTTAATAGAATGCATCATGCTTGTGCTTTACAACGTATAGAACTTGTACAATTATATTTATCTTGTTTAGATTATAATCTCGAAGCACAAGATTGTGAAGGAAATACTTGTTTACATTATATTGCTATTGTTGGTAAATTAAATTATGAACTTATTTTCATTGAAAATCTTTTATTCAATATTTATTTTAAGGTAATTGTGAAATTGCTGAATTACTTATGAAAGCAGCAGAAAAATTTGGTATTAATCTTGATCGATATGTAAATCGAGATGGTATATTTGATTTCATTCATTTACTAATAATTATATTTTTTTTTGTTTCGTTTAGGTTGTTCAGCAGCTGTTCTTGCTCTTAAATATGGACATCTTGAATGTGCTAATCAAATAACTCATCGTGATTGTGATGAATTTTATATGGTTCCACGTCCTTTATCTATTTATGAAAATAATTCAACAATAGTTAAAAATTCAAATGGAACAAAATTAAAAAAGAAAAATCAAAAATCTTCATTAAATAAAACTGAAATTTATCCACCAGTAATGCCATTTGGTCTATTGAAAATTATATTTAATGATAATGATATGAAATATTCAACTCATTTAGCTAATATTTGTAAGAAAGATAAACAAATTCGACATGTTAAATATAAAAAACAAGAAGCACCACAAATATCGTCAATGACAAATAATAATAATCATAATACCGATCGAACAAAATCAGCAATAGTCAATGGTAATCAGTATTCTAGTACACAAGTCTTAATTAATGAAACTCATTTATTAAATCGAATAAAAAAACATCAAACAAATTTTGATAGTAATGAAATTTCACATAATACCGGTCGACTTAGTCCTCGTATGCAATTGCTTATACATCAACAACGTCTTTTAAATTCGAAAGATAATAATTCATCATATATACAAAAAGCTGCAAGTAAAACACAATTATCAATCGATGATATAAATTCAATTAAACTAAATAATAGTTCAAAAACTGATAGTGATAATATCAAATATAAACAAAATATACCAACAATGCATAGACAAATATCAGTGACAAGTTCGAATCAATCGGATACTAATCCTCCAAGAATAACAAATCATAGATTTCAACGACCAAAAACAACAATACTACATAATGAAACATCTATTAATGCTATTCCAACAGCTGAACTTAATTCGACAAATTTAAGACGTATACAGAATCCATCGGCACCACTGAAAAAGAGATTCTTATTAAATGACCGTACGGATACATCGTCCGTTGTAACTAAACAAAATCAATCAACAGCTGGATCACAATCATCTACATATCCTCAAACAATATTGACCGGTTATACAATATCAACAGCTACACAACAATCTACAACAAAATCGAATGATCTATCATGTCCTATTCAAGAAGCGAAAGGCCCTACAAGTCGTTATAATAAACCTGAACAATTATTTGGTCTTCGACCTGAAGAACTTTTCGGTTTGAAACAACATCAACCAAAAATGTTTGATCAAATGTCAACAACCAAAACTGATGATAGTATACGTTCAAAACGTAGTCAATTACAAAAAAAACAACATATATGGCAACAAGATGTTGATAAACTTCTTGAATTATATAATATTCATCATAGTGTTACTTATCGTAAATCAGCTATACCACCACCAACAACATTAACACAAGGTGTTGTACAAACAGAAACAATAACTGAAATCATACCTATCGCTCGATCTCGACGATCATCTATTACAAAACATACTGTCATAACTTCAAAACCACCAACGAATCATTCAAAACAAACAACAGTTACTTCAGGAAGTAATTCTCGACGGAATTCTACGCATCGTCATACAATTAAATTGGCGAATACATAGACATTTAAATATATTAAATAAAAGTGTGAACTTTTTTTCTTTATTATTTTGTGAAAAATTATATGTGTATGTGCTCGGTCTTTCTTTATTTCACATAAGAAAATATATTAAATTGTTTAATAAATAATTGAAATAAATAAGTAAAAATAGGATGTGGGTAGGTGTGAGGGCGTAGGTATGGATACTGTATTCACCAACCACCCACACCCTCGATTGTAGCCTGTGACTATGTGCTTTTGTTTTCCTGAGCATCACCAGCCGATTCAGTACAGTTCAGAGTATCTATTAGAGCTATCAAAAATAGATGATTATTATAGTAGAGTTTTTCGCAAAAACTTAGATATCCGTAAACTCCAAATTTGAAGCACACTTAACTTGATCGACAAAAAAATTATTTCTTATTGATTCTACGAGTAATATATCGATAGTAAAATGCTCAGAAATATGATCACTAATTGATTGTAAGATTAACTTGTTTGACAATGTATATATAGTACAAAAATCAATCGAAGATCTGTATGAATTCTTATTGAATAGCTGACGATTAAGATTAGAGATAACATTCGACTTATATAATGATATTCATTTTGTATATACTTTAATACTGAATAGAATTGTTTTGATTGAATAGAGATGACATTTTCTCGGTAATTTACTTTTAAATATTAATAATTTTCTTGAATACAACTTTGATTTTTTTTCTTCTTCTTTTATTATCAATAGAAAATACTGAAGTAATTTTTAGTTACATTGGAATAAATTTTGTTCGTTCGCTTTATACATTACTTGGCTGAAATAGTTTGAATAAAATATTAAGATTCATCGAGTAGAAGAGCTAATGGTGCAGCAGTTATTTCAGTTGGTGATTTGATAGTAGAATGTCGTTTATTCGACAGTGTACTGTTCATTTTTGAATAAGGACATGAATGGTGTTCAATTTTATTCGATTTTGTAATAAATTTATCAATATTTTCTGGATAACTACAGGTTTTTTTCATAATACTAACATTTCTTTTCCAATCACGATCACATTGTTCTTTCGTTATTAAATTCCCCTGAATATTATTAATACGTTGTAATAAAACTTGATTATCATCTGATATACGTTTATATTCATGATTACGTTGTTGAGAACGTTTAGTATTGAATATTTCTAAATTTTTTTCATAAATATAATTTTTATTATCAACTATCGGTTGTTGACTTGCTTTACGTAAACGATCAAGTATTAAAGAATTTTCACGATAAATACGATTAAATTGATTTTGTTTTTCCACTGTATTTCGTAAACGAGAACGTTCAATTTCTTTATAATGATTTATTGATAAATAATATAAATTTGAATTATATGATTTTTGTTGTTGTTGATGAAGATTTGATATATAATTTAAATATTCTCTTTCATGAATTTCACGTTTCTGACGATCACTACGTTTATAATGAAGAGCATCTTTAACTGTAAATGGCATTGAAGAAAAAAAAAAGAATGAAAATTTTTTCTTCTATCTTTTCATCGATTAATAACTTAATAGGAAATGAAATAAGAATTACTTGTGAACGAAGAAAATATATATATGTTAGAGAAAATACTCAAGGGTCTATTGATTTTTTTTCACTAATAGAAAATATCGAGAGAGAGAAGAAAAGAACGAGAATTTCTCTTTTGAGATATTATTAATTTTTTATTGTCATATCTCGTGCATTAAATTAAAATAAATAGATATTACATTTTATGATAGAAATGACAATTATTAACATTACTTTTGTAAACATGCAAAATGAAAATAATTTAAAGCTTAAATATTGAGTGAATTTTTTTATTATGATAAGGTCATACTTTAACCCGTTCAAGACGGAAACATTACAAATTTATTAAAATGTGAATATCAGGAAGTTTTCGAAATTACATTCTTTGAGACAGCTGAGATTATGCAAACTAGACAATAAAGCTTTGTATCGCTCCGGTTTTTTACTCGCTGGATTGTATGACTGCAGATGAAACAGCGTTTTTTGATATTATCGTCGGGGATGAATATAGTGAACATTCAGTTGAAAGTCTAACTTTCATAGATGTTCGCTTTGATTTGAGCTCTCGAGTAAGTTGCAGACACAACTCTGATAGCTTAAAATTATCCCGTGTTTTTTTTGTCTTACGCATGACATAAGAGTTCATATAATCATATCGATAATGAGGAAAAACCAAGGACGAAAGAGCGTAATTCGGATTCCTGAGGATTCCACAAAACCGTTCTGAATTCTTAGCCCTTTCAGGACGAGTGGTCACTTTCCAAAAAAAGTTTAAATGTCTAGATGTGTACCATTTTTCTATTCTTTTACCTAATATTAGCCTAGATGGCTATACAAATGATACAGGTACATACAGTAGCCATCCTCAAACGATAAATTATGCCTAGTAAAAAGAAAAACTAATTGACTTTAATTAATTCTGTACTTCATTATTTTATTGGAAAAAAATCCCGTCCTAAAAGGGTTAGATTCCAGATTCCGCTCTTTCACCCTTGGGAAAAATTTGTATGATTGCAATTGTAATCGATGCAGATCATAATACGAACGTGTGCAAAGAGCAGACATAATGTTAACTTCGAACTCTCATACATCAGATGGCATGAAGTTCTTCAATGTATCCAAAACAGTCAAGATTATGTGTATGTCAGTAAACATTATATGATATCATAATCAATTGTAACAAACTTTCTAAACAATAATTATATTTCATCAAAACAAAATGGATTTAATCTTTATATATATATGTATGATTGACATATAGTTTTGATAAGAAGAAAGTAAGAGACAAACAACAAAGCAATTATCTAAGATACGAACGATATTACATTCTAGGTCAATACTCGTCTTAGGCTTATTTTTACTATCGAGGCAGAAAAAAAATAATAATCTACACTGACAATCTATCAATGACTGGTTAAATTGCTTTTTACGATACAGATAATTCTATCTAGGGATACTTATTTTTTGTTATAACGAAGATAAACTTTTTACTTTAGTAAATAGTTTTTATATCATATCATCTGATACAAATATTGAATTACACCGAGCAGCATACAAAGGTTTTATTTAAATTTTAACCAAAGTAATAATAAACATAATATCTCTTTATAACAAAACAAAAAAGTAGAATTTCTTTTTGTTGTATGTACATGGAAAAAGTTTTATGAACGTTTTTGTCGCCAATTATACATATTTTGTAATTCTTGTTCTAAATCTTCCTCATTATCATCATCATCTTCCATTTCTTTTTTAATTTGCTTTTGTGATTTTTTTACTACTTTAAATCGATTATCTTTAACATCATGCATTTCTTCAATTTTTTGCCATCGTGTACTAAATAAATATGAAAAAGAGAAAATTAGAAGAATAAAAATCATTTATACATACATTAATTCATCTGTTTCTACTATTTCTCTTTCAACATCACGATCAATATCATCATTTGCTTCTAATTTGTCTGATATCTAAATTATGAACAAAAATTGATTTATTAAAAAAACAATATTTCAAATTTTATACATTTGTTTCTTGTTTCATTTCACGTGTGAATGTATCCCATTCAATTTCCATTTTATCAACATATTCAACTTTTCTCATACGAGCATCTAATTCTGGATTATCGAAAAATCCTTCGGGTATAGCCGAAGATTTTTCAGTTGATGCTGTTACAATATTTGTTGTTGGTTGTGAAGTTATTATAACAGGTTTATTTGTTTCGATTTGTGGCTTCGATGATTCACTATCGAAAAAATCTGAAAGAAAAATTTTTCTATACATCAAATAATTGGAAGATTTTTACCAGCAGGTAATGCTGAATTTGAAATTGTTGGAACAGTAGCTGACGGTTTACCAACAATTACATGATCGTTTGAATCTATGAAATAATAAGTAATGATAAATTTATGGATTCAAATTTCTATGTAATAGACATACCTACTTCATGAGGACGTTTTATACCTCGTTGTTGTTGTTGTTGATTGGGTAATGGAGGAGGTGGAAATGGTTTAGTAAAGACTGAATCAGAGTTAGTTTGTTTAATATTTGATTTTAATTCTAGGAGTTTCTAAATATTAAAAAAATAGATCCAAAATGAAAATTCTTAAATTGTAAACAAACTTGTTTATGTTCTCGTCCATTGATATGAGCTTTCCAAAATGTTTCACTGGTTAATTGTTGATTACATAGTGCACAACAGAGTTGACCTGTATTTGTGTATCTGAAAATTATTCACTATTATATTTACAAATTTCAATTGTAAATTTACTTTGCAAGTGGTGAATCGATTCTTTTTTGTTTCTCTTGTTTCATTAGTTGACGAAGTGTCGTCTTATCTACTGATTTCGATGCCATCTAAAAACAAATATCAATTCAATTTATGTCTTTTTTCGAATGTTTATTATAACTTAGATTTTTTTTTCTCCGAATCGGGAACAATAAGACGATATAAAGAAGTAGATGAATTGACAAATGCCACAAGATTTATGAGAGAAAAAAAAGAAAGAAACAATAAGGAAAACACACACATACGCGCAATGAACCAAAGAAGAAAAAAAGAATGAGAGAAATAACAACAACAACAACAACAACGAAAAAAAAATGTTCAGCAACCAACAGCCAAAAAATAGAAACAATGTATTTAATCAATTAGCACCATCAGAAAAAAAGGGATATGTTGGAAACAACACTGTTCTTTCGAAAGTAAGGAGAATTTTTTTGTTTTTTTTGTATGTCTACGACTGTTCGAAGAGAATAAAATTCTCTTCTTTAAAGTTTTTTGTTTTCAACGAAATGAACAAGAGGAAAAAAGGTTACACACATTCACACGAAAAGTTTTCTGTATTTTTTGTTTTTTCTGTTTTCTTATATACACAACAAGCAAAAGATTATTTACATACGTATAACAGGCCATTGTCTTTATGTATTCATCATCTTTTCCTTTTCTTTTTGTTTTTCACTGAATATATAAATTAAACAAAATAAAAAACAGATGATCAACAAAGGAATGCTATAAGGATATTATGAGAAGGGGCGAGGATATATAAATTGCATAGATTATGGGTTCTTTTTTTGTGTTTAATATGGAGAGAGAGAGAGAGAGAGAGAGAGAAGAAAAAAAATAAAGAAAAGGTATTGATGAAAATAAACCTGTTTACTATATGATGGTTTCCTTTTTAAAATAAAAACAAAAACGAAAAGAAAAGAAAGACAAACGGCACTGTATAAATGAAAATGTGAAAAACAAAAGGAGAAAGTGCAAAGCTGTATTACTGATGAACAAAAAAAGAAGAAGAAGAATCAAACGCGAACGAAAAGAAATTTCTCACTCACTCACTCACTCACTCTAGTTCTAAGACCAAAAAAAAAGAACGAAAGAAGAAAAGAACGTTTCGTAAATTTTATATTTTGTTTTAAACGATTGCTTGTCGATGATGAATATCTTGTAAAACGGGTATAACATCATCAACTAATGCAAGACGTTCAAATATTGGTATAAGTGTAAGTAATTCAGTATCGTGCATATCATCAAACCAACTAGTTACAGGGACCTTTGAATAATAATAATAGAAATGAAAAAAAACAATTTATAGATTAATTTTTGTTTTTACATACTGCATTATCTTGATGAAATATATAAGATACCGGTGAATTATCAATAATAATTACTTTCCGAATATCGCGACCTATTCTACTAAGATCTTTTATATAATTTCCTTGAAAAAACAAATAAAATAATAATTTTTGTATATTTTTGCAATAGTTTCTTTTACCATTATAATAAGTACAAGATTCACGAAAAAGTCTTGAATGAAATATTTGATTTGGATCGAGTAGATCAGCAACTGGATCTGCATACTAAAAAATAAAAATAAGAAATTAGTCATCATATATATATCAGTTTGAAATTTTATTACTTTTGCGAGACTAGCAGTAAATAGAACACATTCATATAGTTCACCAACACGACGTAAAAATTCATCCACATGTGGTCGTTTTGTTACATAGACCTTGAGAGAAAAATATAAATACACATATCAATATCTGTTAAATTCCTATTTATCAAAAAGCGAAATTAATGATAATGTCAAAATAATTGAGGTAAGAAAGTGCTCAGTTATCAATAAAACAAGAATTCTGTTTTTTTGTACTTGATAATCTTTCGTTCTTATAAGTCATGCAAAAGAAAATGACAAGTGTAACTAACGGAAATTCATGAATAATTAATTAATTGGTACATCGTATATTTATTCAAGAGAAAATTCAGGATATGATATTCTCTTGAGATAATATTAATAATGCTTTTCAGTACTTCAATTTTCCGTTAAATTGAATATAATCTTTTTCCGGTAGTTATGTTGAATCTATAAAAAGAAAAGAAAATAGAACATACTTGATGAACTTGTCCATCAATTTCAACTGGTACAATAAAATCTGCATTTGGTACAGGTTTAAATGATGAATGTACGAGTGTTTCATCAAGATCAATAACTAAACATATTTTCACTCGTTCGTTAAGATGTAATGTTGGTAAAAGAAATTTTTCGCCTGACTAAAAACATGAAGAAAATTTGAATTTGTACAGATTATTTTGTATTAAATAAATAATTATGTATTAGTAAAGGTTAGTTTTGTTAGAAAATTAATTATATACTCAATTGATATACCTCGAAATGTGCATTTATCTCTGTATTTAATGCAATTGACTATAATAAGATGAAGAATTTATAAATATAATACTGATTTTATTTTTTAAAAGTTTTTTCTTTTGAAAATTATTTACTTCTTGATTAACTGGACTTTCAGTAGTTTTTGGTGAATAGTTAGCACTTTTTGGTCGACTTTGATTTGATACATTTAAACAACAGAGTAAGATAGACATAAAACGACGTTTTCGAGTTGCACGATCTTAAAATAACAAATGTATATATATACACATATAATCGATTTTCTATTTTTTGATTAAATACTTTTTGTTATTGGAGATGTTCCACTTGTAATAACAGTACCAGTTAATGGCACTGATTTATTGATATCATCATCTTTTGATACCTGAGTTATAATAGATGATAAATCCATATCTTTCGATGTTTTATTCATTGTTAAAAGAATATTTGAAAAAAATTTTGAAAATGAAGAAAAATGAAAAATTTAATAGAAGAAAATTGAACAATATATTGACACCGAGCTAGCCGTTGCTCGTCGGATGATCAAATAATATTTTACCAAACGACATGAGCTTCTAGAAAAATTATGATTGTAAGATAAATACCACTCTTGTCGTTGTCACAATCTATAAATAAGAATGAAATTTTAAGTAACCATCAATAACGAAAAGATAGAATTTCATCTTCTACATGTAGAGATATTACATCTATCGCCACTTCAATAGATGTATATACTATGTAATACCAGCCATTATTGATGTTCATAGGCCTTCCTTTTCTCCTATGTAATTAGTTTGACTGACATTGACGACCTCTATTTATCAAAATACTTTTAATATTCGAAAGAAATTCGATATGAAATATTTTCCTTTTCTAATTTTTCTTTAAAAAAATTTTACCTATCAAATATTTAACATTGTTAATTAATCAAATAATCAGATGATTACAAATGATGAATCATTTCAATCCAGTCTCTGTCTTCATTTTCTTCCAGGTCGTTTTTTTTTATTTGTTAGTATTGTACATTACCATAGATAATTTCAAGAATAAATTCTATTCAATCTTTTTTTTTTATATCAGTCTATATTTATTAATAGTATAATCTATAGTTTCGTGTATTTTTTTTTCCAATTGACAGTATTAAATATATAGAAATAGTGAATGTATCAATTATATAGTAAAATTTATTATCTGGACAAAATCTTTTCGTTTCATTTTTTGATTAGAGATCAAAGGTGAGTGAAATTGATTTGTATTGTGTATAATTTTTTTTTCTTGTCCTTTGTCTATATTTACACAAGTCTCCATCTATTCACCTGTTCTTTTTCGTTCATCGTCTGTCATTTATATGACAAGAGAGAACAAGAGAAAACGTACGAGATATGTTAAGGTGATTATTGATTAACATAATACTTCACATTGAGACTAAAAAGATTTTTTTTGTTGATAAGCGTATTAAAATTTATTATAGATTGATTTTGTCTATCATTATTAATAATGACACATCCGAGAAAAGAACTAACAGTTGCATGTAGTTATCTATTACGATTAATGAAAGCACATGTTGAATTATCAACTGAACAAATCAATGTTTTTAAACGAACTTTTCATGATATATTATCAAAACGTTATATAGGCCATTGGTTTCCAGGTAAATATATTAAGTTACAAAAATTGACCGTTTTATTTTTTCTTTTTCTTCTAGCAACACCCAATCGTGGAAGTGCATATAGATGTCTACAAACTAAATATTGGAAAGATCCAGTTCTTAAATCAATCGCTGATCGTTCTTGTATACCACTTCATCGATATCTACCAATCATATTCACTATGTGGATTGGTAAAAAAATCTTTTCTTCTTTTTTTTATTATTAAATTATAAAACAGAAGAGAACTAGATATCACATTGATTTATATGAAGGAATACTTAATAATCAAAGATAGACAGATGAGATAGTCTTTTTGTTTGATTATGTAACAGTATGATTATACTATTAAACACAATGGTTATAAATCATTCAATTCTACTGTTATTATGTGTCTTTCTCAGTAAAGTACATTGTTGATAATCATCACGTTATCTTCGCTAATTTCTTACAGAATCTTTTTAATACAAAGACATTTAATTGAATATAAATCTTGAAATTGTGCACTCTGATACAAAGTCTATATTTGTATTTATTTTTACTAAATAATTAATCTTTTAACGGATAACTTTTGAATGGAACAGTGTGAAGCGCAGGAAGGGGGTAGTAGGAGGGAATAGAATATATCCCACCGCTTGTAAAAGGTTAAAAACAAACTTAATCTTTTTTTGTATCTAACATGTAATAGATATTAAGACAACAGACAGCTGTTTTGCTTTCCATTATTAAATATAATTACTGAATGAGCCACTCTTATCGCTATGTTTAACAAGATGGAAGAAAATATATTACATAATATTCAATTCATTTATCGTACACATCCTATTCTTCCGACAGTTTATAGGATATAAGACAAATTATCTATCTGAGAATATTTTCGGACATCTTTTATAAATTTTATAATGTATTTCTAGATCCAGGTGAAGTTGCCGTTTGCTTTGGTGATGATGGTACATGGTGTCCATTATACAAACAAGATATGGATGATGATGAAATACATCAGGAATATAGTGATGGAGAAGAAACAGTTTCATGTTTTGCATCTGATGATGATTTATCAAATTTAACACAAAATATTAAAACATTAAATATTGAGAATAAACATATTCCAATCAATACTTTAACAACAGATAATCGTTTAGTGTCTTCATTAGAAAATAGTAGTTGTACATCAAGTCCACTATTAAATTCAATGACAACAAATACACAGTTTCATAGTATGAATGATTATAATTATTCAAGATCAAATGATTGGAATGTTCCACAAAACAATTTCTGGTGCCAACAACAACAACAACCATTAACAATGTCAGATGGATTTTATCAAGAAGGAAATTTTTAAGAACAAAAAATGCTAGATTACTGTACAAATTATGTGTGTTCGTGTGTGTGTGCAATGGTATTCTATCTTTCTATATTTGTCATATTTATTCTTACAAGTGTCCATGAATTCATCAGATCTGAAGAAATAGTCCTTTTTTTTATATTGTATGATTGTTGTATTTATTCATCTATATTCTTTTTCTGTACAAAAAAGTAAACGAAATCACAAGAATGTTGTATATATAAATATAATGACGATTTGTTGTATGATAAAAATAACGATTTTGCTCAATTATTTATTTCAAAAATTATGATTATGAGATGATCGGAAATATTCTCTTTCTCGTAGAGAAGAGTCCAGTAATCATAAATTGTTTGCTTGTATGTCCGCAGGGTCAAAAAAACATTGAAAATCAACTTTCACGAAAAGACATTTCTAGAGGTTTTTCGAATCTCATGTCTGTTGGGTGACGATGGTGAGGTGTGGGTGAAAGGTCAAAAAAATACCGAAAATCAATTTTCTACGGTTTTCATTGTTTTTTTCAGTAAATGTGAAGAAAATGCATTTCTACGAGAAAGAGCTAAGCGGGTCCTCGGAGGAGCGTTACTTGTTAATTTTTGATTAGAAAAAAAAATATGTCAAAACACGATAATTTCATAAAAACAAAAATAAATCACTCGTTTATTATTAAAAATATAAGTGCAATTTTTGACAAGTTAATATTATAATTCACTCTTTTTTTTGTCAAATGACAATGACAATAGATAAGAAAAATTTATCACGAAATAAACAACTAATCGTATTGGCTAATTATAAACACGAATGAAAGTCATTGGAAATACAATTGTCGATGGAGGAGGAAGAAGACAAGGCTGTCATTTTATTACTTTATTGAAATGTATAACTTTATAAAAAGAAGGAATTTATATAGGAAATAATTTTTTTAGATTATTGAACTTAATTTGTTTATTAATTAATTATATAAATAATAATGTCGGATCAAGCATCATCAACAGATACATCGGAACTTAAAGCTGGACATGCTCCTGCTTGTAAGAATTATTTAAGATTAAGAAAATAATCTATTTCGTTTATTTTTTTTTTCTTAATAGTAAAAGTTGGTGGTATGCGAGTTGGTGCAGGTCGTCCTCGGCAAACATCACAAGGTGATGATAAGGATAAAAATGTTAATAACGAAGAAACAACTGGAGATAGTACAAACGCTCGTAATAAAGAAAAATCAGCTGGAAATGATGAAGAAGTTGAGGATGAACAAGGGTAAGGGTTAATACAAAGTTTATTTCTAATTTATTCATTTGTTTTTGTTTTTCTAGAACAGTATCAAATCGTGTCGCTGGTCAAATGGTATCTGGAACTTTTGTTCCTGTATGTTATTAATTATTCTCAAATTTCAATTCTATTTTCGTTTTCTTTATATAAATAGGTTGAAAAAGCTTTTCCAACTGAAGCAGTTAAACATATTCATGACAAACCTGGTACCCATGCTAAACATGACTTTCATAATCATGCAAAACATGATGAACAACGTCATATAAATCAACCACGAAAACAATGAATGAATGAATGAATGAAAAAAAATACACACTACAACTCAGATATTAAATTTCCTTTTACATTTTATTGTATGCTTTATGTCATATAAACGTATTGTGTTGGGTTTGGGTTTATTTGTTTGATTTTGTAGTTATTAGAAACACTTAAAAAAAATATTCCAGCATTTTATCCTTTGATTTTGTTTTCTTTGAAGATTAATAGAAAAATAAAAGATGAACGACGATGGTGAATTACCTTCTATATTCAATAATACTCAAACAACAGATAATCCACCATTATTTACTTGTTCACTTAAATTAGACAAACATGATTATGAAAAAAAAGTAAGTTTCTTTTTTCTTCTTCTTGTTACTGTAATCAAATAGAATAACTGACGTCACAATTATATACATGTAATCTTGACAGATAGAGAATATATAAAAATTTGTTGTTCTTTTATGTTATTTGAGAAACCTTGAGATTTTTTTTTTGTTTGAAAAAATTCATTTGACCTTTACAATTATGTATCGAAGAAAAAGGATGTAAATATTATAAATTCTTTTCTTCAACGGAATTATAGTAAATATTTATTTTTATTTAGATGCAATTAGAACGAACATTTCGTCAATTTATTGAGGAAGTACGTTTAAAACGAGCTAATCTTCCACCAGAAGTACAAACAGAAATAATATCAAAATCTGCTCCACTAGAATATTATGATAATTATTTTATTGATCGAAATGGTGATGAATTATCATCAATTAATGTTGGTGCACTTCAACAAGGTTGGCTTATACCGGATTATGAACAAGTCTATCGTATAGCATTACCTGATAGTGAACAACATGCATCATTACAACGAGCACGTCGGCCTAAACCATCATGTTTTAATTGTGGAGCACAAGATCATGGTGTTCAAGGATGTCCAATGAAATTAGATAGTGAAAGAATACGTCGTAGTCGAGAACAATATCAAGAACAAATGGCGGATGCATTTGGTTATAATGATTTATCACAAATAAATAGTGGATATGGAAATAGTAATGAACCAGCAAGTCGATATCATGAAGATTCGTATCAATCAAGCTTAAATGATCAAGTTATTATTGAAGAACGTTTTCGACGATTTGCACCTGGTTGTGTTGGTTATGAATTACGACAAGCATTAGGTTTACGAGATAATCAAATACCAATGTATATTTATAATATGCGTCGTTGTGGTTATCCACCTGGATGGTTACGTGAAGCACGTGTTAAAAAATCTGGTTTACAAGTATTTCATGATAATGAAGAAGGTAGAAAAAGATATTTTTGTATAAACAAATAAATTATTTTATTATTGTTTTAGGTGAAATAATTGAAACGAAAAAATCTGAACCAATTGATCCAACTGGACAGGATAATGTTTTTCCTGGTGCATTATTAGAAGATAATGTACAAACACAAGCTGATTTAAATGTTGAAGATAGTTATGAATATGATTTTGATAAAGTTGTTTCTTATCCAGGTTTTAATGTTCAATTACCAGATGGATTTATTGATGAATCTTATACATGTCCAACTTTACCAGCATTTGATAAACAACAAAGTAAAGAAAATCTTATTGAAGAAATGTATCTTTTAAAAAAACCTTCACTTAAACGTAAATCAACACTTGAAACATATAAACCAACACCAATTGAAGAACTTAATACACCTAAACAAGCAAAAGTATCATCTCTTACAAATGAATCTAATTCATCATCAATAATAAATGAAAATGTACAATCATCAGCAAATTATGAGCAAAAAAGTCTTGGACAAATTTCTGGTACACCTTTATGGATGTTTAGTAATGCTCCAAAATTAAATGTAACACAACAATTACCAAGTCGAAATCAATTTCAACAAGGCATTTGTGATCATTTACCATTCGAAAATTTACCTTCATATCAAACAGAAAAAGTTGGACGTATTGTAAGTTTAACAAAACTTTTCTTTATTTTCAAGATAGAGAAGATATTGAGATTTAGATTTCAATTTAACTAGAAAGAATTTCATCTAGTTAAATATTATTGATAGCAAATAGATAATATATTAGATACATTTAAAATTATGATAAGCATTTATTAACAGAATAGTGAAGGATTATTTACATATTATGTTATAAAGTGTTTGATTTATTGAATAGAAAACTGATGACAAAAACTTGAGGGTGTGGATGTTGGTATTTGTGTGGGCATGAGTGCAGATGCGCTGAAAGAGAGTGGATATCAATAAGGTCGAGAATGTGGAGATAAGGTGGAACTTATATGAAAACACCAACCCACAGTCAAGCTCACGCCCACCCACACGAACTCACAACCAAAGCCGCACCCACCCGCCCACAGTCACGCCCAAGCCCACCTACACGAACCCACAACCAAAGCCGCGCCCATCCACCCACAGGCACGCCCACACGAGCCCACAGCCATACCCACCTTCAAGATCAAAGTAGGATTTACCAATTCACATAGCATCAAATATCTGGAGAATTCTTCAAGCTATTCTTATAGCCTAAAGTGCATTTTGATTCGAGATTCGGATATTTCCAAATTGTGATTCATTTTATTTTTCAGATTTTGCATGATATAATATTTAAATAATTTAATATTTGCTTTTTTAGTTTGATTTGCTCAAAGATGTACAAAAGCGACTTGAAAGTCTTAATAATGATCCATCATCTGTATCGAAAGCAGACGATTCGAAAAATGATAATAATATGCAAATGTCTCCAGAACATACACCTGAATCTTAGAAAAAAAATAAAAAGAAGAAAAGAAAAATTTCATTTGTATATACAAATATATTATCTCTGTATGTTGTATTTGGTATCATGCTCGTATTCCTTATTTTTTCATGTCTTGAAATTCTCAACGAGTAGAGACTAATTCAATTGTTTTTCTTGGTTTTTTTTCTTTTCTTTCTCTTTCAGATATTCTTTGTTTAATAATAAAAAAAAATAATGACTGATAAAGTGCAAACGGTTACTCAAAATAATATGAATTCATCATTGCTTACACAAGACTTGGCAAAAATTATTAAACGTTATAAAAAATATTCTTTATATATAAAACGATTATTGGAAGAAACTGATAAATCTTACAGTGAAATAATTGATAGACATATTCTTACGCCTGGTGTGTAAGATTTTATTTTAACAAATAAATATACAATTCTATTCTTTATCTTTCTCATAGACAAATGCTCTAGTATTAAAATATCAAAATCTGATCGTCAATATATTAATTCTTTACCATCATTACCACTAGGGTTAATTGTTTGTTCACAAACATATTATGGAAAAGCACGATTTGTTAATGAATTTTTAAATGAATCTTTATTGCCCGAATCATCGATTGTTAATAAAACTGATGTTGTTCGTATGATTCGAATTATGGTAAATCTTTTTTTTCAATTTGCATAAATCATTTTCACAATTTACCAAAGCTCTTAAATTTATCTACAATACTTGATTAACTGAGATTATCTGTCTGAGTATATAAATAAATACTAGATTATTCAAAAGGATATACACGAGATTATTGTAAGACATTTTCTTTTCTGTTTTTGAGTGAGGTACGTACTTTCCTATAGTAATGCTTAATACTGCGTTAATCAAAAGGTAAGAAATTTGAAAAAAATGATAATTTATAGATCTCTTTACTAATGGATAATAAATCGAGTGTATCATACCTATTACTTTAGTATAGTTATAACTCATTACAAGCAATTTATCATTTTTTATATAAGATAGGGTAGTTTGAAGTTCCATCAAACATTTTTTTTCTCTAAAGAATAGTTGGACTTTGTACATTGTACTTCTTGAAGAGAATCATACGTTCTATAGTTACGTATCTTTAACGATCAATACTAATCTCATTCACTAATGAAAAACTGAAAGTTCAGTATTAGTCATTAACCTTTCTTTTATCTGACATCATCAATCATTTTTTTCTCTATTATATATAACAAAACTCAAGTCAAGAATTTTTTTTGTATAAGATGAAAAATCACTGTCAACATTATTTTTAATGAATATATTAATTCACTTCATTTTTCAAAAATCCATAAAAGTACAGAGAGAAAAGAAAATGCATAGATTCAATTTACAATAATATATTACGTATTAGAATAATTTTTCTTTGTATTTTAGCATCATTCAACACCTAGTGCTAGTTTAAATATATCCGGTTCATTTGAACTTCTTGAAACAGATTATGATCAACGATCACTATCATGGTCAAATGCTCCGCGTGATTATATAATTGTCAAGGATGAAAAAAAATCTACTCTTTCTTCTGATGAACATGATCACGAAGAAACGGCATTATTAGAAATACGAAAACCATTAGAATTTCTTGGTAATAATTTACAAATTTTAATAACACCAACTAATCAAAAGTTACATGTTAAACAAATCATTTCACAAATAACAGAAAATATCATACCAATTTTTATTTATATTATTGATCAAGGAAAATTATTCGATCATGATATAGTAGAATTGGAACTATTTCATAGTATTGCACCCGATCAACCAATATTATTTATTCGTATTGATCAAGATAGTTCGTAAGAAGAATAAGCAAAAAAATAATTCATTTGAAAATTATAATTTTAGAACAAAAGAACCAACTTCAAATATTGGTGAAACACCATGTGTTCAAGTATTTCGGTAGAAGCTTCCTTTTTTATTTTAATATTTATCAAACTATTATCTATTAGACAATTATGTGATCTTGGTTTTCTTTCATTATTAACCACGGAAAATTGTGAACAAACACCTGAAGTAAATTTATCAAAATTTCAAAGTGATATGATTGATAATGGTTTCAATAATTTTCCATTATTTTTAAATTATATTAAAAAACATTTAAATCGATTAACTATTCGAGCAGGTAGAAAAAAAAACACTTCTGAAATATTTTAATCTCTTTCTATTACAGTTAGTATTATACAACGATCACACGAACTTTGTCTAGATCTTTTCAATGATAGTGCTTTTGATATGGCACGGTAAAATAAGCTACAAATGTTTTTTTTATAAATATTTTTTCTTTTCTATAGAGATATACTTATTACACCTAAACGAATAAGTTATGCACATGAAAAAGAAAGAGAGTTATATGATTCATTAATTGCTTTAACAAATTCTAAACAAAATGAAATTCAAAAATTAATTTTACAAGCTGTTAATGATAGTCAAGAAAGATTAACTGATCAAGCTTGTTCATTAGAAATTCCAGGTATGTAAGAAAATGAAAACTTTCGATAGTTCTTCCTCAAGCGACGACAATCAATAAATACATATGCTGCCGATGAGAGACATACCATTTTTCTAAAAGGTTTATATAACACTCTTACGAGGGAACTACCCGAGGCATCAAGAAGCTTTTGAGCTGAAATTTGCCCACAAGTAGGGGATACATAGACTAGAAAAAGCCTAAAAGGGTATGTACCCAAGTCGATGTTTGCCTGAGATATCGACTATTTAATGTATTTGTTCTTTAGGGCCCTATCTGTGCGGTATATTCATGTGAAACCTAATATCCATAAGAACGCGTCTCTATGCTAACATATTTGTATCTCGGAGATAGTCTTTGAGAAACTTCTGAAACTTTGTAAGCAAACTTGTCTGATTGAGGTCTTAGTGTGGATAAAGTTTCGGGTTTAAACTCGAAACTTTGATTTTACCGCACAGATGGGACCCTAAAGAACAAATACATTAAATAGTCGATATCTCAGGCAAACATCAACTTGGGCACATACCCTTTTAGGATTTTTCTAGTCTATGTATCCCCTACTTGTGGGTGAAATTTCACCTCAAAAGCTTCTTGGTACCTCGGGTTGTTCCCTCGTTAGAACAAAAGTTAGAGAAATATTCCGATCGAAAAATACCCATCCGCCTTTTATTTTAAAATGGGTAGTTAGCAATTGATGTATGATGTTAATTTTTTTCTACGTTATTTTATACCGCAAGATAAATAGAATAAAGCACGGTAGTCTCATATTTCAGTTGATATAAAAATAAATATACGTGCGTTTGTTATGCAAAAGATTAGCTATTGTATTTCTTTTTTTGATGGAGTAATTATGCGAAAATTTAGATTTTAAGAAATCGTATTTCTATTTTTGTTTTGTTTATTATTATTATTATATAGGAATTGAATTAACTGATCAATTAACAGTTAAAACAGCACGAGATTTAAAAAAATGTACAAGTGTTATACAAGAATTTATACTTGTTCGATTAAATAAAGCAATAGCTGATAAATTATCATCATCAGTTAATATTTTACATCAAGATTATGTTGGAACATTAACACGTTGTTTAAAAAATTTAGAAAATAAAGAAGATGATGAAACAAATGTATCAGCAAGTAAAGCATTACATGAAGTATATTATAATAAATAAATTTATTAAAATTCTTAATTCTGATCTGTTTCATTTTAGATTATTCAATCAGCTTATCAAGTTAATATAACTTTACAAACGAATTCAAATTTATTTAAATTATTAATTGATCGAATGAAAGAAGTTAGTTTTTCTTCTATTTTTTAATATCTAAATTTGAATTTTTTTGTTTTTAGCTCTTTCGAACATTTAGTTGGAGTAATTGCCCACGTATTGATCCTGAATTTAAGCGTTCAATTGCATCGAATATGTTAAATAATCTTAGTGAAGCCAAGTAAAACATTGTTTTTTTTTCTTAAGTTTTTTATTTCGATTCAATTCTTTTTAAAGATTAGCGAAAAGTGTTTGTACTCAATTAAATGATCGTATACGTATGTCGCATTATAATTTTGAAAGTTTACTTAAACAATTAGAACATCGACATTCTGATCGTTTAAAATCAACGGAAGACAAACAACAACGTGTACGAAAAGATTTTACACCTAAAATAGCTCGACATTTACTTGAAAGTACATCATTAAAAGATCTTATTCAATATGATTTACCAAAACAAGGACGTGAAGTTGGACGTGGACAATATGGAGTTGTTTATGAATGTGAAAGTTGGGCTAATCAACGTTCATGTGTTTTAAAATCTGTTATACCACCTGATGATCGACATTGGAATGATCTTGCTTTAGAATTTCATTATTTAAGGTTGATTTTTTTTCTTTTAATTTTTTCTATTTTTAAATAATTTCTATTTTTAAAGACGAATTCCTGATCATCCAAGAGTAGTTAAATTAATTGGATCAGTTATTGACTATTCATATCCTGATCATACACCAGTCTTATTAATTATGGAAAGACTTTCACGAGATTTACATATTGCTTTAAAAAATAAACTTCCATTTCAAATAAGGTATTGATATATTATTCTACTAATAAATAAAAGAAAAAATATGTTATTTTTAGAATTCGGATAGCACTAGATGTTGTGGAAGGTTTACGGTATTTACATGGATTAGGATTGGTTCATCGGGATATAAAATTGAAAAATGTTTTGGTAAGATATTTATGATTAGAAGCAAGATGAATATTAAGTAGAGAGTGGAGATGTGCGGGATTAAGTTTTTCTAGTTTCGGTAGCCTAATCTGATTTGATGTATTCTGTTTTTTAGTTAGACGAAGCAAATCATGCACGTATTACTGATCTTGGATTTTGTAAACCTGAAGTAATGATGAGTGGCTCTCTAGTTGGCACACCCATTCATATGGCGCCCGATTTATTTACATCGAAATATGATCATACAGTTGATGTTTATGCATTTGGTATATTATTTTGGTATATATGTTCAAATGGTGTAAAATTACCGAATAATTTTGATGTTTGTACATCGAAAGATGTTCTCTGGTCGAAAGTAAAACAAGGTCTACGACCGGAACGTTTAAGTGTATTTACAGATGAATGTTGGGAAATAATGACAAAATGTTGGGATACTCAACCGTCAAATCGACCTTATCTAGGTGAAGTTCAAGAAAAACTTGAACAAATTTTTAGTAAAGAAATTATCAATGTTTAATTTTTTTTATAATTGTCAAATTGTTTTTTTATTTTTTATATGATTAAGCTATTTTTTTACAGATTCAATTTTTTTTATAAAGATTTATTTTCATATATATTAAAGTGCAATATATACATACATATTTATATATTTTGTTAATTTTTAGTATAATGAAAAGAAATCGTCGTTTTCCATTTGAACGAACAGATGAAAAAATTTCCTTAGAAGATTTTTCTACAGCGGAACAACAGTTATATCCAATAATTCGACAATATGCATCAATATGTCGACATACAAATAATGTTAAAACACGATATATACAACAAAATATTGTAGATAATAGTAATAATGAAAATTCTCAATTGAATGAATTTATTAATTATATTAAACAAGAACGTGATAATAATAATGTAGATATAAATAATTTTTCTACTTTACGTGAACATAATATTCAACATTGGAAACATATTAAATCAGAATGGCAAAAATATTATCAGAATGAAATTAAAAAACATCAAGAAATATTTAATAATCTTATAAAAACTTCTTAGAAATAAATTGAGTCATTTGTTATGTATATGAATAAATCATTTACTTTCTTTTTTTCTCGTCTGATTCAAGGATGAATCATTATTGAATAATAATAAATGTCGATCGATATTTTCTTTTTTCATGTACATTTTTCTTGTTATATTCTTTCAGATGGCAGCAGGTTCGATTGAAAATGAAGGGCCCGATTCAGGTGTAGGTGATTTTGTTCTATTATCTGAAATTACTATGAATGCGTTTATTAAGAATCTTAAAATACGGTTAGATTGATCTTTTCTAAAACCAATAAACATACTGATTTATTTAGATTTGAAAAAGGACGAATCTATACTTATATTGGCGAGGTTTGCTAAATTTATTTTCAATAAAATTTTTTATTTCATTTACATATAGGTACTTGTTAGTGTAAATCCGTATCGTGATTTACCGATATATGGACCAGAATATATTAAAAGTTATAAAGGACGTGAAATGTTTGAACGACCTGCACATATATTTGCTCTTGCCGAAGCAGCATATCGAACATTAAAACAACGTTCATTAAATAGTTGTATCGTCATTTCCGGTGAATCAGGTTCAGGTAAAACTGAAGCATCGAAAATAATTCTGCGTTATATCGCAGCAGTAACAAACATATCAAATCAAGCTGAGATTCAACGGTAGAATAGAAAAAACAAATTATAATTGAAAAAGAACTTTTTTTTGTTATTTAGAATAAGTAATATACTTATTCAAACGAATGTTATACTTGAAACATTTGGTAATAGTCGAACTAATCGAAATGATAATAGTAGTCGATTTGGTAAATATATGGATTTACATTTTGATTATAAATTTGATCCAATTGGTGGAAAAATTCAACATTATTTACTTGAAAAATCTCGTGTTGTTAAACAACAACTCGGTGAAAGAAATTTTCATTCATTTTATCAATTATTATATGGTGAAACTAATCTACATGAATACGGTTTAAATTTAAAAGCTGAAGATTATATTTTTATAAACCAAGGAAATTGTTGTAAAGTTATTAAAATCGATGATAAACGTGATTATCAACAAGTTAAACAAGCATTTAAAATTGTTGGTTTTACACAAGATGAAATATTGACAATATGGAAAATAGTTGCAGCAATTCTTCATCTTGTAAAAAAAAACAATTTCATTATTTTTTCATTTTTTATTGGTTTTTTTTCTAGGGAAATTTAAAATTTAGTGATGTTGATGGTGAACATTGTTCAATAATACGATCAAATGATAATAATGATGAATTAAAATGGATATCAAAACTATTATCATGTGAAGAATCTGATATATCATCAACATTAACTTCACGTGTAGTTGCTACACGTAATGAAGTTATTCAAGCTCGACAAAATATTACACGAGCATATTATGGACGTGATGCGTTAAGTAAAGTAAGTGTTATTATATGAATTAAAGCGAGAGTATATCAGATTGAATATTAGGCATTTTTTCTTCTAATTTGGTAAGAAATATTTACTATAAAAAATCGCATGTGTTGTTTTTTGACGTATTATACCTGTCCCGTGTCCCTATTTTTTTGCATGATATAGTTCTTTTTCTTTATCGATCTAATTTTATTAAATGAATTTTTCTAGGCTTTGTATGAACGTTTATTTGAATGGTTAATTAAATATATAAATAAAACATTAGCAAGAGAAAATAATGAACAATTAAATTATACAAATCATTCGATACAAAGTTCACTTGTTATTGGTGTATTGGATATTTATGGTTTTGAAATATTTGAAAATAATAGGTAGAATTTTGTTTTTCGAAAATTAATCTATTTTTTTTTGAATATTTAGTTTTGAACAGTTATGTATTAATTATTGTAACGAAAAATTACAACAACTATTTATTGAACTGGTTCTGAAGCAAGAACAAGAGGAGTACGAAAGAGAGAATATCACTTGGCATCATGTAAACTATCTATTAATTAATTATTTATGTGAAAAGGTTTTTTTCTTACTTTTAAGGTTGATTATTTTAATAATAAAATAATATGTGATCTTATTGAACAGCCACGTACTGGGATTTTAGCACATCTTGATGAAGCATGTCAAACAGTTGGGACAATTACAGATGAAATATTTCTTGATTCAATAAATAAAGCTTTTAAAAACCATAAACATTATTCGAGTTGGGCGGTAAATATTCAATCTAATCATATTTCTAATACTATATTTATATTTCTTTCTTAGCTTGCACCTGGAGATAAAATATGGAAAAATACTACGAATAATAAACTATTTCTTGTTCGTCATTATGCAGGTATTGATTTATTTATTCTTAAATATAATTAATCCTAAATTTAAGGTGATGTTATTTATTCTGTCGATGGGTTTTTGGATAAAAATCGTGATACTTTATTTGATGATTTTAAACGTTTATTATATCATAGTAAAAATCCAATTTTATCTTCCATGTGGCCTGAAGGTGAAAAAAGTATTACAACTGTTACACGACGACCATTAACTGCTGGAACGATTTTTCGTAATTCAATGATTAGTCTTTCAAATCTTCTTTCATCGAAAGTAATAGAAAGAATTGAGAGAATTCAAAATAACTTTCCATTTATTTCTAGCAACCATTTTATGTTCGTTGTATCAAACCAAATGATGAAAAATCACCGAATTTATTTGATCAAACACGTGTTGAACATCAAATTGCTTATTTAGGTTTATTAGAAAATGTTCGTGTTCGTCGTGCAGGTAAATATTGAATAATAAATTTTCCAATAAAACAACTTCTTGAAAAACAAAGGTTTCTGCCATCGAGCATCCTATGATAGATTTGTTCAACGGTAAAGAAACATAAATTTCTAAATAATTATGTTTATTTTTCATTCGTTTATTTTAGTTATAAAATAATTGATTCTGTTCGTTCGAAATTATATCCTCGTGGATCAGCTACAAAAGAGAATGCAGCATATATATGTCATGAACTTAATCTTGACAATGATGTTGCATATGGTAATACAAAAATCTTTATTAAACAACCGTATGTTTTATGAAATATGTAAATAAATAAGTCAAATAATTTATTTTTTTTAGAGTTTCATTATTTCAATTGGAAAAAAAACGAACTGAAGGTTTACAATTTATTGTAACAATTCTTCAGAAAGTATGTTTAAACAAAGAAAACTATTCAAATAACTTTTATTTTTTTTATATTAAAGTATACACGTTCATGGCGACAATTGCGATTGTTTCGCCGTGAAATATCAGCAATTAAAATACAAAATATGTATCGAAAATATCGTGCACGAAGTTATATTAATAAACTTAATGAATTATTTCGGTAAATAAATAATTTATATAATATAAATAAAAGTTTTTTTTGCTTAGTAATGTTGTAAATATGAATGATCTTGGTAAACATATTAAATGGCCAGCACCTAAACCAGGTTTTATTCCAACGAATACCCTGTTAAAACAAATGTATCAACGGTAAAATAAATCAAATTCTTTTTCTTTAATATATATATACTAATTTTTCTGTCTATCAGATGGCGAGCTTTTAAAATTATACAACGAATACCAGCTGACCAACGAGCAATATTTGAATTGAAATTATTAGCTGGTGATTATCTTCAACAACGACCATCGTTTCTCGAATCAAGTATTCGTCAAGAATGGAAAGGAGATTATCTACTTTTAGTAAGTGATAGATATAAGCAAGGATAATATGAGTAATAGATTGACTATAGATGCAGGGGCGTACCGAGGTGTCGAAAGCAGAGGAGGGCCCAGTGGCGGATCTAGGATTTTGGAAAGGGAAGAGCGATACCTAAGTGGGCAGGGGCGGGGGGCGATTTTGGCTAAAACCTATTTTTTGAGTCCAATCGAAGTAGTGTAAACCTGTTTTTTCGTTTATTTTTGCTGTAACAAATCAAAACAATTTCTGAAGGGGGGAGGTGCGATCGCTCCCTTCCCCTTAAATCCACCACTGGGAGGGACATCACGTCCCTGTTTTTGAGAGATAATGTCTTTCAAACTTCTTCTGATTGGACAAAATCTAAATTATCTTTTATTAAAAAATATAGATATTTTTAATGATTTTAATTTCTTTAGCCTGAAGAAAATTCTCATTCACTTGAATATCGGAAATCAATAAGTGAACTACGTGGTAAAGATAATTTCAATCATGTCCTGTTTTCTACACTTGCAATAAAAGTAAAATAAAATTTTCATATATATATCTATATGAATATTTTTAAAATATAATTTAGTTAAATAGTCATATTAAAATGGATGAACGTGCTATTGTTCTAACAGATAGATATCTGTATAAACTTGATCCAAAAAAGAATTTTCATATAAAAAAAACTGGTATTCCTATTGATGATATTATTGGTTTAAGTGTTACATCAGGCAGAGAACAATTAGTTGTTATTCATTTAATATCAAATCATGATCTTGTGATTTATATGCATACAAAAAATGATCGTGTTGGAGAATTTGTTGGTCATATAGCTAAACTTAAACGAAAATCGTATGTTATTTAAATCGATTTTATAAAACAGAATTTTGTTTTTTCTTAATATGAATAGATCGAATTTTACTGTTGATGTACAACGATATGTTTCAGCTCAACTTGATAAACATAAACATGTTATTAATATAACATCAGGTGGTACTGAAAAAATTGAATTTCGCAAAGGTTCAAATAAAAATATTTCATTGATCTTACCGAATAGTGAATAAAATTTTACTTTCTATTTTTTTTCTCTTCTGTTTCTTCTCATCTGCTTACATCAAATATCAGATAATGGTGATTTTGTAATTTTTATTATCCTTGCATGTCAGGTGCACTTTGTAACAGTCTGCTTTTAGATACAAACGAATGATATTGATGACTAATTTTAGTGTTGTTGTTTTTTTTTCTTCTCACTATGCTTTACTAATCAGTTTTTTTTTTATTCTCACCGTTGTACTCGTGGTGATATAGACTATTATATCGATAATATATATATATTTATATTTAATAAATAAAATATTGGCACTGCTTTGAATAAAATAAAACATTGTAATAATATGAACTTTATTGAATAACAGAATTTCTTTTGTAGTTATCTTACTCAACATAGAAACTATTTTATCCATTAAATAGAAGGATTTTTGTTAATGTAAGCATGTGTATGTTTATTGTTTAAAGCAAGAAAAAAATATGCAGAAAAATTAGAGTTTTTCAACGCAAAAGTAATAGTTTATATAAGATATATATTTGTTATAGTTTTCTTTTAATATTTGTATCGTTCGCAGCTAGCAAGTCGAGCACTTTGACCATTAAAACCACCCATAGTTAATACGGAATCATTTAATAAGATTGTATTATGAAGACTTCGTCCATAATTTAATGAAGTTGTATTCGACCATGTTTGACTTATCGGATCATATAACTCACACATCGTGGGTAATGTTTTTGTTGTCCAATCGACACCACCTGTTGCTAGTACATTACCTGATGGTAAAAGTGTAAGTGTAAATGATCCTCGCCTATATTTCATTGATGCAGTTGGCTTAAAAGTACGTGTCGTTGGATCATAAATCTCAGCAGTTGAATATGAAGTTGTACCACCATCTCCACCACCTGCAATCAATACATTTCCATTCTTTAGAAGAACAGCAGAATGATAAGCACGTGGTTGAGTCATATGAGTATTTGTGGGTATCCATGAACCTGATACATAAAGTTCAGCAGTTGATGTCATTTGATTGTCAGTATTACCACCACCTGTAACGAGTACTGTAGATCCATCATTGAGTAATGTACTTGTAAATAAATATCGACCCATATTCATACTATTAACTTTAGAGAATGAGTTTGAAGATGGCATAAAGATATCGACATCAGAAAGAATAGTACCAGAAGAATTCTTTCCACCTATAATAAGTATGGAACCATTTTGAAGAAGTGTAGCAGTATGTAAATATCGACCTGTTGACATGTTTGTTGATGTTAATGTCCATGTTTTGTTTTTGGTATCATAAACTTCAGCTGTTTGTTGAGCGGGAGGATGTTCAGTACCTGCTGCCAATACTTTAGTACTATTTGCAAATGTAGTTAAAGTGTATTGATAACGTGATTCTTTCATATTTGAGGTAGAATTCCATCCAGTTGATGCTGAGTAAATTCCAGACGCTCGTAATATAGCACTTGAATTGCATCGACCACCGGCAACCATAATATGTTGATTCGGTAATAATACAGCACCAAAACTGGATCGTCCTACGAGAAGAGGTGCATCTTGAATCCAATGAGCCGATGTGTCTGGTGTGTTACCTACGAAAAAATAATGTTAATATTCATAAATTGAATGAAATTAGTTCAACTTTATTTAGTTCATGTTGAAGTATTGTAATCAACATATTTGTTAATTAACAGTAGGAATTATTAGAAAAAGGAAACATGATAAAAACCTACCATATGAAATTGTAATATTATCACCTGCGTGATCAACTTCATAAATGTATGTAACACTTGTATCCTTGGTGATTTTAACACTCTTCTTATATTTGACCAGAAGGAAAATAGCGATTGCTGTACAGATCGCCAATGCAATAAAAAGGAAAGCATAATGTGTTATTCTTGTTTTATTCCTGAAGAAAAAATATAGAATAAAAGATTTGAAAGTCTTTTCATATGTATAAAATGAGTACAATATTTATTTAAACTTACATTATTTGATCGAAGTATTACGATGCAGGTAAATAAGCTTACTATCTGTAATATTAAAAGTTTCAAATGAATACAGAACTATAGTTCACTGATACTTCTATTTTTCTAATCAAAAATGTAAAACTGACTTCTCGTTAACCATATGTTTAATATAAATGTCATATTTGTTTCTATATCATTCGTGATCTTTTAAATATTGTTCCGGAAATAAAAGTACTCATTTAATTAAAATTAATATAATGAGAATTGACTATGATCCCACAGAATTTCATGTTTATTTTATATTTTCTATCGTTTACGATACAAGACTTTTCATAGGTATTAAGAAAAAATAAAAGAGAACTAGAATTACTTTTTAAGACATTATGTGATTTACTTCTGTTAGCACTGGTATTAATTCCATTGTTTGTTTATCAAATAGAATTATTGCATAAATATTCCTTTTGTTTTTAGTCATATATTTGAACTTATGATTTTCTTTATCAAGTACATATTACTCTTTTTAATGAATTTTATTATAGTGATAGTATCAACTTCAGGAAAAATATATCCATATGATGTATGTGTGTTAAGACAAACGGAATGAAAGAACTAATATATATCAGCCGTCTGTTTTTGATATTCATAATTTACACATAAACTTTTCTATAGTTATCAAGAACGTTTTGGAAAAAAGTATTCAAGTAAACATGCATGATAGTCCAACAATATTGATAATCTATATAATATAGTTTTCGATGGAATATAAATGATTAAAATGAAACTTTGTACAACTATTCAATAGATTTTATGACATAAAAAATAATTATACTTCTTTCTCTTTTGAATTCATCTGACCGATAATAACTTGAGTTTTTATTCTAATTAATCAGTTTGATACTAAAGAAATCATTTTAAAACTTTCTCTTTATTAATTTAATCATATTTTCTTTATAATCTAAAGTCATTCAATATTATAAATCATAGATAAAGTTTCATGATCAAGAAATTAGTTTTTCCATTTTATTTTCAAGATTTCTTATCTTTATTATGCAATGATATTTCAACATTAATTCATTTTTCTAATTGCCTTAAATTTTATTAATCTTAAAATAATATACACGAAAAATATATTTCACAAGACAAACATCAAGAGAAAAAAATAATAATACTGACAAAATATATATACTTCATCATCTCAGACGAAAGTTATTCAGTTAAATAAAGAAATGTTCGTCTTAAGTTTTGAATCACGTAATTATAAATAATATTTTTCGGAGCTAGTCAATGAATTAATTTGACCATTAGAACCACCGATTGTCAATATAGAATCGTTTAATAAGATTGTATTATGATAATATCGTCCATAATTTAATGAAGTTGTATTCGACCATGTTTGACTTATCGGATCATATAATTCACACATCGTGGGTAATGTCTTTGTTGTCCAATCGACACCACCTGTTGCTAATACATTACCTGATGGTAAAACTGTAAGAGTAAATGATCCTCGCCTATATTTCATTGATCCAGTTGACTTAAAAGTACGTGTCGTTGTATTATAAATCTCAGCAGTTGAATATGAAACTGTACTCCCATCTCCCCCACCTGCAATCAATACATTTCCATTCTTTAGAAGAACAGCAGAATGATAAGCGCGTAATTGAGTCATATTAGTATTTGTAGGTATCCATGAACCTGATACATAAAGTTCAGCAGTTGATGTCATTTGATTGTTAGTACTGGTACCACCTGTAACGAGTACTGTAGATCCATCATTGAGTAATGTACTTGTAAATAAATATCGACCCATATTCATACTATTAACTTTGGAGAATGAGTTTGAAGATGGCATGAAGATATCAACATCGGAAAGAATAGTACTAGAAGAATTCTTTCCACCTAGAATAAGTATGGAACCATTTTGAAGAAGCGTAGCAGCATGTGAATGTCGACCTGTTGTCATATTTGTTGATGTTAATGTCCATGTATTTTTTATCATATCATAAACTTCAGCTGTTTGTTGGTAGGAAGACTGATCACTACCTGCTGCCAATACTTTAGTATTATTCGCAAAAGAAGTTAACGTAAAGTAATATCGAAAACTTTTCATTTGAGTTCCTACGGTCCAACCAATAGATGACGAATACAGCTCAGATGTTCTTATGACGGTCGTTGTATTTTCAAGTCCACCAGCGGCCATAATTGTTCCATTGGCTAGAAGTACTGCACCAAAAGCTGATCTTCTTTTCGATAAAGATGCATCTTGGGTCCAATAATATGATTTAATACTAGGTGTTGTTTCCGATTTATTATCTGTAAATATAAACCATTTGTATATTAAAAATTATAGTTAGAAAGTCACTTTTGATAAACCTTGAATATAGAATTATACACTGAGCTACGTTACTCTATGGAGTTCATGATCGAAATTAAACTATTTTACTCATATTAATGCAACAGTAATAAAAATATTTTAAATTGATTGACTATAACTAAATTCCACGAAATTAATTTATTAGTCAAATCGTCCAACGTTCAATACAATTCAAAATTTTCTTCTATTACATATATTCACTTACTAGTAGTATTGATTATTGTTGAACTAGTAGGTAATATCTGATTCTGAATTGTCGCGTCATCAGTGAATTCTTGGGAATCTAAACGAATAATATAAAGTTTTTTTCTTTGATTACTAGAATTCGGATTGACATACCTGTTGCAATTTCTGTCATCATTGTTATTGCTGTTTCATCTAGAAATAAAACCAATAAACGTAATCATATTAAAAGAGAAATTTTAAAAAATAAATACTTACAATTTAAGATTGTAAAACTAATGCTACCCGATGGTATGCTTGTTCCACTAATGTCTAAAAATTAAAAATGTATTAAAATTTTCTTCGTATAATTTTACTATTAATTGATCTATGTTTCATATTATGAATATACTCGCTAACTTTCTATTTGTACAAAAATCAAGTATTTGATCTCTGGAATGTAGTCATACATTGCATGAAAGTATCCTTTATCCCTTGATTTAATTCCTTCAAAATATTCCTTTTTATTCGATCTGATTATTCATGAAGGTTAGATGTCTATAGATCATTATCACTATCTAACAAAATTTCATCAAAAATACAGACGTGTGTGAAAAGGAAAATATTTTTCATATTAATTATCAGATTTTAAAATTTACCCTGGTTATGTTTGTATTTGAACTTAATGACAGCCGTAGCAAGTATTATTGCAAAAGTAAAACCTATTAAAGCGAAGCAACCAAAACGTTTCTTTGATGAGATTTCCCTAATAAAAATGATTGATTATTTTATATATATTATATCATAATAGACTTACGAGTCAAAATGAAAGAAACGATGAAGAATCATGTTTGTTAAATAAAACTAATATTTTTCAATCTACAGATGAATAGTTCTAAAAATAAAATGAAGTTTTTTACGAATTCAAATGACATATGTGATGAAAAGTACTGAAATATCTAAAGTAATTATATTATTTCTCTCAATAGATTGTCTTTATTTATAGAGATTCTGCCTTCAATTAAATGAACAAAAATAAAATATATGAGGACACTGTCAGTAGTAATTTTAGGTGCTATAAGTTTGTCTCTACATCTTTCCTGTAATATTTTTTGTTTAAAAATACAACGCACTACTCTATGATCAACGTATATTTTCCATCTGGAATCATACACTAATTTATGTTTGACGTCAAACAATAAAATAAATTTAATTGATTACTAACCATGTACATTTTAGAGGTATATCATAATGAGAATATCACTCATTCATTAACTTGCTACAATCCAATAGAATATTATTTTAAGCAACAACTAGAGCGATAAAGTATTATTAGAGTATCTCTTCAATCTATAATATAAATTCTAAACATCCTATTATTTTAATGAAAATATAATATTCTGTCAATAGTAACATAAACATCATTTTATTCTCGAAAGTTAGTTTTCCGCGCTAGAACCTCTATTCGTCTCGTAATAATCAATATTGTATCATCTGCAAAAAAATTCAAATATTTTCTAGATATCTTCACCTGTTATTGACTTCTTTTAAGATTGTATTAAAAATGAAGTAATAGCAACTACGCAATCTACAATATGACAATATACATAATTTATTAATAAAAGAAAATAGGTTATATTCAACCTTATTCATTAAAGTTTAGTGCATTTCTTTTTGTCGTATTGAAATATATATATATAAATAATGCATTCATATTTATTTGTATCTATCTATAATATTCAACGAACAAAGAATTATTTCTTATGATATGCTAAAATTATATTAGCAGTAACGTCGAAGAAATTAAGAAGAGTCAGAGTTAGAAAGACGATAAAAAATGTATCGAATAATATATGACAAGATTTTTTAGATATTGTAAATTTACCTTTTCGAAAACAAACCTAATCTGTCAGTTATTTCCAAAATAATGTTCAGATGATTAGTTTTAAATCTGTAAGCTACATATATTCCTTATGTTTCCATATTAGTTCAAGTTTTAAGATACTTTCTATGAAAAAACTCTATCTTATAATATCAAGATTATGAAACAAAAGATCGAAGTGATTTTATCAGTTTTCATGTACTGCTTAAGACAGTGGTTATGCGGAAAAGAGAAATTTCTTTCTCTGAGATAAGGAAAACTATCATCAGGGCGTAAGTCAGGTGTCAGAGCAGGGGGGTGTAGGGGAGCGTAACCCTAGTTTTTCTATTTCAGTGGTCAAAAAAAGTGAACTTTCTAGAAGCAGCGGGGGCGCAAACCCCTTTTTTCCTATTAGTTTTCGGAAGCAGAGGGAGGGGGTTATGCACCCCACGCCCCCCCCCCCACTTACGCTACTGACTATCATATGATTAAATTTCTAAATTCACCATCGACAAACTGTTGATGATTGCCATGTTTGAAGTTTAATTATCACCTAGTGTTTTTTTTTCTTTTTTTATTGATACATTTAATAAAATGAAATGAAATTTATAAATACTATGTTTTAATTCTATCTTTTACTTTCTTATAAAAGATGTACAGAAATATTTGGAGAAACCAAAGATTTATTTTTCGTCGACAAAAATCTACGTTTAAAAATCGTGTCTAGAGTTATATTTGTAATGAATATAGCATGTAAATAATATTTACATAACTGTTTAAAATATTGGATTTGTGTTGACTCATAACTTATTTATTCATTTATCATATCAATTACAATCAAAATCCAATATAGTTAAACTAAAGTAATAGGCATTAACCCTTACAATACCATGCAAGGACATTTTTATCCATATATATCAATCATAAAAAATTCAGCTCTGTTTAACCTTATTATTTATATTTTAATTAAACTTAAAAATGTACATTATATATAGATAAACAAGCTGGGAAAGTTCTGAACGAACTTGGAGATACTCATAGAGCAAAATAATAAGAAGAAAACAGCTGGAATATACCAAAAATGAAAGAATAGATATAGGTGAATCACACTGTAACATAAACTTTTTTCTCATGCAGAAGAAAAAACAGATATTTGATGAAAAAGATGTATTTTATTGATGAAAGAGCTTAAAAAACTGATATCGATCAGTCAAATTTTTGCATAAAAAAATAGTAATATTTTACTCATAAGAACAAAAATGTTCATGCATAAGTTTAATCGAAGTTTTTGTATGATTAACAGTGCTTTATAAAATAATTCACTTGATATATACATATGCCAGGAAGATATCACTTACAACACTATTTAATAAGTTGCTTTCATTAATTATATTATCTGTTTTTCAAAAACGCTATTGAATAGCACACTTCGGCAAGCATCTATGTCTTGTACTTAGATAAAACATCATTTCCTTTTGAGAAAATAGTTCATTGTATCAGTTCTAATAAAAGAAACATTCAGCTTACTTCTTCTATTATCAAAATTTAATAAACTTAGAGATTTAAATAAAAGTCTCTTTCAAATTTTATTTTTCAATAAATGATGATTCCTTCCTTTTTCTCTCCCTCTCTCTTTCTCTTCCTCTTTTCCGTTTACAAAAGATCAAAGTAATGTTTTTCCGTTTTTTTCCTCAATCCGTTTCATCTCAATTTTCTTGATATCAAGTAACTGACTTTTATTCACGTGCCGAAAATTACAAACGTGTCTATCCATATTCGATATCATCAATGTCATTTGTTTGAAAAAAACAAGTAAATACACACACACTGTCTCTCTCTCTTTATATTATATATATATATATTTATTTATTAAACACAAATAAAGAAGAACAAAAAAAAAAGAGAAGAAGACAGAGTAATACAATATAATCTACTGTTCAAATGGAATGAACCCAATGTTCATCTTTAAAAAATTCTGGTATTTGATCATCTAAACGTTGTATAATTTTATAGATACTTTTTTTCCATGATGGTTCAAGATCTTTTTGTTGTTGTATAGCATGAAAAAATTCTCTTAATGTCGATTGTACAACATCACAAAAACTTAATGGAACCTAAGCAAAAAAGAAATATTTTTTAACTTATTTATTCTTTAACAAAATGAACCAACATACATCAATTTGATTTGATCGATTATAATGAAGATTAAGTACACGATATAAATCTGAATCGGTTGTTATAATTAAATCTTCAACTTTTCGTACACCTTCAGCTAAATATTGTCGAGCATATTTTTCAATTTGTATATAAAAAAATTCTCTAGAAAAAATAAAAATTGAATTCAAATAAAAATTTCATTTTCATTTTCTTACCGAAAATTTGAGAACCATTTAACTAATTGTGCTGTGATTAATTTATTAAAACGTACATCAGGAAAATAAACTTTAAGTACGGATGAACTTGGATAACGTGTATAAAAAAACATTAATTTTGCTTTACGTAAATGAAGTGATGTTAAAATTGTCACGTAAAAAAGAAGAAGAAAAAAGAGCATATGTTTATTAAGTTAATGATACATTTTTCTATTTGGTGGAAGGTTCGTATTACTCACTCACTCAATGTAAGATAGTTAGTCTCTATGACATTTACACTCGATTTATTCTTACTAGAAAAAGGTCATTTCAAGAATACTTATTTGATAAGCATTGTATTCAATTGTTGACTGTTGTCGTCGATGATTTGATGTTGTTGATTCATACGAATGATTCGATGAACTTTTATCGTCATCGATTAAATCATCATGAGGAATTATTTTTGATCCTATACGTGGTGATAAACGTGTATCAGTAACCTTAATAAGATATAAAAATATTGCAAAAAAAATTTATTAGAGAAAAAAAAATTCTTACTTTAGTACGACGTTTTTTTGGTGTTGATAAATGAAATGGAAATGTCCGATCTGATGATGTATTACCAAATCGAAGTAATGGAGGTGGAGGTGGTGGTGGTGGATAATGATTAACAAATGAATTATTAAAAAGTATTTGAGAGAAATACGGATGATGATGATGATGAACTGTTTGAGAAAACATTGATGGTAATGGTAAAGGAATTCGTTTTGTTTCCAAAGCAGCATTTTGTACAGCAGAAAAAAGTTCTTTTTGTAGATTTTCAAGAAATCGAGTCATAGCTATAGGAGATGTAATATTATTTGTACGTGCTAAATCTTGAATATAATTTAAAAATGGTAAATTATGAGGAGAGAATGGCATGATTGGTGGTTGAGGAATTGGAAGTATATTCTAAGAAAAGAAAAGATTTGAAAAAATAATGTACATAAATATGCAGTACTTGTTTTTCGTCTTGACTATTAACTTCACCAATTTCTTCTTCAGATGATAAATCTTTATCATCATCACTTTGATTTTTTTCAGTAAGAAATTGTTGTGGTTTCAATTGTTTTCTTGAACGTTTACTATGATGGTTTTCATTCTCTTCTTCGTCTTCATCATCGTCATCACCTTCATCGTCAGCATCGTCATTGACTTTTGATCGTTTAATTAAAAAATCTTTTCCTTGTTGTTGTCGTTGTTCTTCATTATTATTATCAAGATGTGCATGTGAACGTTTTTGTTGTTGTATTGAATCATTTGATGTTGCTGCCAATGGTGAAATTGATGATGATGTTGATGGTGATGGTGATGATGCTGATGATTCAACTGAACGTTTTTCAATAATTTCTTGTAACATTTTTGTATGTGTAAATGCCATATCATTTAAATGATTTAAATGTTGATGATAACGTGGATCAAAAACTGATGGAAGTAGATATGATGAAAAATTTGTTGATGGATTCATATTTTTCATTGAATAAACTGAATAATATAAAACAAGAAAAAAAGTGAGAAAGAAATTTTTATTATTCGTTAGACAAATAAAGAAATATAAATTTTAACAGTCTCTTATCTCTGTGAACTTTGCTTAAGTTAGAAGTAACATCTCTACGTGCCGTTTCTCAGTGTTTTTGACATTCACACATCTCTTCCGAGACACTCACCATTTAGCAGTAAATTTATTCTTGACTCGTTCTGATGATTCGTCTGTTTCTTCTTTTTTTCCTATGTTGTATATATGTGTGTGTGTGTAGGATCAGATTCTGAAAGAAATAGAAAAAGAAAATCAACCATTCGTAGGGCGTTCTATCTCATAATCTTAAGAGCAAAAAAGAAAGAGAGAGAGAGAAAAGAAAAGAAAAGAAAAGAAATTTCAACCAATGTCTTTGTTAAGAGTAGAAGAATGTTACAACTAATAGGAAACGGGAGAACGATGAACAAAGAAAGAAAATGTTTAACGTTTAAGACGAATGAAAAATCAGTGTGCAAATGTGCATCACCTGCTGACATTTTTTATTTTATTTAAAATAAGCATCTGCGCATGCTTATGAGATATCGATGGATAAATGATGATCGAAATAACTAGGATACCCTTAAGGCTCTCATATTGTCGTGATGTTTTTTTAACATCTTTTCATTCAGATAAGAATTATAGCTGGCTAATGATATTCATGAAAATACATGTTCTATTTTTAAATCAATAATAGATAGAACAAGAGGAATAATGGCTATTTAGAATATCAGAAGCAATATTTTTCAAATGTCATTGTTATGCTCGATAAAAAAAAGGTATACAAAAATAGAAGATATGCATATTTGAACATCATCACTTAGGTGAGAAGATGTGTTAAGTGAGCGTATATATATATATATATAACAAAAAAAACATTTATCTTTGTTTTTTTTTCTCCGCTTCGTTTCCTTTGGCTTAGTAATAATAATACGGGAAACGAGAAAGTCTCTCTTTTGTGTCCTATGAAGAATTGTCTTGAACCAATTACAGAAAAGTATTCGCCTTGAGGGAAGTAAACCAACCAATATAGTTTTTTTTTGTGTCTAATGAAAAGAATTTGATTGAATCATTAATGAAGAGGTTCACCTGTAGAAAATTCTCTCTTTTTTTCTGTTGTTTTGGAATCTTTATAGATCGATGAAATCAAGCGTTAATAATGAGGATCGATCAATTCATATTTTGTTTTCATGGTGATAATAAATTAGGCTCATTATAAGATATAATCTGCATATGATGATTATATTGCTCAGCTGTGTCACACTTTTTTCCTTGGCTTATTTTAAAAACATTTAAATATATCCAAGTTGGTGCTATTTCCTGTTGTTTCTCCGCCCTTGTCGTCGTTTACAGACAATTTGAAATTTTCTATCGCATCGCTACTCATTTGATTATATTATATATATATATATACACGCGTGTCTCAACGGTGATGAAATCATTCGTCAATAGGGCGAGGGAGAGAGAGAGAGAAAAAGTTAATTCTCTTCTTTCGTGTGAGCAGATGCCAACGAGTTATGTTTTATCTCAAAGAAAATAATCTTCGATATTGATCTCTAGGTATATTTCTCTCTCTATCATTCTTTACCTTTAGTGCGCGAGAATGCGTTCAAGTGATCAAACACATGTCAACATAATTTTTTTTTGTTTTCTATAATATATCACCATTCATCTCAAGAATGTTTCAAAATGATGTATTGTCATGCACTGTTGATTTCTCTTTAACAGATGTATATATTTCTCTAACTCTGTCTTTCTTTTTCCTATTCACTATATTTTATTGGGTAAAAATGGATTTTTATCATCATTTATTCTAGTCTCGCACAAATGTCATTCTATCATTTCCTTTTTCTCCCTTTTTTTTTACAAAAGAGAAAAAATGCGAGAAGGCTTATTTCTTCCTCTTTCCATAGAAGCAATGCGAAAGAGTGGCAGCTTTTGATTAAAAGTAAAAGTTGTCTAATGAACTAGACGAGCAAAAAACACACACACATACAATGAATGCATAGACCGAGTGTGAAATACATCCGCATCACTAATGACATCCCACCAGCACACGTTCTTTGTATAGAGAAATACATGATAGATCATTCCTATAGCTTGAAAATGCAAATTGAGTCGTTCTTTCAAATCAAGACAAGCGTAGCAAATCCGAAATACATGATAAATGTATTGTAAAAATAAAGGAGAAAACGATAAGGCAAGGTGATATTCCTCTTCTTCTTCTTCTTCTTCTTTTTGTGCCCATCTGTCGAACAATTCAAAACGATAGACATTCATTTAAAGATAAAGAATAGTAAACGATATTTATTGAATGAATGAATGAATAAAAAGGATATTTAACCGCTTGTGTATATACGTCAGAGATTAATAAGAGATCGAAGATATTGTTTGACAATTGTCTCTCACTTATGTGAATTTTTTGATATCAAAGAATATAAACGTCGTTCCACTTTTAACAACAATAAGACTACTGTATCACTCATCATCATGATGAGGTGTTTGATTGAACATAGATATAATAATCATTGCCATGCCGCCGCTGTTCACTTTCGATGCCACTTCACTAACATGATGGCCACATGTGTGTGTGACATACTCAATATGCACGATGTTTCGAAAGAAAAGACAACATAGTAAAAGGATTGCATGTGTATAGAAGTTAACACGCACATGCTTAACTTGATTAGATATACTAGTGTCCACTTTGATGTATAAAAGACGGTATATTGTGATTTTATCATTCGTTAGAAAAGATCAACTGCTGATCTACCTGTTGTATATTTATAATAGATACACGTGTATAAAATATAGTGAACTTTGCATAAAAGATTTGTAATCAATCAATTAAATCTATTCTTTGATAAGTATCAAATAAAAGAAGATTTTTTTGTTAATGAATGTTAGATATATTTTTTTAATTGTGTTCGATTGTAATTCAAGATAGATGCGATTATCATTCATGTGAACAAATTTGATATTTATCAAAAATTTTTACACAGTTGGAGATTTCGATAGAATATATATGTGTCATTTTCTATCAATAGAATAGTTCTATACTCCATGATCTTCGAGTAATGTAACACATGAATAAACATAGATGTATTTCCCCAAGCCATTTATAATTTAATGGAAGGAAGTATTAGAACGGTAAACTTACAGAAAGAAATATTTTTTTTATGTGCCTAGGAAATATACACTTTGTTCTAATGTAAATCTAAAATAATCTCTTACGTCAAAGGAATAGAAAATATTTATTTTGATATTTGTTTAATTAAACGATTTGAATAAGCATAAAGTCCTTCACTTGTCTAAATTGAAATAAAAATAAAATAGAAGAAGAAGAATTTTTGTATGATATACTTTAACAGCTTCTAATTCTTGTCGAATACGATCAGATTGATTAATTTTAGGAAAAATTGTTTTTATTTGTATTTGAGATTTATGTAAATCATTTTCAAATTTCATTCCTAAATCTTTGCCTAATTTTGTTTGAAATTTATAATCCGGTAAAATATTTTCTAAACGTGGATGAACATTATCACTTTCAAATGCTTCGAATTCTTCATTTTTATTCAAAGGTTTATTCGATGGAATATAATCTATCAAACATTTTTTCTAAAAACAAAAATATAACAAAGAAAAGTAATACTATACGCTTGTTTCTTACACGATAGGAATTATCTATATCAATATTATTTGTTATTATCTGTAATCGTTGTTGTTCAACATAGTTTTTAATTGCTTCTTCAGTTGTATAAGGTATTAAACCTTTGGAAATAAGTTCTTGTTCATATTGTTGCTGAGATTGACGTAAACGTTGCATATTTTGTTGAAAATTTTGCTAAAAATTTATAGGAGAAGGGAAAGGAAATATTTAAATGAAGTACTTTTCGAAGAATTTTAAAACGATTTTCTAATGTTGTCCAAAAACGTCTATCATTTAAATAGATTGTATTTGTTTTCATGAGTTTTTGAAGTTTATTATGTAAAGCCAAACCATCAGGTAAATTATCAGGTAATTGATAAGTAATAATACCTTCTTGTGCTTTAAAATTCCATTCAGTACGTTGTTCATTTTCATCAAGTGAAAATTCACTAATAGTTTTATTTATCTCTACTGGTTTCACATTCTTTCCAGTTAAATTTGATGAAATTGTACGATATACAGTATCTTTTTCAGTGGATATAAAATTTGATTTATTACCATCGCGAATACTTGAATGTGCAGTAGATTTCGAAACAGTCGGAACGATATTTTTCGAATCAGAAACATTCGTACGAAATGGCCAATGCATTGCCATTTCATCTATAAATAATTTCGAGATATTCAATTGAAAATTACAAAAACAAACTTACGATGAAGTTCATTACGATACGTTTCGAAATGTTGAGGAAATTGTGTTTGTGAAAATTTAGCTGTAGCTATAGGTACTAAATTTTCTAATGATTTACATTTATTTTTAATCATTATATAATAGACAAGAGAAAAGAAAGGAATTATTAATTACATTTTTTTTCTTCCCGCTTTTTACATATACGAAATAAAGCAATAAACATATTTACTAATATTGTCTTCCGAAGAAATTTAAATCAATGCAGGTGATATGAAGTACTTGATTGGTATCAAAGTAATATTCTTGTTGACGTCTGAATGTCATAATATTACCATTATGTAATACGAACACCTACAGTGGTACGAGTAGGCATTGATAGGGTCAATAATCAGGAAACACTTCATAACGAGAACGAACTAATATGATAGGATTACATTAGTATTGTCTTCGTATACTTGTCGATAATTTTTATATCTGAGTTATAATAATATTCCTATAGTAATCATTTTATATATATAGATTAGAAAGATATTAGAATTTGGAGTACATGAGCTATTTATTGATCTTTCTTGGATAAAATTCTTCGTTTTTCGATATCATAAAGAACATGTTGATATGTTATATAGGTGAAGAGAGCTACTATCAAAATTTCTCGATATCTTGATTAGTGTTTATTAATAAGACTTAATAGTTGTCGATAGGAATCCTTTATATATTTGATTGATTTCTACTCAACCTTATTAAATTAAAACCATCAGTAATCTTGTCTGTAACATGGAAAATGTTCATCATAAGAGTTTGTTTGTTTAACTTATATGTTATACCCTTGACACAGCTTGAACATATGGAAAGTACAAGATAAATAAACTAGCAATAGTTACTAGATCAGTAATACTTGTCATCAATTTATCATAATAACATTCTGCTACTATTCAATACATCTTCACATATCATATAGTTCAAGTAACAATAGATAAAAACTTCAATAAAGATGTTTAATATATTGCATTAGTGTCAAGATAGTATAATAACTGATTATTTAAATGCATCAAACAACTTTCAACATAGTGCCAATCATCAGTTCATCTCAATCATCTATGACATAACCTTTTTTTTGCCTTCTATCGTTGTTCTATCACTAATAACAGCTGGAATATTACTGAAGTTTGATCTTGGTATGGCGCCAAATGAGTGTACGTAATACTAATTGAATTTCTTGCTTTAGCTATTGACTTTGTGTCCTACATCTATGCATATACATAGATATATATGTATAATGAGACGAGTTCGTTACCCTCATATAAAAACAGAAATATCCAATCGATCATCGGTCGAATGGAAACGACAGAAAAAAATGGAGGAAAAAAAAGAAAGAACTGTTGACTTTAGTCTGACCGAATAAATCGACGGACGAACTAATGACCTCATTTCTTATTCATTTCAGATATTACACACGAAAGAATAACATACACCGACCAAACTATTATACGCATTTCAGTTAAACACAAAGAAACATGGGTGAAAAACGCAAATCTCGTATGACAAATACTGAAAGGTTTGTCTATTGATACATATAAATATATATTCTCATAAAATATTTTCTTTAGAGCATCAAAAAAAGAGAAGAAAACTCTAAAATCTGTTGTATCAAGTGCTAGCAATGATGATGTATATCTCTTTATTCGTTCATATTCATATTGTATTCATCTAAATTTTAGATTGAAGAACAATCATCAATGCATTCAAATAGCAGTACATCGGATAGTACTAGTCAACAACCGGTTTGATATTTATATTTATTAAATTTTTCTAATCAGTCATCATTTTTTTTCAATAGTCAATTACACAAGAAATAAATCATACAGAAGAAATCGAAGAATCTCAAACAATAACTCCAATTGACGTTGAAAATGAAACAAATGAAGATCAACTTGAATCATCTTCATTAATAAATAATGATAATAAAATATCAATTGAACCAACAAAATCATGGTGGTCATCACTGGTTCGTCTTTTTCATTTTGGTAATAATACAGCAAATGAAAATAAGAATCAAATCGAAGATCATCAATCATCAACATGTCTCGATGGAAGTTATTTAAGTAATATTAAATGTCGTCGATCACTTCATGGAGATTCTTTTATTGGATAAAATAAAAATCGTTTCATAAACATCTTTTTTTTTGATTTTGTTAGATTATATTTGTGTTCTACTTAATCAATAAAAAAAAAAAATAAATAAACACACACACACACGGAATTTATTTGACTGTAAATTATTAAATCGTACGAAATTCATCACATATATAAGCAGGTAAACGTTGTTCAAGTACCTATGAAAGAAATCTTGATTAAGAAAATTTCTTTTTGGAAAAAAATAATTCATACTTTGATTGGTAAATCACCATAATGAATAAACATTGTTAGAAAATCTAACATATTAATTGCTTCAATTGGAAAATCAGGTAATTTTTGACTAGAAGAAAATAAAATAAATTTATTCTGAAAAATAAGTGAAAATTTATGAACCTTCCGGCTTGATCGACATGTGATTTAATAAATTGACAAAGACATGTTAAATAATCATCGATTAAATCACTATGATATTGTTTTGTTAATGTATATATTCCGATGACAAATGCTGAACAATCCATATCACGTTTACCACTACTTGATGAACTACTACTTGTTGTTTGCGTTTGATTTTTAAGATATTTTAATGTAACAATACGTGGAACTTGACTTATTGTATAAAGAACAAGTAATGGAATGAGTAGAAAATGATTTTGTGCGGAAATATAAACACGTTGGAAGACATCATTCATTCCAACAGATTCTAGTAAAGGACCTAATTCATATAATAATTCATTTATCGATTCGGGATATTCATTTTGTTGACTATTAGTATTCGTATAAACTTGTTGAACATCTTGTAAAAGTGTACTAGAATGAAAGAGAAATCAAGTTTTGTTTTAGAATCCCTTTCATCGCTCGACACTGGCGATCGATTTAAAAGTGGGGAAAGCTATCGGTAAGAACTTCGAAATCATAACTAAAATAAACTTACTCATTAAAAGTTTTAAGAGCATAGAAAAGATATTTTGAATCATATTTAGCAGATGCTGTTAATTCATGCGCTATTTGTTGACGTAATAATTGCATTTGTCCAACTCTCATAAGAAAACCACTTAATGTTGTCCAAGCAGTGGCTCCTTTTGCTACGGAATTAGTATAAACTCGATTTGGCTGAGCTAAATTAAAATTATATGAAAACAAAAAAGATTATTTATATATCATTTACCAATAATACTATCAATCGGTGTTAATTGTCTCATAAATGAATCTAACATATCACTTGAATCTTTATGTACAAAAACACTTTGTATTGCTCCTGTAAGTAATTGAAGTTCTTTAACGATCATAAATGATAATAAACGATCAAGTCCACTTAAACCAAATGATCCAACAGCTCGATGTAATTTACGAAAAAGTAATATATCAACAACAGGTTGTTTTGTTCGTACATCATACCATGTATTACGTTGTTCACCATAGAATGTTAATCGTGGATCTGTAACACGAAGAATTTCACGTACAAGACGACCCATAAAATTTATTGAACCATCATTTAATGGTGGTATACGTGGAATTGGTATATGACGTGATTGAAATGCGGATTGAAAATCATAAATCTAGAATAGAAGAAAAAAATATATATAATAGTTTAAAAATATTTCTTTTTATTACTTTTTGTTTAAGAAAACTATTTGATTCTTGTTCAACATTATAATTAATTATTCTTGATACTTCTTCTTGCCAAATTTTCAAACCATACATGCCAACATAATCTTGAACATATTCAAATGAACGACGAAAACCATCCATTTGATTACCAAGTGCATCTAATTTCGATATTAATTCACTATTCTAAATAAAAAATAAAAAAAGTATTGAAAATTGTTTTTCTTTTACAATATAAAATAAACTTTAGCGCGAGGATTGAATGTAAGACCATTATGTAAAGCAGTTGCCACTTGTTTAACTAATTCTTTTCGAATACCATCTTCAAGTACACGTTTTGGATCAAGCTTTAAAAAAACCGAATTTTTTTGCTAATTATTAAATTCAAAAATTCTATTTACTTTAATAATTCCAACTAAAGTTGTTTTCATCATTAACATACTTTCAGTAAATATAGATATATCATGTGTTAATTTCGCAATTTGATACCGTTCATCAAGTTGAGCATATTCTCTTAACTTATCTTTTTCAGCACGTAATGGTAATTCACGTAATGTATTTATTTGTAAATAGACAATACTAGCTAACATTGTAAACATTGTTTCAGGAATAATCTATCAAAAAGAAAAAGCGCAATGTTATTTTTTGAAAATAAATATAAGAAAAACAGTGTTTTATCTAGCGGGTGGGCAGCGCCAACTCAGAATCTCGATTCTCCCATCCAAAATACGACTCCTTAGGCGGCGCCCACCCGACATTCTGATTCGCCCACCCAGAATTTTCATTTCGCCCACCCGAAAAAAGAAATCTGGGTAAAACACTGTTAAGAAAAGAATTTACTTGTAAAACTTTTCGAACATAAGCAACAAGTTCACCGGAATAGTAATGACTAACGATCATAAGATCATTGCTACCAACTTGATTGATTCGTACTAATGGTAGATCGAGTGCGGATGAAAGCTAAATTTGAATTTTATATAAGAGTTGATGCAAAATAAAATATATACTTTTAAAAATGTTGCACGTAGTTTTGTGACTAACGATGGGCTACGTTTAATTCCTTCTTGCATTACACCAGTGAAACTAAAATAATGAGTCAGAATATTAATATGATTTAAATAAATTTTTACCTATCAATAATAATCCATGCATAAGATAAATCAGCGACAAGATCCATAATACTTATTGTTGATTCTTGTACATTATTTAATAGAATCATTGTACTTAATAAACGTTTATTATCATTTAAAAATTGTTTAACTTGCATGTTTGTATCAAGTTCATGAAATTGTTGTACTTCATCTAATGCAGTCATAATTTGATTTGTTTGACGTCCAGCACTTGTCCAATCTTCGAAATCTAATGATTCAATACGTTTAGCCATTGTACGAAACCATGTTTGTAAATTATCTATTTGAAAAATAAAAATTCAAAAAAACAAATGAACATTTTATTTTTCTACCATTTTTTTCTACACGTGTCAATGGCATTGTACCAGAAAAAACATCAGCTAATTCAATAAGACGTTCAACAGCTTCTTTTCTATTTGCTGTCCATCGATCAAATTTTTCTACTAATAATAAACTAACAATCTATAAAAGAAGAAAAATTACAAAACAAAACAATTTTCAATAAACAAACTTCTTTAAGATTAAATTCGAATTGTGCTGTATTTAATAAAAGTTTAAATACTTCCGCTGGATTATATTGTGATTCAGTCATAACAAGTTGTAACATTTGTTTACATCGTTTATTGATATCAGCACCAATGGGTAATTCACTTGTATGTAATATAATCCATTTTAAACATATATTACATTCTTTCATAAATTTTAATAATGTTGAAATTGTTTTTAAAACATATTCTTCGATTAAAACACCTTCAATTAAATATTGTTCAACTTGTTTATTTAATTTACCAATTTTATCATGAATCATTTGACACTACAAAACAAAAATTGTATTTATATAGAAGTAAAAAAAGAGAACATACTCGACTTTTAACAGCTTGAATATCAAGTGTATTATTCAATGCTGCTTTTGCTGCTTTATATGGTTCCCATGCATCAATTAAATTAACTGTCATACCCATATATAAATTAATAACCCAATTATCAGCAAAATGTTTATCAACAATTTCACGCATAATAGCTTGCTTATTATGTAAAACATCAGGATAGAAATAAAGTAAAACATATAACATAGATGCTTGTGTTGCATAAGCTGCAGTTTGATGTTCAAGTTCTGTATAAGCTTTCTTTTGATTATAAATATCATCTGAACGTAAACGACCTATAATCATACCAATAACATCTTCACGAAAACCAATGCGTCTATTCAAAAAAATAAATAATAGCAAACGTGTAGGATGTTGAATAATTTCGTTTACCTGAAATAATTTTCTGGATAACCAGGAGGACGTTTAAAGGGTTGAAGAGAAAAACCATCATTTCGTGCTAATAATTTTCCTACTTCATCAATGTTACTATCCAATGCATTACGTTTACCACTAGAAATATTTTCAATTGAATAGAGATTAGTTTTATCGTAGTAGAATATTATCTTACCTATAACGAAAATAAGAAACAATCATACGTTCACGAGCAGCAGCATCATATTTTAAATCCAAAATTATTAACATAACACCAAAGAGATACACAGCTTCAGCCTAAAATAAATACTCTTCTGTTTTTTTTCTGATAGTACAGCAATGATTTTTTACCATTAATTGTTTTCCTGCTTCATTTGCAATAACACTCTCAACTGTTTGTTGTAAATAAGTTCCATTTGTTAAATCTTCAATATATCTATTGAATAATTAAATACATATGAATATTTTCTTAAATATTTTGACTATACCGATTAAATTCAATTCCATATTTATGTACACTTTCGAAACCTTGGTAAAATCTTGTGAGTAATGTTAAATTATTTTCACGAAATTCATCATCAAGATCTTGAAAATCCTAAAGAACAAAAAAATATAATATTCAATAAAATCTTAAATTAATATTCATACTGCTCGACTATTAATTAATTCATCATAATATTCTTGTTTGGAAAAATATGAAAAATCAAATATAATATCTGCATATTTTCCAGCATCACGAATATTTGCAACTTTAAATACAGGTGGTACAAAATCAGCTAAACGAAGAAGTTCAGCTATAATTGCATTGCCTGTTGCAACAAGTTGTAAAAGATTTTGACCACATGGATTATTTGCTGCTAAAAAGTCACTCATTTGTATAACTAAAAAGATGAAAAATGATAGTAAAACAAAAAAATTCTTATCAGTAAAAAGAATAAACGCAAATAAGATAGTTTTGTTTATATCATATGAAATCATTTATTTGTGGATTTCAATGATTGTATAGATAAAACTTCGTTTAATTTTCTCTATTAAAACATTTTAAATTGATTGATAAGAAATGATAAATCAGTATTATGATTTGACAGATTTACTGATCAGTAATCTCAACAGATGGCGCTAGATAACGAATATTGTAAATAAAAATCGAGATTGAACTTACTGTGAATAATTTGAACATCACTTGTGAGAAAATCTCTTACGATTTAGATTAATTCATTCGAAGGATAACTTCCTTCACAATCAGTATCATTTACTGATAAGTTCTTTAAGTCTCAAGTATAGAATTTTATGATAACAATTCAAAATCTGTAGTGCTATCAAGTGTTTATCGATTTGCAATATATATTTTTTATTTTTCACGACAATGTCCTTCATTTCTTTATCCTATCTAACAGTTTGTCAATAATAAGAGAGAGAAATCTTAATGTCAAACTAAAAACTATTCTTATCTTGAATACACATATATAAACTTGCAAATTTTTTTAATCTGATTCAACTCCCGAACGTAAAACATACTTTTCATTACCAACGCAACGTAATATACAACAAATCATCAAATATTCTTTTTAACTAGGATAGAAAAATGTTAGCACAACCAAAATTATTAACTTGGTCAGCTGCTAAAACACGTATTATCAATCGATTAAATTATTCGGCTACAATACATGAAGAAGCATCACCTAAAATTTCTACATTAGCATCAAGAATACCTCAAATCTCGTTATTTTCAAGTCGAGTAAATAATTCATTAGTCTATAAAAATAAAAAAATTCTCATGTTTTCATTATATAGTCTTTAACTAAGTTTCAATTTGATACTCATCTTCAAGCATTTACATACTACCGATCAAATGATGATGATGAAAATACAGATAATATTGAAGATATAATAATTACTTCATTATTTTATGATGATCCAAAAGATCCACGTTCAGCAGTTTTTGTATATTTTACTTCATTAACTACTGGAATTATTCGACGATGTTTGAAGTAAATTAATTTATTTAAATAAAAAATTCTTTTGAAATCATTGAATTTTTCTATTCAGATATGATTTTCAATTTCCATCATTTCAATTATTAAAATATATTTCAAGACTTGAAGTAGAAAATAATTTATAAATTACTCGAAAATGTTTTATTTTTTGTTTTTAGCTTATTGTTGGTTATTCAAATAATCGAATCTATTTACTTTCGAATAAAAATGGTAATTTAAAATATTTAACATCAACTAGTTGTCCGGGTACAGTCCGAAGGTAAAATAAGAATTGTAATCAAATAATTTCTTTTAATTTAAGAATATTTTAGAATAATATATGATAGAACTACACGTTCACGTGATGTAATTTATGTTGGTGGTGATAAAGGTTTATTTGTTCGTTGGTATTTAGATAGAGATTCGGTATATATAGTTTTATAATAAAAAAATTTGTTTTTGATTCTTGTTTTTTAATAGAATGGATATGAATTACGACTTGGCGATCGATTAAAATCTGTATTTATTAATCGAGAACATAATGTTATTGATATGAAACTTGATCGAATATCACATAAATTATTTATTGTTGGACACAAAGGATGTGTCATCTTTGATACACTTGTTAGAATTATTCCGATTTTAATTTTAAAAAAAACAAACAATTCCTTATTTATTTAGTTAAATCGAGAATCAGCTAGTGTTCTTTCTGCTCATGGTGCACCAGTTACATGGTAATTATTAAATTCATTTCAAATAGAAAATGAAGAATTTTTTTTATTTTTCTAGTGCAAATATCTATGGATTTTCTATAATAATGGGATTTTCTGATGGTATTATGAAGGTAATATTACACACATATATGCAGAAATTATGCACCCTATTTCCGCTCGAGAATAGTGTGAGCAAATCTTTGTTTCGAAAGAGGTGTAAGGGAAAACTTGCAGTATTTAGTTTTGTATACCGTTAATAGAAATACGAAAATGTTCAAATTATCTTCTTAGGTCTTTCAAAACTTTTTGATAGACCATTAATATCAGTGATTTATCTAGAGGGAGGGCAGAGATGGCGGCGCCCTCCCGGCGATCGATTTTGCCCTCTCGAAAATTGTAATTTTTGTGCTTATACTGTGTATTTCTCCTCTAAAAGTTAGGTTTTCGCCCTCCCAGAAATCGCTATCGCACTCTCGGAAGGAAAAACCGAGATAAAATACTGATTAATATTAATAATCAAATTATAGATTTTTGAAATTGGAAATGAATCTATTCCTGTTCGATATCAATTACAAGCACATCATGCTGCTATGATAGGTGATTAATCGAAATATTTAATACAATCTTTTCAATGTTATTCTTTTTAGGTCTGTTAATTACTACTGATGGTATCATAGTAACAGGTGCTGTTAATGGTACGATAGGTTTTTATTCACTTGAATCATTAGTTAAAGTAAATAAATTTTATTAAATATAATCAAAAGGAAAACTGGAAATCTTTTAGCTTGGTGAACATCATTTTACTGAATCTATTGAACGAATTATGTTTGTACGTGGTGAAGATATACTTGTTAAGTTTAAAAATGATTTACAATTATTAACTTATACATTAGTATGAATAGAATAATTTTAATAAAACTTTTTTTTACTGATTTTTGTGTTTTAGCCAATTCGATCATTTTCTGCCGCAGTACAACCCATTGAACAATTACGTGTAACATTTCCTGTTGGTAGCATCCCGTCACGTGTTGTCTTGCGAAGTTCACAAAATCTTTTTACAGTTCATAATCCACGTTCAACACAAATTATTAATGTTATTCCATTATCTCCTAATGTAAACGAAAACTTTTATTTCAATACAAAAATATTTTTCTTCTTTTTGAAATAGAGAATAATTGTGAATGATTTTATGTATGATTCAGCTGGAGAAATTCTTTATATATTAACTAGTAAAATAAGTAAAAATATTATTATTATTTTGTTTATTCATATAAATTAATACGATCATTATTGTTATTTAGTATGTAGTTATCATTGTGCAAGTCAACCAGCTTATTTATTAAATATGTTTGAAGTAAAAGATGATTGTCTTTTTACTAAACTTTGTTGTGTTATGTGGGTAAGTTACATCGTGCGGATCTTTCGAGATCCTATTCTTTTTCTTATAGTTTTCATTACTTCCTGAACATACAAAAAAACGTCGAGCATTTGGAATTATATTTGTTGGAACAACAAATGGAAAAGTACATTAGAAGATCTATATTTATATATAAATTTTATTTCAATTCTAGCTCTATCTTGTTCCTGGTGATCATGGACTTAAATATGCTTTATTACCAAATTCACCTGACGCATTAGATAGTTATTATCAAATACTTAAAGATACGGCAACAGTTGAAACATTAGAAATCTTTCAAGCCTATGAAACCTATACTACACGAGGTTAATTTATTCTTTATAAAATATTTAGTTATAAATATTTTATTATTTAGGAGGTGCACGATATTTACTTGCAATTGGAAATGATCTTATTGCAAAATTTTATCGAGTATCAATAAGTGATCATGAAATATTCTTACGTGAATTAGGAGTACCTGTAAGTAAAACGAAAATAATATAATTTAGAAAAAAATTATTTCTCGTTAAAATCAAAAGATTCGTCTTGATTCACCATGTATCGGTGCAGCTATGGCAGAATATCGAATAGCTATAGCATGTGCACTTCGTGGTTATATTCAAATGTATCTAATAACAATTCATGGTCTTGATGAAATCTCACCAAAAGATATTCTCTATGAAGATTCACCAATCAAATCACTTACTGGTTGTGATACATTAGGGTTATTTGCAACATTAAATAATGCAAATGAAATCATAGTAAAATAGAATAAAATAATTATCGAAAGAAGAACTATTTCCTATATTTTAGTTATGGACAAAAAATAATGAAGCAATAAGAAAATTAAAATGTGATGCTCCTTTAATATCAATTGCTAATCTGAATGATAGAGGAGATATTTTATTAATATCAAATAGAAGATTATAGTAAGACATTTGCGTGTATATTTAAACTATTTTATTTGTTTTTATAGTTTTTTAATGATTAGTGATTTTGCACCTGATCAAGCATTATTTGATTTAACAAAAAAAACAATTAAGGTGGGTAAAATGTATCGAAATACTTTTTTTTGTATTGATTAAACTTTGGTCTCTTTAAATATTCTATAAAAAGAAAACAATCGATTGAATATTAAATGACTTATTTTTTGTAGACATTATTCTCGTTCATCAAGTGTTGATTTAAAATTGAAAAAAAAGGAAGAAGCGAGAGAGAAAGAAAAGAAGAAATATGAAAGTTATTTTTATCACATCAGTCTACTGATGATGCCAAATTAAGTAGAGAAAAAGATAAGAACAAAGAATTGCATTCGTACGTTTGAAAACAAACAAAAAAAGAGTAGTTAAAACATAAGAAAAAAGAAATTTTTATGGTGAGAATATATTCTTATATCTAATTATTCTATTTATATCTTTTTAGGATGATCCAATTGAATATCCAGTACAAATCAATAAAAAATTTGATCCGTATGTTTACTAGAAATAGAATATTTTATTATTCTTACTATCAACAAAATAGAATACTATTAAAAACTTGATTTGACATTTAAAAGAAAACGTCAATATTACTGTCACTTGTCTTTTTCAATTACAAAAAAAGTGAAATTTTTTTACTTTGATCTATCGAATAATTTTCTTCTTGTTCTCAATATAAGAGGAAAAAAACTATCGAGAGAGATTCATTTGAAATGAATATAAATTGACGGTTTTGTGAGTGGGTTGTTTAATAACAATCATATGAAAAACAACAACAAAGAAAAATATTGAAATATATGTCCATAGTTTCACCTATACACTCTCACCTACGACATTCTTTATAATAAACATAAGAAGAAATGATACATGCAAAAGCACCATCTCTTTCCTTTAAACAATTATCAAAAAATAGACAAACGAATAATTACAAGTAGAATTAAGATTCTTGTAAAATTTATTTTGATTTTTTATCTAGAACTTCAAATGAACCAGTTGAAACCGTTCAGCTTAATCTACGAGCGATTCCACAAGGTTTACTTAATTACTAATATGATTATAAATAATACCTTCTGTTCTAGTTCCACAAGATGTCGAGGAAACAGATCCATTCGATTTTTTTCAAGCAATCGAACAAAAGAGAATCGAAGCTGAAATGGCCAGAAGATTAGAAGAGAAAAAAATATATCCAATTGCACCTGATGGTATAATTATTTTTTGATCTTAAACCTAAACCTTTACTATTTCTTAGGTTTCATTCCTAATTCAACAATTCGTTCAATGTTTAAACTAAAAGATATCGAACCCGTCGATATGAATATATTTCGATTACGACTTGTATGTATATAAATAAAATATTTGATTTCTTTTTTCTTGAGCTAGAAAGTATTCGATTTAAAAAAAACTAAACAAAAATATAGATGCCACCGATAACACAAAATACAATTCAAACGGAATTAGATGAACGATTGAAACGATATGCTGTTTTACCATATGATGATAGTGCTCGTTCACTTATTTCTCAATCATTAAATAAAATTGTAAGCATAGAACAAGAATATTTACATTTATTTTTTTATTCTAGGATATTCTTGATAATTTAGAGGTTTGTTATAAAACAAACACTGTAGAATTTTGTTTTTCACATATCGTCTAATTAGAGTGGTTGTTTTTCAGTTCGCTTAATAATACACAGTTTTTTGAATTTATTTTACTAAAAAATTATATCCATTTTTTCATAATTTAGAATAAAACAAATAAAAATCTTAATTGGCAAAATGATGATGATGAATGGGTAGAATTAGGTGATCCTGATGGTTCAATTAGTGCAAGTTCATTAAAACCAATAAATGAAAAAAAGACTCGAAGTATTTATATAATTACTATAATAATTATCTTATTTTCATATGGTTATTTCTAGCTGCACGTCCATCAGCAGATACGTTAATAGCTCGTCAGAAGGTATTCGAAACAAAAACTTTTGCAATAATTCTTATTGTGTTTATCTAGGATTTACTTCCCGATGTATTTAAACGATTGAAGAAAGAATCCTGGTGGAAACCAAAAGATGATCAAGCAAATAATAATTTACGTTCAATGTTATTATATTTACTTGAAATATTAAAAGCTAAACAAAAAGATTCATATGAATCCGCTTGTAATTATGTCGTGGAAATATTCAAGTATTAAGAAAATTTTCAAAGAATTTTTTTCAAAAATTTATTTCTTTAGAACACATGGAATTGACCAATCACTTGTTGATCAAATTCTTGATATATTAATTAATCATTTAGTTCAAAGTGGAAATGATCCATTAGATGTTCATACAGTTCAAACAATAGCTCAATTTATGATTGAAAGAAAAAATATTGTCGTATCATTACTTGATTTTGCATTAAAATATCCATCAGTAATTTCAATACTTTTTGTTTTCTTCTATTAAAAACTATTTTTTAGGGTGATATTCTACATCATGAAGCAATAAATGCTATTAAATTTATTACTGATGTTAATAATTCAGATGATATTGAACTAGTTTTTGATAATATGGCAGTTGTTCGAGTAAGAAAAATTATTTTTTTGATATCATAAATATAAAACAAATTTATTTATTTAAGAACGCTGATGCTGATACATTTTCATTTAAAGCAATTATTGAAAGAATAAAAGCTAAACGTAAAAAATCTTTAAATGGTTTAATCAATGATGGAAATGAAACAGTTATCGATGAAATTCATCCATTATTAAAAAAAATTTCGGAAGAACGTTGGTTTCCTCGTGATAATATTCCAATTACACTTGATTCAATTATTGATATTATTCTAAGTAAATTACCAAATGCTAGTAAATCAGTATTTAAAGCATTAACAACATATCTTGTTCAATTACATCGGTAAATAATTTGTCTATATAAGTTAAAACCGAATTAATATGTATCTTGAATATAATGGTGCCTTTTTATTTTTATACTATTTCTTAAAATTCTTCTATATCGAGTATTGATGTTTGTATCGATTTTAAGGCATCTTGTTTATGTAACTTCAGATAGTGATCTTTTATAACTGCAGCACTTTAGTAAATTTCAAAATAATTCATTTACTTCTATCTTTATCGGGAGAAATAAACGAGAATAACACTTTTTACACATAGACTTATGATAGATCTTATACATACAAATCGACTACCAGTAAACTATTTATTCAAAAAACTTCAAAAGATAGACTTCAGATTTGAGTTCCTCGCTCTCGATTAAAATTTTTTAAAAACTGACATCGGAATCAAACTCCTCACTCTCGATTAACTTTAGTCAAGTTTTATGGAAAATAATAGTTCTCCATTGTCAACTAGTAAAGTGCGGAGATACAAGCAAGTTATTCTTAGTAGATTCTTCTCTCCGAGAAATAGAACAAAATGCATTAAGTTTCTGTTGAAAAGCGATTTGACACCTACAACTATACTCATATCTATTTTGAAATAATTCTTCAATAGAATATCTTGTAGTGAATATTCTTATCTTTTAGTGAAATTGGATATTCAAAAGAACAATTCACTCGTGTGTCCAATGGTATTATATCACTTCTTTCACATGCTGATGCTGATTATCGATTACGAGCTGCATCAGTTCTAGCTGAATTAGGTCAAGAAACAAAATCCATCGATATTGCTTTACTTAATTCATTTTTAAATGATTCTCGAGTATATTCTTCTTACTTTTTTTATTAATAAATGTTTCTATTTACAAATTCTGTTTTATATATAGGTACTTGTTCGAACTGAATGTTGTGATACATTAAAAAAATTAACTGGTATTACTTCGGATACAGTTTTAAAAGACTGTGCAGATGATATTCCAATTCTACAGGTAGAATATTTTTAGATAGAGAAAAAACGAAATTTTTAAATAATATAAATGATGTTTTTATAGACTTTACCTGAGGAAAATTTTTCACTTCAAAATTATTTGAAAGAAAAAAATCGAAAATTAACAACAACAGATGAACAAGCATTAGTATCGATTGATGAAAAACAAGAAAATGAAACTGAAGAAGAAAATATACCAGTTGTAAGTAATACTGAACAAGAAGATTCAAATAAAAATAATGAAGATACAAATGATTCTTCTCCTATTAATGAACAAATCGATCAAGTTGATGATAAGAAATCAAGTGTTCATTCACGTACTCCATCACCCGATGTCAATGAACAATCGAATACAGAATTTAATATAATACCAACTAAAAGAACTTCACCTGAACCAACAATTCGTATTGAAATAACTGAGAAACCAAAACCTACCACACACACTTCTAATGAACAATCAAAAGCACGAAGAGAACCATCGCCATCCATACAACCATCTCGTTCACGAAAACAACCATCGAATCCACTTGAACAATACAATCCTATACCTATTAAAATCACTGTTTCAGATCAATCTACTGGCAAACGGTACTATATCTTTTACATTAACTTTCTATTATTTTCTTCTTTAGTATTGTACTTTTACCAAATAACACAAATACCGATGATTCATATACAAATCAGAATGGTACTATAAACTTTTTAATTTTGAACTTGAAATATTTTTTCCCTTTTCTTCTAGATAATAATTTTCCAACTTATCAAGAACAACCAATTGATCCAATTCAATCAATTATTGATGATCATAAACGTCATGATGGCTATTATCGTATGATACCAAAACGTCCAGTATTAGTTCCTCATAAAGTTTCTCTTGGAGGTTTATTTGGTGATCAAACACATATAATTCCTAATAGACAAATACCTGTACCATCAACAACAAATACGATGCATTTATCGGATTTAAATAATAATAAACGTCATTTAAATAAAGTTGAATTCGTACAATTATTATCATCATTAATGATCCGTGCAATAACATTACATAGAAGACATGAAAGACTTATTCCAGGATTATTTTCATCTAATGTAAATTCTTCAGATGGTTTTACTGAAGCATTAACTATTTCTCAAATGCGATTACATTCATCATTAGATCCTTATCAAACAAATTCTTTCATATCAAATAGATTACCAACAATTTATCAACGAGGTCGATCCTCATTTGAAATAACTAGAATAAAATCAGATGCACAAACAAGAGCAACAAGAGAAGGTATATATGTATATAAACGAGTTGATCATATTCTTCTTAACTTTCAAAGACAATAATAATAACATGAAATATCGTTTTTTTAGGCATCAATCTTCACAAAGTTAGAGATATGGAAGCTGCGTTGTCTAATCTACTTAAAACTGATAGTGAACCTAAACGATCTAGAATTATTCGTTCAAATACCAGTCGTAATCGTCCACCTCCTCCTCCCATAACACCTACATCTGATCAGAGCGAAATAACTCATGCAATGGTTCTCGAACAAAGTAAATATTGAAAAATAAATTTTACTATTTTTATTCTTCTCTCTTAGTATTAAAATCACAAGGTATACAAAATCCTCAAAATTACATTCAACAAATAAGTCGTACATATCCAAAATTTAATCCATTACTTTATTCACGAGTACCACAACATCTTATTTCTATTATATGGAATGATCCTGTTATGAAACACCTTGCATCAATTATTAGTACTAAACAAGTAAGAATTAATTCTATTATTAACAAATAAATAAATATTCTTGTTTTTTTACAGGATGAATCATTTATACAAGTTGTACCAATTAAATCTGATTATCAAAATCTACCAATATTTGATGATGAACTAACATCGAATGTTTTTGATTATTCTGCATCAAATTCTCTTCTGTCTTTACAACAACAACATCGAGATGATCATAAAAAGAAAAATTTACCATCAGTTCATGGTATTAAATTGTAAGGAATTATTATTATCAAACAGATGTTCAAATCTATTTAATTTTAGACCATTACCACGTCATATACTTAAATTTGGTTATCGAGAAATTGATGCATCACCACCAGAAACATCAATCGAGTTATTACGGACTGAAAATCCACCAAAATTACGTCGACGTCAAGCTTTTGTGCATCTACGAGTAAGTCATTCTTTCTTTTTTGTGCATATTTATTTGAAATAATCTTATAAAATTGTAGTGTAATCATGATTATCATTCCAAGTAAACATTATCTTGTTGAAAATCAATTACGACATATGCTTAAATATACTCTATTACGATCTTTTGTTATATATAATTAATTATATTTCTATCTGTTTTACTCGGTGATATATTTTTATGATTATTATTTAAACTCTGCTTTGTATTAATAAATATTGCTTCTGTTTATCTTCTATATAATTTACTGATCTATTTTTGCTTTTGAATAAAACGAAAAATATTGTAACACGTTATCCAGTAGATAAAAATCGAGCCATACTCTTGATCTTAAGTTTATTATAAGAAAAAATCATCTCATTTAAGTAAATATTTTCATAGTCAGATGACTTATTTGATAACATTACCAAGAACAACATTGGTTTCTTTACATAACATGAAGTCTCTTATTATTCGCGAATACATAGAAACAAAAAGAATGTCTAACTATATTATCTATTGTTGAAAGATATGTTATCTTATGCTAGTTTTTATGAGTATATAAATGTTAACATCCGAGACATATTTTGAGAATACTTCTTTTATTAATATTATTAACAATGTCAAAAGCTGATTTTGATCAAGCTGCTGCTGATGTCAAAAATTTAAGTAAGAAACCATCTGATGATGAATTACTTAAACTCTACGGACTTTTCAAGCGTAAGTTAATAAAAAAGAAAATAAAATTTTCTTAATATTCATGTTTTGTTCTTCTATAGAAGCAACTGTTGGTGATAATAATTCAAGCAAACCAGGTATGCTTGATCTTAAAGGCAAAGCTAAATGGGAAGCTTGGAATAAAAATAAAGGAACAAGTCAAGGAGATGCTCAACAACAATATATTAATTTCGTTCGTCAATTACAATCTTAAAAGAAAAGTTCTTTTTGTATTTCGTTTCACTATGAAATAATAATAAATAAAATTTCGATATTTATTTAATACAAAAAAAGACTGATCTTTTTTTTTACAATAAAGACAAGATTGAATAATTACTGTTTAGAAAAAAATTCACAATTGAGAGAGTAAAAAAAGAAAAAAGAGAGAAAAAATTAAAATATACATCAGACGGATGGTAAATCCGATTTCGTTTTATCGATAGTTGTTAACGATGGTGAAGATAATAATGGACTTTTGAGAACTGTTCTTGATTCTTGCTCGATATCAATTAATGATGAACTATTTAATTGATTTAATGATGATGAAGGTGATGGATGAGTCGTTGGTGTATACTGTTGTTGTTGAAAACGTTGTCCTAATTTCGTTAAATTTTTCAAACGATTTTTGATTTGTTTATAACGGCAACATAATAAACATGGTGCAGTTATGATAAGAAATGGAATAGTTATGAGAAATAAAAGAGTTAAGCCAATAAAAATACCAACAATAGTAAGACGATGAAAAAATAAGGACGCACGAGAATGGCCAAGTCTAAACAAACAAAAAGAAAATCATATATTTAATCTTCACTCATTCTCTAATAAGAGAACATTCCCAACTGAAGGATCGCTTTTGAGTTCGAGCTTCGTGCATAAGGTAGATCCCAATAAGGTATGAAAAGCCTCAAAATGACAAGTGCCCATAGGCCTTCTGTCCAGAGTTATAGGCAATATACTGAAGTTTTAGTCTATGGCATGGTATGTTTATATAAATCAAATGACGGTATTTCGACCTGAAATTTTGCCCACAGAGAGGTCTATTGGTGATTAGAATACCCTGAGAATTTCAGCTTAAAAAAACGATTCCCTCTCGAGATATTAAAATTTCAAAAAACAGAAATGTCTAGTGTCTTTCGTGGAATACGCGTGATTTTTTGACACTTTAATATCTCGAAAAGGAATCACTCTTTGAGCTGAAATTTTCAGAGTATTCTAGTCACCAACAGACCTCTCTGTGGGCAAAATTTCAGTATATTGCCTATGGGCACTTGTCCTTTTGAGGTTTTTCATACCTCATCGGGATCTACCTTATGCACGGAGCTCGAACTCAAAAGTGATCCTTCAGTTGAGGATGTTTCCTCGTAAGTTTTATATATATGAGAAGATCTTCTTACCGATTTCGACAAGGTCCACGTTCAAAATGTAATAGGAAAAAATCATTCTAAAAAAAGGAAATTTCTTTTTTGAATAATTTCAAAATATTATCTATTTATAATTACATCAAGTGATTTTAAACAATACCAACAGAAAATATGTTTACAATTAACACACATAATTTGTGCACAACCCGCAATCCATTCTAATGGAAAACGACATCGTGGACAACGTTTTATATTTGAATCAGGCTCCATTTCATATGGTGTACTAGAATAGAATTAATAATTTCTTTTACAAAATTTGTTTTTTTGAATAAAATACATACAGTAAATCGGAACAATGTTTATTTGGATGCCATTGTGAACGACATTTTAAACAAAATGTTGTTTGACACTATATATGTAATTGAAATAAATTATTATCAAATTCCATTTTATTTACTTTTGTACAAGTCATCGGATATTCTTTCCGAGTTTTTCTTTCATCAGCTATCGACAATATATGACCACAATCAACATGTGGACAAAAAAGACGATGAGGATCATTTGTTACTTCTAAATTAAAAAAAATCTTTAAACAACAAACACAAAAAACAAAAAATCTTATACCATGATCAAGTAAAAGTTTATTATAAAGTTGAAATTGTGAATCAGGAAGTAGAATACTAAGCTAAAAGAATAATTCATATTATTTTCATTGAAAATTAATTTCATCACCTCATTTAAAGATAATTGATTATTGCACTCACCATTTGGACATATAATTGGTACCAATCTAAATAGATAAAAATTAGTTTTACAAAAAAAAATATGAATTATATTACGCTGTATTTATTTGACTGGTACAATACTGATATACACACTAAAATCAAAAAAGAATTATTTTTTGAAAAATATTAAAATGAAAATCTACCTCTTTACAAAATTGACAATGACAGGATTCGATTTCATATACATTCTTTTGATCATTAATATTATTACAACAAATTGAACATTGAAATATAGTTTCATCACATAATTTTACTCTTTCTTCAACCATTCTTCTTAGTTTTCATCGGAAAAAGAAAAGAATACGATTTTTTTTTAATAAAAAATATAAAACATTAAGTGTTGTATTTTTATATATGTATATATTTTTGTCCTTCTCTTCTAACATAAACAAACAGACATTCACATGAATATACTGTTCAAATACAAAATCAACAGTTTACATTTGCTTGGCTATGCTTATAATCAACATATATGTTCAAAAATAATAAACGACTAAATCAAAAAAAAATGAAGAAAACAGTTTCTCTTACTTTCGGATCAGAAAATCCGTACTAGAATACAGAACAAGAAAAACGACTAAAGTATTCAATGATATATTCACGCTTATTTTATCTTTTGTTTCCGACACAAAACAAAACAAAAAAGAAGAAAAATCGCTACCATAAATGAAATATCAATATATACACACATCTATGAATATTTGGTCGGAACAATAAAACAGCTGAGAAAATATCACACATATGAAATCATCTACGGAAGTAATTAACATGTGATAAATTTATTTTGTCTATTGTCTAACTTGTTAATGGAGTTATCTATATAGAAAAATACAAAATTTTAAAGTTTAGTTTTTTTTTAAATGGATTTTACATCTGAGGTTATATTATTTATCGTTGTGTCATGTTCTTCTGATATGTTTGTAGTCTAGAAAGAACGACATGATATGATTTAATTGAATATTTTCATTTGAAACATACTTTAGGTTCAGTAGTAGAATCATCTTCTTTTATTTTGTCACTTTCGTCTTCATTTTGTTCCATGGTTTCAACAGGCGCAGGTAAATCTTCTTGTTCAGTTTTTTCAATAGGCTTTACGTTTGCTTTTTTACGACCACGTCTTGTCGTTGAAGGACCTTTAGAATAGAGGAAAAACGTCTTGCATATTATCTTTTGACCTACTGTTAATCTCATAGATTATCACTTTATTCAAATACTATCATCGTAGACTTTAAAGATAAAGACTAAATATTTGTCAAAAAAGCAAAGACAGAATCAGTGAAATAACTCTTACACCGAGGTGCAGAAACTCAACCAAAAATTTCCCCTCACACGCACGGGGGCGCACGAGGAAGACTCTGCTCTTACACATCTAACGTTATTTAGACGAACAATCTGAGAAATTCCAATTAATTAGGGTCGAGATAGTATTCATAGTAATTAACTTTTGTAAATAATTGAAAAATCCTGTTAGTTTATTTTTGTTTTGTAAGTGAAGAGGATTCACAATAATATTAAGGCTTTATGAAAGAGAAAAATGTAATCATGCTACTTTTGATGAAAATAGTTAGTTTTCTTAATGAGAAATAGGATGATGGTTTAATTGTATGTATTATTATAAATTTCGAAATCAACAAACCTCGTTTTCTTTTATGAGAACTTGTACTTCGTGAACGTTTAACTGATGATCGTTTCTTTGGTGTTTTCTTTCCAGGTTGATAAGCAAAATCATCAGGATCATCTTTCATACGTACAACACGTTCTTCTTCACTATCAATATAATCATCATCTGATTCTATTCTATCTTCATCGTCATCTTCTTCTTCTTCTTCTTCTTCTTCATTAAAAATTTCATCATCATCATTATCATCCTCACCACCATCCTAAAATAAAATTAATTAATTAATTGCAAATATGATTTTCGTTTTATTTTACTTCATTATCTTCTTCATCTGTAGGAATTGATTCTTTTGAATTGGTGCTAGTTTTATTCAACGTACGCATAGACATTTTCCGTTCCGGTATTGGTTTGCCTTCATCAACTGGTTTCATTAAAAATTGTAATATTCGTTCAGCATGTTCATCATTACGACCAGTTGTTGGTAGACCAAGTATATCTGAAATTGCTTGTAATTGATCTTTTTTTAATCTAAACAAATCCAAAACAAGATTTTAATAATTATTATATTATCCAATTTACTTTATTATATTGCTTAAATATCGTTGATATTCATCATTATCTTCTTCAAAGTCAAATCCATTAAATTCTCGAAGTTTTTCAAGCATATTTGATTTATTCTAAGAAAATCAAATTATTTTAAATTCTAAAATAATTATTTTATGTTTTACTGCTCGTCGTCCAAAACATATATTACGTATAAGAGATAAAACATCAGTTGATCCATGCGTTATTTGATAATTAACTAAATATTAACATAATATAACCCGTCATTTTTTTGCAAATAAGTTTACATACTGTATTCAATTTCTCCTAAAGATTTACCATGACCCTAGAAAGAAAAAAATCGAAGGCTATATAAAATTGATTGGTTCCTATAAAAAGAGTTTCATAGACTTAATCGATTAGGTAAATACACCAAAAGAAAAAAAGACCTTCGTTTTTAATATGAAACATAAATTTGTAAGAAATAATCAATTTACCTGAGGAATCGATATGTCTTTTTTCGGTGGAGCTAATTCAGATAATTCAAGACGTAATGTTGGTTTTCGTGAACGTTTTCCTTCAACAATAATTGGCTGTTCAAATAATGGTTGAGTATCAATTGTCGGATCATTATTTAAATTTTCATTTTTAATATCGGATATATCTCGTTTTTTTCTTCCAGCACGTTTTGGTTTTTCAATATTTATTTGTTCATTATCATCTTCGGTTTTTTGTAATACTGTTTCATTAATAGGATTGATTAATACTGTTGATTCTTTTTCATTTGTAGATATGTCATTATTTTCATTTATGTCATTTGCTTGAATAATATTTAATTCGTTTTCACTTGTCATTATTTAAAGTACAAGGAAATATTAATCTAAAAATAGAAAAAATTATTTTCTCATTAAGAATTAAGTGATTTCATTTTAATTCTTCCTCCATCCATAAGACTACTATTTATCAATTAACCAATAACAAAACAATGTTTTTATAGATGGCGTATCTATGCGATAGGTTTTTTTTTTCTTTTTTTTTCTTTTTCTGTTCATAACAAAACAAAACAAAAAAACAGGCAAAATATTTATCTTTTTCTAGTTCTTTTTGATGATTGATTTGCACCTGCAGGCGCACGTTTATTATTCGTAGGTGCATGTTTAGTATTTGTAGGTGCACGTTTCGTATGTTTAGATTTACTACTTTGTCGCTGATTTTTGTAATTCGTTCGACCACCTTTACGCATTTGACGTGCTTTTTGTAATGATTGTTTTTTACGTGTTTCAGTACGTTTCTTCATAATTTGTTCAGGTTTTTTCAATTCTGAATGACTTGGCATTTTTTGGCCTTTAGATTTTAATTGCGTCTTTTGTCGATTCATTAATTGTGTTACACGTTGTTGAAATTGTCCTAAAGAAAAAACTATATTAGATAAGAAAAAGAAATAGATTTATATGATCCATACGTGGTTTCTTTTGTGCACTGGATGCTTCATCATCATTTACATAATCTTCAGTTTTAGTTCGACGACTATCCGGTAATTCTTTATCCAAAACTTTTGATTTATTGAGCCATTTTTTATAACTGAAAAATAGATTAAAGATTTTTATGAGAAAGACAATAGAAACTAAGGCAGGGGTGTGCCGAGGGTGGAGCACGTGACGCTCCCGTGATTCTAGAATTTACGTTGAAAATATGACATGTATACACTATACGCCTCCTCTACTTTCGACGCCTCGGTACGCCCCCGAATCAAATATTCTTAGGAATGATATGCTTTTAATAGATTCATTAAAGTGATACTCTTTAAAAATTTCAACTTACACATCTGTTTTATACGATGCTTGAATCCATTGTCCACTTTCAGTCTTAACTTTTTTTGTTTTTGCATCAGTTTGACCAACAGTTACGAATTTCTTCTTCTTTCGATCCCTATATTAGAAATATAGTCAAATAAAAATAAATATTTTTTTTTGTGTAAGAAATTCACCATTTGGTTTTTTGTATCATTGGACCTTTGCGATGAGTTCCATCATCATTTGCTAAATCCATAACTGCTTCAGTTGTTTGACGTTCAAAGGATTGAATTTCTAACCCTTGTTCTCGTTTGAAATCAGGTGGTTGATATGGAATAAAAAATTCTTTATCAACTTCTCGTCGATTTTTCTTCTTCTTCTTTTTTGGTGATTCCATATCATCATAATTCATATCATTTGCTCCTTTAATAGTGATTGTCAAATTATCTACCTAAATTAAATAATTAATTAATTAATTAATTATTTTATTTAATTATCTAACTTCAAGTGTTTTTTTGTGGTCATCATCATCACTATCAGAATGATTATTTTGTAATGATTGTTCTTTTTGATCATGTTTGAAAATAAGTCTTTCATCATGAGCACGTTTTCGTTTCATAATTTGACATGCAGTATTACCTGCCGATGGATTTACTTCGAAGATTGTCTATAAAATAAAGAAAGTTCATTTAAAAAATCGAAATTTTCTTCTTTAGAATTTTGTCTAATATATTTTCCTATAAAATATTCTCAAAAATACACATAAAATTTATTCCGCATAAGAAAAGCAATGATGTGTCTCTAATATCGATATACGTTTGACATTTACAAGGTTTGTTGACTCTTCCACCTGAGTGGCTTATGAATTTCCTCAGAATCAATTTGTATGTCGTTTTAAATCTTAATACAATTATTCGAAAGAAAACATACACAACTAAAATTTCGATTATTTGTCTGATCATACAAGAAAACGTGAATCGTTAACTTACATTTTTTGCTCGAAATGATTTTAATTGTTGTATAAGTGGATTTGGTGTTAATTCTTCAACAGTATAATTCTGTCGAAATATTGGATGCATAGGCATATTAGAAATTTCTTTGTGATATTGTTTCATTTGTTTAACAGATGCATATGTTGATGCTGGTCGTGATCGAATATAATGTTGGTATGCATTTTGTTGTACTTGATATAAATTAACTAAATCAACATTTATTTCAGTTAATTTTCTAATTGTTTCGGATTCTTCATCAATTATTGTTTGTGGAACATTTCCAAATAATAAATGAAAATCATCATCATTATCTTCATCATCTTTTGTAGTAAATTTTATTGTTTTACCAATAAATTCTTGTACATCAAATAAATATGATATTTCATCTGTTGATATTAATGAATAAGCTGTACCCGTACGTCCAGCACGTGCAACACGACCAACACGATGAAGAAATATTTTAGGTGTAGATGGAAAATGATAATTAATAACATTATCAAGTGATGGAATATCCAATCCTCTAGCAGCAATATCAGTAACAATTAAAACTCGCGCTTTACCAGTTTGATATCTTGAAAGATTAATTTTTCTTGTTGAATGATCAAGTGTAGAATAAATCGTAACTGCTGAAAATAAATTTTGTTGTTGTTGTTGTTCAAGTAATTCTTTTAAATATTCACAATGATGACGTGTACCAACGAATAAAACAATTTGTTGATCGGATGGTATTACTGTACGAAGAAGATGTAAAAGTAATGATGTTTTATCATCATGACGTACATGAAAAAAAATTAGTTTTAAATGTTCATTTAATTTCATTTCAATATCAAGACGAATTAATTCCGGTTCATAAAGACCTGCTTTAGCAAATTCAGCAAGAATTTTTGATAATGTTGCTGAAAATAACAATGTTTGACGTTGTGATGGTAAACGTTTTATTATATCATTTAATTGTTCTTGAAAACCCATTTCAAATAAACTATATAGAAATAATATTTTACTAAATAAAAAGATCATGAAATAAAATTTATTTACCGATCTGCTTCATCAAATACAACATATTTAACATCGTGTAATTTAAGATCCATTTCAATACATATATGCATAAAACGACCAGGTGTTGCGATAATTCTTTAAGAAAACAAAAAACAATAATAGAAAAATATTTGTATTAATAAACATACATATCAGGATGAGCATGTAAATTACTGAATTGTTCTTCGATTCTACAAATAAATATAGGTAATAAGAGAATATTTGATGAAAATTTAATTACCGTTCACCACCAAGAATAGCTGTTGGAATAAGATCAGTTAAATTTCCAATCTAAAGTTTTGAATTGATATATTAAATTAAAAGAAAATGTTTTTTTATTATACTTGTTGTGTAAATTTAAGTGTTTGTAAAGCTAATTCACGAGTTGGTGATAGAATAAGTGCGCGTGGACCAGAATTTGGATCATGTCCTTTTAATTTTTCAAACATCGGAATAAGAAAAGCAGCAGTTTTTCCACTACCAGTACGTGCCATTGCTACAACATCTTTATTTTTCAATATCACCGGAATTGCCTAAAATTATTTCAATAATAAAAAAATAAACAAACAAATTAATATGCCATACTTTACGTTGAATTGGTGTTGGAACTTTATAGCCACGTTTCATAATAGCTTTGAATATAGGTGCCGATAATCCTGAATAAAATAATTATCATCATAATGCTGAATAGTCCTTATGTGATACTTTCATTTATCATCGTTACAAAATAACGAGAATGAATGATTACTACATTTTAGTTTTCTTAAAATTGGTCTAGAATATCAGAATTTAATCTCGCATTTTTTCTTTTGACCTTTAAATATCAACGTAGACATTTGTTTTGGTATTTTCGTCAAAAAAACTCATTCTAATGGTATTAACCTTTTCACTCTAAGTCATAACACAAAAACATACCAAATGATTGAAATCCACCAGATTTGCTTTTCTTTTTTAATTTTCGATTTTTCTTTTCATTCATTTCTCCATCAAATGTCAAGTCTAAATAAAATAATAAATTTCGAATAAAAAAACAAATACAAAAAGTTTCTATACCTTGATTAAAATCTTCGTCAGCCATTTTTCTGATCTAGAATTATTAAAAATAAAATAATGTTTTTATTAAAATGGAATGCTATGTATTCATTAGTTTAGCAAAATAATAATAATAATAAAGCATTGAAAATTACAGTAAACAAAAAAATATATATATCTGTTCATTAGAAGGAAAATTTAATCTTGATCTTTTCGTCCATATTTAAGAATTTTAACGAATTCTTGATAATCAAAAAGACCATTTTTAATAGGAGCATCTTTAAACAATTCATCAACTTCTTCATCGGTATAACGATCACCCATAGTCATTAATAAATCACGTAAACGATCTTCACTGATTTTTCCTGTACGTTCTTCATCTAATGCTAAAAAAGCATTACGTATAACATCTTCAGGATCGGATCCTGTTAATTTTTCACCGAATAATGTTAAAAACACTAGAAAAAATAAAATATATAAGATGAATTTTTCTATTTCAAATTTACTAGTAAAATTAATATCGCCCGGTGCTTCACGAATCATTGCTTCAAGTTCTGCATTTGGAACGTCTTTACCCAATGAAGCAAACATATCCCGTAAATCATCACTACTAATAAAGCCATCCTAAAAAACATTTCGCAATAAAAATCAAAAAAATGAATATTTCAATACAAACTCGATCATGATCAATAATATTAAAAGCTTCTTTAAATTCTTGTATTTGCGATTGATCAAACATCGCAAAGATATTTGATGTAGCGCGTGTTTGGCGCTTTTTAGCGGGTAGTTTGGCTTTAAGACGAGCTGCCATTTGAAGATGATAATTCAAAAATGATTGAAAATTCGTCTTATTTACTTTTTTGCTTCTTACTCATCGACATAATTACAGATGTCACTGTAAATATAAAAATCATTTTTATTGATTAATTATGAAAGATTTTTTACGAATAATTCATATGAATATTTTAAATAGATTTTAATAATTTCTTTTTCATAATTTTTTTTAAATACTTATCTATTGGTTAGAAGAAAAGAGGCAACAACAACATGTCAGATTGATTGATTGACCGATATAGAAAAAGGAATCTTTTATGAATAATTGACTTGTTCAATAATCTTTAAAGATAAAGAGGTTAAAAATCTTAATTATAGAATTATTTTATCTGAATTTTTATTATTTCAAGGCGTGGTGTGTTTGTTTGATAATTTAGTTGAAATTTATCTAGTTTATCAAACATAATGCCATCATCATCTCATTTATCAAATTCAAATGATCAATGTGATCACTGTCATACGACATATACTATAGTCAAAAGAAAAGTAAATTAATTTTTATTCGATTTAGTAAAAATTATTTTCATGTATTTTTTTTTCTTCTTAGAAAAGTTGTGCTGTATGTCGTCAATATTATTGTACAAGTTGTGCACCACGTGAACGTCATTATAATCAACCACATCGTATATGTTTGATATGTCAACTAATATCGAGTGATTCAACAACAGATGAACAATTATTAGCATTAAAAGTTAAACATTTAAGGTGCTATTTACAGGCGAAAAATATATCTTATCATACATGTACAGAAAAACAAGAACTTGTCGATTTAATTGTAAGAAATAGACATTTACCGTTTACACGTTTATTTATTCAACAACAACAACAAGCACAACAAACTTCAACTTCTTATCCTCCACCTCCTTCACAACCACAGCCACAACCACCACCACCGCCACCGTCAGCGTCATCATCATCATCAGCAACAACAACAAATTCAAATCAACAACAACAGCAATTTCACACAACATTTAATCAATTTTCAACATCCACAAGTGCTTCCTCATCTACCTCATCATCCTCTTCTTCTTCATCCTCAACAACGTCAACTGCTATGCCGCCACCACCACCACCTCCTCCTCAACCACCAAAACATGGAAATTTTACAAATTTTCAACATACAATGTCATCGTTTGCTAGTCAAATGAATCATTTTGCTGCTAATTTACAAGATTACGTCACAAATACAGTATCTGGTGTTCTACATCATGCACTCGGCGATCATCAACAAACAACAACAACGACGACGACAACAAACAATGGAAATGGAACATCATCAACATTTAATTTCGGTACAACTACGAATGGACCATTTACATATAGTTTTACATCTCCGGGAAATTTTGTTTATACAACAACAACAAATAGCACAACAGCTAGTCCACAACAACAGAGAAGAAATACCACAACAACAACTACTACAACAAATGAAACAACAGCTAGTTCTAATACGGTACGTATCCATTTCTACAAAGAAAAATTTATTGAAACTACATTGAGTTGTTAAATTACAAATATAGTTTATATTTTTCTTTTGTTTTTCAGCAGCAACAAGCAACCACAACTCAGCGACCACGTCGAAAATCTCTTAGCGAATTAAATAATGAACAAAATATTGAAGATTTAAGTGTTCGAGAATTAAAAGAAATTTTAGTAGCAAATTTTGTCGATTATAAAGGATGTGTTGAAAAAAATGAATTAATTGAAAAAGTTCGAAGACTTTATCGTGATCGACAAAATGAAAAAATCAAAGGTTATTTTAGTGTTTTTTTCTTGTTTTAAAAAACAATTAAATTTCTTTTTAGCTAAAGAACTTGATAGTGCAACAGCAAGCGATAGTGAATTATGTAAAGTATGCATGGATGCCATTGCTGATTGTGTATTTTTAGATTGTGGTCATATGGTAAGTCAAAAAACATCTCTTATTAATTTTTCAATCGAATAAAATAATGATCAAAAGAAAAATGATTCATATCATAATTAATTTATAATATAAGATACTATCTAATTGATTATTTTTAATCATAGTTAAGTCTATTTTGATGAGTTACTTATCTCATTGTCGATTTTGTTCTGTTGCTTGAAATAGACAAGAACAGAAGAGAACAAAAAAAAAAATGTTGATCTCTATGGTGATAATGCAGATTTTTGTTCCTTCTTCTTTTTCTATAATTATGTGTCTAATAAAAACTAATCTAAAATCTTTTTTTTCTATTCTTCTTCCTTTTTAGGTGACATGTGTCAAATGTGGAAAATTACTCGCCGAATGTCCAATTTGTCGATCGAATATTGTTCGTGTAGTTCGTGTATTCAAATCATAAGAACTTGATTTTTTAATGTATCTGTATAGCCTGTTTAATGAAAAGAAAAAAATAACAACAAAAAGACTTATTACACGATTATGAACAAGATCATTCCAGTTTAATTTTCATTTTATATATTTGCTTCTTCTTTTTGTCTTTACATATATATATATATATAAATGTGTGCGTGTGTGTGTGTGTGTGTGTGTCGATAATCCTCAATTGTTTTTTCGTCTTATTGTATATTACAAGAAAAAAAAATATTCACAGACAATCTTTTTACCAAGTTTCTTCAAGCATCATCAATATCTAAGTGTATGTGCATCTATGTCAATAATCAGATTAATATACGTCATCAATCCTTTTTTTGTCTCTCTCTCTCTGTCTCTGTCTCTGCATTCTGGTTAGAGAGAAAAAGAAGGAATGGAATAGTAGTAACAGTACTGGTGCATGACGATGATGATGTCTTTCTTTCTTTTTCTTTTTCTCTACTATCATCGTCACCAACGGCAGCATATCCTGTCATAATACAGCAAAGAAAAAAATTATCTAAATAAAAATGGTCACGCCAACAATGGTAGGCTATCATAATCGCAGATAGTATTGACATTATTTAATTCGTATTTTCTTTTATTAGTTTGATAATAATATATCATGGATTCAACGAACATTTAAAAAACGTGAATGTATGAAATTTGTTCTATCAAAAACTAATCAAGATATAGGACGATGTTGTTGTGGAAGATATTTACTTGAACATAATGAGAATGTTCAAATAGAAGCAAATAATATAAATTTTTTATCAGTTAATAAAGACGAACGATGGTCTGTACAAAAACATACACGATGTGAACCAACAGATGCTTTTGGTGTCATTGAGTTTGAAGGTTTAGCACATCCAACAAAAGCTCAAGTAAGAAAAAAGAAAGTATAGATTATAATTTATTCTATATATTTTAAAGTATTTACGTGTTGCACACGATACACGACCAGATTTAATATTAAAATTATTTTTACGTGTATGGAATTTAAAATTACCACGTCTTGTTATATCGATTGATGGTGGTATTGCAAATTTTGAATTACAACCGAAACTTAAACGTGTATTGAAAAAAGGTCTTTTTCGAGCAGCTAAAACAACAGGTGCTTGGATTATAACAAATGGATGTCAACAAGGTAATTCATTATTTTAATTAATTTTTATTTGATTTATGAAAATTTATAGGTGTTGTTAAACATGTTGGCGATGCTTTGTTTTCTAAATCACCAAAAGCAAAATCAGATATTGTCTGTATTGGATTTTCACCATGGGGTGTTATTGAAGGACGAGAAAATTTAATTGGTGTTAATGTAGGAAATAAGATCGAACAAAAGAAGAAGAAAAAGAAAACAAACTAAAATTTTAATTTATTATTTTAGAAAGTTGTTTCATATCATTCAAAAGCAATAGCAACAAAAAATAATGCAACATTAAATAGTAATCATTATAATTTTTTACTTGTTGATAATGGGACAAATGGAAAATATGGGGGAGAAATTTTATTAAGGAAGCGTTTCGAAAGATTCTTATTGAGACAATCAAGTGTACATACTTGTTAGTTAATATTAAACTAATAAAAACAAAATTCTATTATCTGTTTGTTTTATTTAAGCTGAACATTCAAACATTCCTGTAGTATGTGTTGTTGTCGAAGGTGGAACAAATACAATTCGAATGGTATTAGAACATGTTACAGATAATCCACCAGTACCCGTCGTTATTTGTGATGGAAGTGGTCGTGCGGCTGATCTGATTTCGTTTACACATCGATATGCTAGAGACGATGGGTATGGAAATTAAGATTTATTAACGAGAATGAAATATAAAAATTGAATAGTTAGAGACCATCTTTAAAGAACGTCTAGATAAAAATGGCATTTTTTAACTTCCCTGGGTGTTCGAATCGGACTGTCGGGTAGGCGAAATGGAAATTCTGAGTGGGTCCCGCGCTGATGCTCACGCCTGCGCGCGTTGCATACCAGCAAATTTCCCAAGAACTAAAAAGTTTCTTTTGTGTTCCTGCACCACTTCACAAACATCGGAATGGCGTAGGAGCGCGCTCCTCAAGAGGTAGCACAGACGTGATCATCAGTGCGGAACAAGTTTTGTCGGTCTCTGGCCCCGCGTAACAGTGCTTTGTCCAAGTCTCATATTTTGGGTGGGCGCCGCCCATTCAGCCCATCCGCTTTTCGCTGACTCTCCTTTATGAACGGCGCCCTACGAGAAGAAAAAACTCAATTATATTTCTAAATAGCATATATTGTCAATATAGTAAATATGAATCTATTCTGCTCTATTTGCTTGAATCAAAATCTTTGAAAAGAAATAAGAGTTTTTTTTATCAGACACATATAAATGTAATAACTCTCTATTGATCAATTAAAGCTACTTGTAAATTTTTTTAGAACAATGCCTGTTGATATTCAAGAACAACTAATACATACTATAATGAAAACATTTAGTTACACAAGAAAGCAAGCAAATAATCTCTTTAAAGAATTAATGATGTGCGTCAAAAAACGAGATTTGGTAATGATTAATCTTTTTTTTCTATTTTATTTGAGATTAATTAGTTTTTTTTGTTTGGCTTTATAAAGATAACAATATTTCGTATGGGTGAAGAAGCATCACAAGATATCGATCTAGCTATATTAATTGCTTTACTTCGTAGTACATGTGTTTCATCAATAGATCAATTAAAACTTGCTCTAACATGGAATAGAGTTGATATTGCACGAAATTATATTTTAGCTGGTACTCATCAATGGCCGGTAAGAAGAAATAATTTTAAAAAAAACGAGAATTTTTCCTATGAATAGAAATTAATTAGGAACAAGCATTAGAAGAAATAATGATGACTGCATTAGCAACTGATAAAGTTGATTTTTGTCGATTACTACTTGAAAATGGTATTTATATGCAAAAGTTCTTAACAATTCATCGATTAGAAGAATTATATAATACTGTAAGATTAATCTTTCATGATTATAATTATAGTTAAGAGAGTACTTTTTTTCATTAAAAATATTTTTTATGAACAAATTATTAACGGCGATGTTGTTCTGAAAAATAACATATTTTGATAAATTCAACATGTCGGAAGTTCTATTCTATTTCCTTGTCAAGTTCCGTTCATATTTAACCATCTTTTGAGACACAAAAAAAATCGACCTGCCTTTTACTTAGATTTCATATCAAGCAGAATTAATATTGACGTACATATCCGGAGATAAATTTGTCTCCTTACCCGTTTGCTAATGTAATCATGCGGATAAAGTAAAGATAAAAATATAAAATGTACTTATGTATTCATCAATGTAAAATGTTAAAAGAAAAGTGATAATCGGATTAGAAAATTGGTTATTCAATAAATCAACATAACAGATGTCATTCAATTGACTCTTGAGAAAATACTAAATATATATCTATGTATCAGCTAACAGAAATCAGTAAATATTTATAATTGTATAGCGTTTTTTTTTGTATGTCATATAATGCTGAATAAATATTGTGTCTTATATAAAATAGATTCGAAAGCTTATTTAACTAATTCTATTTTATTTGTAATAAATGATTGAATGTCAATAATTTGCAGCATATTTGTTTTACAACATATGAGATACTATAGAAAAAATACGTCTATGTTAATTATAATCATGTGTTTGTTGAGTAACTATATTAGATATTAAAATTAGCCTTTGGGGACTTTTATTTGTTTTATTCTAGCGTGATGGTCCTCCAAATACTCTTCAATATATTGCAAAAGATATTCGAAAAATTCGCAAGGTTTATTTCGTATTTAGTTATTTTTTCATATGATTTATTTCTTAAATTTTTAGTCAGCTATAATGAGTGCATATACATTACCTGATATAGGTTTAATCTTTGAGAAATTAATGGGTCATGGGTATCGTTCAAATTATACTCGTCGACGTTTTCGTACACGCTATGCAACTACATTAAATCAATCGTATGCATTACGATCAGTAAGAATTGAAATTTAGTAAAAAATCAATTCAAATATTTTTCTATTTTATTTGAAAAGTTTCATAAAAAACCAGTTAATACTGTAGCAAAACCAGTCGATGATACATTTCAATATCCATATAATGAATTACTTATATGGGCAGTGCTAACAAAACGACATCAGATGGCTTTATTCTTTTGGGAACGAGGTATTAACAAAAATTTTATGTTCATTTTATAATTATCACTTTTTCTTTTGCTTAGGTGAAGAGGCTATGGCGAAAGGTAAGAATTTGTTTTTTGAATTTGTTATAATTGAATTTACTTTTGTAGCATTGATTGCATATAAATTAAATAAAGCACTAACACATGAAGCTAATGATGATGAATTAGAAATTGAAGTTGCAACTGAATTGTCTAGTTATGCAGAGTAAGTTATTAAAGCGTGAAATCGATCCTTCAGGGGAAGTAATACCTTTCTTTGTGCTCTTCTAAATTTTTCATGGGAAGCAATTAAGCGTAAGATTGCGCCGCCGGAATGTTGCTCAAATTCATACGACTAGCTAAGTTTTACCTTGATTATTTAGAAAACGATGGTAATTAGGAGAGGCAAGAAGCTTCTCTTCGCAGATAGGGTGCGCCGTCTATGAAGATGAGGAACTTTGTCTTCACAAGCCGTGACAATTTGAATAGATTTATCTAACAATGTATTGAGATTGAACCATTGAATCTAGGTATTGATACCTGTTGGGGTTTGATTACAATTAATCTCTTTACATGGATTAATGAGAGATGGATATATTCTTCGTACTGATACTCTTAAAATAAAATATATGTTACGTTGAATGTGATCACATCTAACCGTGAATCTTGATTTGGACTCGAACTCAACATATCTCTAAATTCACTCTCTATGGTTATAAATGTACTAAAAACTCTATTATATAAAGAAAGAATTTTCCGTAGAGTAATAATATTTATATGCCTCAAATTTCGATAGTACTCAATCACAATGGATTTTACATTTCCGCAAAGTCTCTGAATCATTCATAACTATTCTCTTCTAAATTATTTTAGTTTCTAATCACGTACAAGTATATATATATATGTAAAACTGATTAAAATTAACACTATACCACCTATTGCTAAGAAAACTAAGAATAAGATAATGCAAGATCTTCTAGACACAAGCATTTATTTATAATTACAATTAATTCATGATGTTTGTTTGTCGTTTTCTAGACAATTCCATCAATTAGCTCTTGGTGTTCTCGAACAATGTTATCGTGAAAATGCCGATAAAACATGTCAATTATTAACATATGAATTAAAAAATTGGTCTGATTGGACATGTTTATCATTAGCTGTTATATCCCATCATCAAGAATTCGTTGCACATAAGTGTTGTCAAACAATTTTAAATGATTTATGGATAGGTGGAATGTCAATACGACGTTATCTTAACTGGAAAGTTATTGCTTCAATATTATTTTTTCCACTTGTACTTCGTATTGAATTTAAAAGTGCTGAAGAATTAAAACTACAACCAAAAACACATGAAGAACATTTAGCAACACAAAATCAAAGTGATCCAGATGAAGACGATGATGATGATGATTACAATAGTGATGATTATAATTCAGGAACATTATCAAATGATTATACACATTGTCGTTTATCCGATGAAAATGATTTAAGAAAAACTTCAATAATTAATAACGATGTATCAGTTGATTTTGTTCTTGAAAATAAAAATGTTGATAATCAATCAATTGAAATGGTAACATTTAATAGATCATCGACAAATTTAAAACAAACTTTATCAACACCAACACATCAAACAGATGATATAATTGATATTAATACTGAAACATCGAAAAAAACGGATGAATTAACTATTTTAAATGAAAGTATACATATAAGTATTCCATTATCATCATCACTTTCAATAACACAACGTTTTTATGAATTTTATAATGCACCAATAACTAAATTTTGGTATAATGCGATATTTTATCTTCTTTTTCTTTTTCTTTTTACTTATATGGTACTTGTACGTACACCCTTAAGACCAAGTATTGCAGGTAAATATTGTCGTCAATGATTTAATTAAAATCTCAAAAAATTCTTTTAGAATATATTGTAACTATTTATTTGGCAACATCAGCAATCGATACAGCTCGAGAAGTTTGTTAATTTCATATAGGATTTAAATTATTGGATAATTGAATAATTCTAGATATGTACAAGTTCTTCACCACGTTTTCGACGTAGATTAATAGTAAGAAAATTTTAACTTTGCTATTAGCTAAAATAAAAACTTGACCTCATAATTTTTCTCAGAGAGTCTATTGATTCATAGTATGATCGAATAACCTATGGGAAATACTAAATAATTTTCATCGGCCTTCAGTAGTAAAACAACAAATCGACGTGCTATAGCCGGAAATTTCATAAACAATTAAACGATGATGTTACCGCCTTGTAATGAACTTGTATTCCCGATTTTAATAACCAGGAGGTAGTATCACATTTCCTATACGATAATGAAAACGTGAAATTAACAAAGTTTTTAAAACAGAGACGGAAATATACGATCCCGCAAATAATTGACTGATTGGCAATTCCATTAAAAAGCTAAAAGCGATTGAACTTCCGAGTTTATGATAAAGCGAAATAAAAATGAAGACTCAAATGCTGAATCTATAAGATAATAAGCTTATATGTTATTTTCTTACTTTTTAGTTGTATTTCTCTGATTTTGTTCATATATGCGATTCATTAGCAATACTAGTCTATGGTATTGGATTTCTTCTTCGATTTCGTTCAAGCACTCTATATATCGCACGTTTATTATATTGTCTTGATGTATCTTATTGGTGGATACATTTATTAACATATATATCTGTACATAAATCAGTTGGTCCATATATTCATATAGCTGCACAAAATGTAAATTTAAATTTTTTCTAAAAATAATAAATTCGAATTTTGTTTGATTTAGTTGATTGATTTATTTAATTTTATAATTATTATACTTGTTGTAATGGTATCATTTGGAGTATCTCGTCAAGCAATTAAATATCCAAATGAATTATGGTCATGGCGATCAGTTAAAGAAATATTTCTTGAACCTTATTTTATGGTATTTCGTCTTTTTTTGTTAAATAAATAAAATTTAAGGAATATGTTTTTTAAAGATTTATGGTGAAGTTTATGCTGGTTCAATTGATCCACCATGTCTTGAAAGTGAACCAGATGCTCCCCAATGTATGCCATTTCATTGGGTAACACCAATAACTATGACAGCATATCTTATATTTTGTAATATATTATTACTTTCAATACTTATTGCAACATTTAATAATACTTATATACGTATATCAAAATCATCGGATCAAGTATGGAAATATCATCGTTATTATATTGTACTTAAATATGAATCCAAACCAATGTTACCACCACCATTAATATTTATTTCTCATATATATTTATTAGTAAAACTTTTTTTACGATATTGTCGTGGAAAAAAATTCAAAGTTGATCATGGATTAAGTACGTTGCTTCAATATGAAATTCGATTATTTTTATTTTCATATGAACCTTTTTTATTTAGAATTATTTTTAAGTGAAAAAGAAGTTGCTGAAATCAATGATTTTGAAGAAGAACAAATTGATGAATATTTTGTAATGAAAGATCGAGAAAAAAAGAATACAACTGCCGAACAAATTGCTCGTACATCTGAACGGTAAGTTATATAAACAAACAAAAAATCACTTCTTCTATTTTTCTTGTAATTTAATCTTGTTTTTTGTTTATTTAGTGTTGATGGAACAGTTTTGCGTGTTGATGATATTTATCAACGTGAAACTCAAAATCGTATTATACTTCAAAATCTTGATTGGCGTTTACAACATTTAGAAGATCTTAATATGAATATGTATAATATTATGGAAAGATTACTTTTAACACGAATGTCTGATGAACAAGATTCATCATCATATTATTTTCATCATCCATCATCTGTAATTAATAATAATAATAGACAACGACGACATTCATCCATAACAGGATATGAATTAAAAGATTTTAAAAAGAAAATAATACCTAAATCAACAACAATGACACCTCAATTATCATTAGCAAAAACTCGTTCACCCACAGCTGATAATATATCATTATCAAAACAATCGAATGAACTCAAAAGACGTTCAACAATTCATCGATTAAGTTCGTTAACATCGCATGATTCAAATATAGCACATGTGCAAACTAATGAATATACTTCAATAACAGATAGTTAAAATTTTAGTTTTTTTTTGAAATTTAATTCAATATTTTCTTTGTTTCTAGTTATTAATACAAATCAATCAGAATGGCAACCAACAAGTCCAATACTTCTTCGTTCTTCAGCAAATCGTCCCAATCCAATGACATTATACGAATCAGCAAAAGAAGATATTGCTGGTTATGATGCTGAAGAACAAACACATAATTTAATTGGTGAACTTATACGAAAACGTAGTCAAAAATCATCAAAAAATCAATTAAATATTATAACAGAATCTTATTGTGATAGTGATCGTATATCTCTTTTTTCAATGGATATAAATGCTAGTTCATCAAATCTCAATTTAGAACAAACAGATGCAAAAAACTAACATGCAATATTTTTTATGTTGTATTTTAGAACAGATTTTATATTTTAAAATAAAAATTTTGTCCTATAAATTTCTAGCTATTGATTACATAATGAGTTCTTTATCTCAACTATTTTTAATAACACGTCAGTTGTTCTCTTTTGATTCGATTTTACAGATACTCAAAAATGATGAATAATATTATCTATGTATACACACGAACAATACTTGGCCATCTCTCATTCTTTTGTTTCATCATTACTTCGATTTTTTTAAACATACGAATAAAACGTCAGTCAATTCTTTTCACTAACAATGCCATTAGCTCGTTTCAATCTAACAAGTGTTCTTGCATATGTTATTATTGGATTAAGTTTGAGTGCACTTCTTTTTGCTATAATTTCTTTAACAACAACACATTGGATTCATACAATACGATTACGAGCTGGACTCTGGCAACTTTGTCATTTACAACCATTAACATGTTTTATTTCAATAGTACGTTCACCTGCTGCTTTATCATTAACAGGATTTTTTTTAATTATTATTGGTTTAATATCAACTTTTATTTTTAATATTATTAATTGGCATTTACCATCATCAATTCGATTTATTTCATTAATATCTGTTTGTTCATTAGGACTTGGCGGATTTTTTTTTGCTATGAGTTGTGTTGCATTTTCTCATATCGCTGCACAATTTTGTTACTCGTATTATTTAATGATTGTTGGTCAATTACTTGCAATGTGCGCAGCGATCGTAGCAAGTTATTTAGAAGGACGACGAAGTGCATTAGTATCTACAACAGGAATTATGACTCGATTGGCCGTGCGTAGACCTTAAAACACAACCTTTTTTTTTCTTCTTTCATTCTTACCGTTTCTTTCTTTCCTCTATTTTTACTCGTTTCTTTTTTTTTCTCTCTGCGGTATCTACGATACCATTCTAGCCTTCGCGCGCAGTGCAGTAGACTATTCAATGAATACATGTCGTCGTACGTTTAATTTTTTTTGTACAGCCATGCATGTTACGCCCGAGTGGTAAGAAAAGACAGTATCATCAATACACAAATAGTCAGGGTTTTTTTCCTATACTTTTTGTTTTATAAAATATACTTGTAAGAAAACTAATTTAAAATCTAGTTCGTTGTTAAATATTTACTAATCAATCTGAATTTGTTTTTCATTATTCTTCTTTTTTTTTCATCCTAGATGTCTCATATATATATAAGTAGAAAATTTAATCAATAGAATATTATTCATGTCGTACCCATATTCTTCAAAAGACATTCAAGAATTGGACAATCGAGATTTATCTGCTAATATTTTATCAGCATCAATGAATCATCCAACTGAGATTCCACCACCAACACAACTTGCTAGTAGACGTGTTGTAAATTCATGTTTTTGGTCAACTATTATATTTGCAATAAATTTTGTTTCATCAATTCTAGTTATTAATTTAGCTAAATGGTAAAATTGTTTTTTTTGTTTATTTTTGATCAAAAAAGAAAATTTTCTTTTATAGGATTTACGTTAAACATCATTTTCCTAATTTAACTTTAACGACAATAAATTTTTTCATGACCTATCTTCTTTTACTTGTGTGTTTACAACTAAAATTATTTACTTATATTAAATTACCAATTTTAAGCATGATTCCTGTATCAGCCTGTTTTGGTGGCTTTATAGCATTTAGTAATTTATCACTTCAGTACAATACGGTTGGTACATATCAACTTATCAAATTACAAGTCACACCAAGTAAGTAATTTTATCTTTAGATAAATATAAAATCTCGGATTAATTAAAAACGTCATTTGTATCTTTCTTTTGCATACGTATCTATTTGAAAAACGACATTTATTTTATCAGATAAATATAAAAAAGTAAATATTATAGTACAGAACTAGAAAAAATAGATAGTTTGTCAATTTTCATCATATATATTCAACCCCTAAAGAAATTTCTTATTCAATCCATGAATCGATGCATTTTAATGTTGATTTAGTTCATAGCTTGAATGAAAAATATCCTATAAATAACTCGAGAAGTGAATATGTTCCAAAAAACTAAATCCTGATATTAATAATATTGTTTTTATGTCTTGTAAGTGCAGTATACTCACATGTTTTAAATCACGACATATTTCTTCCAGTAAAAAAAAGTAAAGCATATGTGATGAAGATTAACAAGTTGTTGACATTGGTATTTATTTATGCCCACGTGTTCGAATAGTATTTGCAGTAATAAAATACTTGAAACCAGTATTAGTGAATATATTTTGATAGATATTATTTATAATATCAATGTGAAACATTAAAAGAAGAAATTCTTCTATGATCTATTAAATAAGGATGACGTTTTTAATTGTACGAAGGACTATTTTCAATAATTAAATATTCATAAATTCAAGCTCTATAAAAAAAACAAGTAACAGCTGTATTATACATAAAAGAATATCAAATAGACTATTAAAAATCTATGCTTGGATATTGTTTTCTTTTTATGCATGAATTATAGATTTTGCGTAATAAAAAAAAGCGATATCGGCTGAGAAGTAACTTGAGTTCGAATATTAATGACGATCTAGATATTCTATCGAATTTCGATACTAAATCTACTGAAATTCGATTTGTCATTTTACTGAGATATAATTATATAAACTCTTGAAATTAAAATTCAATTCCTTAGACTGTTTGTATAGCATAATATTTAATATTTTATCTATTTGTATCCAAGTGGTGCTAATTTAAATATTTCTTAATTATATGTAGATCATTATTTTAATGAGTAAATTAAAATAATGAGGCAACGTCAATTATACTTTTAATATAGGTGAAGATGAAAATAATATTAATAGCAAAAAAACGGAACGTTCGTATACACAGGGTATCATAATATTTTGAAAAAAGTGTTCGCCTATTTCTAAATAGCATCTCGTTCACCATCATCGACAAATATTTTAAAAACGTGCTTGAAAAAAACATCCTGTACGACAGCTCAAAAAGATAAGACCCAGAATTAGAAGCTAAAAAATAGAAGCATTGTAATTTGATAATTTTAGTTGTTCCATTATTGTAAAACATTGTTAATAAGCTTGTCAGTTTCATAGTCTTACTATAATGTATATAGATTAAAGAATTCAAAATCAATTTTTGATAAATAATGATAGAGAGATCTACACTGTAATTCTTTTGTTTTGATAAGACTGAAGCATTTTTAAACTTTATTATTCATTCGTCAAATATCAAAGTTCTAGAAAATGCTTGATTTTATACAAAGTAGAAACTCATGTATCTAGCGCTATATTAATAAGATTATAGTTTGCGTGACTACTCTTTCATCTTCTAGGTCAAATTTTGAAAGAGTATAATATCTCACGAATAGTCACATTTATCATTGCATATACATTAAAATTTGCTTCATTATATTTTTTTCTTTCCTTATAAAATAACATATCATGAATTTATCTTAATCAGATATTTATTTCTATTTTAGCTGTCATGTTAATCAGTTGGATGTTTTTTAAAGCTCATTATCCATTACCTATTGTTTTATCATTTCTTCCAGTTTTCATTGGAACATTAATTAGTACTTATTATGATTTACAATTTAATATGTTCGGTCTTTTTTGTAAGTAAAAGATTATTTCTTTTTTTTGTAATATTTTTTTTTCTCAATATTATTCAGGTGCATTGACATCTATGATGTTTACCGCTGTCTATCAAATACTTATTGAACATTATCAAAAAGCTTATAACTGTGATTCATTACAATTATTATTTTATCAAGCTCCACTTTCTGGTTTATTACTTCTAATGGTTGTACCATTCTTCGAACCAATATCTGCATTAGATAAATTTATGAATTTTGATACTATTTCATTGATATTATGCTGTGGTGTTGTTGCATTTTTTGTTAATTTTACAATATTTTGGGTTATTGGAAATTTATCTGCTGTTGCTTATAATATGATTGGACATTCCAAAACTTTATTAATTATATTTATTGGTTCATTTATATTCCACGAACCACTTAATATACGACAAGTATTTGGTTTATGTTTTACAATGATCGGTGTATTTGTTTATTCATATTTTAAATATATTAGAAAAGTTACTAAATAAATCAATTTATCGAATACTTATTTTTCAATATCTAGTCAATGGAATAAAACGTTGTTTTTCATTGAACTTTTATTCGTATTTTCTGTGATCTTATGTTCAAATGTTAGAGTGTTCAAAAAAGAATTTTTTATATCTGTTATTCTTTTTATTCATTTCATAAATTATTTATTCTGTTAGTTAATCAATCGACAAAATTCTAAGACATGTAATTTTATAATATTGTTTCAGATGACAACAACAACAACAACATCATCATCATATGCAATTGGCATTGATGTAGGAACAGGAAGTGTTCGTTGTATGATTTTTGATGATAAATGGTCACCGGTTGTTCAATGTCAAAAACCCATTCGTGTGAGAATTATAACTTTGAGGAACTAATTATATTCTAAATATGATCATCAAAAATAGCTCCTTGAAATTACTACAAATCTCTGATAAATACATGGGTTATTACAGATAAAAATTATGACTAGAATTAAAAATAGATAGACATTACGAATATGCAGGAGTTATTTTGTCTAATAATTCTATAATCAATGTACACATCAGATTTTATCGATTGTATTTTTATTATGAAGTTTAGAAATCATGTACTACGAAACATAAATCATATATATAAATTTTTAACTAGTGGGTGGGTTGAGTGGGCGGCGCCTACCAGAAATTTCAATTCACCCACCCAAAATACGAGACTTAGACAAAGCTCTGTTAGGCGTTACCCACCCCGAATTTTTATTTCGCCCATCCGGCAGTTCGATTTGCACACCCGAAAAAAAGCAGCCTGGATAAAATACTGTATATTAGACTAGTTCAAATATTTGATCCTTAGTTTTATATAAGAGAAATAATATTCTTTATTTTATAGACATTTCATTCGTCATCTGCTCCATTAGAATATGAACAATCATCAGCTGATATTTGGGAAGCAATTTGTTATTGTGTTCGAAAATGTCTTGAACTTGGTTCATTTACATCTGAACAAATCGGATGTATTCGTTCGATTGGTTTTGATGCAACATGTTCACTTGTTGTTGTTGATGAAAAATATGAACCTGTTAGTGTTTCACTTTCCGGTAATGATGAACAAAATATAATTATGTGGCTTGATCATCGTGCTCATGCTGAAGCTGCTATTATAAATTCAAGTTCGGATGAAGTTTTAAAAAATTTTGGTGGTAAAATTAGTCTTGAAATGCAACCAGGAAAATTAATGTGGCTTAAACGTAATTTATCAAAAGAACAATGGGCACGTTCGAAACATTTTTTTGATTTACCTGATTATTTACATTTTCGTGCAACTGAACAATTCGATCGTTCATTTTGTTCATGCGTATGTAAATTATGTTATCGTTCATCTGAAAGTAAACATGGATGGGATGAAAAATTTTGGTCAAAATTTGATTTAAATGATTTAATGGAAAATCAAAGTGAAAAATTAGGTCAACTCGTTCGAAAACCATTTTCAAAATCGGATACAGATATTTTAAGTAAAAAAGCAGCTGATGAACTTGGATTACCACAAGGTATTCATGTTGGTTCACCATTAATTGATGCATATGCAGGAGCATTAGGTGGATTAGCATGTAAATCTCCAATACCTGATACTCATCTTTCCGAACGACTAGTTATAGTTGCTGGGTATTTAAAAAAAAAGATTTTAATTGAATTTTTCATGAATGATGTTTTTCTTTTAGTACATCGAGTTGTTTTATGGCCTGTAGTGAGAAAGCAGTTTTTGTTCCAGGAGTTTGGGGTCCACATTATAATGTACTCATTCCTAGTCTTTGGCTTAGTGAAGGTGGTCAATCAGCAGCTGGAAAATCTATTGATCATATCATACAAACACATCCAGCTTATAACGAATTACAAGAATTAGCCAAAGAAAAAAATACAAATACATTCAATATACTTAATGATATTTTAAATAATTTACAAAAGAAATATAAAGTTGCGAATGTCTCATTATTAAGTGGTGATTTACATATGACTATTGATTTTCATGGTAATCGTTCACCATTATCGGATCCAGAATTAGGTGCTGCAATGACTGGTCTTCGTTTTGATACATCATTAAATAACTTAGCAATACAATATTTAGCTGTTTTACAAGCTGTTGCTTATGATAGTCAACATATAATTGAAGCAATGACTAAAGCTGGTCATCATTTTCGTGTCGTACAAATTTGTGGTGGTTTAGCACGTATACCATTATTAACACAAATTCTTGCTGATGTTATTCAAATGCCTGTTTATGTATCTGATGCAACTATTGATTGTGTTCTATTAGGTTCAGCTATATGTGGTCAATTAATAGCTGATAATGCACATCAAGTTGAAGATTTACTTAATGGCATAGCTTGTCCAATTGAAATTTATAAGCCCGATAAAAATATGATTGATTTTCATAAGGATAAATATGACATTTATCGTTTATTACAAAAAACAGAAATCGAAGGTCGTAAACGTATGAGTAAATACTGTCAAGCATAAGAAAATCCCCGTGATTGTTTTTTTATTTATTTTCCGTGCAATTATACCAATGATTGATTACTATTTTTTTTTACTAAGATTTTCATTTGATTAGTATATAGAATACATCTATACCACATTTTTAAATTATATTGTAGATTTAAAGAATTTTTATTATGAATAAAAATGATATCGAAAAAGTATGTGATTAATTTTAATATTGAAAAAAAAACTAAAATATACTGTTGATATTTAGCTTTTTCGTGAATGTGATAGAAAAGGGAAGGGATATCTTGATCGAGAAGATATTAAAGTAGCAACAATTCGACTTTATGGTTTAAAAATGGATAAAGTAAATAATAAAAAACCAATTTCATGTATATATTGATTTTTTTAATAGTATAAAATTGAACGATTACTGTCAAATATTCCAAATCGAGTTCATCCAGGTAAGAAAGTTTTAAAAAAACAACCCTAAATATTTTTATATATGTTTTAGGTTTAACATTAGATCAATTTATTGATTTTGTATATAGTTATAAACATCAAATTGATCATGAAGATGAAAATCGTGAAACATTTCTTATTCTTGATCGAACATGTATGTAATTTATTTGATTTTAAAAATAAAAATTAATGAATTAATTATTTAGGTAAAGGGTTTTTGAATAAAGATGACTTTATTCGTGCTTTTGAACGTTTGAATATCAAATTAAATCCTGACGCAATTGATTCAGCTTTTAAGTATGTTTTATAAAAAAAGTATTTAATTAATAAACATACGAATTTCTGTTTTTAATTCTAGACAACTTGATGTTGATGGTGATGGTCGTATTAGTTATCGAGATTTTGATTTTATGATGAATTATGTAGCGGAGGAATGATATGTTTGTAATGATATAGAATAGAATGTAATAATCTGCTTGTTTTTTTGTTTAAGCAGACTAAAAATGAAATAAAAATTCATGTAAATTCTAATTATGCAGTTATTCTATCAATGACATAGCCAGGAATTTGTAAATAAAACTATTTAATATAGTGGGCTATTAAACATTGCTTGGATAATAGTTTTTTTAACGTTCAAATAAACACTTTTTGTCTCAGACGTCCTTGGATTCTACGAAAAATATCACGAGTACAAAATAAAAAAACATGATTTTTGGGACATCGGGTAACGACCCTGCCCCTGACTACGCCACTCTATTATATCGTTTCACACCATTTCTATCTAAGAAACTAATCATTATGAATATATATATATATATATTTGGTAAATATTAGTTTCGGAAGTGTCTCATGGTATGCTTGACTGCGTTTTAATATAAAGGTAAATATAAATTGTATGATTTGGTACTTGTATACTTACAAACGAAATATGACTCTTTCACGAATGTACGTATGTGTTATTCTTGTTGCTTTACTTATTACCTTGGATTTAACAGTTGCTCGTCGTAGACGAAAAGGTAAAATTTCATATAGATGTTAAAAAATTATATTTTTTCTTAATAATTTATCATAGCTTGTGATAATTCGAAAAATGAAGTATATAGTACATGTGGTAATTTATGCAAACAAATGAATTGTCATAATCGAGCTAACAACGATACTTATCAACCATGCACTGATCAATGTCGACCAGGCTGTATTTGTAAATTAGGCTATGTCCGTCATGAGCTTTTAACTGATCCGTGTATAAAAGATTGTTAAATTTTGTATATTTACTTTTATTACGAAAAAATAAATTATCCAGATTTAGATTTTACTAAGAATAGTACAAATAATTGAAAAGATAAACTATCCGAATGTGATCTGTTTACCTACTAATACGAATTAGCCAATAAAAATAACAGACACATTATTCTATCATGCATATCGAAAGTTAAAACAGTATATTGTACGTATATTTATTTTTGTTGCAATTATTATCGATTTCTATGATAATAGATACATTAGATTAACCTTCAAAATTCATGTGATTCATTAGTACTAGCTATGTAATGAATAGTAACCTTGATTTTCAATATTAGTTAGAGGAATTGTTTACTTTGTGTCAAATAAGAGATAATAATTCTGAAAATGATTTTATTTCAAGATCATGCAGATTAATAAAGAAGATTACGATGAGTAGCGTGTATAATGATGATAATAATAACACAAAAGAAAAAAATCAAGCTACAAATACGAAAACAAAAGAAGAAGAAGAAAAACAAAGAAAGCTAAGAGAAAATGAAATGATTTGCTGGTTTGTTTTTATAATCCTATTTTTATACATATAGTTTTATTTATGTTGATGCTTGACGTGCTTGTAAAGCTTGTGCAATTAATTGTCGTCTATCTTTTCCTTCTTTTAAACCAGTTCGAACAAAATTTTCACAAAATTCTTCATCATCCTAATTTAAAAAAATTCAAATTTCATCAATAAAAACTAAACAAAATCAAATATTTAACTTACATCATCATTACTAGTACATTCAATAATAGCTTGTCCACCTTTTTTCGGTTGATCACGTGTTGCAGCTGGACAATCTTTTACTAACCAACGACTAAGATTAGCATTTTTCGTACGAGTACGATCACGTGCACTACCAACTGCACCATCAACATTATCACCTATTTTATAAATAAATAAATAAATTTTAAAAAAGGAAAAATAATAGTTTTATTGTAACTCACTATAATGCATTGGTACATTAAGAGTATAAAAACCTCCATGATTACAAACTTGTACACGACCCGTATCGGAACATTCATGATCTTTAATTTCAACTTGATTTGGAATTATTGAATAAATTTTACCATTAAAATAACGGAATGAAAATTGTAAATTAAAAAAATCATGAGCTATGATATAATCACAAGCTGGATTTAAATAAATATAATTTCCATGTAGATCAATAGCATCACCTGTTTGAGCAATAATAGCTTTAAATTCAGGTGTTAATGATGGATTACGTTTCAATAAACGTTTGAGAAGTGAACGTAATGCTTTAAAAGAATTTTTAAGTTTTTCCATACGTGCTGTTATACGACTTTCTAATATTGAACGTATTGTATCATATGCTTGATCACGATTTCGAAGAAGACTACCAACTCCAAGTACTAATTCACTTCGACCAATATAACTACCTGGTTCACGACCAAGTGGTACTAATACTTCAAAATTTGTATTATTAATATATGCCTAAAATATTTCAAAAGAGAAATTTCAAATAAATTAAATTATATATATATTAATTAACCTTTGGAATATGTCGAATAGCATTTTTAACACGTTCACGAATAGCTTCTCGTCGTTTTGTAATACGTTTTGATAAATGTTGAAGATTACTAATAAATAATTTTGATGAATCACCTAATTTTTTAATGACTTTATCTGTTTCGGCATCAGCAGCTTTAGCAAATGCATCTGAATCAATATCAGCAACTAAGATTCGAAACCATTTATTTTCTTCACCTTTACTTGCATTATCAATAGCTTTAAATACTGCTTTCCATTGTTCAGTTTTTCGTTTAGAATATTGTTCAAATGTTGCTAGTAATTTTGTAATATAATTAGCTATACGTTTGTCAACATCAGCTTGATCTACTTTTGGTAAGAAACGATCGAGAGCTTTTTCTGCTTTATCTAATAAACGCTTGATTAATTCTGTTCGACGAGCTTGAGCACGTTCAGCTAAATCTTTTATACGATTTTCATCAACAATTGCTGCAATACGATTACGCCAGAATTCTTCACGTTCACGAGCACGTTCACGAAGAATAACAGATATACGATCTGATGCTTCACCAAACGTTGGATATTTTACAAAAAATTCCGATAAACCAAGACGATTACTAAATAAAGACATAGACAAATTAATACTGATTATAGATGTTTGAATAAAGAGAAATATTTACATCCACTCACACTCACTACCTATGCCTATAATCGTAGACCAGTGGCGTAATCACACTGGGGCTTAATCCCATCACTCGGATTTTTTAGTTACAGAATTTGTCAATCAAAAAATCCAAAAGACTAGACAGTTTTGAAACTGAGCCCCATCATCTTCAAATTTATGGTTACGCCACTATCGTAGACTCATCTACTATTCACCGATGAGTAACAATACACTTATAATGAATAATATATTTGTTACTTACGACCATTGTCGAAGAAAGCTCTTTTCTGGTTCCTCTTTCCATGTTGCAACAATTGCTTTGAGAGCATTATAATCTACATCCAAAATTGATCGTACTCGTTTACGAAAGCCTCGAACTAATTCAGCAAGATTTGTTTGATTTAAATCTTTTAATAAATGACTACGAAGAAAATGTCGTGTAAAATTCTATTAAAGAAAAAATAAAATAATAAGAAATATTTTCATGTATTATATATCTTACTCGAAGTTGTCTGGATCCTTCAATATTTCGATAACCTAAACTATGAAAAAAATAAATTGAACCAACTTGATGTCCATAATTTCTATCAACTTTCAAATCTGTTGTTGTTGTTTTACCACCATCAAATGAATGACTTATTTTTGCAATTAATCGATCTTCATTCCATTTATTTGTTGTTGCTTGAATAAAATTTCCATTAGCATCATTAACAATACGAATAGAATAACTTTCCGGTAATTGACTATGTTCTCGATGTGTTTTCCAATGTTGAATATTATAAACTGTTAATGGTGCATCACCTATTTGTAATTTAAATGATTTTTTAACTGTATCTAAACCATAGAGACCATTATGTGAACCTAATTTATTAAGAGCTTGAGAAAGTGAAATAATTGTATGAGAATCAAATGCTAATTCAACTAATGGTTTTTTCGATGTTGATCCTGCTTCATCAATATCATGTGATGGTCGATTTTGATTACGTAATGATGGCAAATACGAACGTATTCTTGCACGATCAACAGTTAATGTTGCAAGATTTCGTTGTTGAGGTTGTGTTTGTTTTAAAGTTACAACAGTTGAATTATCCCATTCAAGTCTAAAAATATATAAAATAATAATTTTCAAAAAAAAGTCCATATTATATCTTACTTAAGTTGAATATTTGATGGTGTAAATTTCATAGTAACTTCGTGATCATTAACTTTTACACTTTCGACACGTAAAACTTCTTTCGTTTTTTGTTTAACTACAATCGTAGCTGATTTTCCTGGTTGTCGTTTAATATTCCATGATGTAATTAATGTATATAATGTAAAATCTAATTCATTTGTTTTTTGATTACGTGTACCTTCATATCCGAATCTTTCACCTTCAAATCGATTTAAATCAATATAAGCTTTTGATTTTCCAGCATTACGATCAACATCAATAGTTAATGTTGTTCGTTCACCTTTACAATTCACTGAAAAATCACTTGCATCAGGTCGATCAACATCACATTCATATGCTTTCTCAGCTGTTTTATCATTTGAATTAAATGAATATTTTAACGTACCATGAAAATTTGTTTGTGTATTACGTTTTTCATCATATTTAACTGATATAGGATTTTGTCGTGGAAAATTTGCTTTTAAATCAAGATTCATTGGTTCTTTATCATATCGTGGTTGATATGAAACATTTAAATCAACAGCATCTTCTTGTAAACGATTAATATCAAGACTACATGTATGTGGACCTGTTTTAGGATCAAATTTTAAATCTAATTTTAATGTACCATCATATGTGACTTGTCCAGCTGCATTTGATAATTTCGGATCAGGTGGTAATTCAAGACGTTGTCGAAGTCTTTGTGCTAATACATTACTTGTTTTTAAAGTAAATTTTCCTGTTTCACAAATACCCGTAAGAACATTTGACGGATTAGCATCTTTACAACTAACCGCATCACTTGCCCAATCAATAACAGTTAAACCTGATCGTTGAATATTAACATTAATTTTACGTTGAAATTGTCCCGAAAGTTTATTTGTTATTTTTTGATTAAAATTAATATCACTTGCTAAGACTTTTTGTCCAGTTTTTTTATCTGCTATTGAACTTTGTAATTGAATATTATTCCATTTACCATCTTCTTTTTCAACTGAACCAGCATAATTAAATGAACGTTTATTATCAGCTTGTAAAGATTTTCCTTCAATTGTTGTTTTTGAACTAAAATCTTCATCACGTATACGACCATTATGTATATGATTAAATTTAAGTTCAATTTGTTCTGGTACTTTAATATCAATTTTAGCTGAACCACGACCAAGACTAACATCAAATGTACCTTTTTTACCCGCACCACTAACACCTGTTCGAACAGTTATATCACCTTTATAACAACGAGAAAATTTCTCGGTTGGTGTACATTTTTTCGCATCAATATCAGATATAATTGTTTGTTGTCCATCAGTTCGTTCTGTATGTCCAGTTAATGAATCATCATCAAAACCAATATCCATTTCATATTTATAATCTTCATCATTTGTTGTATTTATAATACCACGTACAATTAATTGATGTTGTTTTAAAAGTGCATAAAGTGAATTTTGAAATTCTTTATCATAAAATTTTGTAGCCGTTGAAATACTTATTTGACTTATTAATTGAGGATTATATTGTGCTGTTAATGAACCACCTAATGATATATCATCACCAATATTAATAGTATCACTAATATGAAGAGTTGTGTTCAGTGAACCTTTACCATAAAAATACATACTAATTGGTGTAATTTTTGGTGAAGCAAGTTTAAAACCAACATATGCATCAACAGTTCGATCAGCATCTTTATTAAACATAGGTAACTTGTAGGAAACATAAACTGCAGTTAAGTTTGATAATGGAGTACCAAATTCTAGATGAAATGTTACTTCTTGTGGCCATTTTAATTTTCCAATTCGATTTTCTCGATCAATAGTTAATTCACCAATAAAACTTAATGGATTTTTTGATATTTGTGGACTTGCTAATGAAAATGCAATTTTTCGTGTTTTATTTGAAAAAATATATCCAATTGAATGTTTATGTAATAAATCATTATTACGTTTAAAATAACCTTCTGTATGTAATTTTGACCAACGATGTACATTAATTTCTGAGAAACCATTTAAATTATCACCATTAGCACGTAAATATTCAACTACATTTTTAACATGTACACATGGTGGTTTTTTATCATCATCTGAACGATCAATATTAATTTGACCATAATGTGCAAAAACAGGCTTAGCAAGAAGTTTTGATTGAATATTTTTAACGCGTCCATTTGATGCTGTTCGTTGTATTATTAATTTATGTGTTATGTATGGAATATATTTAAATGGTAATGAAAGTGCAAGTTTTGTTTTTAATGAACCATCACCTGTTTGATTACGATGAACAATAACATTTAAATTAAGTTCTTTTAATTTTTTCTCACGACGAAAAGCAATTGAATTGTATGTTTCAAATTTACCTATTTGTTTAGTTAGATTACCATCAAGATCAATTAATTGAATTGATTCATGTTTAGGTGCACGAAGTGTGACATTATATGTGCCAATAAATGATTTTGGTGAATCTTTTTTAGGTTGTCGATCAAAACGAATATTTACATCAAGTGTAACATCATTTTTATCTGGTACAATATTTGTATCAATATCCCAATGTGTTTTTAATGAACGTGAATTTGTACAAATAGAAAAGCTACCAGTTGATGTGGCTTTTTTTTGTTTATTATCCCATTGTAATTCCGATTTACTTGTACCAGAAAATAAATGACCATCAGTTATTTTATCAACTTGACTATGATATGTAAATACTGCTGAACGTTGGCGACGACGAAGATCATATTGAAATTTATAATCAACTTTATTAAGTAATTCAAAATCAAGATCAGATAAAACATCAAATGCAAATGGACGTGGAATATCAGGATATAATTTATCTGTATCAGCAACTATATGAATCTTGTTATTAATATCAAATGTTGGTGGTGCATTGATAGGTCCTAAATAAATAATATACTGATTAAATCTATCATAGAAGTATTAATATGAAAAGTGAGAAATTAATAATTCGAATAATCGCAAGGGCCGTTAAGGTTTATCTTGAGGGTGAGGATGAGGGTGTGGGTGAGGATGTGGGTGAGGTGTGGGTGTGAGTGGGTGTGGGTGGGTGTGAGTGAGAGTGTGGGCGAGGGTGTGAGTGTAGATGTGACATAAGAGCAACACCCACACCCATCTACGCCCACCTACACCCACACCCACTCAGGCCCACACACACCCACACCTACACTTATTCTATTGACCTCACTAATTTCATCTTAATTTCAATGTTTCTCACCCTGATTGCTAATAGATATGAACTAACCAACTATTATAATATCTTGAATCTAAAAAGATAGAGATTTCTAACCTTTTTTCGATGCTTCGGAACTTTTTCGATGATGATGATCAAGAAGAAAATTAAAAACATTTGATTTTGTTTTAACTTGAACTTTTAAATTTGCTTCTGGTGATATTAAACGTTTTGCTTGACTATTTGGTTTTCTTGATTGTCGAATATAATCAACTTCAATTCGTTCTTGTACTGGTGGATTACGTGTTAATAATACAAAATCAAGTGAACTATGAAGTGTTGCATTTGATAAATCAGTTGTTCGAGTAAAATCTGATTTGAAATCAAAAACTTTCACGGGTTCATCACGTTGTGGTGTTCGTAATGATAAATGTGAAACTATATTACAATCATTTTTTGTTTTATCATTAGTATGTTTACGTTCATAAATAAAATCATAACCGTTTTGTGGTAAATTTTTACCCAATTTCATTGAACGACGTAATTCAATGCGTGTTTGATCAGCACTACGTTCAAGATGTACTTTACCATTGTAATTTAAGTCACCAAGAACAAAACCTGCATCAATATGCACCAATCGATTATTTGGTTGATATAAATCACCAAGAACTAAAATAGAATAGAAAATTAATTTTTCAAAAAAAACAAATAAAGAAATTTTACAATGAATTTTAAATGATCGAGCTTTATCTGGTGTTGTTAAAGCAATATCAGCTGTAAGACCTTTGCCACGATTTGGTACGATATCAGTTTTTAATGCTAATACTTCTTTTTTACTTGCAATATCAACAAGTTTAGTATCCAATTTAAATCCATCATTATTAATAACTAATGTTCCCGATGTAGTCATTACTTCTTTATCATCACTGGAATAAACTGTACCATCAAATTTATTACCCGTTTGTGTGCCTATAATATTTTAGAATATTTATACAAATAAAGAGAATTGTTTTTTTTCGTACCTTTGATATAAAAGGATTTCATGCCAGTTAAAACTTTAATATCGAAATTAGTACCAGTTTTAGTTGCAGAAATTCCTAAACCTGAAATAAGAAATTATTTTATTGTTAGTATTAAAAAAAAACATTTCATTCTTTCATTTACCAGGATAAGCAGTAGTTGCACCGATACTTTGAACAGCAACTTCATATTGTGGAGCATCTTTTGCATCAAAACGCCAACCAATACGCCATTTTTTAATTGATGGATCTTTGTTAAGAGTGATCTATATATTTTAAATAGAAATGAATATATAATGCCATATAAAAACTCTTAAAATATCAATTGGAAACTTACAGTAATTGGATACGAAGGTCGAGAACCAAGTTGAATTGAACGGAATGGATTAAGTTCTAAACATGCTCGAATACCCAATGCACGATAGAGAGTACTTGGTGTACATGATGGATCAATGCTAGCAGATTTTCTATTTGCAACATCTTGTACACCTTTTGACGTACGTAATGCATATTTAAAACTACAATTTAAAGATAAAAATGAATATTTAACAGTAACAAAAGAAAAGAAAATTGTTTACTTGGTTGCAAGGAGTGTTGATTGTGTATTAAGAAGATTAAATTCCCGTGTTCGTCCATTTTTATCTGCAACAGCTGTATAATCAAATGGTACATTGGATAAAACACCAATTTGAACTGTTTCTCCAAGACTTGTCAATGGTGATGATACTTCACGTTGAAATGTAAATGATAAACTTATCCTTTAAAAAAACATAGATGTATATTTATAATTTCGAAAAAGAACGACATACGCTGAATGACTTGTTAATTTAAATGTTCCTGAACCTGCACTATCTCGTGTATCTTTAAAATCAGCTGTTAAATCAGCAAGTATACCAAGTTGAGCTGATTTATATAATGTTAAACCATTCGCAGCTGCTGATGCCGCACCTATTTCTAATGGAATACGAAATATTGGATTTTTTCCAGCAAGATCTTTGAATTTATTTAAAACTTGATTTCGAATAAATGTACGTAAATTACTACGAAGTAAATCTTGAACTTTATCTGTAATATCACGTGAACGTATATCAGCACCAAATAATTTCAAAAAAAGATGAACAGATGGATCAGGATCTTCATCTTTATTATCATAAGTCTACAAGAAAAAAAACAATGATTCTTTTTTTTTATGAATAAAACTTATTTTACTTCTTGTAATTTTTTTAAACCAGCTGGTAAATCTTTTTTCGTTTTTTCTTTATATGTATCATCAACATTTTTATTTGTATTTAATGGATCTAATCGATAGAAATAATCTGCAAAATTCCAATCAAGATTTTCAATAATTAATGCTACTTCAATCCATGGTAAACGAAGAGTTTCACGACGTATACCATCAAATGCAAGTTTACCACCGATAAATGATGGAACAGCTCGATCATTTTCAAATACAACACATAAATGAATGACAGCCCGATAATTTCGACGAAGTGGTAATTCAATTTGAATTTGACGTGAAGATAATGTTGCTTGTTCTAAGAATTGTTTTTTATTGCTATGATGAGCTCGGAGACGAGCAGCAAGACCACGTAATGGACAGAGACGATCAAGAACTGAATATTTTAATGCTGACCAAATAAATCCATTAACCTATTTATTCAATAACACAAAAAAATGTAATTAAATCTTTCGTATTCGATTGAAAAAACTTACTTGATTAAGTGGTTGATCGAGTATTTCTGAAAGTGCCTTTTCTAAATTATCTCCTAATGTTGAATCATCTTCTTCTGGATTGTAAATAAATGATGTAAACAATGCTTCAAATGCCCATACACGTACAGCATTTTTATTCGATTTATTTTGAAGTATTTTCAATAAAAGACTTTGAAGATCTGTTCGAATTTTAACTTGATTTGCATCATCAATAAAATCATCGCATATATGACGAATAGTATTAAGAGCTTGATATTGTACTTCTAATGGTGCTTTATCATTAGCAGCTAAAATTCGTACTTGATCATCATATACGCCCAATTGTGCATAAGCAGCTAACACAGCTGTTGTTACATTACTAGAATCTTTGGCTGGACTTTTTAAAAACTTTGAAATAGCTTTTTGAAATTCTTTAATTTTCTGAAAAGACGAAAAAAAAGAAAAGGAATATTGTAGTATATTCAATGAAACATACATCATTCGCATCTTTATTATTATCTTGTCGAGCTTTGTATGATTTGAGAATTGTTGCTGCAAGTACAACAAATTCCGGTACTTGTGCTGCAGTTAATTTCGTTGAACTTTGAACAATTTGTTTAACTAAATCTTCGGTTGGACTATCCAAGTAAAATACTGCTAATGGATTTGTAAATTTTAAAGTAGCAGGATCAAAATTGATTGATGAACCAACTGGATCATGTGAATAGATTTCTTTAAGAAATAATGGTACGACATTTCTATTAAACAGGAAAACAAGCAAAGAAACATTTTTGAAATTTTCGAATGTCATCTTACTTAATATCTGCATTTGCTTGAAAATTATGAAGATCAGCTTTACTCATACGTCTTAATTCATTAACTACTTCCACAAAATGAGATGAAGCAAATTGATCCCAATCATTTGATTTTAAAAGTCCTTGAATTTTTGAAACTAAATTTAAAACGACTTCATTTGATCTATCAAATGATGTTGTTGGATCATATTGAAGTGTTTGTCGAACAGCATTTTTAATTGAACCTTCAAATCATATAAAATATTAACTTTTCAAAAACAAAATCAATTAATAAAATATACCTGCATCAACATTAACAACACTTGTTGTTTGTAATTTTAATTCTTGTTTAATTGAAATAAGTTTTGATGAAATTTCTTCCTCATCAGCTTTATCACTAAAATCATGATCATCTTCTTCCGATGAACTACTATCACTTCCATCAATATGATCATGATTATCATGTGTATGTTTATCAGCTGATTTTTTATCACTATCTGAATCGATTTCAATTGTTTTACATTTGACCGATTGAATTTTTTTATCACGAATTTCTGTTTGACATACATAACGTGATTTAGCTGAGAAAACTTCTTCAACCTAAGAATTAAATAAAAAATTTTTTTGTTTTATTTGTATGTAATATTTACAAGTGGACCAAGAAGAGAAGTTAAAACAGGACTTGAACTTAAATGTATTTTGTCTTTTGAACATGTTGATAGATCTTTATTTTTATTAATTTGTGTTGTAGCACCTTTTTGTGAATACTTATAACGTGTTGTACATACACCGAGTACATCTTCTTCACGTACCTTGAAATAAAATAAATTCTTAATTTTTTTTCCGAAGATTTTTTTTATTAAATATTTACAATGTTTTCACCATCAGTTGGTACAGGAGAGTACACTTGAAGTGCACTAAGTATACCTTTGATGAAATTAACATGATCAGCTTTAGCGGATGCATCAGCTTCAACAGCAATAAGAAATCCATCAACCCAACGACATCGAACAACAAGATTTTCGAGATCTTTTGTAGCGAGTGATGTTACTGGTGATTCAGTTTCATCTTGACTTTCGGTAATTTTAACATTTTTAAGCTATAAAAAAATAATTAATTGCAAAAAAAAGAAGAAATAAAATTTCGAAATATATTACCTGAACGGCATAATTACAATCATTAAGATTTTTAATGTGTACATCAGCAGTGATCTGATTTTTTATATCATATTGACCATTGGCAACAGATAATTTCACTTCAGTTTTATATTTATAAACTAACGAACCTTGATCCGATGCAACAAGATGAGCTATATATATATATATGTATGAGAAAAAAAAGATGATTAATCACATCTATTTATTCTTACCAGACGAGCACATCGGATCAGGTTTATTTGGAGATACTGGCGCGGTTGAAGCTCGACAAACTAGAATAGAATATAGAGAATATGAACGTTTGCTTTAAAATTAAATATAATCTTACTGAGCAACAAGACTAGAATTAAACGGAGATTTACAGACGCTATCATCATTGAATATTTGCGTCTCTTGTACCAATACTTGTACTATTCTTTGTTGTTGTTGTTGTTGTTTAATAGATGTAGATTTGCTGTCTTATATTTGTTCTAGAGTATGTAAAAAAGAAAAGACAGCTACTGATTAAAACTCAGGTTTATATATATACGATCGTTTGTCTATTCTTCTCTTGTTGTAGTTCAATCTACTAACTGATAAGAATCTATACCAGCTGTATACTGATGAGAGTAATCAAATAATAAGAAAAAAAGAATATATAGAATGAATCTTAAGTGTCTCTCTATCATTCCCTTGATATATACATGACAACTATTTGTTATCTATCAATATATAGACATGCACATATTATTTACATTAGAGAATAATCATTAATGTTGTTTTCGTGACAAACTGAACAGTTTAAACAAAAGATATCTTGAACAGTTAACATATTTAGTTATATAAATATATCAGTGAACTCTGATTTTTATAGAGTACTCTAATCGTTTATCGAATACGTAACCATTGATAAACTTATCGACATGAAAGTTCGTTGTATATATGTATGTTTAGTATAAAAGAGAATAAGAAAAAGTATAGGAATATCTATTTATCAACAATGTGAACTACTTGAACAGCTTGCAAGTTAACTGTTTAATCTCAATATATTTGTAGTTCGATATCTTGAGTGCTGACTGAGAGCGAACAGCAGACGTATTCTCGATTAGTCTGTTTTACAACATACATATATGCTATATGATATCACTACTGTATGTTTAAATAAAATGACTGATTGCATATGTAAATAAACAGACTTGTACATTCTTTTTTTTTCAATCATCAAATGAAAACGTATGAGAAGATGAATACTTTTCATATCATGAAAGTAAATTCTCATAGGTACCTACTTTATAATTTGAAATAATACGAAGTCATCAATTCTTCGACTATCACACCAGTTATATAATCAAGTATTCTATGATATGTATAATAAATTTTGAACAGTATATCAATAAATTTTGTTCGATGAATGAGTTGCATACTGAAGAATTTAATCTATACACTTTATTCTAAAGATAGTCGTCTAAATCAATTTATATACATAGTAAGATCAACGATAAATTTGAATAATTCGTTCAATATTACAATGGGAAACACGTCTATACTTTTCAACACTGAATAACTCTCCATTATTAACCTATTTTTTTCAGACATAGAAAATAAAGAACGATTTATGCTGATCGATCATATTTCGTTTGTTTCTATTATCCATCTTGAATCCTTTTCTTTTCTTTTATCACATATAAATCTATTTGTTTGCTTTAATTGTTGAGTAGACAAAATCATTTTTGTTATCTTTTATTTATTGTGAAATGAAAAGTGCAAGCAAAAGTATCATTCGCGCTAACATCGATATAAAACTTGTGTTAGTAGTTTATAAGTAAAAAAAAAGAACATTGTTTTTTTTTCATCAAGAAATCATATAAAAAAAAAGACCAGAGTATAAAACAGAAGATCATATAAATGGAATGCTGAATTTTCATGATATTCACAGAGACGCAAACAATACATACGAAAAAAACGAAGTTCTAGTGCAAAAAAAAGTGAATAGCACACGAATATACAATTTTTAATGTTTTATACAAAATGAACAGTGGAAGTATTTGATTTTATGAATCAGCAACAACTTCATCTTCATTTTCATTCTTTTTTTCTTCAACTTCTGGTATATTATCATCAATAGTATCATTACTTGTTGAACGATTAACCATTACATATTCATGTCCATTAGAATTCAATTCACTTGATGATGCTGTTTCATTTTGATTAAGATTTATATCTTGACGTGATACAGCTGTTTCTAATTCACTATCTTTATTTTCTTCTTGATCAGAATCATTATCTTCTTCATCACTACCAACTCTATTGAAGAAGAAGAAAAAAATCATTAAGAAAACTTTTCAATATGAGATACACTTCTAATCTATATATGTCAATAAGTGGCAAAAGTTCGGTCTTGAACTATAATAATAGATGATCAGTTAAGCATCCGATCACAACGTGAAATTTTTAAAAAAAAAAGGTGTATTATTCAACTATGGACCTCTTTGTGTAGAGTTTAGAAAAAATCAATACTATTCGAAAAGAGATGTAGATTGACAAAAATCAAGTTTATATTTCTAATAGATGCAAAATTTGAATTAGCTAATCTCAGATTTGTATAGATATGGAATCATTATAGATCTAGGCAGGGGTGGCGCGAGTCAGCCAACACTGAGGGGTGTAGCATTATCTTTGATGAAATACCTAAGAAGATTTGCCGATTTTGTTGAGCAAAAAATAGAAATTTTGGAAGATTGGGGGGGGGGGAGGGGTTGTCACACCCCCGACACTCCTCTGATCGCGCCACCTCTGGATCTAGGCAACTTCTGTTAGAAGCTTTACTTATTCATATATCGATACGCATAAGAGAAAGAAAGAGAATCAAACAATTACACTATCCTACATACAATGTTAATGGTCGACTTTCTGATTCAGCTAATTCAATTTGATATTTATTATCATTCTCTCCACCATCTACTAATGATGTTTCTGGTGTATAATTTTCAATAGTTGAATGATACTAAAATAAAAAACAATTTTTTTCATTTTTTATTAAACAACAAAATAATTTTTACTAAATTTGAATATTCATCTTGTTGTGTATTCGTTGATTTTATCATTGATTCATTAATATTTGTTGCTTGATTATTATTTTCAAATACTTTATATTTAACTAATTCATCAAAAGCAACATCAGATATATCACGAATGAGATCAGCAGCACAATCACGAATACTTGAAAAAAATAAAAACTATTTATCATGTTTTTTTTTTGTTATATATCTTACGTTGTTCCACAATATTTTTCAATAGTTTTTGCAAGGGATGCTGAGAATTGATTTTGAAAATGGGAAACTAATTGAGCAGAATCTGGTTGTTGTTTAAATAAAAATAAGATACGTTCACGAACATGATTTAAAATCGAATGATTAAATATATCATTAATATGTAATCGCATAAATCTAATAGAAGAAGAAAAAAAAGAATGTAAATAAATTAGTTTTGTTTTTTTGAAATATTTACGGAATTAATTGAACCATAATTGATTTAACTTGTAAATTAATTGTTTGTATATCAGCATTATCTAAATCCTAAAATAAATTGCTTTTAATTTTGATTCAGAATTTTTTTTTAAATTGAAATACTTGAGTTGATGCTGAATAAGAAACTGATGGTTCAAGGTTAAATATAGTTCTTGATAGATCATTTTTTTGTTGTTCTTCTTCACTATTACTTTCACTATCATCACTATCATCATCATCATCGTCATTATCAAAGGTATTTTGTTGTAATAGTTGATTATAATTAGGTGATTGAGATTTATTAAGTTGATTTGCATTCTCATTTGTTACTGCTCGACGACGAATAATAAATGATTTCGAAGGAATCCCTTTCGATGAATTACGATAATGATTTGAAGTTACTTCATATCCATCAGGTAATTGTTTTGTATGTAAATGAAGCGGTTTTGGTGATAATAAACGATCAGAAGTAAACGTTGCTAGAATATTCAGAAGAAGAAAAGAGATTTTTTAGTATGAATGATAACAAGAAATATATACATGTTCTATACCCATGCTGATACGTTACTTATCAACTCTACCATTAGTTGTCCAGTGTTTTATCTAGGCTTCTTTTTTCGAGTGGGCGTCGCCTACCCAACCCCTCAGCTAGATAAGACACTATAGTTGTCTATTGATACTGACACTCTCATATCTGAATCTTCAAAATTCTTTCTTTCTGTCTTTTTCAAACTGATTACTCCTATAAAGTGAAACAGTGCCCGATGTCTCATACTGTTCTAATTTTTTCTGTAGAATCAAGAGATATCTTCTTAAAGTTTTGAATAAAAATAGTTCTATAAAATTTTTTCTATTACCATTTCTTTCATGTTTGATCGGTGTTGTTTCTAATTGATCTTCATTAAAATTAATAGCCGTTCGATTTCCTGTACTTTGACTACTAAATGATGTTTTACTTGAATTTTCAAATCTATTATTATTTGCTAATAAATTATGATTTAATGGTTGAATATTTTCAGTAAATTTTGAACGTATTGGTTGAATTTGATTTAAACTATAGATTGAATCTTTTGAATTATCTCGTGAATATAGTTGTGTTTTATATTGTTGTTGTTGTTGTTGTTTTTGTTGTTGACTATCATATGATGCCGAGGATGCTGTTAAACGACTATTTTCAGTTTGAAGTGTATTGATTTCTGATTGTAAAACAGCTATTTCACGATAAGCTGTATTTAAATTAACAATAAGACCTTGAGTAAGAACTTGTTGTTGTAATTGATTAAACATTGTATCCCCTGAAGTTGATACGGAAGGAAGAGATGTTCGAGATGAATTATTTACAGCTGCTGCGGTAAGATGTTCTTCGATATGGCGATTAAAAGACTTTTGTTCTTGAATAAATGTTGATAAACAACGACATATTTCACGCATTTGCGTGCTTAATTCTTCAGTTTGATCAGGTTTTTTATTTAATAAACGTTGTTCATGTTCAGCAACGATATCTTCTGGTGTATGAAAATTCTTAAACAAAATAAAATATTAAAAAGACAAACAACAAAGAAAATAAATAAACTTACTCCTTGTTTTATTCGAGGTGGAAGTGGAATCTCTTCATCTATAAAAGGAAATAAATGATTATGTTGAATTTCTTAAAAAAAGAAAATATTTTACCAAGATCATCATCATTATCATCATCGTCAAGTTCTTCTCCATCACCTGATTCACATTCAAAACGATACAAATCTAAATCATCATCAGCTGGATTTTTTAATTGATTGTATTCACTTTCATATGATGGTTTATCAAGTTGTGTTTCATTTTTTGAATCTATTTTTTTAAGAAAAAAAAGAAATGTTTGTTTTTTGAAATAAAAATAAATTCTTTCTCTATTCGAAACCTTTTTTTGATTGAATAGGTGGTGTAGTCATACTTTGATGTAACGATGCTATTTGATCTTTCAGTGTATGTAAACGTTGACGAGATTCAACTAAACGTTCAATTTCACGATGTTGTGCAGCCATTTTAGCATCAGCATATGTATTCGTTGCGAGAATAGAATTTTGTTTTTCACTTGATTTTGGTGAAATAAGATCAGTTAAAAGATTCATTTTCGGTTTTGAATTAGTTGAAAGATTCATTTTCGTATTTTTGGGTGATTTTTTAGGAGATGGTGGAATCGGAGTTGAACGAGCAGATGAAGACGGTTGATCAGGTTCGATTGTTTTCACCATTTGTTGAAGGCGACTTAATGCAGATTTTGCTTGTTCTAATTCTCTAGAAAAATTTAAATCCATGTAAAATGAAACAAATTTTTTTAATCGATTGCTTATGAGATGAATTTCTGACATCAATCAAAGTCTTTCCTGATTCATAGATTTCTTTTTTCGGATAAACAGAATGATTTACATTCTACTTACAATCTTTTAGCAGCTAATTCAGTTGATAATTTATCAAGTGGTTTAGGTGGATTGTTATTATTTATTTTTGCTGGTGATATTTGTTGTTTCTGTTGGGTGATAAGTGTTTTTAAACGTTGTACATCATCAGGTTGAATTTGGGCTTCTTCATAAACAGTTGTTTCTTCTTCTTGTTGATCCATTAAATCCATTTGATAATATCGAACAATTTGTTCTAATTCATTTAATTGTTGTCGAACATGTTGTAAATTTTTTACACGGTTTTCATCAGGTTTCGGTTGTTCTTTGGGTGAACTTAAGAAACAAAGAAAAACTATCGTTAATAAAATTCGTTTTTATGAAAATTTACCTTTTAACTTGTTTAACTTCAACTTCATGTTTTTGTTCATAAAGATTTCGAAGTAATTGTAATCTAAAACCATATAAAGAAGGTCAATTATTTTATAAGAGTTTCTCAGTACCGATCACGAAGATTATGAATATCAGATAAAAGATCATTTTCTGATGGATCTTCTTTTGGAGTCACAGTTTTCTTATTACTTAATTGTTGTTGTTGTTCAACTAAACGTTGTTCAGAACGTTTTTTCAATGCAAGTAATGCGCGTTTTTGACCTTGTAAAGCTCGAAGCTTAAGAGAAAAAAAATGTTTGAATATTCTTTAGTAAATAGAAACTTTATATTACTTGTTCTTTTTGGAGCATTAAATTTCTTTCCATTTCTTTTTCACTTTCAACATCACTTGCTTCATCACCAGTCTTAAATAATACAACAAAAAAGAAAAGAAATAAAAAAAGAAAATTAAAAGAAAACTCACGGTTGATTGTTGATCTTTCCAATTGATTGTATCACTTTTAAGACTTCCAACAAGTGAATCATAATTTGAATTATCATTACGAGTATTTTGTTCATTATCAGAAGTATTTATTGTTGAAATCGATGGTTTAAAACCATTTTTATTTTCACTATGTGAATGATCGGGAAATTGAACTTTTCGTTGAGATATTGGTTTTTCCTAATGGATTAATGAAGAAATTAAAGTATTATGTCTTAAAATCTACATACATCCTCTTCTTCTTCTTCGTCATCATCATCATCATCGTCATTCGATTGATCATCATTATCGAGTTGAATTTGACGATCAGCTACAGAAATTTTCTTAATAAGTCCTGATCGTTCTTCATTTGTTAACTAGATGAAAACAGAAATGATTAAAAATCAATTCTTTTAGAAATTTACTGTAATTAAATTGAATAAATTAACATAACCAGCTTGTTGTTCTTCAAGATTTGCAATAATTATACGAAGTTTTTCACATTGTTCTTCACTTCCCGGCTAGAATTACATATATATAAATATTTCGAATAGATTACAAAATAAATTCATTACAACTAAATGTTTAAATTTATCCATTGAATCAAGCATTGTTTGTGCTTGTTGAATAGAATTTTGAATTTGTTTTACACGAACAATTATTCTTTCCGTAGAAAACTAAATAAAATCAAATAATATGAATAATTCTGATGATTAATTTTCTTCTTACTTCTACTGATTGTTCTTGATCAGATGTTTCATCTTGTGCTGCATTATTTGTTATCGGATCAGCATCTAATGTTTCATTTGATTCATCTTGATTATTATCTCGAAATGCTTGTCGAACAAGACTATTAACTGATATTTCGCCATCACTTTCATTATCGTTTTGATAAACCGGATCGAAAAAAGACATCTAGAAGAAAAAATACATATATTAAAGAAAAAATAAAATTATAGGATTTACTTGAGTAAATTTTTCATTATCATCTAGATTTGGTAAATTACGTGTTTTTCGTTTAAGAGCCATATCGTTTTGAAAAAAAGCAAACTATCTAAAAATGAATGTTTGCTTATTTAAATGAAGTATTATTGTATGAATTAGTAGGAGTTCAACGTTGGTTGGCCACTTCATTTCTAATACTAATACCTTCTTAGTGAATTTAGTCAAAACATTTCTTCAATGTTAACAAAACATATTGTGACTATTTTAACGAATAAATGATCAGTTATTTATACAAAAAGAGTTTATTTTTCTTGAATCGATTGATATACATGTAAATCGAATATAAATCTAGTTCTTCATACCTATATGGAATGATGTAGGATTATTGAAAATGAATAATGAGAAAAAAATAAGTCATTAATATAAACGACATGTCTCGTGATCGAATAAAGAATGATGTTGTTTTTTTTTTTTGTTAAAAAATTTTCTTTTCTTATGCTATTTATAAACTAGTAAAAATGTTTTAATTATTCTACGTCCATCGGTCAATATTTTGAAAGTAACGTTTTCAAGGTAACGACCTCGAAATAGTTTACTTAAAAAAAAATTTTTTTATTTAACTAAAAGATTATGATATTTGTTTTTATATCTTAATTTTTAATTATAAAGAGAAATATTTAATTTAATTTTACGAGATTATAAAAATATTTTTAAAAGTGACATCTATCGTATACAGTTTGAAATTCAAATACAGAACAGAAGATATATGTCCATCTTCCGATTTCGATGACACATATTTTAAGAAGGAAACAAGAAAGGAATGACTAACGGATTTCGCTTTTATAACAAAAACAGAAATTATTTCGTTAAACTTTTTGTATGTGGTGGATAACAAGTTGTACTGTAATATATTGTCTAGATCGTAGTAGAACGGAAAATAGCTAACAATATCAATCGTGTTGATCAATATACACAATGACCAAAATGAATGCTAAGAATATTAATTTTAATGATGTTCGTTATGCACAAGAATATTTTTATCCATATTTTTCTCATCGAACAATGAGCGTTAGTGAAACATATGTTGCTTTAGTATTTGGTTTGCTAGATCCTAAATCTCTAGCACCGATAAGGATTTTTGAAGTTGAAGGGCATTCTTATTGTATTGATACACGTCGTCTCACAATTGCCAAAGAATTACAACAAAGAAATAAATTAGATGTTCTAGAAAACTTTCCTGTTCAATATATGCTTATTAACGATGAAGAGTCTGCGCGGCAATATTGGAATCTTGTTAATTGCCGTTTACCAGCAATGAAGAAAAGCGGTCTAGACGGTTCAACAATTCGACTTGAATCTGAACCAGATTACATGTGTTGTTTTAATAAAGGAACAAATACCTTTCGATCTGATCTCGAGCAACATATTATTCAGAAACATTTAAACATGCGGGTACAGACGTTCAAGAACTTAAATATTTATAAATGTTACAAATGTGATAAACAAGGACATATATTTGCAAGAAAACGATCAACACAAAGTGTTTATGAAATTTTCCGAAAATGTGCATGTTCAGAGTATGAATCGAATAAAATTCATAAAATGCAAGTACCTTGGACAGAAGTCACTTTTGCTGAATTATGTAACAAGATTCTCGAGTTAAAACAATCTTTAATTCGTTCAAATCAATTGAAACGCAGTATCAATCAACCAAGTGCAAGTCATCAATTCTCAAGAAACAAAGATACTGAATATTTTATGACACCATGTTTTATATTCACATTAATTATAGCTATATGCATTGCTCTAGCGTATATACTTACTTCCAAATGGCCTAAAACACATCATAATTATGTTGACATAGACCATTCTAAAACTACAATTGTCTAATTTATTTTAAAGAAATAAAAACATGTCTTTAAGCATTCTGAAACAGAAAAATCTTGTTTATCTATTTGATTTATATTGAATGAATCATAATTCTACTTTGAGTCATTAATTGAATCTATTTAACAATTTTTTACTAATTTTAATTAATAAATACACCAGAAAAAGCTTCTATTTCACTCTCATACAGTAAACGAATGATTTTCTTTTATTAAAATATACAAACTTCACTACTTCCTATTTAAATCATTCAACTGATAAGAAAGATTAATGTCGATTTATATAGTAGCAAACTTGTTTTTTTCTCTCTTAAACTATTGAATATTACTCATTGTTAAAACATTGCTTTTTTATCCACTTATATTAAAATCCAAGTTGGAAAAAAAACATTGATAAATGACGATGTTTTGTTTTTATGTAAATAAAAAACAAAATAGGTATTCAGTCTATGACATACTTTGTATTTTGTACCTAAGCAAAGAATAACACATATTTACTATACGATTTCTACATCATTATGCGCACATCATTTTGAAGTAACGAAAGAAAACCTAGTTTAGTAAGTATCATTTATTCGATTAGATATCAGACTAATATCTACTAATTATAATGAAAATTATTCAAATCTTGTAAATATCATATACATTTTTTCGAACTAAAGGTAAATATTGTCATGATTTACTTATACAATCACTTGTTTTTTTACATAAGTTGTCTGCATAAAAATCAATGAAGCTTAACTGAATATTTTATGTATCATCAAATGACAAAAAGAAGTTATGTACATTTAGTTATATTTTATTTTAGATTTCTTGATAAAAAAATTCGAGGATGTCTCATCTGATGTCAGCAGGTCCATTAGATGATCATCGCTCAAATTTTAATAATATACCAAAAATACTTCTTATCGGTGAAACAGGTGTTGGAAAATCAACATTTATTAATTATTCGTGCAATTATTTTAATAACGGTAGTTTAAATAATCTTAAAATTGCTGTTCCATGCAAACATCATCCATATTCTACTGAAAACTACTCACATAATGAATCAAATCTATATGATGATACTCAATCAAAAACTAGTGATTGTACTCAATATATTTTTACTGATTCAACAACAAATAAGCAATATTTATTTCTTGATACTCCTGGTCTTTCTGATACTCGCGGTACTGAACAAAATGAAAATAACATTAATAAAATGATTGATGCTATAACAGGTTTAGGTAATTTAACATCTGTTATTATTCTTATTAATGGATCTATGAATCGATTAACAAATCATCTTCGTACTATAATTACTTGTTTAAATCGTACTATACCTGATATTATTTTAGAAAATGTTATTGTTATATTAACGAATGTTAAAAAACATGAATCATCATTTGATTTAAATATATTAAATTTACATGGTAAAGTTTATCCATTTCATATGCAAAATGGTGCATTTGTATCAAATCCTCAAACATGGAATAAAAGTATTTATGATAAACTTCAATATGATTGGAATTATTCAATGAAACAAATTAAAATAATAATTGAAACAATTGATTCATTTAAACAATTATCTATTGATTCATTTATACAATTAAAACAAATTCGTAATGATATTAAATTTATTATACACGAAATACATTTAGAAATAACTCAAATACAAAAAATTCAAAATGAATTATTCCAATTAGATTTTGCATTTCAACAAGCAAATCAAGATACAATTACATATCAAGATTATATTCAATTTCAAACAATTGAAAAAATTGAAATAGTTGATGCTGAATATCATAGTACTTTATGTGCAAGTTGTAATCAAGTTTGTCATAATCATTGTCATTTAAATGAAACAACAACGATCGGTGCACAAATATTTTCTCGATGTAAAGTTATGGTAAATGGTAAATGTCAACAATGTCCAAATCATTGTTCATATATAAATCATTATCATGCGAAAAAAACTATTCAGATAACACAAGAAAATTTATATGATATATTAGATGATTTAAAGAAAACATATAATCAAGCATGTGCAAATAGTACGAACTATCAAGAAAGAATCTTAACAATAAAGGAAACAAAAGAAATATTAGAAAAAACATTGAAGAAAAAAATTCATGATATTAAAAAGAAATCTATTGAATTATATCAAATATGTTCATCATTTAATTTATCTCAAGAATTTAAATATTTAATAAAACAATTAAAATTAGAATCAAATTTAATAAAAAATCATGAAATAAAAATACAAACTGATAATATAATAAAATATTTAATTAAATTTATTTATTCAATTGAAGAAAATCGTCAAAAACAATCATCAATGAAAATTATTGATAAAGAACAAAGGCTTGAAGATAATTTACCTGATATTAAACTTTTAAAAACAGTTGATTTAATTCAATTATATCATAAAACAAATGATCATAAATTTTTAACATTAATTTTAAATGAACTTCATCAACGTGCACAAGGTAAATCAACAAATCCGCTATTAACACCAAATGAAATTATGATAATAAATAAAAAATTAGAAAAATATAAATATAAAAATATTCAAGAATTAAGTTATTCATATCATAAATTACAACAACAAATTAATAAGATTATCGATTCGGATATTTTTCAAATTGTTAATGTTAATTCTGAACTTTTAATTGAAAATTTTATAGTTCAAACATTATTAGATGATAAAGAAAAAAATGACGATAATCAAGATACAGATGTCGATGCAACGTTACATTCATTTCAAGAATTAAATGTTTCAACAATTTCTTTTTCTTCGTATCCAAATACACGACGAACATCATCACAATCAATTCACTCGCCTCCTTATCCAAATGTAGCACCAATACCACAACCAATTTATCCACCTCCTTATCCAAATGTAGCACCAATACCACAACCAATTTATCCACCTCCATATCCAGATACAGTATCGAAAACATCTAATATTAATATAACATCCATTGGATTTTCTCATTTAACATCAGCTCCTTATCCATCAGTTAACCATCCATTACGTATGCCAGATTTACCAGATGATTATTTTTCAACTAGTTTTGATAGTAAACAATCGGCACCAGGAGTTTTTCGTCTAGAAGATTATCGACATGATTCAGGTGATAAAAAAAGTACAACATCATCAATTGATCATCATGAACATATGCCAATGCCAATAAATAATCAACCACAATCAAATAACAACGCAGAATATCAACATATAATATTAACAAATAATCGTACCTCAATACCTGATATAATATCATTCAGTATTGATTCAATAGAATCTTCCAAATCTCTCTTAAGATATCTACCAAATGATATAGCTACTAGTCTCGCTAATGAAAATTTGCATCTGTTGGATAATTCACGTTTGTTATCAATGTATACTAATGCAAATCTTACGGAAGATCAATCTCAAAAAGAACTTATTTATCAAGAACTTCATCGACGATGTTATGGTGAATATCCAATGTTAATTAAAGAAAACAAAAGTTTATTTGATGAAAAAATGAAACTTAATCAAATGAAAACAATCGATGAACTTGTTAGAACACAATTAATAACTAATAGAAAAATTCGACAACATTTAAAAAATAATGATGTTACATTAATCAATGAAGTACCATTAGACTTAATTATTGAAGCCAATGTTTTAAATCAATTAATCTTATTAAAAAGTCCAATGTAAAGAAACGAATATAATATATTTTGTGCACGAAATAAATATTTAGCTGTAATATGGAAATGTAGAATATAGTTCATCTGTTTCACTGTGGGCGTGGGTGTATAAGTCATTCTTCTGTCATACTACACAGACATGACCGCCCCTGTGTTTTTTTTAAATTGCGATTTTCTGACCAACATGTGTTAGAGACTCTCGGTAAACGTTTTGAAAGCAAAAAATTAATTCCGAACACCTGAACGGATTAGCAGGTATTCGAGACACCTAGTACGAAATATCCTTGTCCCTTCTATTTTATATGTTACAGCTCACATGAAAACTCAGTTGACTTTGGAATGCACGAAATAATTAAAAGAAAAAAATATCGAAAAAGATTTTTCTATTAGAATAATATAGATTATTTGTGTAGTGTCTTTTACAAAATAAAACATACATTAAAAATAACGACTAAAAATTTAGACGAACTCATTGTATCATACATTTATTTATTCGACGTTTGGTATTATAAAGATATAAATTAATTGGTAGCCTCACAATATATTATTGCATAGCTTCTCTAAAATTATTATTTCCATAAATATTCTATATTAAAAAGTTTCGCTAAGATCTACTAAATTAAATGTTTACGTTGCTTGTGTTATCGAGGTTCATTACTATGAAACATATAATGATTGAACATAATCTATGACGACATTTTTAATTAGATAAATCGATGTGTTTTGTTTTTATAATTAAAATATTTTTATTTGATGAAAATATTTAAAAAGAAAATAATACACAATCGCACGTCTCTGTTGCTTTACGTTTATTTAACTATTGGCTTTCATTTTTTCTGGAATGTGATCATAAATTTTAAAATCTCTTTCTCATATTTCTTTTTTTGATTTTATCATCGCACGTAATAAACATAATCTAACTAAAAATATTCATGTTTATTTCTCATGTGACCAATTCTACAAAATCTCGATCACAGAAGAAAAAAAACCTACGTAAAACTTTCTCATATTATTCTCAATCAATAAAATCAATTTCTTAATATTATTATCATGGAAAAGAAATACAATATTATAAAAATTGAACAATTTATTTTTAGCCAATAATCCATGTCCCCACTTATAACTATAAAATATAGAAAAATACTCATTTAATTAATATTGAACCTGTTTCAAACTCATCTGCCACATATATTTATTCATATGTAAATAAAAATAATACATAATAGAACAAATAACAACTTATTACTTGGTCTTTATGATGGTTTATTGATCATCTATTTTTAGTCTCTATATTTATTACGAAACAACTTTCATCTTTAGCACACAGAATTATTCTAATAATACATCAATCTATCACATTGAAAGACAAAATCATTGCTTTCTGCATCGGTATAGATATACATAAGAAGAATATAACGCACTCATATTATACACACCCAATCACACCTTCATTTTGTATTAATAATAATATACCCTTTTTTTATATACGCAGCGTATATAAAAAAAAGGGTATACTATTACTAATACTAGAGGTGTAAGCCGTCGGCTTGGACGCGCGTCGGCTCTAGCAAAAATGTCAGCTACCAGTCGTCGGTTTCAACAAAAATCGGCTGACGGCTTACATCTCTATATACGCATAAACTGATGACTAGAAAGTCTTTACAGTACATAAGATAATAGAGAAAAAGTAAAAAGATAAAAATAATAGTATATCCTTGTTAGGTAGTGATGTATTCTTCTTCTCTCCTGTCATATATATATATATATATATGATATGGGAAATTTTTTCTTGCGTTCCCTTCTTCTTGCTTCACATGAACCCACATTCATCAGAGGATACATGCCTCACAATCCTATATATAATCTATTTTTTTAAAACTGTAGTATTATAATATAGCAAGTTTTAAAATCCTGTATACATATCTCTCAACAATATCCTCTGTATATGTCGATGATTGATATCAAAAAATAAAAAAAAAATCTTTTTTTAAATTTATTCGTAAAAAAGAAAAAGAAATATTAAAAAAAAATTCAAAACAACATAAGGAAATATTTATAGTTTTTTTAAAACAACATATGTTTGATAACATTTTATATCAAATTCATCCGGATTTTGTTGAACGTGTTCTTTATACAACTTCCAGAATTTATTTGATAATTGATCAATATCTTCTTTTGACCGCTTTCCAGTACTTTCTAATACTCCTCTTAATACGGAGTCTGTAGCACATCGTATAAATTCTGTTTGTTTTTCAGAAAATTCTTTTAATTCCATTTCATTATTTTTTAATTGTTCATAAAATTTAAAATCAACGGCTGACATATTTGAATGAATTACTTCAAATGAATTTTGATGAAATAATTCTTTATCGACACATTCATCATATGAACGTATATAAACTGGCAGTGTATAATTAGGTAATTCTACATTTGGTGATAAAATTGATTTAGCACATTTATATAAATTATGATATACACTTTCAGTCATAGTTATACCTTCATCATTAAAACAATTCATTACAAGAATAAGAATACCACCTTGAATAAGTTCACGTGAACGATTTTCAAGAAAATTGCGATAATCATCACGAGCTTGTTTTTGAAATGCTTGAAGTTCAGCACCTTTAGCAAAAGTAGATATACAATGGTTTGTTATATTGCATGGTTTTTGAGAAAGCCAGTGAATAGAACCAGATGAATAACCAACAGTTAAACAATTTGGTGGAAGACATTGTTTATAAAATGATTGACCAGTTGCTAAACTAAAAAAAATTTTTTTATCTTGCTCATTTGAAGTATCAAAGAATGATGTCCAATTATTTGTTGGTAAATCAATGTGTACAGATAAAAATTGTTGATCTGTTTTTTTAAATTCTTGTATATAACTAATAATAGTTTTCATAGCATGCATAGAATTTGATCCATGAGATGAACCAAAATCAGCAATAAGTACAGGACATCTTCCAGGACGTATATTGAGATTTTTCATAGCATTCTTCATTAATGACGTTGAAGATTCAATAATTTCTCGTTGTGGTAATGAATTTGAATTATAGGATCCAAGCATCCCTGTTGTTCCACTTGTTTTTGTCGCCATCTTACAAGTTCTTGTAATAATTTGACGAAAAATAAATGGAAACATAATAATATGACGAAAAATAAATGGATACATGATAATAGTAATATTCGTCCGTTGACGGCCATGTTTATATAGTGCAATAGTTTACAAGGCTGGTTTTTTCTATCTTAAGGTACGCGGATGTAGGAAAATGTTAACTTATTTCCAAACGGATAAATATGATTGCGTAACTTCTATCTGGAAATATATTAGAGCAAAAACATTTTTACCTGTAGTAAGGGTATGTTTTATGTTAGGAAGTGACTACTTACTTCACAGAACGATAAAAGCAATCAACTGTGTCATACTTCCTACTTACTTTGTAATCTATGTACAAAATATTTCCCATGGGTCGTACAATACGTCAATAGCATATAGTTCGATTACTCATCTTGTCCGTCGCTGATAATTTCATATACAAACAACAATCATACATTTGTTTTCATATTATTATTCTCGAATGTTGAATATGAATGGAAAAAAAATTCAAGCATTAGTATAACTATTTTTACTTCCTGATTATTAATATCAAGAATAGAATATATTACTTAGATCTAGTAGTCGTTTTATTAATCGTATTCCTACAAATGCAATAAATTTGAAATAGATATTTAAATTTCATGAATTGTTTTTAGAAGAATCGTTATCAAACGGAGCTTTGTATCATTTATTTTACTACGATTGTAAAATAGATCAAATCATATTTAGTGGCATGAGTTATACTCAAATATAATATTTTTGTTCATTTTATCAAAAAAGTCTTTCGTTCATGCTTATATCTAGAATTTTGTTTTTGTTTAACTACACCTGTAACGATACAAAAATTACCCAATGAGTCATCGAATGTTTTTATTCGTAACAAAAACATCAATTATCAAATTTCATCATAATTTTCATTAACGACTATTTTTATCTTCAATTAAAAACTAATCAAGTATTTAGAATTTTCCTCGCTGGTTTTTATCCTTTATCTATCGTCATCAGACGTTGGATTTTAACGAGGATAAACGGTAAAAGGTAACAAAAAAGATTTATCATTATTGTCTATTACCCATTTATTATCAAAATCTTAATAAGAACAGAACAGAAAAAATAACAAATATGCACACATTTTGACTCATTATTATTCATACAACATAATTACCGCAATAACGATTGCTGCAAAGCTACGAAAATAATGAATCATTACGTCACGCAAAGTGACTTACGGTAGTAGAAAAAATTTCTGTTTATTTTTTTCTCTCAGTTTTCAACGTGATAAGAATGTAAAAATAATAATCGATTTCTTTTATCATATAATATATATTGTATTTTAAAATAAAATATACGAAAAGATGTACAATGAAAACCTGTTTAATTTATAGAAGACAGTATATTTTTACATCACCCATTTTGATTAAAATCTTTTGACCGCAAAATTTCAGTTTCATCAAGAAATATTTAAAATCAACTTTAGATATTGGATTATAATTTATTCATTGAAGAGTGTGAGAAAAGAGTTTACTGTATATTGATAAATTGTTTTTGACAAAAATGTATAGCTTCGATGCTTAGATATTTATTCGATTTTAGAGCAAAAACTGCAACTAAACAATGATCTGTTCTTTGTAAATTATAAAACCTTTCACACTACATCTTTTTCTATAGTTTATTATTTGAGTATAACATATTTAATAAAAGCAATAGTCGGTTAGGGAATATACTTGAGTTTGAAATGCTGTAAATAAAGAAACTATTTCTATATTTTTAATTTTGAAGAAAAAACGAATTCAGAATAGTTCATGGTTATAGATTAAATTTCATATATGAAAAATATTTTCTTTTGCTAATAACAAACTTGAATGTTACCTATTTGAATAAATTTAATCAATTTAAGAAAAAAAAGAAATTTAGATTAAAGATAAAATTGATTATTTAAGTTTCACATTCATTACGAATATTGTTTTATAAGGAGGACATACGGGACATCCAGCGATTGCTTCTTTTTTCGCATAGAAAGTACAGAACTGTTTACATTAAATTAACTTATCATCTAAGATATATAGATTTTGTATCATCTGTTTAGGTGTAATAGATAGAAATTTTAGAGAAAATATATATAAATGGGAACCAGTCATCTCTCAAACAATGTACACAGAAAGAAACGAAGAAAAATTTGACAAAACTGCTTTGAAGTACTAAGATTTTCTCTTTTAGAAAATTTTTTTATTTTGTCGCGTATTCGAATTTCAACTAAATTCTCATGTCAACTGTAACATATATAAAAGGATTCGAGTATGAGTTTGTAACCATCAGAAGAAATAATAGTAAAATGTCATAGTTTAATACATGTTAAATAAAATGAACATGATCGCGTATAGTAATACTCATGAATAATCTCATTTATAAAGCTTTTTACATTTCATCAATGTAATAAGATATTAACAAGTGATGATTGTAACACGTTTATTTAATCCTTAATTTTTTTTGTTCCGTAAGTTTATGCAAATATCATTTTTTTTGTTTAATTAACACGTATTGAAAAAAAATGAAGATTTTTATATGTCCTTTCCACTATCTATTTCATGTAAAATCATCTATTAACAATTAGAAAAACAAAAAACAGAAAAAAAAGAATTTTCTAATGTCTCATTCAATTATAATCGAACAGATTCTCTTTGTCGTGTATCATTAAAATGTTGTTCTTGTATAGTTTGATCTTTCATCATTTTTCGTACATTTTGTAAGACTTGTTTACTTTTTGCTGATACATTTCGTTTATTTTTATTAGATTCTTCTTGAATTTTTGTTTGTGATAATGATGGTGGTGATGTTGATTGTCGTACATGTTCTCTACCTAAATAAAAACTTTCTACACATGATCGATGTTTATTATCATCATTTCGATTTGTTGAATTTGAAAGAGGCATAGATTGTCGACGTTGAATTGAATTTACAATTAAATCATTACTTTTCTCACTACTATGTGAATCAGGATATGTTGTTGTTGACCATTCTGATGTTGTCGATGATGATGATGATGATATAGTACTTGCTGTATCATGATGATGATCTTCTTCTTCAGGTATATCAATGATACTTGATGGTGTTGGTGATGGTTCTTTAAGTTTAGTTGTTTTATTAAATAATTTTTCTAATGGTGTACGAGATTCCGATGGAGTATTATTATTTTCAATTGATTTCTGTTTTATTGATGATGGTATAGATTTTTTCTTTGATTTTACACGATTTTTTTGTTTCGATTGTCGATCAGATATATGTGTTTCACAATCAAATTCTGTATCATCAGGTTTAATAATTTTTTCATTTTTATTATTATTTAATATTTCTTTCTTTGATTTTTTCGATCTAGAAGAAAATAATTAATAATAGGATTTCGGCTTTTGCATATCTCTTACGATTTTTTATGTTGTTGTGAACGTTCATTTACTGTTTGTACTGGTATACGTTTATAAACTGCTCCTTGTTGTGTTACACGGATACTTTCAACACGTCTTACAAATAATTTATTAATTTCTTCTTGATGATGTTTCGTTCCAGCTGTTTGTTGTTCACATATCGGTAATGATTGACGTTTTTTTCTTGATAAACAAATTAATGGTAAACATCGACCGAATAGTTGAACCATTACTATTCGATCAAATAATGAGTCAAGAACTATTTAATGCATGTCAAAAAAAAACGATAAGATAGAGAAAGAAAAGAAAAAAAAGAATTTGTATCATCTTTTTATTTTAAACAAGAATTATGTAATACAAATCGACGAATAAATATACAAGCTTACGGATAGATGTGTTCTCTTCTTACATGAATATCATTGTAAGAGACAAAAAGAATGTTGACCTCTTCAATTGACATTTTAGTTTTCATTATAGAAAAAAAAAGTAACATTTAACACAGAGATATTCTATGTTCAATGAAAATTTTTAGTTGTATCAGGTGATTTTATTATGTGTCTAGAAATTTGAAACAAAGGTCAAATCATGTACCTTCGGATTATACTGACTGGACTAAGGAATTTTTAATTCATTTAAATATTCAATTGAAAGATATATGCAAATGTTTCATTTATATACAGTTCATTCTAAGGTTTGTTCAGTAAATATGAATACATAGTTTTATTTGTTCAAAATGATCAATATTTGCAAATAAATTCTATTGTAATCGAATACAACATATATATATTCATTAGCGTATCTAAACATGAGATAATATTTATCATTTTCATTTGATTACAAAATTAACCTTGAATACTAAACTATTTGTTTTATATGATGATTCATTATTATTTCATGTCTTTTTATCAATAATATGCAATCCTTTTGCAAATATGTACCTTGTAACACATGACTTCGAGAAGCGACGAGAATAATCTATCATCGTAGGTGTTTGTATGCATATGATATTGCATAACAATAGTGTAATTGACTCGGTTAATAAAGTATATAAAGGCAAGTTAAATCTCATAATTTTCACTGGTATTGATTGAATCAATACTGTATTCATACAATAATCATATTGTTATTGGATTCAGTTCAGTTTTTACCATCACCACGTAATATGAAATAGTGCTTCCTTCGTAGTTTCTCAGGTCTTTTCAACCTGAGACTATTCGGCTTTTGGACGTGTTATACTATTAAGCAACTCTGCTATCACTTCTTCACCATGAGAGTGCACTTTGAGTTTGGTATGACAATGTCTGATTGCCACCAATGGGGAATAGATTTAGTTTTGTACGTATATATTTAAATTAACAAACTAAATTCTTATACTCATTAGGTGGTAATTAAGATAATAATCGTCGATATCTTGTGCAAAAATTGATAAGAGAATTTTTCAACAAAGTAACATATATATATATTTAATATAACAAAGAAAAAAGAACAAATTTAGCATCTGACATAGTAAAGAGAAGAAAAATATATATATCATTGTATATCTGAGTGATTATTTGATGAAGTAGAATTTTTAATTTGTGGTGGAATGATAAGATGTGTTGGCATTGATTGAAAATAAGTACTTTCAAGTGCTGTTTTAGCAGTTATACGTCGATCAGGATCATAAACAAGCATTTGAAGTGTAAGTTGAAGAGCATCTGTTGATAAATTCGATAATAATTGTGACATATTTTGAGATTTCCATTGAGGAAAAGTTTTTTTATGATCAGGCATTGATGAAAAACCAGGCCATGTTATATCATCTGGTGTACCTAAAATATTAAAGGTTAAACAAAAAGAATATTTATAAAATATTTTTACCAAGTGTTCGAAATATACGAAAAAGTTGATCAATTTCACATTCACCAGCAAATAATGCTCGATTATGTGTTATTTCAGCAAATATTGTACCAATACTCCATAAATCAACACTTGTTGTATATGTTTTTGCTCCAAGTAAAATTTCTGGTGAACGATACCAAAGTGTTACAACCTTAAAAATAATTTTCATACATATATAGAAAATTTCTCATGGAAATATACTTCATGTGTATACATTCTCATTGGCATTTGAAAATGTCTTCCAAGTCCAAAATCAGCTAATTTCAATGAACCAATCCAATCAATAAGTACTTTTATTGAAAATTATTATTTTATTTTGAAAAAAACTAATCTTATTTCTAACTTACTATTTTGAGGTTTTAAATCACGATGTAACATTGAATTTGAATGTATATAATCAATACCTAAAAGCATTTGTTTAAGATAACTTTTTGATAAATCTTCAGGTAAAGATTTTTGATATAATTTCATATATTCATATAAATCCATTTCCATACATTCATAAAAAAGAAATAATTCACCAGTTGGTTGATGTACTTGGATATCATATAAACGTATTATATTTGGATGTTTTAATGAACGAAGTAAACTTATTTCACGTAAAGCTGTACTTGGAATACCTTCATCACCGAGACAAACACATTTTATAGCAACATCTTGTTTTTGTCGTGTATCAAATGCTTTTCGAACAATTCCATAAGTACCTTTACCTAATTCACAACCAACATCATATCGATCAAATAATGTGGATGATGTTCCATTATTCATTATGATCTGAAATAAATAAATAAATAAATAGATGTTTTTGATTTATTTAAACCATTGGTTGTCCTTTAAGAATAGTAAGAAAAAGTTTACTAAATGATATCAATGATAATGATGAATGAATATTACAAACATGATATAATGTAAAAAATGATACAGGATCAAAATGAAAATTAAAACAAACAGTATTATCAGTTGAATAACCATAATTGATGGATAATCTTGGTGTACCTAAAATTATAAACGATTCAAAAACAAAACTCTGTTTTTTCAATATTTAAGGGTAGCCCTCCCTCTTTTTTGATTAAAAACTCGATTTTGAAATAAGCATAAGGAGTGATAGTCCCAAGTGGTACCTACATTTGAAGACATCGCTCTACATCAAAGACCTTATCGTTATAGACTTATGGGATTCACAAAATCCTATTTTATCAGAAATCCTATACGAAATTTTTCCTTGTTTCTAGTGTAGCGAAGAAAGGGGATTTTCTAAATCTTGCCAAGGATTAATCCGCCTCAAATCTGATGTTTTCATGCAGGTTTATAGTGTTCCGAAGATCAAAAACCTGCTTCCGAAAAAACCCTTTATGTATTTTTCTCATAAAAAAAAAAGTAAGTGAGACTTTTGAAAATCCTTAAAACTACCTCTGGAATATACCCATAGGTATTCCCAAAACAATTTTTACCCCAATCGGCAAAAGTAAAAGTGGGGTTGCCCATGGCAAGATGAGACCCTATGAAAAAACCCTGAAAATCGCTTCAGAGAATTATTCCCTCGAACACCTGTCTTATCATTTTAATTGTTCTATCTGTGGTAAAAATTTCAATCCGATCGGCCTTGCCGATTTCGAGATCCAGGAATGGTCGAAAAAGAGGTGGAGGTACCCCTAACTCACCGCGTATAATTCTTGATCCCATAAGCCATAAATAAAATTCATAAACAGGTATCTGTAAAAGAAATTGCCCGATATATTGAATGATTTTAACAGTCAATACTGTAACTGTCCAAATCTAAATTCAACAAAAAACTATTATTTCTACATAATAATGAATTATATTTACTGAAGTAAAAACTGCATAATACATAAATATTGATGGTAATAAAAAGAGAAGAATTGTAAATGATAATGTTACAATAAATAATTGATCAATATCACATAGATGTGAATCAAGTCGATAATTTCTTAATGGATTTTGTTTTTTTCCACAAAATAAACGAAAAAGATTTATTAATAAACGAATTTGCCAATTAAATAATCTAAGAAAATAACTTACAATAAAAAAATGAATTTTTTAATTTATCTCTTTTTACCTTGCAGCATAAATATAAAAACAATAAAGATGTATTGTTAATAAACGTATAAAATCACATATTGCTCCAATAACTAATGATATTCCAAAAAAGCATAGAATAAACATTAATTGATATAAATATGGTAATACAGTAATAACTAAAGCTTCGAGATATCCCGACCAAAGATAAATATGATAGAAATAAAATCTCGCTAGAAAATCAACTAATGGTTGATTTAATTTCAAACCAACTGGTGCATGCATAAGCCATTCAATGATTGATTTAATCCATGTTGTTAAATTCTATTTAAAGTAACAAATATGAAAAAAATTTGTTTTTTTTTGAAAGATTTACTTGAGTTTGTATTAAAATTTCATTTGAAATTAAACGATTTAAATCAAAATTTCCAAAGAGAATAAATGAACAGAGAATTCCAACAAAAATATTTGCTAATAAATAACCTATATTAGCATGACGTCTAAACAGGAAAAATATTGTCCTGAAGAAAAGGGATAAAACAAAATCTTTACCTCAATTGAAATGGATTATGTCTTGCTTGTTGAAATTTTAAATACATTCCATAAGCATTTTGAACTAACATACTATGTTTCAATAGAAAATCACAAATTGCTGTCTAAAATTAAATAAAATTAGCGAAAATAAAATTTCGAACTAATAATTTATACTTGAGAAATTAATACATCAGTTGTTGAATTATTTTTAGTATAAGTTAATTTATTATTTAAATGTTCAAGTATTGGTTTTGGTAGATTATTTCTATCACATATATAAACAATTTCAGAATTATATTCTAATTCATTTTTTTCGAGTAAAATAACATTTGTTGAATGATTATTAATTAGTATTTCATTGGATTCATTATTTTGTTTTATATACAATTTTTGTTCTGATAAACAACGATTTTGACATAGATCATGATCATATTTACACAGTATTGCTTGTTGTTTTTTACAAGAACATTGATCAATAGGTGAAGTTACTAAATATTCATTATTTACTCCAGTATCACATAAATATAGATCTTGACAATGAGTATCTAATAAAATTTCTTTTTCAATATAGAGAATCATCTAAAAAGTAAATTGTAACAGTAAGAATTAATCGACAATCAATACGAATTAAAGAATACTTAGCATCTTGAGGGTGGGTGTGGGCGTATAAACCACTCTACTCTCATAATAGATACCCACACCCTGACAAACTACCGGGTGTCTGGGACACCTAGTACGTTATGTCTTTGTCCCCTATAAGAACCCTGCTTAATTGTTGTAAACACAAATTATTATATATTTTTTGTTGAGAATATGGTCTGTGTCACTTGCAATCATACTCAGGTTAGGAGTATATCGCATTATATACTTTACTAATGTTAGTAAAATGGTTAAAAACAAAGAATTGATTTTTGTTAGTAAACTTATTCTGATATTTTGAACTAAAATGAATTATTTATCTGTAATAAAGAGAAATAATATGAAACTTTAAGAGTTTTTCTTTGTACATTTAGTTTAACTACACACACATACATGTAAACATGAAAAAAAAAGAATGAATTGTTCATTTTATGTTATTTTAAGGATTACGAATACCAAGTGCTTGTTCTAATTCAGCTCGTTTTTGTTGTACTTTATTATAAAAATATCGACTGACAGCTTCGTATGACCATTGTTCAGTATAATAATCAGCACGTCGTTCTTCTTCAGCATTTCCTGTTGTTGAATCGGTGATCATTTTAAGATCACGTGATTGTGATGCTAACCATTTACAAATAAAACCTTGAGGATCATCAGCAAATGAAAGATAAAATTCTCGACTTTGTTTTAATTGATTTATACTATCAATATATTGTAAAATCTTTGAAAAAAACGATTAATATAAATTTTAAATTTAATTCAATTTCTTCTTACTTTTCCATCTAATTCTTCTAATTCATGTGTATTTTGTGGTGATAAAAATGTACGCATTGAATCTCGAACAGGATCATCAACTTCAACATCGATATCATAACATGCATGTTTTTTTGGATCAGTACCAAGACTAGAAATATAAACGATGAGGGGATGAATATTTAAATAAGATTTTACCATAATGTATGATTAATAATAATAGGTTCGGATGGAAGAATAAGTTTATTGAGTTTAGCTGGTAGATCAGAAAAACGAATACGTGTACAATCGAATATCTAAATGAAGAATATTATATGAATTCTTTTGAAACTTCTGATATACGAACTGATTGTAAATGTGAATCACAATTAATAAATTCTCGTTCTTCTGAATCTTGTAATTTATGTGTTTTAATATATTGCCACATAGCATGAATGATTGTTTGTCGCGTGCCATTCGTTAATGATAATAAACGAGCAAGACGGGCATCAAGTCGAAATTGTGGTGGCTAGAATAATAGCAAAATATAGAAAAAAACATAGGAATCAATAGATTAAGAAAATTTTACCGAATGATCAAGAACCATTAAAATAGTACATTTAACATTTTGATCTCCTGGTCGACGAACTTGAAATCCATCTGTTTCTGCTGTTGCATTTGTACGATGCCACTACAAAAATTTTCATTTAAAAAATCTTTTTTTTTCCTATAAAAATTTATAACAAACCTCAACAAGATGATTATCTGGTCCATATAGATCTTTATCTAATTCAATAACAAGACTTCGAAAAAATGATGAAAATTTTCGTTTTGTTTTTCCTTGATCATATTTATTTGTATTTGGCTAAATGAATGTAGAAATAATATTTTTTTTTCTCAATTATTTATTATATTTAACTTACATCATCAAGAAGACGACCTTCAACTCGCATTTCCCAATATTGTACTTGTTCATCATCGAGACCAGTTGTATCGGAATCAAAACGAACTGGATATTGATGACTTATAAAAATACGTAATTTCTTTTTTATCTAAAGAAAATAGAAGGATTATAAGAAAAAACCCAAATGATATATCATACTTTTTGAGGTCGTTTAAGTGTTTCTTGAATATCAAGTCGTTTTCTCATTAAAACAGAATCTAATTTTTGTTCAAGACGTAGTAATTCAATGTATGCTTGAGATTCCGGTACAAGTGAACGAATTTGTTTATGAATAACTTTTTCTGTCAAACGTTTACGTTTTTTTCTAGAAAAAAGAATTGTTTTCTAATAGTATAAGTAAATATTTTTATTGTTTACTGTCTTATTGGACCAACACCACCACCGCCAGGAGCACCTACTGACATTGCATTAGACATCATCGGTTGATTTTGACTCATGACAGGTCCATAAGCCATCGGTGGTTGTTGTCCTGGTGGAATCATTGGTTGTTGACGAAGATCATTTGAATAAGTTGATCGTTTATTTTTATCATAGAGTGCTGCACGATTTACAATTCCATAAGGACTACCAACAGGTCGTGTCATCATTGATGATTGAGGTGATGATTGAAGCATTGATGCTTGCATTGGTGATGAAGCAACCATAGGTCTCATCGATGGAACACCAACGGCAGTATTAGGTTGAGGAACAACAGATGGATTCATCATTGTAGGAGGTCGTTGCATTGGCGGTGGTGGTTGTTGAGATTGTTGCATAGGATTAGGATACATGATTCTATCTTTGACAAGAGAACACGTTAGGTTGGTTGTATGCGTAACTGAGTTGGACGAAGAGTAGTATCATTGTTCATTCTTGAATTTCATTGGTTTATTTATTTCGAATAAAGACAAGGTAATCATAGAGGACAGCAGAAGTCAGAATGATCATATGTATATATTGTACTCAGAGAAAACTTAGAATTATATTTATAACGTTTTTTAATGCCCCTCGAGTCAGAAATTTGAGAAATACTCTTTTATTATTTGGTAGATTGAGAATATATAAAAAACGATAATAGTCGGAATATATGTTGCATTCGATAGATATCGCTATTAGCTAGAGAAATCTAATAAAAAAAATTATATTTTTAATTCATTTTTACAATCTATAAAGAGAAAAAATTATCTTAAAAATGCAAAATATTTTTACATCTAAAATATAATTAAATTTCAAAAGTCAATCTCTATTGGCAACGAAAATAGTGTATTAGTCAGCTATATGTTTTGTCAGTCAGTTAACAAAATTTCTACATTGAAAACAATGGTAATTACATGTTTAATATCTATTAGACAAAAATCTATATTTATGACTTTTTTAATATTTGTTTAGCCTCGTCGATCAACTTCCCGTGGCCGATCTCGATCAAAGTAATATTTTTCTTTTTGATTTGGGAAATTTCCAATAATAAATGTTTTTTTTTATAGATCACCATCTCGTGATTCTCGACGACGTCATCATCGTCGTCCATCACCGGTTGTCTCATCTCGCCGTCGTCGAAGTCGTAGTAATGCACAAGAGTCTAAAGATGATATTGAACGACTTAATCCAACACCAAGCAAAGTCTTAGGTGTTTTTGGATTATCATCACGTACTGAAGAACGAGCTATTCGTCGTATCTTTTCCAAATTTGGACGAATCAATAATATTCATGTTGTTTATGATCGTGGAGTAAATTATTGATTGTTTTAAATATTTAACATAATTGTTTTTCTCTTTTATTACAGACAGGTCGATCTCGTGGTTTTGGCTTTATCTATTTTGATCGAATAGAAGATGCTAAGGATGTTAGTAATAATATTCTGATTAAATACTTTTTCATTGTTTTTATTTATGAATAGGCTAAAGCAGAGACACATGGAATGGATATTGATGGACAAAAAGTTCGTGTTGATTTCTCACTTACTGAAAAACCTCATGATCGTACACCAGGCATTTATATGGGCGCACCGTAAATAAAAATCTCTGTAAATATTTCGAATAATCTTTACAATTTTCTTTTAGTGAACAACAAAGTTCACGAGGTCCTCCTCGTCGATATCGTACTAAATCACGATCACGATCACCACGTGAGTATAATTCTAATTCTTAGTTTTTTTTTTCAAAAAATTTTCTTTTAGGTCGTCGAACTCGATCACGTTCTCGTACATAATAGAACATTCAATCGAAGTAAGATAATAATCTTTTATATAACTAAACATGAAGAAGTTCAGTTAGAGTTAATGCCTTTTCAATTAGTTTTTGCTTAACTGTAATCTGTAGTAATAATAATTGATTTTTATTAGATTGAAATCTATTCTAAAATACATTTTTATCCTAAACATATCTCATACTGTATATAGGTAATATTAGAAGTATTCCTGTGTTTGTCTAACAGATATTTGAAGAATGAAGTTCAATGAGAAAAAAAGAATTTGAATGAAAATAACCATTTGAACAATATCTATCGGAGAAGAAGAAAAAGAAGAATTGAAGTTGAAGTTACAACTATTTTATATCTAGCCAAATTGATGAAGAAGAAGAAAAATAAACGAAGGTTTTATTTTATTATTTTATAACTATATTAGGTGGTATGTATTCTATTGATCTATTGTATATTTTGACGTAGTTAAGATAGAAAAATAATTTCTATTCAAAATTAAATTATTTCATTTTTCCTTTCTACATAGATTGACGACAATACTGTGCAATTTAGATATACATATATATACTCAAGACAATATATTACTCAATTAACTAACAAAAAATCAAGAGAGATAAAACTTTAATTGATATTTGTATGGTTTTGTTCTTTTTTTTGTTTGAAATAACATAAGATTTCTTTTCCAATTGTTGATTGTATTGACAAATAGAATAATAAACAACCTAACTTGACTTTAATTCATATATTCAAAAGATATCAATTCAGACCAACGTCTGTAAGAATGATTCGTCAAGGATATACATATATTCGTAATAAACGATGCTATAATTTTCGTCCTTGTTCTACTCTTATCAAAATCCAATGTGCATTTGTGTATTCAAGTGAGACATATGTAATTATATCAATATCGAAAAGAATGTACTTTTTTTTATTTTTTTTTTTTTTGGTATAAGCGAGTATAGAGTCAAGCGCTATCGAAAAAGAAACTGTTTACATTAATTAACCGAAACGACTAACACAACAAATAAAATTAGTAATATATAGGATGATGAAAATTTGATTTTTTTCTTGTTAGTGATATAAACATGCAGTATTCAAGAACAAAGTGAAAAATGTTTTTATGTGAAAAAAGAAACAATAAGTTTAATCTTCCAATTCTTCTTTATCAAAAATATATTCACCAAGACCAGGACCAACACGACGTAAATTGGTAATATAATCACCATATTCTTTAAGTGATTTAACCTTAAAAATAAAAATAAGATAAATTTTAAATAATAAGAAAAGAAAAATGAATTACCTGTTCATCAAGAAATTCTTCTTCAAGATAATTTGATAGATGTGGATCACTAAACAAGATAATAATAGTATATATATGTATATATTCGTTGATTTAAAACTTACTTATGTTTACAAGCAAATGCATGTAATTCAAGTAATGCTTGATAAACATCTTTTTCCAATTGTAAGGCTGTTTCATGTGCTTCAAGTGCTGAATTCCAACTTTGTTGTGTTGGTTTTTTAATATCTAAAAGTACGATTGTGCCACCACGTTTATTTTGATATTCCATAAATTTATTAGCATGTTCATTTTCTTCATCAGCCATTTTTTTAAAAAATTTAACATGACCTAAACGAGATTATTTAATTATACATAAAGAAAAAAAACAATAAATAAAGTTTACCTTTTAAAGCGACATCATGACGATCAAAATGATGTGACATGGCTGTATAAGCATAACTAGCATATAATTCCAAATTAATTTGTCGATTAATTAAACCTTCATTATCTTCATGATAATTACTAAATAAATAAGAAAATAATATTTATTATAAGTATAAAATCTTCTTACTATCGAACAAGATTTTCTCTTGGTTGATTAGATGCTACTGGTGCTTTTTGACGATCTGGTTGACCAGTTTGATGTTGAGAATCATTTTTTTTCTCCATTGACATGATTGAAATTTTTTTTTATTGAATAATTAAATAGATTTGACGAAAAATAAAATTGTTGAATAGACACGATTTGTAACGAACAGTAACTTCTGCTGCAAAACAAATCGACCAACTGACTGAAGAAAAATAACGACGAGTATCTACATATATATAGAACGAGACGAAAGGAAAAAGAAAAAAGAGAAAAGAAAGAAGAACAAAAAAAAAATAAGCGTTATTTCTTTTTCCTTCGAGTTTGATCATCATCATCACGGAGTATATGCATGGCTTCCCGAAAGAAAGAGAAATCCCATGATTACGTGTGTTTATTTGACGCAGTTAGTAAAAGAAGTATAGAACGAAAGAAATAAAGAACGAATCAAGTGATAGAATTATGGAATGTTTGATATTACAATCAAATATCAAAAGAAAAATAGAAGAAATTGAGAATTGACCTTTTCATAGGGCGGAATATATATTAATCGATATATAATATATAGAGGTAGCTCAGTGCACTTGATATCAAATGTGAGTCATTTTATTGCGTTTTAATCTACTTCGAATTTATTGATTCGTATTTTAATTCTGTTCTCGAATGAGATAGAATTCAACGTTTCTCAGGTTTATTTTTAGTTTTAAGAACTAACAGTAGGCTTATCAATAGATATAAAAATGATAAGATTTTAAATTATCTAACGTATATAGTCTTGTTTTTGCCTGATATTTCCAAGTATAGAGAATTTTATTACGTATAAACAAATTTGAAACTTCTAAATCAATACTGATATACTGCAGGTTTTAGAGTATTCATAAATGCTACGTAATACTGATTCTTTAAGTGATTTTTCTTGAGAACACCGCCTTCCATTTGTTCTTATAAGTCACGTCCAATCGATATACGTGATAACCTTTCTAGTTTAATTGCGTTCTTCAAAATTGCAAAATAATAAAACAAATATTTTAGAATTTATTCCAGAAAAATGTTAAGAGTTATCGCCTTCAAGAGAAAACAAATCGAGACTTTAGTAGTTCAAGACTCATCCACATCGATCAGAATTATCCCTAGTTATAAAAATCCTAGTTTCATCAAGGTAATACAAGGCATCTGTATGTTTCACAGACTTAAAACTTAAGTTATTTTTATCGAAGAAGCAGAGATCAAATTTCATGAGTGCGTACTTTACCTGTACTTTATCGAACTTTAAACATTTTCTTCGAGTACAAAATCAAACGACTGTATTACATTATGTGGAAATTATACTTTATATATAAATGCTTTTATTTGTCAAGAATAAAGAACAACAAGAAATACATATAACAGTAATAACAAAAAATAATAATCAGTTTATATGACTATTTACTATAAATTTCATTGAATCGATTCTCTTGTATATATATAGTACCAAATTAGAAATGCAAGCTCGATTTTAATTACATAAAAATTACCAGAAAACAAAACAAAAATAATAAATTTCTAATTATCAATTAATTTACGCAAAAATTCTCGATGGAAGTATATTATAGATTGTTATAACAATAACAGCTAACCATGCCCATAAAAGAACAGTAAAAACCCAATATTTATTTTGAAAAAATGATTGATTTTCAAAATGGACTGGTCGACGAAGTTTTAATTGTGCTTGACGTCGAGCATTATAAACTAATAATGCTGGTATAACATATTGTACAGCAACACCAGCATATGAACCCGTAAAACCAACAAGAAAATTAATATTTTCTGTTACTATACTAACTGTACAAGGAAATAGAAGAACAACTATAACAAGTATAATACGTTGTTTTCGTCCAATTTTTACACATGATTTTAAAACAGTTTCAAGATTATTTCGTAATGTTATTCCTATGATTGGAAAACTTGAACTTAATGTAAATACAGGAAATAATGATATAAAATATGCTAAGAATTTAGGTACATAAACTGCTGATTGAGCACATCGTGTTGTTGGACGAAAATTTAATGTATATAAATCTTCAAATTTATCAAATGTAAATACAGCTGTTAATGATAATAATAAATAAAATAAAGCGATACATATATAATCATATGCAAATAAAGATTTAAGTTTATTTTTTGAACGTATTGGTGCTATTATACTAGGTATTGAATGATGACACATCTGTAAATAATTAAAATAAAACTATATGAAATGAAATCAAAATATCTACATACAAAACTGTAAACACAAATACCAAATAGTGGTGGAAGACTACGAAAACGAAATACAGCTGGACGAATTGGTGGATCGGGATGTTCACTACTGGTTTTTTGAGCAAGATGTACAAGACATAGAATAATCATGGAGAGAAAAGCTATAATTGAAAGAAAATAAATTTCACCTAATATATAAATTTTGTTTTTTAATTACCTGACCAACGACATAGAGTTGTAATCATCTGAAGAAATTTTGTTTTTTGTGCATTACCAAAAACGAATAAACCCAATGTACAAAAAAACAAAGCCTAAAATATATTTCAATTTGAATCACATTTTTATCAGTGATCTTAATTTTTCTTACAACAAATATTTGATAAACATGATGACGTGTTAATGAAGAACTTGCCCAACATAAATCATTAATAGTGATATTCGTACACGGATTTGGTTCATATGTACTGAAATAATTTTATTTAAGAAAAAAAAATCAGTTATTGTTATTTTAACATACCAGATAACATCTCGAATTGATTTTGGAACAGCTGAACCATAAATAGCCAAATCTCCAAAGAGATATAATGATATACAAATATAGAAGATGATCAATCCCACTAGAATACAATTTCATAATTAAAATATATGAATAGATAAGATTAAACTAACCTTGATTTAAAAACATATTTGCCATTTCACCCTAAAAGTATTCAAATATTGATATATATTTTCAGCTTATGACGAGTGCTCTTTTAATATACTCTCAACTTCTATCACTGACCATTTCAATTTTTTCGACAATATCAAATTCATGTTTTTCTTGAGTTTGTGGTGAAATATACACTTCTATATAATATATGAATAAGAAAATGAATTGAAAATTATTATTTAATATCTACCTTCATTATTAATCGTACCAGGTAATAGTGCTGTTCGATCTGACTCTTCAATTTGTTCTTCTTCATCACTTGTTGGAGGAACAATCGTACCAAGGCGCTAAATATACATAGATTTAATTCTATTGAATTAAAAAATCTTTTCAATTCAAATTTACTCGATTGTGTGTTTTTCTTCGCATAAAATTTGCAATAGCCATAGCTTCAATCATATATGTTGCTGATATATAACTATAAATAAAATATTCGCATTGAGTTAAAAGAACTTTATTTAATAATTTTGTTACCTAAAGAAGCCAAGTATCAATAAAAGTAGTGTACTCAACACATAACCACCTTCATGAAAAGCTTTTGGAAGTGCTAATGCACCCGTACCAACGATAATATTAAAAATATAAATCATTCCAGTCTATAAAATAGTGATTCTTTTCTTTATATCACAGAAAAAATTTCAACTTACACTTTGAGAAAATGATCCTTCAACAGGCTTTGATCTTGATGGTGGAAGCATTTTTTCAATATTTTTCTAGAAATATTCAAACACTTGATTTTCTATGTAAGAAACAAAAAAACACTTTATGTTAGCACCGACTACAACATTAGAAAAAAAACGTATATATATACAGAACAAAAAATAACAACAACAGTAAAGAAAATTGCTTCTTATTATCGTCGAATGAAAACTACAGTTAAAAGACCTAGATATAAAAAATAAAATTAGATTTATTATAAGAAATATGATTTACCAAGAATATAACTAGCTATAACTTTAGAATTTGTTGTCATATGTAAATACGTTGGTAAATGTGTATTTAATTTATTTTCATTATCAGGTAATATAAGTATCAATGCACATAGAACACCAAGTATACTTAAAATAAATATAACTAATGGATCTCCTAAAAGAAAAGAAATATATATGATTGAATTATTTTCATTATAATTTACTTGTTTCTTGTTGTGATATATTCGTTATTGTTGCTGTTCTTATTCGACTTGATGAATGATTACTTTCTTCATCGAAATTTTCTTCTGAAGGTTTATAAGATAATATAGTACATGTTATATCTCGTTTGCCTAGAAGATCTTGTGGTTTTCGACGATCGAAATATTGTATACGGATTTTATGTGCAACATTCTGATTTGATGAAGAAGATGACGTATCAAGAAGACGTACAATTCTAATAAATATAAAAAACAAAGAATTTTTTGTTTCTATAAAATCTATTTATTACGTATCAACTGAATGTTGAGGACGAATTTCTCCTTGAGATTCAGCAATAGAATATATTCGTGGAGCTGTGCATAGCACTAGAAGAAGATAACGTTTTTTTTGTTATTTGATGATAACACAACAAAGAAAAAAACATCTTAGTAACCTTTGTAACGCACAGCAAAATCGTATGGGTTGTAAAGTGTTAATACCTGAGAAAAGGTGTTGGAATCATCTAAGATTAAATAAATATTTAAAAAAGATTTTGAGATAATTAATTTTTATCTTACCGAGATAGAATAGAAGAGAATTCGATGAACAGAAGAAAGGTAATTGCGAAGCATTGTGACTCAAATGTGTGGGTAAGGACATCAACACATCTGTAAGGTACAGTTTTAAAAATGAGGAAAAAAAGCACATGGATCAACGATAGAGATATATCGTAGGGGGTGCGTCGATATATGACTCATCATAAGCAGCTGACAATTATAGAATGAAACTAAAAAAAAGAGACAGCAGTTATACATTTTTCCCTTTTTAGAACTTTGTTCTGCTATCTCTAAAGTAAAAAAAAGACAATGAATATATATTTATTTTATTTTATTTTTGAATACAATGAATTATTCTGTTGAAAAGAGCGTCATCTATCGTATTCTGTTATGAGAGAAAAGAAACATAAATGCACATAAGTTTCGATGACAACGATGACTTTTTTGTATTGTAGTATAGGTCAATCTCTTAAGGAGAGGGGTTATTTCTTCGAGAAAAAGGAAAACATTTTAGCCGATTAACAGTGCATGATTTTTATGTTTGTCTAATATGAAAGTGAATTGTCATTAAGTACAAAAAATCACGACACATTAAACAAAAATAAAATGTATAGTTTATTTGTAAAACAAAAAAAAACAAATAGTCTTAAATATTATAAAGGTAAATTTATAATATCTTTTTCAACCATATGAATGGAACCACCTGTATTCAAAGCATTTGTATTTTATTGACAAACAATTATTACTGATACAAATCGTATTAGACTCTGTACGTGTTTGATTGTCATTTATACAATGGAATAAATTTAAATAAGGTATAATTGTATTAGCACATTTTGATCATAGACAACATCCATAATGAAGATGCTTACTTATGGTGAGAAGTGATAAATATCTTTATAAAGTATTTAAATTGAACTAATGGTTTTAAT